CCTCAACTTAATTGAGAACCTTTGGGCCATCGTTGCGCGACGCGTCTACGTCAATGGAAGGCAGTTTTTGGACCGACAGCGCCACATTTCTGCGATCCTTCAATTTTGGGAAGACATCGAGCAAACAACACTGAAAAACCTGGTAGCGAGCATGCCCAACAGGTGCCTACATGTTGTAGCTCGCATACGTAGAAAATCCGGGCATTCGAGTAGCGTCAAACGCCTCGTAACGACCCTATACATTCAAGTGGCCTATCTTTATTTCGCCAAAATATCGAAAAATCACATGTTTTTTTCATTTTTGACCTCAAATCGTATCCTACGTGCATGAAAACTTGGCACATCAATAAACAAGTATTATGACACGTTTGACAACTATCCATTGCCACTCCAGATAGCTAGAAGTGTATGAACCTCAGGTGGCCTATCTTTAGTACGCGCACTGTAGCAGTGTGCATGATTGATACAGTGATCAAGGATGGATCGTTGGTGGCAGAAGCTCTAGGCATTTTTGCCGGGTCGTTGGTGGGTTCCAATGTCGACGCAGCCTTGGCCGACACCGGACGGCGAAAACTCGAGCACAAAGCGCGGGTCCTAGCCATTTTCGATGCATCCAAGGGTTGTTGTTGGAGAGCTCTACCACGGGCCCTTCGGACCGGTACGCGTGCTGCGACCGCCCCGAAAACATGCCTGCCTGGTCCAGCGTCACGTGCAGTCGTAAATTGAGGTTGCCCGTCTTGCTGTTGGTGTGCGGCAGCTGCAGCCGGAATTCCTATCCGCTGCGTAAGCGCTCCTGAAAGAAGGGGAATGATAGAAGTACGTTTTGGCCGCGTGGCAACGAGCGGTCGCACACGACGGCCTTGATCGAGGCGCCCGTGAGAAATCCCTCCTAGTGCAACCATTCCGTTGACGACGCCTCGGATCGAGCACGCACTTGGTCCGCCGCAATGTGTCGCCGCATGTCTTGGTTGTCGGGCAGCGCAAACTTGGCCGTAAACTCGCGCTCGCCAACGTTGACGTCTGCGTTCTCGTCCCGGAACGTATGCAGACTATCCATTCTCGCTGGAAAGACGTCGATAGAGGCATAAAAGGATGACCTCGGTGGTCGATAGAGCTCGGTCGACGTGATGTTCTTCTTGGCCGACTCGACCTTGAGGTCGTACTGCGTCGGCGTACGGAACCGGGTGCGAAAGTCGGGGGCAGCGATCAAACTACTTTGCGGGGGCTTGAGAGCGACGTTCGTCGTCGTCGTTGCGTGGTTGCGCGCCTCCATGGCGGCCACGCGTGCATTGAAGAGCGATTGACAGTCAAACGAACAGCGTTGTGTTTGTTGCAAGAGCTGGTTGATGCTATCATCGTCCATTCTGCGCCCGAGCTCGTTGTTGCTGTTGTTCAACTTCATACTTTTGGGATTCTTATTGTCTATTTATATGCTACTTTTTGAGCTTGAGGTACGACAAGGTGGCCTCGTCAAGCGGCAACCCGCCGCCATCCCGCACGGCCGCCACGGCGCTGCCTACCGGCGGTGTTCGCGCTTCGCGCTGCTTGCCCTCCTATGGCATTCCATTGAGTTGTCATTTTGCATACCAAAGACGCACGTCGATCTCGGGCTTGTGCTCTGGAAACAGATTGTCGTAGAGAATCGAGAGCACTTCGTCGTGGGCGAGGAGGCGCTCAATGACGCGGATGCGGTCGGCTGACGTGAAATCTTTGAGCTCCGGGTCATGGTCTATCCGCACGTCAAGTAAGGAACCGAAGGGCAGTAGGAGCCCACCGGTCGTGGGTTCTGTCTTGAGCGGTGCGATCGCCCGTGTCGACTTGGGCTCACGGCCCTGGGTCTTGCGCCGCACCACGTCGCGCTTGACCGCTTCGATGCTCAAGAGGAAGAAGGCTTCGAGTTGGTTGGCATCGTGCTTGCTGTTGTCGGACCGAAGGCGGTTGACGTCGCGCTTGGAGTGTTGAAGCTCGCGCTTGAGCTGGCGAATCTGCTTTCGAAAACTCTCTTCGCGCTCGACGACAGCGAGCGGTAGCTGCATGTCGCTCGCGGTGCGCCTACGATATTGTCGACGCTACACAACTTGTCCTGCAAATGGTGCCAACCCGTCGTCGGCGGGGGACGACGGACGTTCAAAGAGCGCAGTAGTGTCACTGTGTTGCGTCGATAAATTGGCGAGGCGGATCTCGAGCTCTACTCATCATCATTCGATCGCACCACGTCCAGCATGCGTCGTAGGTTCCAACCGGCGCGAAGGAGTTTGTTTTGCTTTTTGGACGCCTTCAGCTGCTTCTCGAGCCAGTCGCGGTCCTCTTCAATGGACTCGAGCTTCTCTTTCATGTGCTTGAGGTCCTTCTTCATGGTGGTCGTAAACGCATCGAGGCGCAGCGCCTCTTTCCGATACCTACTCGCGACGTCACGCCCCCATGCGTGGCTGCCCTTCTCCGAGTACCAGTCGCGCTCTTCCTCGAGGAGCTTGATCTTCTCCGACTTGTTTTCAATTGTCTCGTTGCGCGTGACCTTCTCCTTCGTGTCGTGGAGTTCCTTCTGGACGTTGTACATGTGGGCGCGGTACGCGGCGAGGAAATCCTTCTCTTGGCGGACCAGCACCGCCGTGATCTTCTCCGAGAGTGACCCGACCACGTCGTGCAGCTGCGCGTAGCGCTCGCGGACACTGGCCATGCTAATTTGCAGCGTAACTCAGCGATCGATCCAAAAAGGGGGTCAACCCTTTGGGGGAGTAGGCGCCGGCCCGGCGTTTCTCGTCGCCGTCCCGAAGCGAGGTGAGGAAGGTGTCCTTGTTAAAGACATCATTGGATGGCGCCTACGAGAAGAAGAAGAAGATACAGATAGCACGACGGTAGCGCGACCGACCTTGTCCATCGTCCGTCGTCGCGAGCGATTGAAAACCGCAGCCGAAACCGGTGACCAAGCTTGTGTGTTTTTAGACAGCGAGACCATGGCCGCGAGTATTGCCGGCGTGCGACGACTGTACTTGGAGCCAACGACGCTCGATATCCGCGAAGGCTCGATCGTCGAGACGCCGCGCACGTCGTGGACGGACCCGTTCTTTACCGTCGACCAGGACCTCTTTGTCTTGCACTACAACTGCTTTGCGCCGAAACCATTTGCGACCGACGTCGAGTACCAGCGTGGCTTTGGCCACAAGTTTGGCGTCGAGCGGTCCATGGCGCAGCTCGAGAAGCGTTTTCGCCAGCTCACGACCACGGCGACCAACCGCGGGATCCTGCGCGTCTACCTCAAGTCGCTCCTGGCGAATGCGACCGTCGAGGCGCTAGATCCGACGTACGCTGCGTGCGTCGATCTCTCGGAGCGCCTCGAGACCGTGCTGCATCCAAAGTTGCGCTTGGAGATCGAGATGGACGGCGACTTGGTGGCCAATATGGACACGATCCGTATCGAAGTGTCGGGTCGGTCGACGACGCCAGTACGTGTGCCCTGTGCGAGCGCGGTATGGCGGCTCATGTATGGATCCCTAGTTTGTGCGTGACGTGCCCAAGCACCTTATCCGCGCGGTCTCGAGCGTCGTTGATAGCTTCCTCGCCCAGGCGGCGGCGGGTTGCCCGCCGATGCGGCACCAAGCGCTGACGTATGTGCCGCGCACGGGCACGTCACGGGAGAAGATGGTCTTGACCGACGACGTTCCGGCGTACGACCACATTCCGCTGCACAACCACTTTGACGCACCCGTCTTTGATCGCATGGTACTATCTACATGATACTGCTGTGCTTCGACTGTTCAACTATTGCATTGGACATGTGGACAGATGCTCTTTGCGAAAGACCAAGACGTGGTCGAGCACCGAATGACGTTGGTCGACGAGTACGACAAGTTTCAGAAAACCAACAAACTCAGCAGCGACGAAATCAACCAGATTTTTGAGATTGAGATGAAGCGGTACGGCGACGTGCTCGAAAATGCCAAGAACAAGGAGGTCGCGCACACGCGAACGTTCCTCGACCAAGCGCTGCAGCACGATTTGCAGTCGATTCATGCCATGCACGCGGCGACGGTCGCCAACGAAACGGCGCGGATTTCCGCTAAGTACTCGGCGCAGCGCGAGTCGCTCTTCGTCCGCATTGAAGTCGAGCGGCTCAAGGCGCTTGCGATGCACCGCGACTCGACGCAGACGACACTGGCGCAGCTCGAGCACGTCATGGCCGTCAACCTCCAGCAAGTGGACGCGATCTTTGGCGCAAGCGAGTACCTACTGCAAGTACGTGCAACCACGAGATACGTTGACCGTGATGGCGACTCGGATCTGCGGTAGCTCATGCTGCTAGCGCAAGATTTGGCATGCAAGAAGCTTCTGAATGCGTGCGTGCGGTACCTTACCGAGCCGCGTCGGTTCCAGCAGTTTTGTACGCGGCGCGAGCTCACGAGCCCGCTCTTGGCCGAGACGACGCTGCTGTTGCTGCTGCAGCACTTGCCCGACAGCGATGCGGCCGAAATCAACACGGTGTACGGCGCACAGTTTGTCTACCACGAGATGCTACGTCGCGAGATTCACACGCGGCTCATTTCGCTCACAAAAGCGCTCGAGGTGCGTGGCGCCCTCTTTCAAACTGATATATTGATACGTTGATACTTTGGCTAGAGTTTGCCCAACGACGCGCTTCGCGACGTCATGCAGTATGCGTTTGAAAAGTTTGTCGGCGAAGCGTCGTCCAACCCGTCCAAAGACGTGGCGGCGCTCGGCGAACTCTGCAAGGGCTACCCCCACGTTCTCACCAAGGAGCTCCAGCGCCGACGCGAGTTTAGCCACGTGAAAATCAACCCCGCGCTTTTGAATGACCACTTGAGTTTGACCGAGGACGACTTGCTCGTCGAGCTCGAGTCGTCGAATCGGTACTGCTCGGCGATTGGCACCAAGCAGCGCAGCGCTGGTGAGTTTGGCCGATGGATGTTTGAGGTAACACATAAGTATATTTGTGACAGTTTTCGACATTTTGGAGGCATCTAGGTGTGCATTGAAGCCATGGATCCGATTGGTGCGAGCGTCGCGATCGGGTGGGAAGTTCCTCGGAGCGTGCTGCAGTGGGCTCCGTCCGAAGATGTGTGGCGACAGACCCACGAAGCCCCCGAGTCGCCACGCGGGGACATGACGCGCTTCGGCGAGCTCAACGGCTACGGTACATAATCGTCGCTTCTTTATCTTATCCCCTCGCGAAAAATAGCTGAAATGTTTTTTATCTAGGGGTCGTCTTTCCGGGCTTGACGCCAGGCGACGACGGCCACAGCTTTGGCATTCTGTGGCAGTCGCACGCGGGCTTGACGGGCGACGGCATGGGCGTCCTCTATTGCAACGGGAAGCAGTACAGCGGCGTGCCCACCTTTAGCAGCGGTGACGTCGTCGCGTGCACAATTGACCAGGACGCCGTCGAGCCGTTCGTTGAGTTTTATCTGAACGGGCAGCTCGTGATTCCCGTTGTCAATGCCGGCAACGTGAAGAAGCGGGGCGAGGTCTGTAGCGTCGTGCAGCAGCCGCTGCGGCTCCACAGCACGCACTATGCACTCTTCCCGGCCGCCACGCTCTTTTCGAGCAAGGATCCGATTGCGCGCGTCCGGTTCAACTTTCGCGGCGGCTTTCAGTACCCGATCCCGGGCTACGAGCCGTATGGCGCCGAGCTCCTCGACTTGCTCGAGATCGCGGGGGAGAGCGTCTCGGAAACGGGCGGGTACTCGGCGCTGTCACCGCGAAGCTCGATACGGTCGAACGAGACGTGGGGCTCGATGCAGTCGCGCCGCCACAGCGACATGACGCGCTCGGAAGGACGCACCTCCGACATTACCCTCACCGCTCGCTCGATCATCTCCAACAACAACAACAAGTAGTTGTCGTCGTCAAGCATCCACCATCGACCCGTCTTCTGGTATCTCGTTTGGTTGTTTATATCAACAAAGCAGATCACACCACCTTTCTCTCAGTTGACACGGCGCGTGATGCACAGACATCTCGTATCTATAGTAGGGGTCCGTTGCTGGTCATTTCGTGATTTTAGCTAGCATCGGGTATATAGTACTATCGACTAGCTAGCTATTCCTTACATTAATCCAATACCTTTTAGAAATCTACTTTCTACTCGATATTTCAACCTTTTCACAACCCGACGCGTTTTCCCGCGCTTTTCCGTCGCCACATTCGAATGCCGGTTCAACATCCGGATAAAGGTCTTGTATCCGGAGGATCTCGCTGCCACTGTTCATATTGCAAGTGGCAAGCAGCAGCAAGATGGGTCCGCTGCGGTCGGCGCCGGCCATGGAAGAGGTTCGCCCGCGCCAGAAGCGCCGCCGCGTCGCGCGCGAGGTCGAGTCCAATGAGCCGCTGACAGCAGTAGCCCTCGACGACTTCCAGGCGCATGCGCACATGCGGCGGCAGCGGTACCGTGCCCACTGGGACGCTTACCTCGAGAACCAAGCGTACTACAACGCGTCCGAGACGCCTCCCACGACGCCGTCGCCGTACTGGAAGCGGCTCTAAGACGTGGATGTTATTCCGTTCTCATATACTACCCATTATCTATTGCGACAACAGCATTTTGGTATTAAAAGTCGAGGATCGCATGCACGGCCGCGAGCACGTCCACTGGCTACGCTACCGTTTGAGACGCCTCGTTGCGACCACTGCGGAATTACCTGTGTCAACGTCGGTGGCGACGTCAATGCCTTGGGGATCGCGGGATTCCGCAAGGCGTCGGCGCACTGCATCCAGCCTGGCACCTCGCGCAGCTGGCGCTGCCACGGGCAGTACCTGCACATGATGTGATGCGACCGCGTGCCGTCGAGAGGGTGCTTGACCGTACCATCGGTGGGCTTCGAGCGGATGGAACACCGAGGCTTTGTGGCGCTTGGGCGCAGGCGCGGTCGAGGTGTCGTCGTCGGTCAGCGTCGTGCAAAGGACCGCCGACCGATTACAAAACGTGCAATGCGCGAGAAGCGAGGCCTCTACATGTCGAGTGGCGTAAGATCTGAAGCGACCATCGGCGGAGTACCATGGCTGCGAAGCGTCCAGCCGCTGGCAGCGAGACCGACGAGGATTGTGGCGTCCAGAGATGGCGCGTCCGACGCATTGTCCAGCACACCAGAGACGACGTCGTTGCAGTAGGCGGGCCAGTCGGCCGCCGACACACTAGTGCGGGCGCGCAGCAGGTCGAGAAAGGTAGCGTCGACGTCGACATGCCCGAGGCTCGACACCGCTCGTAGCTCGGTGCACATGGCGGCAATCGCCTTGCGGACGCTCTCGAGCGCTTCGTCGACGCTCCAGAAATGCAGCTACCGAATCATTAGAAAATTGCGACCGGAGGCGTGACGTAGTCGTACGTGGCAAAACGACGCGGGCGACGGGTTGCCCCGCCATGGACACGTGCTCAAGTGGAAGGACGTCAAGCGCTCGTGCAGGCCCAGCGCAACCTTGTGCGCGCCCTGTGCAAGCATGCGTCACGATGCGTTCGAGCATGGAGTGTAGTAGCACCTCGGGGCTAAGCCGCTCGTCGATGCGGCAATCCAAGCGCGCATGGCAGCACTCGCACTGCAATGTGTCCGGGCCGACGTTGACCCAGCCGTGCTGGGCGCACACGAGCAAGTCGAGCGCCAACGGCTTGGCAAACCAATGCAACGTCGAGAAGGACGCGACCCGGTGCTGAAAGTCGGCCCAGTTGTTTGGCCGGCACTTGGCGACGCCGGGCTCGTCCGACCGCAGCGGCAGCGACGGCGCGCCCGCGCGGCTACCCTTCGCTGGCGCCGTCGCCTTCTTCCAGAGCGCCAAGACCTGGTCCACGGCTTCCTCCAGTGCCATGCTCGTCGGGCTTCGATAGTACGGATACGCCGCCACTGGTATCCGGATCATTGTCAACACCGCAGATGTCAACGCCAAGGCGACGCGAAGTCCATTCCCGTCCTCTGATACTACCGGTACTTTAGCATGGGCAAGGTGGGCCTTGTTTGCATTGCGTGGCTGGCTGCTGGGCTGGCTGACCTCCTCGCCACGAAGAGGAGGTGACGAGGCACGCGGCTGCACCGACAGCAGCAGACAGGCCACCATGGACCCTTCGTTGCCTCTTCGCACACGTCGCCAGGCACAGCTCGCATGTCTCGATGGGCCATGGCCTTGTAGACGTGTGTGGCCAAGGCGTCGTGGAGTGGATCCTGATGATGAACACTCTTTTTTATTAAACTAACCAAAATCTAAGCGTACGTGCCCTCCAGCATGACGTCGTCAATCTTGAGGATCATGCGCACGACCTGCGTCGCGAGCTGCAGCTGCTGCTGCTTGCCGATCAGCGTCTCAAACACGTGCTGGTCCTTCATATCGTACGTGCCAGTCGCATTGCAGTCAATGCCGAGGCGCGGGTTCTTCTCGCTGAGCTGCTTGGCGCGCACGGCCGAGAGCGAGTCGATGGGGCTCAGACCCGAGTTTTCAGCGAGCGCCATCGGGATGTCCTCGAGCGCCTCGGCAAAGCCGCGGATCGCGTACTGCTCAATGCCGGTCGTCTTGTTGGCATGCTCGCGGATCGCGATCGCACACGTAATCTCGGCCGAGCCGCCGCCGTAGACGACGCGGTTGTTCTTGATGAGGTTGCGCGTGACGCACATGGCGTCATGGAGCGCGCGCTTGGCCTCTTCGACAATCATCTTGTTGCCACCGCGGACGAGCACCGTGATCGCATCCGACTTGGCGCAGTCTTCAATGATCAGCATGCGTTCCTTGGTCGTGCCAAAGGCCACTTCGCGGACGACGCCAGCGTGGCCGAGCTTGTCGGCCGTGAGCTCCGAGAAGCGCGGCACGATGCGGCCGCCGGTCGCGATTGCAATGAGCTCGAGCTCGACGCCGCCGACCCAGCGCACGGCCGGGAGTTCGTTCTGAAGAAGCAGATGGTTGGCTTCGTCGTCAAAGCCCCATTGGCAAATGACAAGGTTGGCGCCCGAGTCCTTGACCTGCTTGATCATGGTATGGAAGTAGTCCTGCTCCTGCGCGTAGAGGTTCTCGTACGCTTCGACGGTCGTAATGTCGAGCTTGTGCTTCGTCTTGGGTTTCGGGGGCTCAAACGGGCACGTCAAAATGCACATCTTGGCGTCGCGGACTTCCTTGGCCATCTGCGGGTGCGAAAAGTCCTTGTCGACCACGATACCGTTGATGAGGCGCGTCTCCTCGAGGGTCCCGCCGGGCTTGCCCTCCATCTTGATCAAGTCAAAGTTGACGTCGCGCGTCTCCCAGTTGCACACTTTGGTGACGGCGCTGACCGCAATCTCGGCCATTTGACGCTTGTACTTGTTGATGATCTTGCTCGAGAGCGTCGTCATGGCCGTCTCAATGAGCGGCGTCGTGTTGTCCTTGGAGAACTCGATGCGGTCGCTCACCGACTCGAGGTGCTTGACTGCGATCGCGCACGCTTCCTCAAAGCCATCGGCGATGCGCATCGGGTGGAGGCCACGCGCAAGGAGCTTCTCGGCCTGCTCCAAGAGCGCGCCGGCAAGCACGACCACGCCCGTGGTACCGTCGCCAATCTCGTCGTCCTGCGACTGCGAGAGCTCGACGAGCAAGTGGGCGACGCGGTGCTCGACCTGCATCTGCTGCAGGATCGTCGCGCCATCGTTCGAGATGGTCACGTCGCCGTCCTGGCTCACGAGCATCTTGTCCATGCCTAGCCATTATGGTCATGAGCCCTCATCGCAGGCGAGGCGGGCGTACCCTTGGGGCCGAGCGACGTGCGGAGGAGGCTCGTCACCGTACGCGCCGCCAAGATGTTGCTCTACGCAGCCCAGCAGCATGAGATCGGAGGCCATGGCCATGCAGCCGTCTACCTTGATGGCGTCGATACCCTTGATGCGCTCCGTCTTCTCTTGATCTCTCAAGATGATGAAGGGGCGGCCATACTCGTCAAATACCATCGACATGTTGCTTGGGTCCGATCGTAGATGCTAAGAACTACACAGCCACTTATATGCGGTCGGACCCCCCGTTGACTTCGTTGCATAAAAATACGGTGCCCCGGTCTCTCTTTTTTGCATTGTCCAAGATCGCAGTTGGTATCTGTATTGAATTCGAATTTGAATTAAAAAAGGTCCGAGATCTTCATTAAATACCACTTGTGCCCCGGGCACCACACATATCCGGATTATACCGGATACCATGGAGCGATCGGCGTTAAACGCTGTTCCCAAGAGCGTCTCAAATAGATCACTTGATGATTTGGGACAGGGCTGACAATGGCAACCGACAAGACGCGGGAACAAGATGGCTTGCAAAGCGTCCTCCCGTGTAGTACTGGATTTGAAGCCATGATATGTGGACGGTACATTGTTGCGTAGGCACCAGGACCTGTACGCAGTTGCTGCATCAACCAGCTGCACGCATGCGAGACTCGACTTCGCTGCCACGTCGATCAACGGGGCCCTTCTGGTATAATCGGTATGCATAGGAACGATCCGCGAGGTGTCGCCTGCGTATCTTGTTGGTGCGAGTGTTCGCGATGCTCTGATGGGTCGGACTGTCGTGCGTTTTTATAACGAGACGACGGCGCAGCCTGGTCACCGCTTCTTCAACTTCAACGTCCATCTCGCTCATGGCTGCAAGGAACGTCCGACTTTTACCTTCCATGCACCATCCATGCACTCCTTCCTAGAACGCTTCGTATACAGCGTCGAACGCTCCCTTGAGCAATGTTGAAAGAGTGTCCAACGTAGAACCCTTCGTGTCATCCTGTTGATCGTCCAAGCGCCAAGCGTTGGCCGATCCAAAGGGCTTCGCGAACGGCCCTTTCTACTCAGAAAGGCGACGCTTCTTTTGGGTAACAGAGCTCGCATCTGTCTGCCCTTTCGTGTCCTCTTAGTAAACGCAACCAGAGAGCATCGCAACGTCACGGCAGCCATCTCGACCGCCGTGGCTGTCCAGCCTAAAATGAGACACCATGGAGAAACAAATATTCCGCCTGGCGCTGGCACTCAGTTTGCATTTTGATCAGCATCGACAAGAACGCGACGATGGCACCTGTGGTCCCTGGCGCCGACGCGACGCCGCTGAACGTCGAAGAGTTTGAGACGTACGCACGCACGTACCTCCCGAAGAAGACGCTCGACTACTACATCTCGGGCGCCGACGACATGGGTACGACGACGACTGCATTGCAATCTTACATCGTACCACGCATGCGCTTAGTGACGCTCAAGGAGAACCGCCTCGCCTTCACGCGCCTCAAGCTCATGCCGCGCGTGCTCCGCGACGTGCGCAACATTGACACGTCGACGACGCTCCTCGGATCGCCAATTGCGACGCCTGTCTGCATTGCGCCCAGCGCAATGCAGCGCATGGCCCACCCGGACGGCGAGCTCGCGAGTTCGGCCGCCGCGGCTGCCAAGAAGACGTGCTACACGCTCAGCACGATCAGCACGACGAGCCTCGAAGACGTTGCTGTCTCGAATGGCGACGGTCTGCGCTGGTACCAGCTCTATGTCTTCAAGGTGGTCCCTCGCTTCAATGCGGACCAGCGTGACCTTGCTGCATGCAATAGGATCGCGAGCTCACGCGCGACTTGGTCGTTCGCGCCGAGAAGGCCGGTTACAAGGCGCTCGTGCTCACGGTCGACACGCCGGTTTTGGGGTCGCGCGAACCTGACCACCGCAACAACTTTGCTTTGCCCAAGTACGACGTACTTGTGTTGCTTGGACGTTCTCATCGCAGTGGGCAGGCACTTGACGATGGCCAACTTTACGCACGGCAAGCACGCACACCGCATGAACGAGGTCGGGCTCTCGCAGTACACGAAGGAGCTCTTCGACCTCAACATCACGTGGGACGACGTCGCATGGCTTCAGAGCATCACGACGCTGCCCGTCGTCGTCAAGGGGATCCTCACGCCCGAAGATGCCATCATGGCCTGCGACGTGGGCTGCAAGGGTATCCTTGTCTCCAACCACGGCGCCCGGTAAATCTCGGTACACAAAGAAGCGATGGCGAAACCTGCATTGGTAGGCAACTGGATACGGTGCCGGCGACGATCGAAGTCCTCCCGGCTATCGTTGAGGCCGTGCAAGGCCGCGCTGAAGTTTACTTGGACGGCGGTGTCCGCCGCGGTACCGATGTCTTCAAGGTACGAGACAAGACCCCGTTGAACTGCGCCAAACGGATGGGTGGATGCGTAGGCGCTTGCGCTTGGCGCCCGCGCCGTGTTCCTCGGTCGCCCGACGCTCTGGGGCTTGGCTCACAGTGTACGATTCAGCTCGACGCATTGCCATGCGGCCTCTCATTGGCAAATATAGGGTCAACAAGGTGTAGAGGACGTCATCTCGATGCTCACGAACGAGCTCGCGCACGCCATGATGTTTTCGGCGACGACGACGCTGGCCGACATTGGGTAGGTCATTATTGTCTGCCAGATTGTCTGCGATCCTTTCTAATTGTTTGATATGCTAGCCCCAACTATGTCCGTCACGAAGCGTACTTTCGCCAAGCCGCCAAGTTGTAGACCGATCGTTTGGCGCCCGTCGCATCATTGCAATACAGGCACATTTTGGTGCTCTGGATCTGTTAGAAACCTGTCTGCGATAATTCAATTTGTCAGTAGTATGCTGCACACCACGCGACGCCTTACTATGGCAGACGACATCGCTCGCTTTCGCAATTGCCTTCGACACGCTTGGCTTTCCGGAGGACTCGCCGCCTCTTGCGTCTCGATGTCCGCGGATTGGCTGAAATGACAGTGTTGAACGTTTCCTGCGAGCTTTTCATCCAAGTGCAGGCATTATTGTGCAACGCAGGACACCAAAATACAAGGTGTCGTTGAACCGAAATGGCGCGACGCGCCGTACGTCCGCCTGAAGATGCAGCGGCCAAAGCGGCGCGGCTCAAAAGAATTGACTCGCCCATGCCGCCTCGCGCGCCAAGGAATCCGACGATAAGCAGTCCACAATGCAGTCCTACTAGCCGCCTCCGCAGGAACCTACTAAACTTACAGTAACTCGATTCAGCAACAGCACACACATATCAAGTACATAGCACTACTTCCAATCTAATCTATCTACTCGAACGTGTTCGCGTTGAAATCAAACAAGCAAAAGCCAACTCAGAGACTTCGCCTACGTACAGTGCTACGCCTGAATGCATAAGAATCAGCACCAGCACTTGGTCGTTGGTAGTGAGCTCAAAGCCTCGCGCTCGCGTCGAAGCTGCTCGAGGCGACTGGAGGAAGACGACGATGACTTGGCTTTCTTCGTCTTCTTTAGCTCCGAGTTCGTCGTGTTACCGGCACAGTCGAGCGCGTCGGCTTTCTGTGTATCGTTGGCGGCGACCATGAGCACCATGGGCCGGCCCGCGATCGCAGCCATGGGGTCGGCGCTCGCTGCACGTGGCGCCTCGGTGGCGTCGTTGTCGTCTTGGCTCTGCTGGACGGCAGGGTTGCGAGGGCGGCTTGCGTCGGCCTAACTGGCGGTGGACCGGGCTCAGCGCGCCGCCGAGCGCGATGCCTTTGTCTGTGTACTTCGTGATGCTGGCGGCGGCGCGGTCTCGTCGGGCGCAAAGAGGTCGATGGTCGGCTTGGTCTTCTTGAGGGCCTCGACGCGGCCGTCAAGGTCCGCTTGCGCTCTCGCGGAAGGCAGCGCGCTCTGCGTCTTCATGCAGCCGCTCGTCCCGCCGGACCTTCTTGATCTTTGCGCGCGTCCACACCACTTCTTGTGCTTGTGGCTCGTTTGGAACTCGATCTGGCATGGATGTTTTAATTGGCGCAATTTTTGATTCTTTATAGCCAATCACAAGCCGTGTTCGTCTTGAATAGTGTGAGCACCATTCAGCACAACGACGAGTAGCAGCCCACAGACGCGCCAGCGCCACGTAGCAGCCGGGTATACCTCTCCACACACTTCTTGAATGACGTAAATGTCGTTTCCGACGCTGCACGTAGCGCAATCACGCGCAAATCCATTTTCCATTTTTCGAGGTGGTGGCAGAATTGCCCAAATACTTCACGTGACATCGCGGGGTTCCAAAGCTCCAAGGACCGTAAAACTGGCTGCCACAGTTGGCGATGGGTCTCGACCCGGTGTGCGACCATCTTGTTGGTCGCCATCGTTGCTTGGGCACTCACACCAAACTCGAACTGCCGAGCGTCGGTTTTCAGGAAATTCGACATGCAATTTCGGTTGAAAATGCGTCGAAATCGCGGAAACCGAGGACGCCGTCTCTATTTGTTCCAGTTAAGGAGCGCGTGTTATGTGGCCGAGGGAGGCAAAGAGCGCGCGATACCGCTGCGTGATGAGGTCTTGTATCCCGTACAGTATTTCAGTATAGCGAAAAAGCACACTATATCAACATATTGTTTGCCGCTGTCATTTGCTCTCGCTACAGAGCTCGCACGGCGACGTCACATAGCATTTTGGACTCCCCAAAGTGTGGCCTAGCACTCTGGCAAGTATGGGCGATTTCATTTTCAAACTTCATTCTGGTCGATCCGCCGGCGCGGCGGCCACTGTGCACCAAAATATGGTAATTATGGTTGCAAATGGCGAACGCCAATACTAACGACCGGCAACGTCAGAAAGTCAGAAAGACACGCCGAGGCTCCTCGGGCACCACTGACGCTGCTGCATTGTGCTCGAGGAAACTCCATCAGCATTCTCTACGCCATCATGAGGTGTCGCTCGGTCGCAATGCAGCGTTCCTCGTCGGTCTCCCTCCTTTCCGTTGACGCCAGGCCAAAGCGTTTCAGCCAATCAGAGCGACAAGACATTAAATTTGTGGCCAATCAGAGCGGCAAGGACTCCGCTTCCGAGCCAATCGCCAGTGTTCTTGCCGCAGTTCTCGAACCGATCATCGCCGCCAGCCCAAGCACGTGTCGAGGACGAGCGTCTCGCCCGTGATACACCGATACCAAAAACGTGGCGAAGCCGCGTCGTCGTTGCAGCTATCGACGCTTCGTCCCGTGCGCCACGGACAGTATTGCTTGCATCTCGCGCTGCGTACACCGAGACGTCGGTGTCAAGCAGCCCTTCCCCCGACGAGCGTACTTGTACCACCACCAGCCAACTCGAGAACAACCACTAAGAACAATCATCTTCTGGTCAGATCCAGTGTCAAGCTGCGTGTGCGCAGACAGTACACATGAGCAACTACGAAAACGATGTGCTCTACTCGAAAGCTTTCATGTCGTTGTGCGAGAGGATACAGAGCCCAGGGGTCGCGCCGCTGGTCTCGTAGTCTGTGACCATGGCCTTGGCAACCGCAGCCACCGACACCTAAATGATGGCCGGCGATGAACACAGCTTTTGAACTGTTGTTGACGCACCGTCGGAAGCACCCAGTGCCCAACGCGCTCCACGAAGCGCGAGAGGTCCCCGCGCTGCAACAAGCCAGGTTGCGCGATCGTCGTGCGAGGAAAGCTGAGCGCCTTGATGGCGTCTTCGGCGAGGCCCTTCGTTTTAGGGTACAGGAACCACGAGGCCGCGTTGGCATTCTACCCAAGAGGTGTCGAGGGGCTTTGGAGTCAACGGAGCGTACCGAGGCTGACACCAAGGCAAAGTACGGGAGGTTGGCTTCCTTTGCGAGCTTGCCGACGTTTTCCACGTACGTCAAGTCGACTAGACAGCGATGATGACACATGTGGCATGACGCGATGCAGCGACGAGCGCACCTTTGCGGAAGGCTTCGTCCGACCCAGCATCTACAAACCATGTCAAGGCGCGCTAACGCCAGCGCGCATACCTTTGCGCGTCGTGCCAAGGCAGCAGAACGCAGCGTTGGCGCCATGGCCCGCGACGTCGGCCGGCTGGAGATGGTCGTAGTCGACCACGTGGACATGGATCTTGCTTGCCGCCGCGCCGGGAAAGGCCGCTGCCAGCGCCGATGCGTCCATCGCCCGGCGGGAGAGCGCAACGACCTGCGTGCAGCGCGCGGACGCGGCGAGCTGCTTGACGACCTCGCGGCCGATCGCGCCTGTCGCGCCGACAACCAGCGCCGTGTACTCGGCCATGGCAAATTTGGATTTTGGCGTTGGCCATGCGATCCGGTTATACGATCCGGATAGCGAGCTGTGTTTTAAACATACCGGGATGTTTCAAACTGGAACGCATGTCCTGGCGAGACGACAAGAGCTTCGAGGGCCTCGAGCCGGAGGGTGGCGGTACTCGTGGCCGCGGCGCCGAGGTGCGCAAGGGCGGCGGACCCGGGCTAACGTTCACACGCAACGTACCCAAGTTCCTCCAGTCCTTCCAGGACCCTGTCGCGCTCGACCACGAGGCGAGCTTGGCCTTGAAGCGGCCCAACCCGATCCCGGACGACGACGACGACGACGATGAACTCGACGATGTGCAGAAAGAGGCCATTGCAGCGTACGAAGCCGCCGAGAAGGAAAAGGACAAGCCGACGGAGGAGAGTGCGGGCGACGCGCCAGCAGCGAAGCCGAAGCGAAAGGCGCCGCTATCGTTCTCGACCACCAAGAAGGACAATGACGTTGACACCAAGCCTGCGAAGAAGAAGCGCAAGGCCGTCAAGGACACGAAGCTTCTTCGTTCGACTTTGACGACTAGGACTTGGCGATGGTACGCATGGATCGCGCGTTTGACCACGGTGCCGGTCCAAGCTCATGGACGCACACTGCGGCCGCTCGGCTCTGCATCGATGCCAGCGCGTCATCTCATCTCGGTCGCAGGCATCCCCACTCTCCTTATGGCAGCGTCAGACAATAATTCAGATAGTTTGTAGCATGTATCCGACGCGGCGCTAGCGATGAGTTAGAGTGCCTCGAGCACCGACGCATAGGTTCCGTTGCCATTGCAGATGGGAAAAGAAAGAAATAGATGGCAAAGACGGGCTTGAACCCCGTACCTCCTGCGTTGTACACCAACTCTTGCCTGTATAATACCTACGGTGGTCGATGCGAAATGTCATCATCTGCATGTTGACGCACCAATCGAGACAGCCAAGGCCGCACTCGATGGTGGTGGTGCCCAAGAAGTGTGCCGGTGGTGCACATGCCAATCCTACGCTGTCAACCGTACCAGTATCCTTCTATTAGTTCGAAGCAACTTCGCCAACCGTAGGCTCGATGTTCCGTTCTACGGCTCCAACGACAAAGTCAAACCACTTGACCCTCCGATAAAAGTTCGATTGCGCTCCTACCGCCGTCGTAAGGGCAAGTCGTCGATGGATCTACATTGCTCGACCGCAGAAGCTTCTCGCTATACAAGTATCCAACGGCGATGGCATGAGTCAGCGCTTGACGGGGCGACCATGAGACGGAGACGCCACGTCGTCGGCAGCATCTGATGCCTTCGGTCGTCCCCACGACCGTTCTGTATCCGGACAATTGATACCTATTTGCTGTTCTTGCTGGATTCATGGCAGTGGTATCCGGATGCATGAGGCCACTGTCAACAGCTTTTTGCTTGATGATATCATACAAAAGCATGTCGGATGGCGCATTCATCCGGATACATGTCCGGAAGAAGCGGATTGAACATTCCAAGCACCCGATTGCACAACCACGAAGCGACCAAAAGAATAAGCCACCGTCGGCAGCGTGGCTATAAGATCATCCCATTCACACTCTACCTCCCGACGAGCATGAACACTGCAGCTGAAGCAACGACGATCTCGAAGACGACGACGACGACGACGAAGGAGGACGTGGCGCGCCAACGGCGCTTCTGGGCCATTGCTGAGAACGACGCCGAAGACGTCCCGCCGGCGTGGTCGCCGAGCTCGTGGCGGGCGTTCCCGATCAAGCAGCAGCCGACGTACCCCGACCAAGCGGCGCTTGAGACAGTCCTCGAGAAGCGTACGTGCCACTTGCTTGGTCAATGCTCGTACTATACCATGGTGACTTGTAGTCAAGACGCTGCCGCCGCTCGTGTCGGTGCAAGAGATTGAGCGCCTCCGCGACCAGCTCGCCGAGGTCGCCGACGGCAAGCGCTTTCTGCTGCAGGGCGGCGACTGCGCCGAAAGCTTCCGCGACTGCAAGCCCGACGTTATTGAGAAGAAGCTGCGCATCATGATGCAAATGAGCCTCGTGCTCGTGTGGGGCGCGCGGATGCCGACGACCCGCGTCGCGCGCATGGCTGGTCAGTTTGCCAAGCCGCGGTCGCAAGCTACCGAGATCATTGACGGCGGTACGTCTCTCCGCTCTCCGATGCCTCCTCTCATGAAAATGGATAGTCGAAGTGTGCACGTTCCGTGGTGAAAACGTCAACGGCGTTGGCGCGCACGAGCGGACGCCGGACCCGGCGCGTCTTCTAGACGGCTACTACCACAGTGCCGGTATCATCTCGCCTTCTTCTTTTGATTTTTCTCATTTTTCGCCTTTTTCTATTGCATTAGCCACCATGAACTATGGCCGGCTTCTCCTCGACAGCGGCTTCGCCGACATCCACGATGCGGGCAAGTGGGATCTCGGGTTCGTTCAAAACTCGATTCGCGCCGAGCAGTACGCGCACATGGTCTCGGCGATCCAGGACAGTTTGCACTTTGTGCATACGTGCGGTGTCGGCTACGACATGAATCTCAAGACGATGGACCTCTTCATCTCGCACGAAGGCCTCGGCCTCGCGTACGAAGAAGCCATGACGCGCAAAATCAACGGCAAGTACTACAACATGGGCACGGACTTTCTCTGGATCGGCGACCGCACGCGGCAGCTCGACCACGCGCACATCGAGTACTTTCGAGGCATTGCCAACCCGATTGGCGTCAAGGTCGGACCGAGCATGCACCCGTCCGAGCTCGTCGAGCTCATCACCAAGCTCTGGCCGAACCCCGACGCGACGCCGGGCAAGATCACATTGATCACGCGGTATGGGGACGCGAAAGTCGCGGCGATGCTGCCGGCGCACATCCAAGCGGTGAAAGCCGCGGGTCTCAAGGTCGTCTGGTCCTGCGACCCGTGCCACGGCAACACGATTACGACGGACAATGGCTACAAGACGCGTCCGTTCAGCCGGGTACGAAACCTTGATTCTGTATGCTTTTCGACGGATTGGAATTTGTAGATTTTGTCCGAGTTGCGCCAAACGCTCGACATCCATGTCGCCGAAGGCAGCCACCTCGGCGGCGTCCATTTTGAGCTCACGGGCGAGAATGTCACCGAGTGCATTGGCGGCCCCGAGCAGCTCGACGAGACGGACCTCACGGCGCGCTACACGACGGCGTGCGACCCGCGCATGAACTACGCCCAGAGCATGGAAGTCGCGTTCCTTCTCGCCAAGCATCTCAAGCAAGCACAACAGTAGACTCGAATAGCAACCACCTTTTTAGACATTTTGTTTGCATTCACGAATGGTGCTCCTGCACACTCGACAGTAGCGAACACGGTAGAGCGACTAGACGTCCAACCGAGCTGCTCGGTCTTCTTAAGGTCTCGCATGTCTAGCTCCGACTAACAAATATGTCATCGGGTCGCCTTGTAAATTGTGCAAGGGCTCGAGCAGCTCGAGGTCTCGCACGACGACATCTTCGTGCAGTCAGCAATGGCTTGTTGAGCGACCTCACGAGCACCAAGCTGTCACTTTCTCCATAGAAAGACGACAATTTGCTTTCATCCGCGCCGCGCCTTTGTGGTATACCGGGTACGGGTAGCAACACAAGTATTGGACTGGACCGTAACTTTGACACGGCGAAAGGCTGCAAATCGGATTCGAGTGATTCATAGGACAAATGTACAAAATGATAAAGCAAATTCTGTCTTTGATTAACAATAAGAACGCATCGCCAAGACGACATGTCGTGGTGCAACTTAAATCTGGTTGTGCGACGCGAGGTGCGTGTAGATGCCGTTGAGGCGCATGAGCTCGTCGTGCGTGCCTTGCTCGGCGATGCGCCCGCCGCTCACGACGCAGATCTTGTCGGCGTTCCGGATCGTCGAGAGGCGGTGCGCGATCACGATCGTCGTCCGGCCCTTCGCCGCCAGCAGCTTGTCCAACGCTTCTTGGACGACCTTCTCGCTCTCCGAGTCGAGCGCCGACGTGGCTTCGTCCAAGAGCAAAATCGACGGGTTCTTCATGATGGCGCGCGCGATCGCAATGCGCTGCTTCTGGCCGCCCGAGAGCTGCTCGCCCTTCAAGCCCACTTGCGTCTCGTAGCCGTCGGGAAACTGCGAGATGAAGTTATGTGCGTTCGCCATCTTGGCGGCCGCTTCGACGCGTGCTTGGAGGTCCGGGACGTTGTCGGCGTTGGCGAGGCCGCCGGCAATGTTTTCGGCGATCGTGCCGACAAACAAGACGGGCTCTTGGCCGACGAGACCGATCTGGTTGCGCAGCCACGGGAGGTTGAGCGTCGCGAGTTCGCGGCCGTCGAGCGTGATGGAGCCGGCTTGTTGCTGGTAAAAGCGCTCGAGGAGCGCCACGACCGTGCTCTTGCCGCCGCCACTGGGACCGCAAAAGGCGACCGTCTGACCCGGCTCGATCGTAAGGTCGTAGTGCTTGAGCACCTTAATGTTGGGCCGGGTCGGGTAGTGGAAGTGGACGTCCTTGAAGACAATCCGGCCTTCGACCGAGTTGGGCGTGATACCTTCGTCGACCTTGGACGAGTCGATGATGGGCTGGCGCTCGACGATCGCAAAAATCTCCTTGGCCGCCTTCTTGGCCGAGTCGGTGTCGCCCATCCAGCCGGCGGTTTGGCCCATGCCTTGAGCGGCCATCATGACGGCCATGAGCGTCCGGATCATCTCTTCAAAAGTGATCGCGCCGTCTTGGATGAGCTTGTTGCCGTACCAAAACACGAGCGCGTAGACGGCAAACATCGAAAAGGTCGAGAAGCCGTTCATGATGCCGTTGATGTGCGACTCGCGGACGCCTTCCTTCATCGGCTGCTCGAGCATCTCGTCGTACTTGGCGACGAGGGTCTCTTGGAGCCCGAGCGCGGTCACCGTCCGGGCGTTGACAATGGCCTCGGTGGCCACCGAGCCCGAGAGCGTGAGGCTGTCGCTGACCTTCTGGCCCTTCATCTGCTGGCTGCGGAACATGGTCGCGATGACCATGAGCGGCAGCACGCAGAGCATGACGAGCGTGAGCTGCCAGCTGCCAAGGCCAAACGAGATGATCATGGCGGCAATGAAGGTAAAGACCGTCTGGACGATGCGCGATTGGTTCTCGCCGGCGATCGCGACGACCTTGGTCGCGTGCGTCGAGAGGTCCGTCGTCAAGGCGCCGGTCGTATGACCGTCCATGTCGAAAAAGCCAATGTCCTGCCGCATGAGCGCTTGGAAATGCATGTTGCGAAGGCGCGTCGTGAGCTTCTCGCCAATGTAGCGGAACGTGTACGTCTGGACGTAGGAGACGAAAAAGATGGCGATCGCAATGCCAATGAAGATGACGGCTTGGTCGCGGACGTCGCTGTAGAGCGTGTCGAGGTACTCGGGCTTCTTGGTCTCCGTGTACAGCTTGTAGTTCTTCTGCATCGTCGACATGACGTTCGAAATGATGAGCGCCACGCCGGGCATCGAGAAGCCTTGGATGCAGCACGCGAGGAAGCCGACGATGAGGTACTTGCGCTGCGGCTTGGTGAGCTCCATGATCTGGCGGAACGACACCTCCTTCATCTCCGACTCGACCGACGCCGACGGCAGCGCGTCAAAGTTGATGTGGTGGTGCGACACGCTGCTGTACTTGCGAATGAGCTCGGCCTTCTCGACATCAGCCACTTCCAGCGCCAGCGAGACGCGGTCCGCGTGCGACGGCGAGTCCGTGTCCGACGAGTCGGTCGACGCCGTGCCGTCTTGGAGCTCTACCAAGGTCCGGTACAGCCCGTCGTCCATCTCCATCAGCGTCGCATGCGTGCCCTCTTCGACCACGAGGCCCTTGGACAAGACGATGATCTTGTCTGCCTTGCGGATCGTCGAGAGCCGATGCGCAATCACGATCGTCGTCATGTTGGTCTTCTCCATGAGGTCGTTGAGCGCCGCCTGCACGACGCGCTCGCTCTCGTTGTCGAGCGCCGACGTGGCTTCGTCGAGGATGAGGATCTTGGGTTGGCGCACGAGCGCTCGGGCGATCGCGACGCGCTGCTTCTGGCCGCCCGACAACGTCGTGCCCTTCTCGCCGCACATGGTGTCATACTGGCTCGGCAGACTCATGATAAAGTCGTGGGCGTTGGCGAGCTTCGCGGCCGCGATCACCTCGTCCTTGGAGATGTTGTCGCCGCCGGCCGCAATGTTTTCAAGGATCGTCGTCGCAAAGAGGACGGGCTCCTGGGACACAAGACCGATCTGCGACCGAAGCCACTTGAGCTGGAGCGACGAGATGTCGCGGCCGTCGAGGAGGATCTGGCCGCTCGTGGGTTCGTAGAAGCGCTCGAGGAGGGCGACGAGCGTGCTCTTGCCCGAGCCAGACGACCCGACGAGCGCGACCGTCTGGCCTTGCTCGATCGTGAGCGAGTAGCCGCGCAAGACAATGTCGTCCGGGCGCGTTGGGTACGAAAACACCAGATCGCGGGCTTCGACCGTCCCAAAGCACGTGTCGGGCACGACGCCGTCCGTGTTGGCCGCGTCAATTTTGGACGGACGCGCGAGGATCTTGAAGAGCTCTGCCGCTGCACCCTTGGCGGAAGCGACCGCCGAGATGTTGGGCGAGATCTGCGCGAGCGACATGGTGCCCATGAGGATACCGTAAAAGGCCGAGAAGACGTCGCCGGGCGTGTTGACCGTGCCCGACTGGTCCTTGACGAGGTACCCGCCGTACCAGAGGCCGATCGCGTACGTGAGCCACATGCTCATAAAGAACCAGCCGATCGAGAACGAGACAAACTTGGCGAGGTTGAGCGTCTCGACTTCGGCGTTCTGGACGTTCTCGCCGTACTTCTTGACGGCCCGCGGCTCGCCGTTGAGTGACGCGACCGTGCGCATGGCGCCAATGGTTTCTTCGGCGACAGCACCGGCGGCCGCGTAGACTTGCTGACTCCGGGCCGTGGATTCGCGGAGGCGCTTGATGAGCCACGTGAGCGAGACCGCGCACATGGGCATGACCGCGCACATGGCGAGCGAGAGGTTCCAGCCCTTGTAAAAACCGATCGCGTAGCCGACGATGAACTGGAAGATGAAGCGAAAGGCCTCGCCGAGCTTCTCGCCCATGCCTTCCTTGATCTTGACGGTATCGCCCGAGATGCGCGAGGCGAGTTCGCTCGCGTCGCGCTGGTCGTACCACGCCATGTCTTGGTACATGATGTGCTTGAGCACCTCGCGGCGAAGCGACCGCATTTGGCGCTCGGCCGAGATCGCAAAGCACGCGTACGAGCCGTAGCCCGAGAGCAGCAGCACGAACGCAAGGATGAGAAAGTTGAGCGCCGTGTCGTTGACCGCCGACTGGTTGTTGGTCGAAAAGTCGTTGAGCGCATCGCCAAAGAGGATCGCCATAAACGGGAACGTGCCGCCGTTGACGATCGACATGAGAAGGCCGACGCCGATCAAGGCCGCGTCCGACCCGTTGCCGTACCGGTACAGCGAGAGGAACGAGAACTTTTGCTCCGGCTCGGCCGGCGTCGCGACGTCAACCTTGGCGTCACCCTTGGGCGTAGCCACGAGGTCGTATTTGGTGGTGCCACCGTCGGTCTCGTGGTGGTCGGCCATGTTCTGGAGGTGGCAAATGTGAGAATGATCGGTCCGTTTGTTCAGAGGTTGGAGCTGTTGGAGGTTGGAGGATCGGGTGCCCTCGGAAAGCGGGTCGGTTTGCAGATGGCGCAGCTTTTTCTTCGCCGTCTCTGGCCCTTGATTGGCTCTCACGTTGTGATTATCGCCACGCTGGGCCGTGTGATAGCGTGGGACGTCGATCCATCCGATTTGACAGGTTCTTGTGGCCCAGTTTGCCCTTTCTACGAGCGTCAGGCCCGCTTATATGCATTCAAAGAGGTTCTCGACGCTGCGTTACAGCGAATGCGAAGTCAAAAGCGAAGTTTATGGCCACACAAGACCGCAATAATCGCACGCAGTCGCGAGCCAATCGAACGCGATGCCGACGTCAGTGCTGCACCGTTCTGCCAACATGCCAGACCGCTTGTCGTGCAGCGACGACGACTCGGAGAGGAGGAGATTCATCATCTCTCGCGTCCTGAATAGCGCCAGGATGCCAGCGTCGTTATCGAGGCCGTCGACCTATGCAGCGACCACGTGAGCGACGCGGCTGTCGCCATTTCTAATGTCGTAATCGTTGAAGCCGTGCTCGGATTTGAAGTTTGGTGCAAACCAGCTCGGAATGCAGGTCGGTCATTGAGAATGAAAGTCAACGAGTTCGTTCGTGGTCCCTCACCATCGGTGCAGCTTGCGCATCGGGAAGCTGCAGTCATCACGTGAGTCCAAGCAATCGACACGACCAGTTCGCCACGAGTGACGACCCGTTGTACGAACGGTACGCGTCATATTCGTACCACGATGGTCCATATTTGGAAGTCCTGCGACTCTCCCACACGTGACGTGGGCAACGATCGTGAGAAGGAAATGCGCGCAAGCCAAGGTTTGGCAATACCACAAACGTTAGTAGCACCAAGGACATATCCTTGGTGGCACGTAGTCGATCCTGTAATGAACTAGTACTTGGTAGATAGGTCCATGCGCGGCAATACTAGAGGAAAGGCGATGGCAAGGACTGTTACCTAGAAGGCTCAAGTGGCCTGTCTGCCGAGGCGTCGTCCTGATAGTATACGACGAGAAAGAGAGTCACTACATCCCGCGTGCGACGTCGAGGGGTTCAAGACTGTACAGGTGTGGTGAGAGAACAAGTCGCTGCAAACTCAACAGTGTCTTCTTTCCCCATTGATTCTTCCAGCCCCGTTCCCTTGGCTGTGGGTTCGCTCGACAGTAGATATATAGGGATAGTGGCATGGGATAGTGGGAATCGTGTACCTCCAGAAAGTCGAACGATATTTCTGCCAGCCTGTCGGTATCGGCGTTTGTTGTCGTCTCCTCGAGCAAATGAAAAACTTTCCGAGAATAAGTACAGTAGTGACCGAGTAGTGACCAATGGCCCAGAGGTCGTCGTGCACACCGGGGACCTCATTCAAGCTTGCTGCAAGCTCACTACCAACACCGTCGTCGAACTTGCATGTCAGCAAACACGTAACGGATTCGCGCCCTTTCGTCTAGAGTCTTGAGATGAGGCGCACCTCTGTAGGCCAACCATGAAGGCTAAGAACTCGTCCTTCCAATTCGGCAGATACTCGAGCAAAAGCTCATTGCTCAGCAGCCTATAGAACCAGTGAGTACCATCGAGGCGCGCAAAGTCCGGTGGTGGCTCCGTGTTCTGGAAGGTCGTCACCGTGCGAGGAGCCCTGTACGTGGCTTTTTATTAAGTCACGCGTGGTGCGGATCTGCGTCAAAGCTGCGTTTGGAGCTCCCGGGTTCGGCGTCTGCTCGTATCATACAGCGTACAGCGGTGGCAGCGTGCACAATCTCGTTGTCACCGTGGCGAACCCAGTGACTCCTACCATCATCACCAACAAAACGTTAGCCGACTGCACGTCTTGTCCATATTGGGGTACCTTTACATGTGGATAGCCTTGCCATGATCTGGTTGCATCGTGTGTTTGAAGTTGAAAGCGGCATTGAGGGCTTTGTAAGGCTCCACGTCGGCTCTGATTTTGCGACTTTCATTTGCCACAAACCAGAATGAGGGATGCACTGTACTAGCGAGTACAATCCCAGCTCCTGTGCGTTGTCTACTGTCCACGAGCCACGTTTCGATGCCCTGTCGAGCCTTGAAGGCCGCCATGGAGATACTCTTGACCTTACGTGTCGTCAATCCTAAGCCTGCGTATGGAACCCAACCACAAGTGTTGACCTTCGCTTGACAACATTTTGACGCGATGCACCTCCGTTCTAACACCCCGTGCGAATTTCGTGTCCTTAGTGAGGCTCCCTCGTGCGGCGCATTTCAGAAGCGACCCAATCGTTGCAGCATGCAAGAGCCGAAACCGTGCTGATGGCAGCCGCAGCTCCGGTCAACGTAGTCGACAGCTTTTTGGCTAGTATACACCCATAATTTTGAACGTCCCAGATTCAGAGTCAAATAGCGAGACCATGCCTAGTCCGCGCCTCCGTGGTGCCATTTCTTCACCTACTGATACGGTACTGCCCGCGATGTTCACGTCACCCAACGACGACGATGAGTCCAAGGGAGACCGGTAGTAATCCTATGGTCCTCAATAATTTGACGTTGCCTTCACAGTGCCACCCACCAAGCCATCTGAGTCAGGGTAAGCAATCGTCATCGCCATGATCCTGTTACACCCGAGCTGCTATCGAAATCTCTCGCAATGTGCAGTCTTCTGGGCTTTTTGCCGTGTCCCTGCACGTCGCCAGACAAGTCTCGACACACTCCCGCACTACAAATACTGTAGTATATCCAGTATGACGCTACCGAGCCATGCAGTAGAGCATACGTAACCTCGGAGCAAACGTGGGTTCCATGTCTCCAAAGGGCCGCGATGACCTCGCTTGGTGGTGGCGCGAAACCATAATTGCGATCTTCGAGAACCACATTCCTTACCTGCCACAACCTATACCGTACATGTCCCGCCAGACACAATCTCAAAATTGCTGTCTAAATACCCTGTCAGAATGAATACACTGGCACCATAGCCAATGACTACTTGACCTCGCCGCGTAATCATATGATTTCCGCCAATCCGCGACGATGTCGAAGCCGCGCTCGAAGATCGTTATAGCCCGGGCACCTGGATACGCGGCGGCGCGCGCGTTTGCTGCCCACGCGACGACGCTCGATGTAGTAGCTTCTAAAGCAATGTCCTCTCTGGAATTGCCTCATTTCTCAACTCTCCTCGATGGCGCCGCCCGATAAAGGGGCCAAAGACGACTATGTCGTTGTGCAGACGCCGCGGGGGCCATCGACCGATGACGCACCAGCCCCATCGTCGACCAAATTCTCGTTCATGTCGCTCTACCGGTATGCTACACCGAGCGACTGGGTCCTCATGGGCGTGGGTCTGCTCATGTCTGTCGTGAGCGGCGGCGCGCTGCCCTTCATGGCCATCCTCTTTGGCGATGCGCTCAACAACTTTACGCCGTTCAACCAGTCGGCCATCAATGAGACGTGCCTCAACTACCTCATTCTCGCCATCGTGCTCCTCATCTCTGGCTATGGCTCGTTTACATGCTTTGCGATCTCGGCCGAGCGCCAAATGCGGTCGCTCCGCCGCGAGGTGCTCAAGCACATTGTCTACCAAGAGATCGGTTGGTACGACCAGCGCGACGCGAGCGAGCTTGCCTCGCGCATCTCGGGCGATACCGTCAAGATCAAGGAAGGTATGGGCGAGAAGCTCGGCGAGGCCCTCCGCGCTGTCTTCCAGTTCATCGTCGGCTATGCGATCGGCTTTTACAAGGGCTGGAACATCTCGCTCGCCATGTGTGCGGTCATGCCCATGATGGCCATCTCGCTCACATGGCTCATCAAGCGCCTCCAAGAGTCGACGACGCGGAGCCAGCAGGTCTATGCGGCCGCCGGTGCTGTCGCCGAAGAGACCATTGGCGCCATGCGCACGGTCGCGTCGCTCAACGGCGAGCCGCGGGCCAAGGCGCGCTACGGCGACAACGTGGCCAAGGCCGAAGCCGAGAACATGCAGCTCGCCAAGTTTGTCTCGATCGCGCTCGGCTGGTTCATCATGAGCATGTGGCTCACGTACGCGATCGGCCTCTGGTACGGCGGCTTCCTCGTCTCCAAGCAAGACGGTGCCGTCAACACGCCCGGCGATGTCTTCTCGGCCTTTTACGGTATCCTTATGGGCACGATGGCGCTTGCGCAGATCTCGCCCAACATCTCAGCGGTCGCGTCGGCGAAAGGCGCGGCCTTTACGCTCTACGAGATCCTGGACCGGCCGTCGCTCATCGATGCGTCCAAGCTCCAAGGCGTGGTGCCCGAGACGTGCTTTGGCAAGGTCGAAGTCAAGGACGTTGTCTTCTCGTACCCGACACGTATGGAGGAGACGATTCTGCGCGGCTACTCGCTCACGATCGAGCAAGGCCAGACGGTCGCGCTCGTCGGGTCGTCTGGCTCGGGCAAGAGCACGCTCGTCGCCCTCCTCGAGCGCTTCTACGAACCCACGAGCGGCCAGATCCTCCTCGACGGCCGCGACATCTCGTCGCTCCAGCTCAAGTGGCTTCGGTCGCAGATCGGTCTTGTGTCCCAGGAGCCCGTCCTCTTTGCGACGACGATCCTTGAAAACATTGCGGCCGGCGGCGACAACATCTCCAAGGACGAGGTGATCGCGGCCGCGAAGCTCGCCAACGCCCACGACTTTATCATGAGTCTGCCGAGCCAGTACGACACCATGTGCGGCGAGAAGGGCACGACGTTGTCGGGCGGCCAGAAGCAGCGCGTCGCGATCGCCCGAGCGCTCGTGCGCCAACCCAAGATCCTCATCCTCGACGAAGCCACGTCGGCGCTCGACAACGAGAGCGAGCGCGTCGTGCAGGCGGCGCTCAACGACCTCATGGAGAAGACCAACATGACGACGATCGTGATTGCGCATCGGCTCTCGACGATCCGCAAGGCAGACAAGATCATCGTCTTGTCCAAGGGCCTCGTGGTCGAAGAAGGCACGCATGCGACGCTGATGGAGATGGACGACGGGCTGTACCGGACCTTGGTAGAGCTCCAAGACGGCACGGCGTCGACCGACTCGTCGGACACGGACTCGCCGTCGCACGCGGACCGCGTCTCGCTGGCGCTGGAAGTGGCTGATGTCGAGAAGGCCGAGCTCATTCGCAAGTACAGCAGCGTGTCGCACCAGTCGATCAACTTTGACGCACTACCAGAGGCGACCCCTGCTCCGGACGTGAGCTTTCGCCGCATCATGGGCCTTACGACGCCGCAGCGCAAGTACCTCGTCCTCGGCCTTGCCGCCTGCATCGTCAACGGCTTCTCGATGCCTGGTGTCTCGCTCATCATCGCCAACGTCATGTCGTCGATGCAAAAGTACTTTACCTTGTACCTCGAGACCAAGAAGCCCGAGTACCTCGACACGCTCTACAGCGACGTCCGCGACCAAGCCGTCATCTTCCTCGGGATTGCGATCGCCATGTTCGTCGTCATGTTTATCCAGACGTACACGTTCCGCGTCGTTGCCGAGAAGCTCACGACCCGGCTTCGCAACATGCACTTTGGAGCGCTCGTGCGGCAGGACATTGGGTTCTTCGACATGGACGGCCACACGACCGGTGCCTTGACGACCGACCTCTCGACGTACGCGACCAAGGTCGTCTTGATCGCGGGCGAGAGCCAAGCGCGGATTCTTCAGTCGGCGTTCACGCTCGTCGCCGCCATGGTGATTGCGTTCGGCATGGGCAGCTGGCAGCTCACGCTCGTCATGCTGTGCGTCTTTCCGCTCATGATGCTCGGGACGATTGCGCGCCACCGACAGATGAAGGGCGAGAAGGTCAGCGACAGCCTCACGTTCTCCGGGTCGCTCGCGACCGAAGCCATTGTCAACGCCCGGACAGTGACTGCGCTCGGGCTCCAAGATGACCTCATCAAGAAGTACGACGTGCTGCTTCAGGCGCCGCTCAAGGACGGCACGTACAAGGCCCACGTCGACGGGCTCATGAACGGCTTCTCGTCGTTTTCCATGTTTGCAGTCTACGCGCTCGTGTTTTGGTACGGCGCCAAGCTCATCCACGATGGCACGATCAGCTACCAAGAGATGATGCGCACGATGATGGCCGTCATGATGGCCGCCCAAGGCATGGGCCAAACCGCCGGCTTCCTCAGCGACACCGACTCGGCACAGAAGGCCGCGCGAGAGATTTTTGCGATCGTCGAGCGCCAGCCCATCATCGACTCGTCCAAGGTCGACGAAGGCGTCGTGCCCAACTCGATCGAAGGCCGGATTGTCTTCAAGGACGTTGCGTTCAGCTACCCGACGCGCCCCCACATCAAGGTGCTCAAGCACTACGACCTCACGATCGAGCCGGGTCAGACGGTCGCCTTTTGCGGTCCCAGTGGCGGCGGCAAGAGCACGGTCGTGGCGCTCCTCGAGCGCTTTTACCAGCAACAAGCCGGCTCCATCACGCTCGACGGCCGCGAACTCGCGACGCTCAACCTCCCGTGGCTGCGCAACCAGATCGGACTCGTCGGCCAAGAGCCCGTCTTGTTTGTCGGCACGATCGCCGAAAACATCGCCGGCGGCCTCGCCAACGCCGACAACGTCCCGGACCTCCAAGCACGCGTCGAAGCGGCCGCCAAGATGGCGAACGCCCACAACTTCATCTCGCAGTTTCCCGACGGGTACGAGACGCAAGTGGGCTTGAAGGGCGAGCAGCTCTCGGGCGGCCAGAAGCAGCGCATTGCGATCGCGCGTGCGATCATGAAGAACCCGTCGATTTTGCTCTTGGACGAAGCCACGTCGGCGCTCGACTCGGAGAGCGAGAAGGTCGTCCAAGAAGCGTTGGACAAGCTGCTGGCGGCGAAGGGCCGAACGACGATCGTGATCGCGCACCGCCTCTCGACGATCCGGAACGCCGACAAGATCTGCGTCGTGAGCGGCGGGCGCATCGCCGAGCAAGGCACGCACGACGAGCTCATGCGCCTCAACGGCATCTACACGCACCTCGCGTCGCACAACCAGATTTAAGTTGCACTTGGTCGTCGCTTTATCAACTAATACATTGTCGTGTCGTACATTGCATTGGGTTTCGCAATGACGTGTGTAGATAGATACTTGGTCAGTCAGAGCTGAGAGAGTTTCTTGCAGCGATGAGGTGGCAGTCCACCGAGTTGGCACCGTTTCATGGACAGCCGATACAACGCGTTTGCAACATGTGTTGCAAGGGTATAAACACTGAAGACCCATCTATTTATCAATTCGGGTTGTTGGAGTATTGGGCCCATAGCATGCCAGGCGGACGATAGATGCTCTATCAGTCATGTTAGAGAGTGGTTCTGCTCCGATGACGTGGCAGTCCACCGAGTAGGCTCCGTTTCAAAAGAAATCGCCAGGCTTGGGTGGCAGGCATTATCTCGATGTGACAACGGCTGCGGGCCTTGATTTTACATGGCTTGGTCGCTCAATGAAAGAAGGGTACATGCATTATCGCTGCACCTCGGGTGAGGCGTGGCGGGTTGCTGGGCAGAGATCGAACACTAGAATGCTAGGCTCTGCCGACCAGTCGTTGGTTTCGCTGCGCCGCCTCTTCCTAAAAAGTCCGTTTTGACTCTTTTGTGGTGCGAAACACCCGAACCGCCAAGAGCAACATGCGTGTTCATCCTGCGGGGCGTTTACCATCGACTCGGCACTCCTGCGTGCTTCATATTGTGGCCAGTCTTTGGCTCGGAGCAAGCGTGGTGCTCAGCTTTCACTACCTCGGCGTTCTCCGGCCGTGGCTCGCCAACGACCTTCTCTGGCTCGACTACAATACAACGGGCTATCAGGCGTTCGTGGTTGATGTGCTCAACTACGTGCTTGAGACCGCACCGGACGCGTCCACTGTCGATATTGGTGCAGTGGTCATAGAAGCATCGTACGACAGTCAAGTGATGACATCCATTGGCCACCCAACGTACGCAATGTCCCTCTTGACGGCCAAGCTCACGGGATTGGACTACGCGATCGCGAGCCTTCGCAACACTACGGTTGATAAGCTGCTCTCTCTCTCTCAACGCAGTACTGCTGGGTCGACTTTGCCCGAGTCTTTGAGATGGCCCACACGGCAAAGCGTCAAAGGCGATGCAACACCCGGTATGCAGCCAATGGTGCCGTGTATCTCGACGCCATCCTGCGCAACACGGACTGGGGCGCCTTCCTCAACGTGTTTGATGGCCCCAAGAGTCATTTGCGGATGGCTTTGCTCCAAGACCTCGAAGCATCAGCCGCGGGGAATCGCTGGCTAAAGACTCTCGCGTCGGTGGCCACGACAGTATCCGAAGAAGCCGTCTTGTGGCAGTCGCACAATATCACAAACTTCCGCTACCAGTGGCAAAATCGTCATCTCCCGGGCTTGGTCGAAACGGCGACGCTGGTCACCGCGTTTGGGCTCACCGAGTCCGTACCGCTCAAGAACGTTGCGTACAGCGAGGGCCCGGGAACGTCGAGTGTCTTCAGCAGTCTGCTTTCTTTCGACGTCCAGTACGCTGGCCATTGCAACATGAGCCTTCTCCGCCGCTCGTTTGCGTATACGAAGAATGAATCGTGTGTTACGGTCGAGAGGTATGCGTCGACGCAACCTCCTACGCTGCAACGGGCCTTGCTCGAGTATGTTCTTAGTCCGTTCCTCGCGATCGATCTCTACGTCGTAGCGCCACCCCGCGCTCTTGTCTCGCTAGCGACGGCGCTGTCGGCAACCATCGTTGGCACGCTCAACGACTCGACCGCCAAGGCGTACAGCGCGATCACCCCCCTCTTGATTGAGGCAACACCGCTGAAGTGGAAGGCCAAGGATGGTCTCTATTCTCTGGGTGGAAACCCGTTCTGTCGCGATGGAGGGATACCAACCACGTTTGTGCAGTCATCGTTTCGCACGACGGATACTTGCCTCGAGCCCAGCAGTCCGACTATGATTCTAGAGCAACGGCAACTGCTCATGGCGCTAGCCCTTGTCAACGACTCGATCGACAGCATTTGTGCGTTGACTTCCGACGGGTCAGAGTGGTGCCGCATGTCGCTCCAAGAAGCGACCACGCTCAATCCACAGTCACATGTCGACCAGCGCCAACTGCTAGCTGCAATGACCGCACTTTCGAGCCTCAATGTGAGCCTTGTTCAGTTTGCCGCCAATATCCTCTACCCTTCAACGATGTTGCTGGTCCAGCCTCTTTTGGAGCCACCATTCGCTTTTTATGGCTGGGCTATGCTCTTCGACTGGGTTGCTGGTGTCCGTGAGGTCGTGTCGTTTGAAGGCGACACTGGAACGCTTGTTTTGATCTCGGAGGCGTACAATATGGTACCGATAAACTCGCTCGCGGCCAGCTCCTTGAGCCGCGCTTCAACGGGCCTGTACTACCTCTTGGTGTATGTGACACTGGTCAAGAGCGGATTGGCTCTTGGTTGCACACTGTTTGCTATCGCGCACCGACAGCATGCGCCCGCGATGAACATCGCCTTCTTCTGGCGTGTCGCTGCGTCGACGTGGTTGGGCCGCCCTCTGCTTTTTTTGCGAGGGCTGTCTGCGATCGTACTGCTGAGCTCTGCGCCAATTCGCGTCGCTCGCTCGCACAACGTGTACACGCAGCTTGCACGAGACCAGAGGTCGCTGATAGAGACATGTGCCTTGTCGTGGGAGGCCACCTATGTTGGCTATGTCTTCCACGAACTTTTCTTGCCGCTGACACACCGTGGGGCTCCCGCGACTGCGATCTTGAGCACAAGTTTGCTGGCCGTTGTGTGCATACTTCTCGACATATTGTGGCCCGTCTCTATTTCTGCCTCGATTGAACGCGTCTGCGCCCCACATGACGCTACAGGCGTCGACATTAGCTGCGTCAGTGCCACTGTCGCCATCGGAAGCGGTCATCGCCTCTTGCTCTTGGTGGTCCTTGCCTGCAGCATTGTTCTGCTCTTGGTCGTTTTCTGCAGTTGGATAAAATCCACCGTGCCGACGCCGCAATTATCGCTGCTTGTACCTGGTCCAGGCCTTGCCTTCTTCGATCAACGCCATAAAGTACTTTCCGGCGGCGCGGAAGGCATTTGCATGGGTCTCATCCATTGGCGCCACGGGGTCATCTTTGATGTCAAGCTGTGGACTTTTGTTCGACCAACTCTCGACTCGCTGTCGCCGGTCTTGCCTCTCCATGGCCCATCTGTTGGTGCCCCAGAGTCCAAGTCCCGGGACCGTTTCCGTGATAGTATTTATCGGTCGAAATGGAAGGTGTCTCTATGGCTTCTCGCTGGCGCATGTTACGTCAGTCTAGACATTAGCAGCAGTATTTCGTACCTCGATATTGTGGAGACGACGCTCCAGAATGATCTCGTTTGGCCCCGCTTTAGCATGACGGGGTCGCATGTCTTGTTGGCCAACTGGTTCAACGAGCAGTCGCATCTGAATAGCACGGAGACCACTCTTGATCGCATCAATCGCCTTGGTGTGTTCGATCCCACGCACGCAGTCGTCATCTCGCCAATACAGCATAGTGCCAAAGTCCAGTACTCGTCCTTGACTGCTCTTCACGAGGCCATCTATGGATTGCGCAACGTCAGCAGCTTTGAAGGTCCATCCGTCTTCACCCAGTATTGCTACCTCGACTTTGACAATAATTGGGAAATGGCCAACTCGATCCGGCGGCAAACGCGGTGCCAATCGATGGTGCACAACGGTGCAGTCTACCTCGCGTCGCTCTTGCGCAACGTCAATATCACTGCGTCGTGGGCCGGTGAATTTGAGAATGCATTTGCCTCCGACCTGCGGCAATCGGTCGCAGGCCAAGCCTTTCTCATGACCATTTACCCGCCGTACCTCCCGATAGACGACGAGGTCGCGTATTGGTTGTCCAAGAACATCACCTCGTACGTGCTCCAGTGGCAAAATTACAAGTCGATCGGATTCACCAGCGCGTATGCGATTGTGAATGCATATGGCGCGGCGCATACCTTTGAGCTCGAGTCCACGGCCAGCTTTCTTCAATGGGGACGTGAGACATCGTCGAAGATGTACTGGTCTTTGTTCAGTGAATTTTGGAACCGACAGTCCAACTCTACTTACTTGAGCCGGCAGAGTCTCCTACGCGCCAGTAGTCGCTTTGCCTATCAAAACATTTCACTTCAATGGCACATGCTCGCTTTGAGTTACCTGCCGTCCCGGCCGTGGAGCCAAACCTACAGCCTCGTAAGTTCGCACCTTGGTCCATTTGGGTCCATCGATATGATCTTCGTCCCGCCGCCCCCCGTGCTGCGTCGAGCGGTCGCTGCCTTTGAGCGCGTCATGACAGACGCCCGACAAGCGCACACGACGGCCTACTTGGACATCCCGGCAACGCACGTCGTGCAGCCTGCGCCACGAAAGTGGAAGCACGTGCTCTGGGCTGTGAGTGGCTCGCTATTGTGCCCCGACCAGCCCGCCATCGACCTCGTTCACCTCGAAACACTCACAGGTGCCGATCGCTACGACGCCACGTGTACGGAGAGTCGCCAACGTGTCGGTCTTGTGCCATCCCGCAACCAATATTTGTTTGCAACGCACTTGGCCGATCTCGCGCCATCAACTACCAACATCGATGTGCTCTGTACACTCGATAGCAGCCCAGTGACGTGCATGGATGGAGTTCAGAAAAGCCTCGCGTTTCTTTCTCTATTACCGGCGCTGCCAGACGAGCGTCCTACTTTGTACACTGCCATCGATGAGCTCTGCATCGAATGGATTCAGTTTGGACAAGTCAGCGAGACGGCACTCGTGGACCTGCACCATACGCGTCTGCTGGACCCGTCAGATGCGAGCTTCGACTACTTTGCTTGGCTCTTCTTCTACGATTGGGTGTATGGGCGCCGGGAAGTCATTTCTTTCCAAGGCGACCTTGGCTCGTTAACTGTCATGGGCGACACGCTGCCCAACCGGAGTGACGCCGTGGATGCCTCGCAGCTGCCTACGGTCTTTGCTCTCTACGCACGGCGCGCGGTACAGTACGTCACAAGCTCAATCTTGGCGCTCGCGATGCTCTCCCTTGTCTACTTGATGTTGGTTCAAGGCGCGATTGAAGGACGCAACCTTCTCAAGCTCAGTCGCGTCGGCGGCTTTGTCTGGGTCGGTCGGCCGCTCATTGGTCTTCGCAGCATCACTGCCCTCGGCCTTCTCTCGACAGCCTCGGTCGAGTTCGTGACGGACGGGCAACTGAGCTATTTTGCCCCGCGACCGATACCCTGGTACACGACCTGCCTCGCCGCCAACGAAGTCACGTGGCTGGTCAATATCGTCAGCGATTTGGTGCTTCCGTGGACGCAGTGGCGAACACCCAAGTTTGCTCTCGCTCATAGTCTGGTCGTGTGGCTCATTTCGGCGCTGCTGGCCACGCTAGCCCCGGTGCAAGCAACGATTTCGGCGGATCCGACGTGTTCGTTTGTCACGCTCGACCGCCAAGTACAGTGTGTGATGGGCACCGTCCACATCGGCTCCGTGTCGCGGCTATTGCTACTGATTGGAGTCGTCGTTGGCTGCAACGGTGTCTGCTACGGCGTCGCTCGCCGGCTCTTTCCGCGCGATACTGGCGTGCGGTCGTCCTCACTCCTGCTCTGCAGTGGTGCCACGTATCTCTTCAAACACAACGACTGGATCCAAGACGACGTGTACTACATGGACCGTGCCTCGGCCGCACTGAACGGCCTCCTGAGTGTGCAGTGGCGCAGCGATAGCTTCTATGTGCTCGACGTCAAGATGTGGCGATTGCATCGCCTAGCACACGCCAAGATGACCCTCGTGAAGGACGCTCGCCTGCGTCGCGCGTTGCCCTTGCAAGCGACGATGCATCCATAAATTCGCCATAATGGCACATGCGTCTCTTGATCGTATTGTACACTGAACGAGCCAATCAAGTCTTAGTACTTGGTCTTTGTACTCTACGTATACTTAAATGGATAAGACGGTCGATCATCCCAGCGCTCCTTAACGAAGACGGCAGCGTCCATGACGGCGCGGCCGGCGCCGACAGCTCGGCCAAGTTTGTCAACGAGCTCGTGTGGTATGCCAAGACCCTCAAGGCCGCCCGCGCCGCCGGCGCGCCTCAATGCTCTCCATCATCACGATCACCATTATGTGTCAAGATGATGCTCGCGAACCCCGGACACAATCAATAAAGCGCATCTCGGTACCCCGGTCTATATGAACGTTTTCGCGTTATCTTCGTTGTTACAAGGAGTTCGCATACGTAATTCTGCGTTTTTCCAGCCGTTCCGCAAGCAAAACCAACCGACAAGTGGCCGCATCCTCCGAGGCGCGGCCGTCGGTCATCCAGGCCGCGGCAGAAGGAGGCCTCGTCAGTCGACGCCTTTGCCTGCTGAGAGCCGCGCCATCAGACCAAGCGACGCTGAGCGATGAGGAACTCATCGCCACGCTGTACAAGACGACATATCCGAGGAAGACGACGACATGCTCCAGCCAGACAATAACAAAAACAACGGTCAGGGGGACCACAACCAACATCAGATCCAACACAGAACCAACATGAGCACCGAGCACAGAGCAAAGAGCACAGAGCACAGAGCAACAAATCAGCCAGCCGCCGCCGCCGCCGCCACCGCCAACGCCATCAGCCATCAACCTTCAGCATCAAGATCCATATCATCCAACCCCGCAAAACCAAGACATCGACCCAAACAAAGAATTCAAATCCAACGCGCCACGCCGCCAAAACGAAAACAAATGCATCCAGTCAACCGCCCAGCTCCACGCATCCAGAACTAAAACAAGTCAACAGCCCAGACGCCAAAACGAAACACTTTCATGTACGACGACCGACCAAGACGCCAAAACAAAACAACTCGACCAGTGTCGCCACCACGAGCATTCAACCTTCATCAACATCAGACCACCCGACATTTCGCGTCGGTCGCCAAGCCAACGACTTCCATTAGCCCGCGAGTTCTTGTGAGCACCCCCTGTGTACCTTCGGGTGCTGCAGCTCCAGGTCGGCCCACGGTCGCATCCAAGTGGAACTCCGCAACACGGGTCTGGCTCACGACCGCGGACGCTGCTGGTCGATCAAGTAGCTTGACGATGGACCACATAGAAAAAGAAAAACCATAGTGGTAATCCCGGTAATACACCGCCTGACAAAAGGAGTTCGCATACGTAGAGTCTAGCAATCTCCTTCTTCTTCATTCGCTCGCCGGGCCGTGGCTGCGCAGGCGGCGGCGCGGGGCTCGTCTTGCTCTTCTGCAGTCGTCCGGAGGCGCTTGCGGCCGCGGATGAGACCCATGACGACACGCTGTGTAAAGGCCTTCCAGGCGTTGGTGGCAAAGCTACGCAGCTTGTTGAGGTCCTCGAGAGACGCCAGCGACCGAATACCCTGGTCTAGGTATACGTAACGTTGTGAAAGCAGCGCGGCACGGGTGGGACTCACGCAGACATCTGCAAAGATCACGCAGCACCGATGCACAGCATTCCTCACCTACGGCGCATGCATTCCGTTTCGTGGTCGTGGTCGTGGTGGTCGTGATGGCAAAACCACCAACGCTCTGGTCGTCGGCCCAACGACGTTTGTCGCACCATCTGATCGTGTTTGTGGACGGGTCGCTCGCTAATCGTTGAGGACGACCCAATCTGCGCTGCGGCAGTCCCTGTACTTTGTGGTAAAGTCGCCGGAAAACGCGCCTTCGTGAGCGCCAACAAGTCCCTTCTAGGTACTTGCTGTACTGACATAAAGTATCAATGCAAGCAAGGGTATTCAACCATGGGCGAACCGCCGTGGCTACTTGGACGACCGTTGGCATCCCATGGCGTCTAGAAAGGGCCTCCGCCCTGATCGTTGCAGGCGCATGCGGTCCATAAACTTCGGATTACGTACTTCGAGGCATTCTACCTTCCAGAACACATATATTGGAAGGATACGATGAGGCATTTTTCCTATTCCAAAGACCTCTAGGAAAAAATATATTGACCGTTTCATGCCAAACGTAGCTCGAAGTTCAAGAACACGCAATTGCGATCTTCCGGAAATGGCAACATGGACTCCATTTTCACATTGGCCGCATGGACGACAAGCCGAACACCAAGGACAGCTACCACGTCGTCGAGACGCCGCGCGACGGCAAGGACCCGACGATCGAGCTCGACGCCAAGCCCACGACGGACAGCGATGACGACGCCAGCAGCGAGCACGCGTTCTCGTTTCTTGCGCTCTACCGGTACGCTGACACGACGGACGCAGTCCTCATGGTCATTGGCATGACGCTCTCGATCGTCAATGGCGTCGTCTTCCCGCTCATGGCGATCCTCTTTGGGAATGCGATCAACTACTTTTCGCCGTACGACCAAGATGGCATCAACGCGACGTGCCTCAACTACCTCATCCTTGCGATCGTCATCTTTGTCGCGGGCTACGGCTCGTACACATGCTTTGCCATCACGGCCGAGCGCCAAATGCGCGCACTTCGCCGCGAGGTGCTCAAGCACATCATGTACCAAGAGATTGGGTGGTATGACCAGCGCGATGCGAGCGAGCTTGCCTCGCGCATCTCGGGCGATACCGTCAAGATCAAGGAAGGTATGGCGTCCAAGCTCGGCGAAGCCGTCCAATTTACGTGTCAGTTTATCAGTGGGTACATCATTGGCTTTGTCAAGGGCTGGAACGTCGCGCTCGTCATGTGCGCGGTCATGCCCATGATGGCGATCACGATGACGTTTCTCATCAAACGCCTCCGCGACTCGACGGCGCAAAGCCAGCGCTCGTATGCCGCCGCCGGTGCCGTCGCCGAAGAGACCATTGGCGCCATCCGCACGGTTGCGTCGCTCAATGGCGAGCCGCGGGCCGTCAAGAAGTACGACGAGATCGTGCACGAAGCCGAAGCCGAGACGCTGGGCCTCGCGCGCTTCGTCTCGTTTTCGTTTGGCTGGTTCATGATGAGCATCTGGCTCACGTACGCGATCGGCCTCTGGTTTGGCGGCTACCTCCTCTCGGACCAGAACGATGCGATTCGAACGCCCGGCGACGTCTTCTCAGCCTTCTATGGCATCTTGTTTGGGACCATGGCGGTCTCGCAGATCTCGCCCAACATCTCGGCGGTCGCGTCCGCCAAAGGTGCAGCTGCCGAGATCTTCAAGATCCTCGCGCGTCCGTCCAAGATCAACGCGGCGAACCTCAATGGCGACGTGCCGCCTTACTGCAACGGCAAAGTCGAAGCCCGCGATCTGGTGTTTTCGTACCCGACGCGCCCGGACGACATTGTCTTGCGCGGCTACTCGCTCACGATCGAGCAAGGCCAGACGGTCGCGCTCGTCGGGTCGTCTGGCTCGGGCAAGAGCACGCTCGTCGCCCTCCTCGAGCGCTTCTACGAACCCACGAGCGGCCAGATCCTCCTCGACGGCCGCGACATCTCGTCGCTCCAGCTCAAGTGGCTTCGGTCGCAGATCGGTCTGGTGTCCCAGGAGCCCGTCCTCTTTGCGACGACGATCCTTGAAAACATTGCGGCCGGCGGCGACAACATCTCCAAGGACGAGGTGATCGCGGCCGCGAAGCTCGCCAACGCCCACGACTTTATCATGAGTCTGCCGAGCCAGTACGACACCATGTGCGGCGAGAAGGGCACGACGTTGTCGGGCGGCCAGAAGCAGCGCGTCGCGATCGCGCGAGCGCTCGTGCGCCAACCCAAGATCCTCATCCTCGACGAAGCCACGTCGGCGCTCGACAACGAGAGCGAGCGCGTCGTGCAGGCGGCGCTCAACGACCTCATGGAGAAGACCAACATGACGACGATCGTGATTGCGCATCGGCTCTCGACGATCCGCAAGGCAGACAAGATCATCGTCTTGTCCAAGGGCCTCGTGGTCGAAGAGGGCACGCATGCGACGCTCATGGAGATGGACGACGGGCTGTACCGGACCTTGGTCGAGCTCCAAGACGGCACGGCGTCGACCGACTCGTCGGACACGGACTCGCCGTCGCACGCGGACCGCGTCTCGCTGGCGCTGGAGAAGGCGGCTGACAAGGACGTGGCCGAGATGATCCGCAAGTACAGCAGCGTGTCGCACCAGTCGATCAACTTTGACGCGCTGCCGTCGGCGGTTGAGGCGCCAGCCGCCGAGGTCTCGCTCTGGCGCTTCATGAAGCTAACCAAGCCGGAGCGATTGTACATGATTGCGGGGTTTGCGTCCTGCATTTTGAACGGCTTCTCGATGCCGGGCATCTCGCTCATCATCTCGAACGTGCTCGCTTCGATGCAAAAGTACTTTACGCTCTTCGTGCAGACCAAAGACGCGTCGTACCTCCACTCGCTCTACAGCGACATTCGGACGCAAGCGATCCTCTTCATTGGCGTTGCGGTCGCTATGTTCTTCGTCGGCTATACGCAGACGTTTAGCTTCCGCACGATCGCCGAGAAGCTCACGACTCGGCTTCGCAACATGCATTTCCAAGCGCTCATGCGGCAGGACATTGGCTTTTTCGACATGGACGGCCATACGACCGGTGCCTTGACGACCGACCTCGCCACGTACTCGACCAAGGTCGTCGTCGTCGCCGGCGAGAACCAAGCGCGTATTCTGCAGACCTTCTTTACCATGGTTGGCGGCCTCGTCATCTCGTTTGGCTTTGGCAGCTGGCAGCTTACGCTCGTGATGCTGTGCGTCATACCACTTATGCTCGTTGTGGCCGTCGTGCGCACACGCCAGCTCCGAAACTACAACGTGACCGACACCCTTACCACGTCCGGATCGCTCGCAACCGAAGCCATTGTCAACGCTCGGACCGTGACCGCGCTCGGGCTTCAAGAGACCCTCGTCGCCAAGTACGACACGTTGCTTCTCGAACCCATGCAAGACGGCGTCCGCGAAGCTCAAGTCAACGGGCTCATGACCGGTTTTGGCCCGGCGTCACTGTTTGCAACCTACGCGCTCGTCTTTTGGTATGGCGCCAAGCTCATCAAGGACGGCACGATCACGTACGAAGAGATGATGCGCACGATGATGGCCGTCATGATGGCCGCCCAAGGCATGGGCCAAGCTGCGGGTTGGATGGGCGACACCGACTCGGCGAAGAAGGCGGCCAAGGAGATTTTTGCGATCGTCGAGCGCCAGCCCATCATCGACTCGTCCAAGGTCGACGAAGGTATCACGCCCAACTCGGTCGAAGGCCGGATTGTCTTTAAGGACGTTGCGTTCAGCTACCCGACGCGCCCCCACATCAAAGTGCTCAAGCACTACGACCTCACGATCGAGCCGGGTCAGACGGTCGCCTTTTGCGGTCCCAGTGGCGGCGGCAAGAGCACGGTCGTGGCGCTCCTCGAGCGCTTCTACCAGCAACAAGCCGGCGCCATCACGCTCGACGGCCGCGAACTCGCGACGCTCAACCTCCCGTGGCTGCGCAACCAGATCGGTCTCGTCGGCCAAGAGCCCGTCTTGTTTGTCGGCACGATCGCCGAAAACATTGCCGGCGGCCTCGCCAACGCCGACAACGTTCCGGACCTCCAAGCACGCGTCGAAGCGGCCGCCAAGATGGCGAACGCGCACAACTTCATCTCGCAGTTTCCCGACGGCTACGAGACGCAAGTGGGCTTGAAGGGCGAGCAGCTCTCGGGCGGCCAGAAGCAGCGCATTGCGATCGCGCGCGCCATCATGAAGAACCCGTCGATTTTGCTCTTGGACGAAGCCACGTCGGCGCTCGACTCGGAGAGCGAGAAGGTCGTCCAAGAAGCGTTGGACAAGCTGCTGGCGGCGAAGGGCCGGACGACGATCGTGATCGCGCACCGCCTCTCGACGATCCGGAACGCCGACAAGATCTGCGTCGTGAGCGGCGGGCGCATCGCCGAGCAAGGCACGCACGACGAGCTCATGCGCCTCAACGGCATCTACACGCACCTCGCGTCGCACAACCAGATCTAGTGCGTCGCTGATCCGGCTACGATCACAGTAGTATTGTCTTGCATTTTACACAGAATGAAAACACGTTTGCGCTTTATTGAATCATTGATGTGTTGTGTCATCTTTAGACAACTTGGGGTCGCGTCGTCTTAGGACAGCTTGGTATTACTCGGGTTGGAGCGACGACACTTGACGTAGACAAGGCCGGCGATGGCAGCGCCACTCGCAGCTCCGAGACCGAGCCATGGCAGCCGACTCGGTGGGGCCATGACGCTAGCGTCGCCAAGAGGGAGTGTCTCGGCCGTCGCAAACGTCGCTTGGAGGTGCGAGAGAACCGCCGCTTCGTCCCAGTCGGTCGTCGACCGACAGTGCGGGCAGTGGTCGTGGGAAGGCCACGCCGCGTGCGTGGCGCTGTTGATGGCGTTGTGCAGTCGCCACATGTGCAGTGCGATGACGGACGGCGGCGCACGCGTCAGCGCATCGAGCCTCTCGATCGTATGGAACCTCTCAAGAGCGACGCTACACATTTGATTTACATCACAGCCAATAGACATGGAGGTCGCACCGGCAAGGCACGCAGTGCCCAAAGAACGCCATGTACAGCTGCAGCGCTGGCACGACGCGGGTCGCCGCAGGCGAGAGGCTCATGCGGTGGAGCAGCGTCCACAGGCCGCAATTGTACGACGTACACGCCATGTACGTCGTCCCGTCGCCGTGAAAAAGAGGGTCGTCGGTGCTTGCAGCCCACCGCGCGAGCAGTTGCCGCCAGGCGTCGACCTCGAGCGTCGTCTTGCTGCGAAGCGCTGCATGCAGACGGAGCACGATGCGGCGATGGGTGTCGTGCGGCATCGCGTCGCCGACGAGGTATATCCAGTCGCATAGCGCGGTCATCATGGCCGGTCGCAAGGTCTCTCGCTCGTGGAAGACGTGGTGGTGGAGGCCAAAGAGGAAGGCGGCGATTCCATCGTGGTACCGGGTCAGCGGCGCAGAGGATTGATGATGCAGCTCCAGGGGTCGGTGGTCGACACTCGGGTCGGCGGGGTGGACTCCTTTCTGAAGCATCTGTACTGTCTGTGCCACGTCTGCAAGCGGCGGTGCTCCAGCATCGACGTAGTTGACGCCCCGCATGAGGCGAAAGTTGTAATAGCCGAGCGCTGGAAAGGCCGCAATGTGCTGCGCGGCGCAAAGCTCCTTGGCATCCAGACAGCTCACGACGCCGACGCGCACGGCTTTTTGCAGCGCAAAGTGCGCGGCGACCGTCGCGACCTCGGCCGCGTACTCGACGCAGTGCGTGCAGCTACAGACAACACCGTCAACGGTGGCATCCCAGAAGGCGCGTACTAGGGGTGATAGAAATCGATGATCCACGGCTCGGGGCCTTCAAGAAGCGTGTAGAACGAGGCGTTGGTCATGCTCGTGATGTTGGCGTGGTCGAGTGGGAAGAGCGGCGCGCTGGCCGCGACGGCGACCGCCAGCAGCGCGGCCGGGATCTTCTGCATTCGAATCGTCGAAAACTGCAATGTCGCACCATCTGTTGTCTGTATAAAACCGTTTTATACACGATGCGCTTCATCTCGTGGCGCGGACGACACGCAAGCACCTCGGCACGGCTCTCGTCGTATCACCCTCAAAGGTACATGATGGTTTGCTCGCGTGCAATGGGGTGGCTCGTACAAGCCATCGCGTGTCGTCGCTTTGTGACCCTGTGGCATGGGCTGCCAAAGTTCTGTTGTGTACATACTGTTTTAAACACGTGTGGTGGTCATCCCTATGCCAGTGAATCCTTGATGCTGTCCCTGGCCTTGCAGCAGCAGCGCGCCGCCTACCGCGGCATCCGCGCCTTCCAGACAACGTCTGTGCTCTGCGCGCGCAAGGGCAAGTCGGCCTCACGGCTCTCGATCAAGCGCGGCGTCCGCGTACGTGCTGCCGCCTGTCTACGCCTCGTCGAATGCTTCTGCGTAGGACACGCAAGAAGCCTTCCGCGGCTTTGACATGTCGGGCTTTGAAGCCGCGGACGCTGAAGTGAAGCGCACGAACCTGCGCGCGGCCATGGACCAGCTCAACGATCCGCACTCGCTCGAGATGGACATGATCCCGCTGGCACGCAAAGCAGCGCTCGAGGAAGAGGAGGGCATGATGACCGAAGAAGAGGCAAGCGATGCGATCGTGGCCATCACGGGCTTATCATGAGTGTAGTTTGAGGCGTTCTTGGCCGGCGACGACGAAGACGACGAGGACGAAGAAGACGAAGCCGATTTTGACCGGGAGCTCGAAGAGCTCGACAAGGAAGACAACAAGAAGCGCGTGACGCAGATGCTGTCGCCGGACCGCGCGATGCACGCGCTGAAGGCGGACGAGAACGCGAGGCGACCGGCGGCGACCAAGAACCAGATCCCGCTGCAGAAGGCCGTCAACTCGCGCTTCGACCCGGAAGTGATTGGCCACCGGCAAGAGCGCAACGGCAACATCCTCCAGTCGTTCCTCCAAGACACATTTGTGATGCACACCGACTTGTGCACACACGAGATGCAAGTGTGGGTCACCCAAGTACGCCCTGTCCACGTCCACTTGACATATCGACCGACGATGCCCGTAGGTCAAGGCGTCGCCGGATCTCCGCAATGCTATTGTGTTTTGGGACGTCTCGCGGCCCGACGGCACGGCCGTCTCCAAGAAGGCGGTGGCCAAGGTGCGGCATCGTCTCATGGGCATGACGGGCTGGCTCCGCGTGCGCATGACCCAGCACCTCCGCCTCCGCGTACGTCGTTTGTTTGTCTCGGACTGTATGTATGACTTGTGTATAGTACACGCCCAAGCTCGAGTTCCGTCTGCAAGACCACACCGAGTTGGAGGGCCGGAAGCGCCTGGATGCGATTCTGCGCTCCGTGGGGTACTAACCGAATATCGTCAATCCATCACGTGTATCACGTCATCTTGACACCGTCCCGTGGTGACGACGCTGCGTCGTTCTCGTGTCCATTGTTCCAGAGAAGAATTGAGAGAAAAAGGACATGCGTGTGGTTGGACTGCGATGCAACAGTCCTCGAGGCGAACAGCCTCATAGTGTGTTTTGACGGAGAAAGGCTCAAGCCATCTCGGAGAATGAGTGCACTTCATAAGTCAGCCCCATAATCGGACGGCACAGAGTTCGAGAGGTGTCGAAGCATCGCAGGCTTGACATGCGACGGGACATCCAAGCGTGCAAGAGAGTCGCAGAAAGAGTCGCATCCGTGTCATAGCGTCGACTGAATTATGGTGAGAACGCGTCGCAGGCGGCGGAGGAGCGGGGCGACGTTGAACGGGATGATGTGGTGTCGCTGGTACTTGTCGAGATCCGTACACGTCGCTTCCAAGACGTGTGTGATGGCGGTGACGCGCACGGTGGCTGGCCACGCGGGAGATGGAGACGCGTCGAGGAAGCGCAGGAAGGCCACAACGTACGCCAGTGCTTCGGTTTCTAGTAGCAACCATGCCTTGTATCAAGTGGAAAGAAAGCCAAGCACGCGTACCGTTGGACGTGAGCCAGTCGACGAGCACCGAATGGTCGTCGTGAATCGTGGCGCAGACCAAGTCAAAGACGAGGACGGGATGGAACGCCTCGGCAATCGGCGAAGAGCCATGCGCATCGTAGAGACCAAGTGCAAAGAGTGCAGCCCCAATGAGGACGTCGTCTTCTTCGGAGACGATCTCGACGAGCTTGGCGCGCAGCGCAGGCAGACGCCGCAAACTCTCTGGTCGGGCCGCGCTCTCCGACAATGTACGCAGCGCAGAGAGCATGGCCGCCGTGGGTGCCATGCGCAGTCCTAGCTGCAGAACGCGCAAGCCAAAGAGCAGCAGCCGCTGGAGCCCTGGCGTCTTCGCTTCGCCGACAAAGAAGGTGATGCCGACGACGGGCGAGCTTGCGACCACGAGCTCGACCAGCGTTGGAAACGCCGATGCTAGAAACGTTAGCGAGCACTCCACCAAGACCGTCGCTTTGACGTCATGGTCATCGTCAGCATCGATGGTGGCTGCCACGTCGTCGAGGAAGCCAATGCACTCGACACAAAGGTACTGGGGTAGCTGCGGCAGCGGCAGCAGCGACACGACGGACGCCGCCATCTCGAACGCTGACGCGCCCAAAAGAGGAATCGCTGCGCGCAGAAAAGCCAGGTACTCAAACAGCACGCCGGGCGTTGTGGTCGCGCAAGTTGATGCAGCGGTGCAGAGTGCCACGAGCTGGTCGGCGTAGGCAGTGATCGCAGCGCGCAGCCACCGACCGCGCGGATCGTCATCGCAATCACTGTCGCTATCCGAGCATGAGGCATCGCTTTCGTCGTCGCCTGTTGCTGCAAGGAGTCGCCGTAGCAATTGGAACTGATAGCCACACCCGGCAAAGGTCAAGAGCGACCTAGTCACATGTGTGGGCTCGCTGTGTCAATGAGGCGCTTGCGTACCCAGTCCAGGCCATGCATTCGTCGCGGCTCTCAAAGGCGCACGTCGTCTGCAGTGTCTTCATAGCTGCATGCCCGGCCATCGGGTCCATCGACAGGAGCGCGCTGGTCAGCGCATCCATCCTTGGTCGGTCTGTTGGTTTGACTGTCCCATTTTTGATTGGTTAAAATTCATTGATGCGTTTAGATAGCATTAGATTTTACCGGCAGGAACCTACTGGTTATCGCTCTGGACGCGCAAGCGCATGACGTTGCGGCGGCCATGATGCTACGCATATTGCGCCATCGCCCGCAGCGTCGTTGCAGGTCTTGGGAGCTTGGAGGAGCGCATCTCGGAGGCGATCCTGTGGCCGACGTGCGAGAGAGGCCGTCGAAATATTGGCCAGGGCTCCGCCCAAGAGCCGACTCGGTGGCTCTTTACGCATCGATAGGCTGTGCCATACTTAAAGCGACGTCGCGTGAGCGCCTCGACCTGAGGCCTGCGCACGGCTTGCCACGTACGACGTGCCTGGGCTGGCGGCGATGATCGGTTCGAGAACTGCGGCAAGAACACTGGCGATTGGCTCGGAAGCGGAGTCCTTGCCGCTCTGATTGGCCACAAATCTAACGTCTTGTCGCTCTGATTGGCTGAAACGCTTTGGCCTGGCGTCGACGGAAAGGAGGGAGACCGACGAGGAACGCTGCATTGCGACCGAGCGACACCTCATGATGGCGTAGAGAATGCTGATGGAGTCTCCTCGAGCACAATGCAGCAGCGCCAGTGGTGCCCGAGGAGCCTCGGCGTCGTCTTTCTGACTTTCTGACGTTGCCGGCCGTTAGTATTGGCGTTCGCCATTTGCAACCATAATTACCATATTTTGGTGCACAGTGCCCGCCGCGCCGGCGGATCGACCAGAATGAAGTTTGAAAATGAAATCGCCCATACTTGCCAGAATACTAGGCCACACTTTGGGGAGTCCAAAATGCTATGTGACGTCGCCGTGCGAGCTCTGTAGCGAGAGCAAATGACAGCGGCAAACAATATTTTGATATAGTGTGCTTTTTCGCTATACTGAAATACTGTACGGGATACAAGACCTCATCACGCAGCGGTATCGCGCGCACTTTGCCTCCCTCGGCCACATAACACGCGCTCCTTAACTGGAACAAATAGAGACGGCGTCCTCGGTTTCCGCGATTTCGACGCATTTTCAACCGAAATTGCATGTCGAATTTCCTGAAAACCGACGCTCGGCAGTTCGAGTTTGGTGTGAGTGCCCAAGCAACGATGGCGACCAACAAGATGGTCGCACACCGGGTCGAGACCCATCGCCAACTCTGGCAGTCAGTTTTACGGTCCTTGGAGCTTTGGAACCCCGCGATGTCACGTGAAGTATTTGGGCAATTCTGCCACCACCTCGAAAATGGAAATGGATTTGCGCGTGATTGCGCTACGTGCAGCGTCGGAAACGACATTTACGTCATTCAAGAAGTGTGTGGAGAGGTATACCCGGCTGCTACGTGGCGCTGGCGCGTCTGTGGGCTGCTACTCGTCGTTGTGCTGAATGGTGCTCACACTATTCAAGACGAACACGGCTTGTGATTGGCTATAAAGAATCAAAAATTGCGCCAATTAAAACATCCATGCCAGATCGAGCGAGTTCCAAACGAGCCACAAGCACAAGAAGTGGTGTGGACGCGCGCAAAGATCAAGAAGGTCCGGCGGGACGAGCGGCTGCATGAAGACGCAGAGCGCGCTGCCTTCCGCGAGAGCGCAAGCGGACCTTGACGGCCGCGTCGAGGCCCTCAGGAAGACCAAGCCGACCATCGACCTCTTTGCGCCCGACGAGACCGCGCCGCCGCCAGTCGCCAGCATCAAGAAGTACACAGACGGAGGCATCGCGCTCGGCGGCGCGTTGAGCCCGGTCCACCACCAGATAGGCCGACGCAAGCCGCCCTCGCAACCCTGCCGTCCAGCAGAGCCAAGACGACAACGACGCCACCGAGGCGCCACGTGCAGCGAGCGCCGACCCCATGGCTGCGATCGTGGGCCGGCCCATGGTGCTCATGGTCGCCGCCAACGATACACAGGAAGCCGACGCGCTCGACTGTGCCGGTAACACGACGAACTCGGAGCTCAAGAAGACGAAGAAAGCCAAGTCATCGTCGTCTTCCTCCAGTCGCCTCGAGCAGCTTCGACGCGAGCGCGAGGCCGTCAAGCAGCGCCGACCCGAGACGCTCCTCCGGCGCTAACGCACAGCTACTCTATGTATAGATGTATATATGAAAGCAGAGAACAGTCATATCTATCGGGTCGCCCACTAGCGCACGCCAGCTTCTTCGTGAGGTCGATTCGCGCTCTCTACACTTCGCATCCATTTGTGATCTGGAAAGCTACAAAAGTACCTGGCACGAATGCCAAGTACCAACAAACGTATCAAGTATTATCTTTCTATTCCACTGCAAATGGGATACATCTACATCAGTTTCTCTCAAGAGGTTTCCTTTCAAGCCCACTCCGCAGGAACGTGGCATTAATTGAAATGTTAGATATAGTGTGACACTCTACAAATTCTAGATGCCTTGACTTTGCATACATAGTGTAGATACAACATATAGTAAAAGACATGAAATAGAGTGAGTGCAATAGCAAACATCGAGCGATGGTGACCTGGGGGCAAGTCGCAGTCACGCTCATCGCCGGCAGCTACCTCATCGGACGCAAGGAGCTGCCGCTTGCCGCCAAGTCTTGTGGCCGCTACGTTGGTCGCTCGATCGGCGCCGTGCTTCGCGCCAAGAACGAGTACTTTGAAGCGACCAAGGACAGCGAGATCGTCAAGGTACGACGAGGACGCCTCGCCACGGACCCATGGAACCTACCATGCTAGATGCAAACTGAGCTGCAAAAAGGCCTCGACGAGCTCAACCAGATCCGATCCGAGCTCACCAACATCAGCAGCATGAAGCGGCCGCTGCGCCCCGTGGGCACGGCGCCCTCGGCGGGTCCTTCAGCGCCGACGGTGGCAGCCTCGACGGCGTTTGCCGCAGCGCCGATGGCAACGACGGCTTTGCGCCAATCCTCCATCAACAACGTATTAGCAAGCGTCGATCACACGGAGCGGGCGTACGAAGACGTGCTCGAGCACGCAGAAGATCCCGACCAGGCGCGCCTCGCGCTCGCCGAGCTCAACATGACCAAGCAAAACCAGTTTACGGCCCATATCGGTACGACTGCATAGAGCCCACGATGCGATGCTATCCTTTGCGTAGAAAGCATCGAAGGCGGCGCCGACTATGTCTCGTCCAGCCTCATGGACAGCATCTTGCTCAAGCGGGTGGCGTCGCCGCCGCCAACCAGCAGTAGTACGCCTTAATACCACATTGGTACAGGATAGATAGCGTGCAAATGGCGTCATGTTACGAGCGATTAGCATGCAGGGTCGAGGCGGCAAGCGACCGCTAGCGTCGAGGCTTAGTGGCCGTGGCCCGTGCTGCGACGGATCTTGATGATCGCACCGGGGTTCGTGCCGAGGTTGAGGATGAAGTGGAGGAACATGGAGCTGCTGCTGCTGATGGTATTATACCAACGAGGCAAATTGAGGAATGCAAGCACAACGGAATGCAGAAAGATGATCGGGCGTGGCGCACTGACCACCGGCAGCTGCCACCCGCCAGAAATCGGTCCGTAGTGAGTGCATGTGTGATAATGAAGCGTACTGTACCATGGTGGCCTGTATAGTTGCCTGTTTCGAGGCGCGCATACAGAGAGATGATAGGCTTCCTGTCCCATCCTAGGACCAAGAGCGAGGGCTCGGGATGTGGTTGCTTGGCTACTTTTTAAACAAAGCGGTCGATGATTGGATTCGAAGTGGCGAATCCGTCGACTGATCATCGCGAAAGCATCTCTATTACCACTGCGTTTGCTTGACGCCATCTTTTCTACCGCGTGCCTTCGTAGACGCGGGACGGAATGAGCTGGCGGAACCCAAGACGATCTTCGAGGGCGACGGCCGCCGAAAGGAGGCGGTCTTCGGTCTTCGGTGCGCCAATGAGCTGGAGGCCGAGCGGGAGACCGGCGTCGTCCGTGATGGCGGCAGGCAGCGAGAGCGCGGGCAGACCCGCAAGGCTCGCAGGGATGGTCATGATGTCGTTCATAAACATCTCGATCGGGTCGGCGGCGCCATGGAGGGAGAAGGGCCCCGTCGGGGTCGTCGGCGTCAAGAGTACATCGACCTACGTCGTTTACGTTGCTGTCTCTGCCAAGAGATACGAGGAGCAGCGTACGCCAGAGGTAAACGTCGCGGCAAAGTCGTCACGAATGCGCTGCCGCACAATGACCGCGCGCTCGTAATAGTCGTTGAAGGCGCCCGCCGACAGCACAAACGTGCCCGACAAGATACGGCGCTACCAGCGTGCCACGTCATATCGTGTGTCATATTCGAACTTCGTTTTTCCACGTCGTACCTGGACTTCGGGGCCAAATCCTTCCGAGCGCGTCCGGCAATAGAGGTCGTGGAGCGCCGTCGCTTGGTTCGAGGCGTCGGCGACGCTCGTCGCCTCGGATACCGCTGCCCTGCGCGACATGTGAGCTTGCTAGTCCATCAAAAGGAAGCAATCGCACCGAAAGCCGTAGCGAACGCCGTCGTAGCGCGACAGATTCGACGACGCTTCAGCGCACGCGAGAATGTAGTACGTCGGCAGCGCGTACTTGGTTGTGGGCAGCGATACCTCGACCACGCGCGCGCCTACGCCATCACATTGATCCCATGCAACGACAGCACGGGACGCACCGGCGTCACGGAGGTGGCGGATGCCCTCGTCCCACACATGCAGCATGGCCTCCGGCAGCTCTTGGACGAAGTACTCGTTCGGAACGCCGACGGTCAAGCCCTTCAAGCTCGACGTGTCGGCTGGCAGTTGGCACTACGCGACTGTCAACGCAAGGGCGCATTGCCGTGCATCGTACCCAGGTGTCGGGGAGCGTCTCTTGGATCGCAGTCGCGTCCTTGCCGTCGGGTCCCGCGAGCAGCGGCAGCACGAGCGACGCATCCCTGGCACATACATGTGAGAAGTCACTTAAGTACAGCGTCCACTAAGTACCGTGCCGTCTTGGTGAAGAGCGCCGGCGTGTCGAGCGAACTCGCATAGGCAATCATGCCGTGGCGCGAGATGCGGCCATAGTTGGGCTTGAAGCCCGTGACACCACAGTACGCTGCGGGCTACATCCGCATTTCCATAGGACCTGATGGGAAGTGGCCGAGCGTCGTACCTGTCGCACGGAGCCGCCCGTGTCCGAGCCAAGGGCTGCAAAGCAGCAGCCGGACGCGATGGCCGCGGCGCTACCGCCCGAGCTACCGCCCGAGACGAGCGCGGCGTCCGTCAAGTTGGTCGACCACGGGTTGATGGTCGCGCCAAACTGGCTGTACTTGGTCGCCGAACCCATGCCAAACTCGTCCATGTTGAGCTTGCCGAGGGGCACGGCGCCGGCGTCCAGAAGGCGCTGGGTCGCCGTCGACTCGTACGGCGCATGAAAGCCTGCATCACAGCATCTCGTTCGCCGTGCCATGTGAAGATGCAGGCGTACCGTCGAGCATCTTGGAGCCACATGTCGTCGGCGCTTCGTTGTGCATGCAGAAAATGTCCTTGACGCCGACGGGGATGCCGTCGAGCGGGCCACGGGCGGCGCCGCTGGCGCGCCGCGCATCGGACGCTGCAGCGAGCGTACGCGCGCTCTCGAAGGTGTCGGCGACAAACATGTTGAGGTCGCGCGTTGCGTTGATTTGCGCAATGCAGGCCTCCGTGAGCTCGGTCGCCGTCGTCGTGCCCGCGGCCAAGGCCTGCGATACTTCGACGAGCGACTTGCGGCTCCAGTCGCTCATGCATCGGCCAAGCCGCGCGGTCGTGTACCTAATGGCTCGGTGCATGAGCCGTCGGCGTCGTTGGCGGCGACGTACCGGCGGAGCATCATCGTCGAACTCTGAATTGTGGTGCCATCAATTTCACACTGGGTTTTCAAATACTGTCATGTACACTATTTACGAAATCGGAAATCGTGTCGAGATACAAAGCAAGCATGAAATAGAAAGTATGAATAAAAAGCGCCTTTTGCTCTAGGAGGGACATGATTGGTCGAAATGCGATACTGGCGTTTGATTGGTTTCGTTTCGATAGCGTTTTGGCCAATCCCATGCGACACGGTGCATGCCATGCTGCGCACGAGCTCGTTGGAGCCAACAACGATGAAATTATTCGTGTCGCCCATTCACGAGGGAGGGATAGAGGACATACTAACGAGCACGAAACACTGTGCCGTGGTGGCGGATGCGGCGTAGAACAAGAGAAAGGAGCGAAACACTCTTATGTGGCATGTGCCATATTTATGAAAATGCCACATTTAGTCGTACCGTCGCGACCTTTCTGCACACCCTTGTTTCGACGCTCCCGCATCCTACTACGTAGTACATCAATACGTCTTCATGATATGCCCTTCGTCGGCAACTCTGCCGTCAGGCGTGCAAGGACCTCATGCACACGCTCGGGTATCTTGACGCCAATAACGTCAACCGTGCAAGAGTGATTCCAAGGCCACGTGGTCCCAAGGACACTTTACTCAAACACTCTTTCTTGTAGGGCGACAACCAAATATATATTGACTAGACCTCCTCGACACAACGATATATGATGCGCTACGTGAGCAATGTCGCCGGCAGCTCGAGCTGCTCGATCAACGACACGCATTTCCGGAGCTGGCGCGGCGGCAGCGCCAAGCCCGAGACCGTGAGCTGGACGCTCGACTGATGCACACCATGCAGCAGTCGCAGGACGCCGTCGACTTGCAAGTGCGGGTTGAGCGCCACGTCCAACGTCGTCAGCGTCGGGCACTTGGCGTCTTGCACCAAACGCGCGAGCTGCGTGGCGCCGACGGCCGTGAGCTCGTTCCCGCCCAGCGTGAGCGTCGAGAGCGACGTGGAGCTGCGCACAGCCATGCAGAGCGCGCGGACGCCGACGTCACCGATGAAGTTGTGGCCCAAATGCAGCGTCTGCAGCGCCACGCAGTTCGGAAGCGCGGTCGATAGGATCGCGCAGCCCACGTCCCGTAAAAAGTTGTTTTCGACATTGAGACTTTCGAGGCGGCGCATGTTCGGCAGCGCCGTAGCTAGCACCTCGCACGCGACCGTGTCGAGTCCGTTGTACGTCAAATTGAGGTGCTGGAGGTGCGCCATGTGGGGTAGCGCGCCAAAGATGAGGCTGGCGACGCTTGGGTTGTGCAGGCAGTGGTTGCTTGAGAGGGTGCAGTGCGTCAAGTGCGACTCGGCGAGCGACTCGGCCATCATGGCGGCCATGGACGGCGCAATGTCGACAGTTTCGATGCTGCCGACAATTTCGAGCTTGGGGAGCGTCTTGGGCAGCCGTCGGCCGTTGAGCAAGGCGCGTGCGAGCGACGGCGTGAACGCGAGCTTGAGCGACTGTAGCGTCGGTACGTGGCGCCGAAGCGCATGGCACACGGCGCTTTCCGACTGGAGCGAAAAGGCCACGGATTCGAACGCGATCGTGTGCACGCAGGAGGTTTCGAGCCACTTGGCGAGGTGGCGCGTGTTGTCGTCGGTCAAGACGATCGCCATGAACGATGCAATGCGCAAGTGCGTGAGCGATGACGACGCGCAAATGGCCGCGACGAGTGCATCTTGCTCGGCGGGTGCCATGGGCCGCTGCCAGCACAGATCCAAGGAGGCAAGGCGCGGGCACGAGTCGCGTAGCTGGGCGCACGCGGCCGCAAAGGCCAATGACGAGAAGAGCACTTCGGGGCCGATATCGACCTTGCACGCGACGAGCTGCAGCGGCCACGACGCCATCGCGGCTGAGAGTATCTCGGACGACTTGACGTTGGCGATTTCGACGTCGACCGACGGCACGACCACGTCGATCGCGTGGCGCGCACAAGTCCAGTCGGAGAGCTCGACCACCGTGTAGAGCGGCATGGCGGCGCGAATGTCATCGACATGCTCGGGTGCTATCTTTGATAGCACGAGGCGCGGGCCGCGCTGGAGCACGCTCGGGTACAGCCGCAGGAGGCTTTGGACCGGACGGCGCAGGGACCAGCGGGGCATCGCAGTAAGGAACGCGAGCCAGGCCGTCGGGCATGCAATGTACGCTGCAATGTACTCGACGAGTTCGGGTTCGAGAAGCATGTCGTCGTCGCGTGTCGAGAACGCAAGTGATCCTGCTTGTGTTGCGATCTTCCGTGATTTTTTCGAAGCCAATTCTATCGAAGCCATCTCGGCCGAAAAAAGCGAGCTGGCGCCACGCTCTGTCTCGACGCCCTGCGACGACGATCCTCAAGGCGTCACAGAAGGCCCGCGCTTGGACTCGACGAGCAAGCAAGTGGTCTGCACTGCATATTGCGCTCACGACACTCCCCGGTTATATCAAGCGAAAGCGAGGGCATGCAAGCTCCACTATCAACCTTTGACCATCTCCAGCACAACGATGGCAGAGACATGGAAGGATACGACGACGTCGACGACGACGATCTGCAATCTTGACAACCATGTCGCGCACCTTGTTTGTTCCGCCACCCTGCTGGAGATACCTCCGAGACACAGTGGTCCGAGCGATGGAGGAGCTCGGCCTTTAGCATGCTGCGAGCTATTGGTCCTGAGGCTTTTCTTGGTACAAGAAGACTGCTCTCTTGATGCTCCTCGCCTCCAAGGACAGTGCAGCCATCGTGCTCAACTTGAAGTGGGGCCCGTCCGGATACGATACATCCGGATAGTATGGCGAAAGGGTGTTTCGACCTAAAGTTAGCGCGCCAAAAATAGGGCCGGTGGCCGTAGCGAGGAAACTAGAATCAACTCTTTGGACGTCCGGGATGTCGGGCCTCGGAGGCGTCGTCGGCGCCAGCTGCGTGACGAGGCGCCCGCCCCACGACCCTCGGTCCGGGTCGACGGTGCTGGACGTGCTGACGCGGAAGCTCCGGTTGAAGCTCGAGGCGCTGATTCCGATCGAGAACGAGCGGGTCGAGAAGGCGTTCGAGCTCTTTACGACCACCGAGTCGATTTCGCCCAACGCGTTCCATTTGCTTTTGCTCAAGTTTCGCATCTGCGCCAACCGCCAGCAGAGCTACGCGCTCTTCCACCTCTACGACACGGACGCCACCGGTCGCCTCGACCGCGCCAAGTTCAAGCGCGGCGTCTTTGGCCGATGTCCTGGCACGCCACGTGGCAAGCGCCAGCACGCGACGACAACAACAGCGGCGACGACGACGACGCTACTGCCAAAGAAGAAAGCGGCGGCCATGAGCGCCTTGGCGACGGCGGCGAATGGCCAGAGCACACTGGCGCCACCAGTAGTAGTGGCCCAGCCCTCCGATCGCGTTGCGCACAAGCCGATGCGACTGCACCACCCGGCGCGGGCGCAGCACGAGGTGACGGTCGGCGACAACCTTCCGTTTCCGGAAATCGTCAAGCGGATACGGGAAAAAATCGACCAGCGCACGTCCAAGGCGTCGGACCGGTTCCGCCAAGCGTTCATGATCTTCGCCAAGGCGTCCGGCATTACGCTTGACGAGTTCCACGAAGGGCTCCTTCGCATGGGCTTCCGGCTCACATCGGCGCAAACCCACGAGCTCTTTGCGATGTTCGACGCCGACCACTCGGGCGACCTCGACCTCAACGAGTTTGTCCAAGGCATCTCGATCGACGACTACTCGGCCACGTACATCCAAGCCCAGATCGAGCGCCAGAAGCGCGAGGACGTCCGGCGAGTGCGGTACGCCGCGGCGGTGCACAGCGTCGAGGCGTCGTGGTCGATTGAAGACATGGAACGCAAGCTCCGGGAAAAGATCGAGCAGCACACGTCGCGGTCGTCCGACTGCTTTCGGCAGGCGCTGCAGATATTTAAAAAGACCAGCGGCATCCGCGCGCACGAGTTCCATGACGCACTCGCCGAGCTCGGGCTCGACCTGCCGCGCGAGTCGACCATGAAGCTCTTTCAAAAATCGACCTCGACGGCAGCGGCGACATTGATCTGAATGAGTTTGTGCGCGGTGTGCTGCCACCCGACTACACCAAAGGGACGTGGGTGGCCGAAGCCGACGAGATGGCGCGCCAAGAAGCTCTGGTAGCGTCTATAGCCCGATATGTCGAGATCAACGTATGTGTTGTGTAGCGCAAGCAGCTCCAGCCCGATGCGTACTACAACCGCGTCAACATTGATCACTGGAGCTTGGAGACGATCCAAACCAGGCTCCGGGAGCGCATTACGCAGAAGACGTCTAAGTCCTCCGACACGTTTCGGCAGGTTTACCGCGTCTTCCAGAAATCCCACGGGATCACCTTTGACGAGTTCAAGCGCGGCGTCCTCGTCCTCGGATTCCGCCTCAACGAGACCCAAGCACGCAGCTTATTTGACCGCTACGACACGGACAGAAGCAGCACGATCGATCTCGCCGAGTTTTGCAAGCACGTCCTCGCACCCGACTACACCGGCGACGGCGACGTCTGGGTACGCGTCCATCGCTCGGAGGATCGTGTCGCATTGAGAGTACTAGGGCATGACGCACGACGAGCGGATGCAAAAGCGAGCCGACGCCATCGCCTACGCGGCGCTGACCAAGAACGGCACGGTGCGACTGGCGACACCCCCGCGACCGACGTCGGCACCATCGGCGCGACCCGCCACGCCCTCGTCCAGCAATGCCTCTGGTCGCCGCCCGTCGTCGCCTCGAAAACACATGTATGGACCAGATGGTTTATTTAGACGGCTCATCGGAACCGTAGACGTCCGAGCAAGCCCGGTGAGGCGCTACGAAGGGCGACGATTGGGACACCGACACGACCGAGTAGCGCGGTCGGGACGCGCCCGCTCTCGGCGCGCCCGTCGACCGCCTTGGACGACCGACCGGCGCGGCCTGTCTCGGCGGGCTCGCGCCTCCCGCTGCAAAAAGCCAAGCGCGAGTCGCACATGCTGTGGCGAAGGAAGATCATGGCCCACCAAGCCAATGCCGCCGGAACCGATGGCGACGACAACGACGACAACGACGACGACAACGATGGTGTCGACGACGACGAAACACCCAGCGAGCCCGACGACGAACGCGATGCAACCGACACCAGTAGCGAGCGACCGGCGTCGGCCACCCGATCACGGTCCATCGCATCCCCCACGTCGACCCGGCCGTCGTCACCAAGCTCGCAGCGGCCGTCGACACCGAGTTCTCGTCGGCTATCGTCGCCGAGTTCTCGCCGACCATCGTCGCCCTCGTCCACTGCGAGTCGACCGACGTCGCCGCGGCCTTCGCGTCGCCCGTCGACGCCCGAGTCGACCAGCAGCATCAGTCGGTCGTCGCAACGATCGGGGCGGTCCGAGGCGTCGCTGCGGCCGCCGTCGACGTCGCGGGAACTGCCGTTGGCCAAGTTTTCACCGCGCACGTACTCGCACGGCTTCAAGCGCCTCTTTCTGCAAATGGCCAAAGACAAGCTGCTACCCTAAGCGTCGACCCCTGTAATATACAACGACGTGGCATGACCATCCCGACAGGCTACAAGAAGACAAAGAAATAGAAGACAAAGCACGCAGATCTTAGGTGGCCACTTGGGTCCAAAGCCAGTAGACGATATGGTTGACGAGGTCCCGCACGGTTTGGCGCTGCTCGTGCGAGAGCGCGCCGTTGGCCGGTTCTTCCCGACGGCAAATCTCCATCGAGAGCAGGCCCGAGACGTCGTCGTGGTAGATGTGGATCATAATGTCCCGCGCACTCTCACACATGAGCAGCACGTGTCGCCGGTTGTGGAATTGGTACTCGCGCATTCCATCCTACGCATGCGTTGGGTGTTGACGAGTAGGACGAGGTTGTACGCACCTTGTGCACGACCTTGAGGAGCCCGAGGAACTCCGACCACTCGACTTGCGTGACGGCGAGGAGCTCCGTGAGCACCGGGTCAATCCTACCGCATGTAAAATGCTCAATACACTGTTTGCAGATACGAAAATACCGGTCGAACGGGGTCCGCACGGACAGCGCGAGGCAGTCTTCGAGCTGCTGGACGTCGACGTGGCACGGCGGCGCGTCGAGCCCAGTCTGCGCCGCGCCAAAGAGAAGGCGCGACCACAAAATGTCACGGCGGTAGTCGACGCTTGCGACACGCATGAGCTCCATCACAAACAGCTAGTCCACGATCGTTGCTCGATATCTTGATACAAAAGAAAAAAATGCACAGACCTCGACGTGTTCCCAGAGGTGCGAGAGCGCGTCGGTCGTATGGAGCGCGTAGACCTTGAGCGTATTTTGCGACGAGCTCGTGAGCACGAGCGTGTACGGCGTGTCGTCGTTTTGCTCAATCGGTTCGTTAAAGTCCTTGATGAACCGACCGGTGGCGCTCTTGGTCGCGATCGCGTCCGGCGTCCCAAAGATGAGCAGGTCGCTGACGTAGTACCGAGTCGCATGGCACGCAATGTAGCGGAGCAGCGTCGCGACGTTCTCGACGACAAACTCCCACGCTTGGAGACCAAACTGCGCGCCGTCCGGGGCCGACGGGTACGCATCAAGGAACGCGTTCATGGTCCCGACGCAGTTGCGGACCGCCGACGTCGCAGGGTCGTCAAAGGCCACGTGCGCCTGCAGCGCGGTCGTCGACACCGAGAGCGTGTGCAGCACAAACGCATGGAGGTCCGAAATCACATAGTCGTACACGAGTCGGCGGACGTTGGTCGCGTCCTTAATCGCTTGGAAGGTCGAGACGAGGTCGGCGCGCGACAAGACTGGGTAGCTCGACTGCGGCAAGTGCCGACCCGCGTCCAAGCTCACGACGTCGCGCTCCGAGACAAAGTACGCCCGCACGCCGAGGTGGTGCGACTTCGTCGTCTGCGACAGCTCGATCAGAATGAGGCCCGCGACGCCATCGGCTTTTTTTGCATAGACGCCACTGCCATTGTGTGTCAAGTCTTGCAGCGGACGCAGCCCCTGTGCACGCAGATGCGCCACGAGCAGCTGGCTCACGTCCGCAGCGTGGCGTCGGCCAAGGCTCGCTTGCGCGCGGGTGCAAAAGCTTACAAACTGGCTGTAGGCCGCGCTGGCCGGCATGCCTTCGGTGCAGAGAAGGTCGTCGACGTGCAGGCGCGCGATGCTGCCAAAGAGGTTGTTGAAGATGAACTGGATCTCGTACGCAAGCAGCGATAGAATATCATGCGACGGGCCCGTCGTCCGGCGCGGCAACGCACCGCTGAACGAGACCGCGAGCTGCCGATGGCCAATGAGCCGACTGCACTCGACGAGCTTGCGGAGCGTGTTGGGAGCCGGCGCCAGCGACGTCGACGTCATGAGACTCTTGAAGAGATCGTACACCATCGTGTAGCTCGACCGGTGCGACGCGTGAAAGTCGAGCGCCGAGCGCAAGTTAACGCCGTGGAAGATGAGTGGATCCTTGGCTTTCGTCGAGCCTTCGACGTCGCGGTCGTCGCGGTGGTAGTGGCTGAACGACGACGGCAGCAGCGTCTTGAGCGCACTCCGCCACGCGAGCGACGTGTCGTTCGTGGCTTGCGTACTGCTTGTCGTACTCGTCGTTGTCGGCGACGGCTTGGTGACGTCGGGGTGCTGCGGCAACGGCCCCGATGGCCGCCGTGTCGCGAGCGCCGCCGCCGACGGCACCACCGGCGACACCTTGTTCTTGCTCACGCGCGGTGGAATCGCATCCTTGTTGAGCGTCAAGGACCACGCGGGCGGCGGCTTGTTCTCGCTCCCGTCGTCCACCCCCGATCCACTCGGCGGCGTCGCACCCGGCGGCCCTTTCAACGGCCCTCGGGCGCGGGCGCGCGCGGCCATGAGCGCGTTCGTTGCGTTTGGCGGCTTGCGCACGATCGGCGCTGGCACCGGCGTCGGCGCCGTCAACGACCGCCCGGACGACGACGACGACGACGACAAGAGCGTCGGCATCGACGACATGGAGGACGTCGTCGACGACGTGGACATGGGTGTCGACACCGCCGACTGCTCGAGCTTCTCAGCGGCGCCCGAGATCGCACGTGGCCGCACCGAGAGGTCTTCAATGTACGTGCCTGTCTCGCGCAAGTACTCGGCGAGGCCCATGCCTTCGATCGCCCGGAACGCCGACGCCGCCAGCGACCGCGGCGCCGTGGTGTGCTCCAAGACGACGCCAAAGATCTGCGGCGTAAACGCGACGCTGCTGTGGACAACGTCCCGCGCCATGTGCACGGGGTTCTTTCCAATGACCGGCGCCCGACGTTCGAGGAGCGCTGTCGGTTGCAGCATACTGCACTGCGTCGGCGCCGCAAGCGCAAAGCCGCGCTTCTGAAAGAGGATGCTGCTCAAGAGCGACTGGCGCAGCGCACACCACGAGAGCGCCTTGGAGATGCCAAGGCACATGGACTCGAGCGCCGACGGATGCACGTTGTAGCTCAGGAGCGAGAGGCCGTGGTGCGAGATCTGCACCGTGTAAAAGAGGTGCCGGCGCCCGGCGGTCCCGAGCGTCGAATGCAGCATTGCGTCGTGCAGCGCGTACTCTTTGGGCATCGGCATCGGCGGGTGGCGTGGCGACGCCATCGGTGACGGCAAGCTGCTCGTGACCGTATCGACGCTGACGAGGGAGTGCATCGAGGTCGTCTTTTGGAGCGGCGGCGGGTCGTCTGGCGGGCTAAACACCGTCGGTGGCGGCCGCGGACACACCATCGAGAACGTGTCGCGAAAGGTATACGTCGACGCGACCACCGACGTGTCCGCGTCAAAGAGTGCAAAGGGCGCCGACGGCGCCGACTGATAGTACGTGGCCGGCCTACACGCCGCGCGGATGATACATACATGCGTTGCGATGGAAGATGTGCGCACCAGTGCGACGACGGCAGACACTGCAGCAGCGACGTCACTTGCTTGACAATGTGCGGAATCTCGTACGTCGGAAGCACTTGTGTCTGCGTCAAGAGCACCGCCGTCGTCGTTGTGAGCTGCGCCGCGTCCTTGAGGAGACTCTGCACTTCGGCCAGCATCGCCGCCGGGTACTCGGACGACGTCGACGGCTCGGCGAGCATGGCTTCCATCGCATACTCGTACAGCGCCTAGGGGCATATCAATGTATCACGTCGGTATCAAGTGGACGACGGGATGGCGCACCTGCTTGACCGAGAGTGCAAAGATCTCCGACAAGATTGCGCAGTTGAGATGCCCGCGCACGTAGACGCGAAAGCGAACGTAAAACTGCGTCGTGGCTGCCGGTGACGGCAATGACGGTGACGGTGACGGTGACGCACTCAAGACCTGCGACCAGACCGTACCGGGCGGTGCAAAGCAGCCTATCCGCAGCGTGTCTTAAGAATACCTCTGGTGACAAGCGACGGAGATGCTACCGGTGGGCGCGTGGTGCACGATCGACGACGTGCCGTCGACCAAATCCATGTGCACGAGCGCAAGGCCCTTGCCGCACGACGTCACAAAGCCCGAGCGCGCGCCAAACTCGGGGTTCATATTGAGCACAAACGAATGCGTCGGCGTAGACTCGAGACTGCCTTCCTCGGCTGTCCAGCACACGGGCGACGACGGCGCGTCCCGCTTCTTGGCGCTAAACACGTAGGCCGGATGGAGCACATTGACGTCGATCGACGGCGTCGGCGGCATCGCCCGCGCGTACGACGGCTCGATCATCTTGTCCTTGATGATATGGACCAGCAGAATCGGGTCTTGCACGGCGATGGGCAGTGCATACGACGCCACGTGCGTCGGCGCGGCGACGTCGGGACATAAAAACTGCACGTCGGTCGCCACGAGCGGGAACTTGGCGTTGCGCGCCAAGAGCTTCATCAAAATGAGCTGCGTCGCGTCGTCAATCTTGCGCTCCAAGACGCGGCAGAGCTCGATCGTGACCTCGTCGGACGGCGCGCAGATGCCGTAGACCGTGAGCTCGACCTGCCGGATCGCTTCGTGGAGCGTCAAGAGCATGTAAAAGCATGGCCCGCTTTGTCCTTGTAGACAAACATGTGCGGCCGGTTGTGCACCTGGAACTGTTCGAGGGCCGCCGTGCACACATTGTTGAGCGTCACGCTCGGGATGAGGCGGTCCTGGAGCTTGAAGCTCCGTCGGAACTGGCACGCGCACTCAAACTGCCCCGGCCAAAAGAACGACGACGACGCAACGGCGGCGTCAAACGACGACGAGTGCGACGGTGTCGACGTCGCCGGTGTCGTCGACTTGAGCAAAAGCGACGAACACGTGCGCGACTCGTGCAGTTGCTGGAGCAGAATGATCTGGTTGACTTGCTTGGCGACCGCCAGCACGCCAAGGTGCAACTGCGTCAAGAGCGACACCTCGTCGACGCCGGCACCCGGCGTCACGTGCAGATGCAGCCACACGGCCGCATTGGCCTCGTCGACCGCGAAAAACGCCCAGTACGGCCTGTCCGAGATGACAAAGTAGAGGTCGTTGCACGCTTGCAGCGGCAGCACGCGACTCTGCAGCAGCTGCGTCCGGAAGAGCGCCATGGCCGAGACCGGGCCGTCCACGGGCAAAAACTCGAGTGGGTATTGCACGCGCCGGAGCGACGTCGTCGGCAGCTCGCGAAAGAGCAGTTGCACGAGCGACCCGAGCGCCGGCGTCAACGACGGCAAGCACCGCAGCATGCCGAGCACCTGAACCGCGCAAAGCTCTTGGAGACGCAGGCGGAGGTCCTGAAACACTTGGTGCTGCGTCGGCGGCAGCGCAGTCTCGTCCATGTCTTTCTTCAGAAGCGGGTCGGGTGGCAGCGTCATGATCACAAGGCGCAGGTACGTTTTCGGGTGCATCGGCCCGCGCAGTGCGTCGACGATCGCCAAGACGTCGGCTTCCAGCGTCGCCTTGCTCTCGCCGTCGGATGCTGATGATGACGAGTCCTCGTCCGACTCGGGTCTCGGCACGCAGTTGGCTGCGCACAGCATCGACTTGAGCACGTCGGTAAACTGATGCGTCTCCGAGAGGACGCGGACGCTATTCGAGCGCGGGCGCCGATCCGTATCGTTTTCGAGCAACGAGTCGTCCTGCCAGCACTCGAGGCGCACGAAAAACGGCACAATGTCGTCGTACGTGGCGGCAAAGTAGTACCACTGCGTCATCGGGATCGATGTCAGCACCTGCGACAAGAGCGCATCGAACGCCGGGTCGATCCCCATCGGCGCCGACGGCAGCAAATGCAGCATGTGATGCAGGAGCGACACGTCGAGGTCGATCGCGACTTGCTGGCAACTCCAGAGCGCTTGGAGCAAGTCGCACGGCTGCAGCGTCACGCGTTGCTCCCGGAGCGCACGGTACACGCCGTGGGCAAAGTTGGTCTCGTGGGCCGCCTTGAGATGCTTGACGTACACGTCCAAGCCCGAGCTTGCCGCCATCGACGCATTGTCGTCCAGCGAACACTCGAAAAACGTCAACGGCAGCGCCAAGTACGACGAGCACGCGTCCGCCTTTGGCTCAAACAACGCGCGCCGGGCTTCGAATCTGGCGACGTCCGCCGACGTCATCGGGTTCGGGTGGTGGGCATTCAGCACCACCGACGACGACATGCCCGCGAGCCACTTGAGTCGCTCCGAGAGCACAACATCTTGCGAGCGGTGCGCGTCGACACTTGGCGTCGGCGTCGGCAATGACTCGAGCGCTGGGACAAACGCCAGCACAAACGTCGTCTCGGAGAGGAGCTTGGCAAAGCACCGGCCAGGGGCGAGGGACGAGCAGCTCGGTGCAACGTCGCGCGCCGCCGACCAGAGCGGGCCGCCCGTGAGCCGCGGAAAGACGCCGTGCATGCGCGACTCGGTGCCCATTTCGTCGGTCCACGCGACCTCGACGTCGCTGAGCCGCTTGATGCTTTCGAGCAGCATCGCGTGGAGCTCGAGATTGGCCGCGTCGGGCTCCATGTAGAGCAGGAACCGATCCGACGTCTTGGTTGCTGTCGTGAGCAGCCGCGCCGTGCTGAACGGCGACTCTTGGACGTAAAAGGGCCCGGCGGTGGCGGCCTCGGGCCCGAGCCGATCGAGAGGACCCACGACCGTCGACTCGTCTTTGGTCGCCTCTAGGATCCGGTAGAACGTTGTCATGCACGACAGGATGTGCACGTCGGCGAGGTACGTAGCGGCTTGCATCTCTTGGTAGTAGGCCGCCGATTCGACGCCGTCGGTCTCGGTTTCGGTCTCGGTCGCTTCCAGCGGCGCGGCGCCAAAGGTGCCAGAGATGTCGCGAATCTGGCCGCTCGTCGGCTCCATCCACAGCGACGTGCAGAGGACGCTCTCCGAGACGACCGTGATCGCATACTGCACCACGGCGCTCTTCTTGCCATGTAGAAGGACCTCTTTGGCCAACAAGACAAAGCTGTCGTCGGCTTGGACCACGCAAAAGCCGTCGCGGCTCAAGCGTTCTTCTTGGAGCTGGTCGATGGTCTCGTCCTGCTGCGCCGACTCGACGTGCCAGCACCAAAGTGTTCGCCACATGTAGGCGGCAAAGACCGACCCGACAAGACCCGAGCCCGAGCAGCAGCTCGCCACGAGCGGCGCATTCACCGACCGCTCTTCGTGCAACGCCGGCGGGTCGATCAAATCGTGGATGATGTGCGGCAGCAGAAAGAGCCGCTGGACGTGCCGGTGGCAGAGCACCATGGACGGCGGCGTCTCGATCGGGTTGACGCCGGCGTACAGCGTGCGCTGGAGGTCCGCGAGCACGGCTTTCCGCGCCGACGTCGACGTGCCGTAGAACGCCACGTAGACCACAATGAGAGCGTGGCCCGTGCGCTCGAGGCGCACAAAGCACAACGCTTTCCGTGCCGGCGCCGACGACGCCGACGGCAGCGACAGCGTGAGCGACCCGCGCTGCTTGCGGTTAACGTTGCCTTTCGCGGACGACGAGGATGTGTCGAGGAACTTGAGGTAGATGTCGGCGCTGAGCGTCATGGACGCCCACTTGCTCAAGGTCTCGAGGAGGAGTGGGTCTTTTGAGTACGTGGCTGCCTCCAGTTGCAGCATCTCGAATCGCTCGACGTGGAACCAGCGGTGCCACAAGAGCGGCGAGAGGTTGCCGACGAGCGAAAAGACCGGGTGCGGCGCGGCGACCGCCGTCGCCATGCGCGAGAACGAGTGCAATTTCGTCGTGTCTTGGTCCAGCGTCGGCATCGTCATGGCCGACATCAGGTGCAAGAACGTCCGGTCGCGTTCGTACATGTCTTTTAGGAACCGATGCAAGAGCACGCAGAGCGAGTTGGTCGGCGGCAGGTTCATGCTGCGGACCGCCTGAAACTCTTCCAGAAACTTGGCGTGCGCCAAGACATCGATGCGGATCGCAAGCTCGCCGTCGGCGCGGAGCGGGCCGCAGATCGTGTACTCGAGCCACACATCGGACGTCCATTGCAGTATGCAGTGGAGCCGCGTGCCGTCTTTAATCGGCGCGACCTTGGCGACGCAGAACCCTTCTTCGAGGCGCGCGGCCGCGAGCTTGGCGATCGCGCCCACAAACTTGAACTCGTGAACCTTCTCGCGGAAGAGGCGCAGAGGCCGGTACGACATGACGAGGTCCATCGGGACGCGGTCCGCGACCAATGGCATCTCGGGCGACGGGTTGGCGGGGCAGACCTTGGACGGCTGCAGAAAGCACGCGGCTTGGACGTGGTTGGCAAAGGGCGACGCCGACGCCGGGAGCGAACTCAGCGTCTGCATGTCAAAGAACGCGCCACCGGTCGCGGCGGTCACATACCGGAGCAAGTCCGTGTCGGGCACGTACCCAAACGAGCAGTGGGGCACAAAGCCGCCGCCCAGCTACGTATCAATCTATCAAACCTCGCGTTTTAAAAGAGGATCGAATACCTGAATCGCATGGCACGTAATGTGATGGCGCGCCAACTGCATCATCATGTGGTCGTACGCGTAGACGTGCGGGAGGTCGACGACGCCGTCGGTCACGAGCACAAGCAGCGGCGCCGCGTCGTGTGGCAGCGAGTTGAGCGCAAACGTTGCGTTCTGGAGCGTCATGGCCAAGGACGACGGCGCGGCGGCGGCGGCCGACGGCCCGGCCGTCGCCCACTTGTCTTCGAGGAGCTGGAGTCGCTGGCGCAAGAGCGATACGAGCGTGTGTACGTTGGCATCGTCGACCATGTAGCCTTGCGCGAGCACGCAGAGCGAGTCGACGAGCGCGCCTTGCACCAGGATCGAAATGTGGAGCTCGGGGGTCGCGTACTTCGTGTCGCCGCATGGGCGCTGCACAAGCGCATGCAAGAGGCGCTCGACCGACGTGAACGAGACGTCGAGGAAGAGCGACCCGGACACGGGGTCGATCGACAAGCTCGACGGACTCGCGTCGAGGCAGATGACGACGCGGTACTTTTGAAACGAGAGGTACACGGCCGACTGCGGCGTCACGTTCAAGCAAATCGGGTCCATCGTTGTCTCGTCGTGCAGGACGGCGTCGCTACTGGCGTCATCGAACGCAATGCTGGCGAGCGCGACGCCTTCGTCCGGCAGCGTCATCTGCACGTAAGTCGCGGCGTGCGCGTCGAGGCCATGGGTCGCGACCGCGGTCGGCGGCGCCTGCAGCAGCTGCGCGAGGTGCCACGCCGAGAGCGCGGCGCCGTCAAACTGCGAAAAGTCCGCCGACTGCAAGTGGACCTCGCGCACAGGCGGCGACGCCACGAGGCGTGGCGCGTCCTTGGCGTCGTCGTCCATCGGCGCCGGATAGTATTGCTGTGGGCTTTGCTTCCGATCGCACCCGCTTCGCCGTATCCGGATGCATCCGACGCCGCAGGATGCGAGCTCGAAGCATGGCACCTGCGTCTCCACCACGCGTGCGTCTACTAAAAAGACCAGTAGCCTCGAGAGCGCTACCATCTGCCAACAGCCTCGGCCATGACCCTCAACGAGTACAAGCGATGCATGTATTCTGGCATAGTACAAGTCTAAATAGCAACACAACGCAACGCTAGTTCCGCTTGGCAGCGCGGACTGGTCGCATGAGCTCTCGGAACGCCGGGTTGGCTTCAAGCGCACGTCTCTGTTGTGCTTGCAGGTACATGGCCGGGTTCTCGTCGAGCGACCGCCGAGGCATGAGGAAGGATGGGCGGTGGGCCTTCGGCGGCGACAATGGCGTCTGCGGGGGCACGTGGTAGGTTGTCGTCTCGATGGCCATCGCGCAAGGCATGGTGTGGAGGTGGCAGTTGATGTTGCACTTGGCAGTGAAAAGGCAAAGTGAGTCCGTGAGGTATAGGTCGGCGAGAGTTATAGGTCGGCTAGAAAGGCGGGAAAGAATATCGAACGTCGTCCCGCAGGCGCGCGACAGGGCGCCTAGCCGCGGATTCTGGCGCCCAAATTCGAGGCGACCATCATCACCAGCATCGGCTCAGCACCTTCACTGGCTGCCTATAATCTGGCTGTCCAGTTTTGGAGAGTAGGAACGGTCGGGTCGATCTACTAGTCAGTGCAACTATGCTGTATGACCAACGACGCCTTCGCAACGGTAGAGTGGGGCTAGGATGCTCGGACAAGTTGCGTCAGCGTGAGGCAAGCCCTTGGACGTGGTAACGGCCGTCGTGATCCTGTGCGGGAGTGCCACCAAAAGATTGGTGCGACATCGATTCCGACATCTTCGCGTGGACGGTGCCAGCAGGGACCATGTATTCATCACCGTAGCAGGTCGCCGTTGGATGATGATGGAAGAGAGATGGAAGAGAGATGGGTATACTTAGAGAATAGGGAAACAGAACGCTTAGACGACGCCGAGCTGGAAGAAGGCACCGCACCACGCTTCGTCGACGTTGCGAATGGACGCGGCCTGCGGGTCGTAGCCGCCTGCGCGCTGTTGCTCGGCGCGGAGCTGGCGCCTAGATGCATGCACAACCATAAGACTCGGAGGCCGCGAGGCAAGATCGTGTACGAGTCGGCGGCGCCCGGGCCACGCTTGCCGCCGTGCACAGGGATCGGCTGCGGCCCGCCAAAGACACCGGGTTGAAAGCCCATCATGGCGGCTTCCATCTCGGCCGTGAGCGGCTGGTCGATGGGCACGGCCGTCGTCGGGTTGAGGATCTCGTCGACGTCGTTCTCGTCGCGTTCGCCGAGCGCGACTTCCATGAGCTGCGCCTTTTGGCGCTCGAGGTCGACCTGGAACTTGTTGTCTTCCTTCTGCTGCAGGCGCCGGCGCTCGTCGGCGACGCGCTGCTGCTCCTCGATCATGTGGAGGACGCGGCGCTCTTCCTCGGCTTTCTTTGCATCGTTGGCGTTGATCAAGATGGCGTTCTCCATCTTGTACTGCTTCCACTTCTTTTGGGCCGCCTCCTTCTCGGCCTCGTCGTCGCTCAAGAGCGCAAAGACTAGAATGCATATGAGCCACACATATCGTCCTCGGGCCTCGGAGCGCGTCGTACTGAGGTCCTCGACTTCCTCGAGGTACGCGTTGTACTCGTCGAGCGTATTGAAGTCCTCGCCCGTCTTGTTGTACGTCTTGAGCACCTTCTTCCGGATCGCAATGTCTTTGGCAAAGTCCTGCTCCTCCTTGGTCTTGTCCTGGAGCTGCGACTTTTTGATCGGCTTTCCGCAGCCCGGCTTGGCGCATGTGATCTCGCGGTGGTGCTGGAACTCGCGCTTGACGCACTGGTCGCAGCTACGCGCAGAGCATGAGCCGCCGTCGCCGCCGTCGCCGCACGTACTAGCGATGGCCGCACTTGGAGATGAGGATCTTCATACGCGTGTTAAGGATGTTCGAGTCGTCGTCGGCGGCGGTGCCACAGACGCAGCACTTGGCCGCGAACTCATCGTCCGTCGTCTTCATCGCGGGCCCCAAATTGCACCACGGTATATTAGTTGGTTTCGACTGCAATTCCAATCGACTAAACAGCCGGTGTGGCGGTTGGAGCAACCGGTTGAAGGAAACGGCGCCAAAATCGCCAAATCCAAATTGAAGATCCGCATTGGCGCGAGGCCGTTTGAACACTGCGTGGCGTGCTCCTGCGTTGGTTGCCAGCATACGGAGCATGACCAAAAGTACTGTCGATGAGGGCGCGCCCAGCGTGCACGAGACTGGCGACTACACTGCCACACGTATCGACCATCGCCGAGATTTACGTCGCAGCACCGCGCGAGGTCTTCGCCCTGGCCAGCTACCGTATGCGCTTGAGCTCATCGACGAGGAGCTGCGACAGCGGCGCTTTTGCGTGGCACTCGGTGGTGGAAGGAAGACCTGGTTGCGCCCAGGGACGGCGAGTTTCGAATTCTATCTTCATTTGGATTGGCCTATTTTCATCCACTCTCTGCTGTTTTGCACGATGTGCGGCGAATGATTGGCCAGCACATGTTGGAACAAAACGGTCATGTCGGCGCCATCGAGTCTGGCCGACATCGCTGCGCTCCCACCCAAGCGCCTCGGCCACGTCGTCGCGTACGTGCACCAGGTGCAGCACACAACGCTCAAAGACAAGCCGCACATAATCCTTTGGGTCGGCGATCCAAGCGTCGCGTACTTCAAGCTCCACGCATGGGCCTCGGAAGCGCCGTTGGTCACCAAGCTTGTCGCCGGCGACATTGCCGCCTTTCGCAACCTCCGCGCTAAATGCTTTCGTGGTGTCGTCGAAGGTCACTTGACGCGGTCGTCCTCCGTCGTCGTGCTCATGCGGAACAACCAGTTTCTCGACCCACACCGCGCCGAGTCGCCGTCCTTCTGCACGCTGTTGCCACTCCTCGACTGGACGCGGCAGCTCGAGGCGTCCGGTCGCAGCTTTGGACATGTCAACATTCCCGAGATTGCGATCAAAGACTTGCGGGAGAATATGCTCGCGCATGTCGTGTGCCAGCTGCGCCCGTGTCCGCCACCCGCACCACACAGCTACGCCATGATGTACAGCGGCCCCGAGGATGGCATGCTGCTCCATCTGTGGAACGACCCGCTTTCATTCCGATCGCTTCGGTACAATGCGCCGGTGCGGGTGACGCACCTCCTCATTTCGTTTGACGCGTCACGCCAGTGCCTCGTGGCCACCACAACGGGCGAGTCCCGCGTCGAGTACTTGGCCGACGCGCCCGAGACGGCATCGCCCACGTCGATGACAAGTGCTGTCGAGTTTGACGGGTTCAACGACGCAATGGATGCCGCGCTCAACGGACACGTCATCGTTCGCCGCGTTGGGATCCGCCACGTCATTTTGCCGTTTGCATGGGACGAAGGCGCGTGGCAGCTCATTGAAAAGTACTGCGTCCACTGCGAAACGACGCTGCCGGAGGCGCCGCTCAACGTGCACCCGCGCCTGTATAGCTCCTGCGTGCACGAGTGCGACGGGAGTGCCCGCGACGTCTGGCGCTACAAGCCGTTTGTGCTGGAGCTTGTCGATGTGCACGGCGTCTCGGCCCACGTCCACGCCCATGACGTGGCGATTGAGCGCCTTCTGGGCCACATTCCGGCGTCGCTCCTTGCGGCGCCCACACCCGACGGTAGCCTCGAGTACCGGTTGATTGTCGAGGCGCTCTTGCGGTCGCTTACCGACACGTCGCATCCGATTGACGTACATGTGTACTGCAGCGTCGTGGGCCAGGGCGCGATCTTTGCCCTGGTGGGCATTCCATCCTAGTTGTTTGTTGGCTCGTCCTTCGTAGTTAGTCGACGACGATCTTAGTCGACGATGATCTTAGTCGACGACGAGACACTATTTAAATGCTTACAGTATTTACACCCTTTGCGGCGTTGGTGGCGTGGCGGCGAGAGCATGTTCCGCTTCAACTTTGATGAGACCGCCGAGGCGAGTAGCGCCGCCAGTGCGGCCGCGCCTCTGCCAATGGCCAAGCGACCGGCCAAGCTGCACACGGAGAGCTCGCTGCAGGTGTGCGACGACTACTTTATGCCGGTGACCGTCGGCGGCGCCTTGCTCGCCGTCGTGAACCAGCAGCACCCGCTCTTTGTGCAAAGTACGAGACCGCCGACTCGTACCGACAGCATCTCATGCAAACGATCGTAGACACGGGCGCGCTGCAAAAGCTCTTGACGACCCACGATCTCGAGACTGGCGTGTACGAAGGTCGCGTCGTCGTCGTGCAAGATTCATGCTCACATATGCTTGTAGGCGGCTTCAAGCTCTGGGAGTGCTCGATCGACCTCATCGAGTACCTCCAGCAGCACAAGGCGGACTTTCCGATTGGCGACCGCGGCCTTCGGGTCATGGAATTGGGCTGCGGCCACGGCCTGCCAGGCATCTTTGCACTCCAGCAAGGTATGTGATAGTTATACCTCGTGCAGTCGCCGAGTGTGGACATGCGTATTAGGCGCGTCCCATGTGCTCTTCTCCGACTACAACAGCGAGGTCATCGAGCTCGCAACGATCCCCAACACATTGCGCTGCGCCGGCGACCGTCTCCAGCACGCGTCCTTCTACTCCGGCGACTGGGCCCATGTCTCGGAGGCCATGGCAGCCACTGGCGCCATCGAGGACGCGTACGACCTCATCTTGACGGCCGAGACGCTGTACACGGAAGACGTGACGAGCGCCCTCTTGGCCGTACGACACCCATCGCGCCATTGCAGAGGATGATAGATCGTCCGTGTAGATGATCAAGCGTCACTTGAAGCGGTCGGGCGTCGCGCTCGTGGCGGCCAAGACGTACTACTTTGGCACGGGCGGCAGCGTCCACCACTTCAAGGATCTTGTGGCGCGCGAAGGCGACATGGTGGCGACGACGGTGTGGAACGGCAACGACTGCCGCTCCAACATCCGCGAGATCGTTCAAGTGACGTACAAGTAAAGCAAACGACGGTACAGCCCATCGTTTCGACTTCAAAATTTCGCCTGTTGCGCATGGCACATGCAGCAGCCGCGATGCGTTCGCGCAGCAGACTGTATTTTGGGTAAGAACACCGTGTACACTCGACTGCTAAGAAACCAGAATGTACCCAGGCAAAACGAGTCTAGAAAGCAAGCTAGAGTACTGTAGATGGTATCAGAGTGAACGAACACACAGAGCAATTGGCACCAGAATCGGATTGCGGGACGATGGTGTTGAACCTTGGCCATTACGTCGTCGCGGTAAGGCCGCCAACGCCAACATCGCCAGGCGCAGATCTCGCATCGGCGCGCTGATTGGCCAGTCCCGATGACATGCAAGCGTTACGTGATGTGATTGGCGCGTTATCCGGATGTGGCCGAGTCAGCCGGCGTGGGAGGCGCTTGGCCAGCTGGATTTGCGGGTGTTGACTTGACACGAACCTCGGTCCCGCGCGCGACGTCGTCAGATTTCGATTGACTGGGTCCTCCATGAGCAGCCTCTTCCGCACCTTCCGCCGGCCGGCCACTGCCCGCTTCTTCTCGACGCACCCCAACGTTGTCGCCTTGCGCCAGGTGGACCCGGCGTCGCCCGAGAACGCGACCGATACCTACTACGTCCGGACGTTGTACGGCTTGGCTTCAGTGGTCATCCGCGCATGCTCACTCGGTGCTGTCTAGGTCGCCTGGCTACAGCTCGTGCATCGCCGCCAAGGACCTCAAGGTCGGTGACCGCATTGGCTCGACCGTCGGCACGGTGGTACGCTCATCGATACTCTACAATCAGGTTCGTTACCCTCGTACTCTCGATCTAGTACTCGACGCCGACCCGCTTTACGATTCAAATGGCTCTGGACAAGCACGTCGAGATCTTTGGCGGCATGCAATACGCCAACCACCACTGCAACCCGAACGCGTCCTTCCTCATGTCCGAGTCGGACCCGACTGTGACGCTGGTCGCGATCAAGCCGATTGCCAAGGGTACGAAGTCTCCTCTCGGTCTGCACGGCAATCATGCGAGTGTAGGCGACCACATCACCTTTGACTACGACACCACCGAGTGGGACATGGATGAAAAGTTCTCGTGCAACTGCGGCGACGCGGCGTGCCGCCACGAGATCCGCGGCGCCAAGCACATTGGCGACGCCGAGACACTGCGCCTGTTGCCAAACTTTAGCCCGAGCGTCATGCGCAGCCTTCTCAAGCACAAGCTCGTCCAAGGCTGAGCCGTGCGTCCTAGTCTAGAAGCTCGGTCACAAGTGCCTGCGGCCGTTTGCTAACTTGTATTATGTCCCTTCCGCTACTTCGTAGTACGCATTTGCGTTAAAGCACCTTGTCCAAGGGTCATCGCACGGACAACGTACGCGCGTTGGGCTACAGTGCCCTCAACATGGTCGCGACGTCACCACAGATCGCTGCACACCAGACCACAGGTCGTTCGAGCACAAGACCTGCTGAGCTCGTGTAGAGAATTCTAGAAGCAACCCACGGAAGCAGCCTGCGAGTGTGGCTCAACCTCCCAGATGCTCGGCGTGTTTACTCTGCCGGCAGGCGATGGCAAGCCTTTTTGACGAACGGCGTGGTCAGCTGCGCGTGCCGTCATCATCATGGGCTCTTGCCGTCATCACCATACGCCATCAACATCATCCTCCCCGCGGAGGTTCCACCTGCTGGCGCCACGCCCCATCTTTTTCCAACAATGACGTGGCACGCGCACAGCGCATCAACTCATATTGCACTTTCTATTTACGCATTTTACTTGAGGTAGCGTTCGGCGACCTTAAAGGCACCAAAGGCCGCGCCAGCCGCGACGGACGCAAAGAACACCGAGACGCTAAGCGGCATGCCAAAGGGCGGGACAGGCGGCGTCGCAATGTTGGCCGGGTCCTCGTACAAGGCGGTCTTGGTGTGCGCCTTGTCCTTGACAATGAACGCAGCACGGCGACCGGCCACAAAGCCGTCTTCGTGGAAGCCACGACCGAGCCACGCGCCCGAGAGCGTAATGCCGTCTTCCTGGAGAATGTCATCTTGGGGAATGCAGTCGGCGAGGCGGCGCGGGTGGTCCCAAGGAAAGTCCATGATGAGGAGGTCCTTGGCCGGCGTCTTGCCCTTGTAGCCACCTGGCGTGATCGTCACAAACACGTCCTGGTCCGTCTTGAGGTGCTGGATGCGGTTCATCCAATACGTGAGGATGTAGTCGTCGTTCTCCGTGATGCGCACGTTCCAGCTCGACCACGCCTTCTTGTCGTTCGAGAGGAAGCTCGGGTCGCGGTGCACGTACATGTGGCTCTTGTGGAAGTAGTAGTCCATCAAGTTGTTGTTCTTGGTCGACCACGGCATGAGCGCCGCGCTCTCCTCGGCATGGCACGCAAGCACGACGTGGTCGCAGTCAATGCGCTCGCCGTCCTCAAGCGTCACGCTCTTGCCGCCCTGCTCGACCGCGACCACCTTAGCGTTGGTCTTGACGACGCCCTTGTGCTCGGTGAAAAACTTGAGGAACGGCGCCTTGTACGCCGAGCCAATGTACCACCAGAGGTGCTTGGGGCGGTCCATGCGGCGACCAATCGCGCCCATGATCACCTGCCAGAGCGGAATGTAGAGCGAGTTGGAGTGCGTCTTGAGGCAGCGGAGGAACTGCGACGCGGGCAGCGCCATGACGTCGTGCTTGGGCACCGTCCAGAGGATCGCGACGAACGGGAGGTAGTAGTGGCGGAAGAACGCCTCCGAGTACTTGCTGCTCTTGGCCCACTCGGCTGTCGAGACGTTCGACTTGACGGGCATCGTGAGGAGGTCGACCGTAAACTGGTAAATGTCGTAGATCACACGCCACTTCTTGAGCGAGAAGAGCTCGAGGAGCGAGCCAAACGGCTTGCGCGACGAAAACTGCATGTCGCCCGGGACGTCCGAGTCGACCGAGAGCGACATCGGGATGCGCTTGTACGTCGTGCCGTCCTCCTTCGTGATGCCAAAGTCCTTGAACCACTGCTTGATGTTCGGGTTCGAGTCGCCAAACATCATAAAGCCGAGGTCCACCGACTCGCCATCGACTTCGATCGCGTACGTGTGGCCGCCCACGTAGTTTTCCCGGTCCACAAGAATGACCTCGTGCTCGTCCTTGGCGAGATGGTATGCGGCCGAGATACCGCCAATGCCAGACCCGACGACGACAACCTTCATCTTACGTAGCGCAAAACTGTAAATGCCGGTCACCACCTCGGACGTCCCTCGCCGCAAAGACAGGGACGGACCAATGAAAAGGCCATCTCGACACCTACACCTAGCAATATCAAGTGCGAGAGGTATAGACAGCCCTCTGCCGCTAGAAAGGGCGACACATATCCATTTTGAGAGGTGTCTACGCAACAGCCCGCCCACCGGATGCTGACAGTATCCTGATGCCATGATTGCATGGACGTGCGGCTGCCACGTATTTCTGCAGCCGTTGCGGCAATGTCGACACCAGTGCTGGTTTCCATGGGCGCATATCGCGGCAGCGATGACATCTGCGTGTATCGATGCGAGCCTGAGCTTCATGAGCGCTCCCCAAGATGACCAGGCATGGCCTACTCCTACAATGTCGAGTCGCGAAAGCCTGCAAAGCAGCTCGCAGCTGGCGGTCGAGCGTAGCGGCCGTCGTCAAGAGGCCAATAAGTTGAGGTCATGGTCTATGTCACCGCGACACCCGGGCCACTCGTCGCGGCCACTTGCGTGGACGTTGGCACCAGCTGCTTGCTGTTGCAATGCAGCGTAATGCAAGGCGGCCCGCTCGACCCACTCGACGTTATCGCGCGCTTGTCCAAGCGATCGCAGAAGAGCCATCGGCGTCTCCGTCTCTTGCGGAGCGGGAGCCTCTCGGCCAGCCACGAGGACATCCAGAATCGTGCTTGAAGAGCATTTGACCGGTAGCAACAGCTATTAACTCGTAGCAGGACCGAGCTGCGTTGCGGCGAGGTCCCGGCGAGCGTCCGCCAGCTCTGTATCCGGATTCCGGTTGAAACGACGTTCCCGGGCTTTTGCGCAACTTAACCGAACGGCGACGTTAAGTGCGCGGCTGGTAGCATGGCCGAGGACACCCGCGCCCGCGTTGCCGCGTTGCTGGCCTCGTCAGACGCGGTCGAGATGGACGCCATAGTGGGTCGCGTCATGGAGGCCATCGATAGGTACATACGTGGCTTGCATGCGCCGATGCCAATGCTGATGCTTTAGCGGCTACGAGATGGTTCCGCTGGGCGACCTGGCGCGCGTCGCGACCAAGGAGCTCCGCGTGCCTGCCTTGGGATCGCGCACGACGAGCGGGTGCTGCTCGGCCGATACAATCGAGAGCTGCACGTGTGTCTTTGCGAGCGAACCTGCCCACGTGCTCGTGGCACCCAAGGCGAACGCATTGCTCGTCGGGTACCTCGAGTCGCGCCACAACCAGCTCTACCTCCAGGATGCAAGCGCTCACCTGCGTGTGACATTGACCCATCTCGATCCCAATGCGCTCGGCCAGTGCTTGCTGGTGACGGCGTGGACGTATGTGCACACACGTCTGCAAGGCCATCTCGACGTCGCATCCTATACGGTCGTGCCACGCAACGCGCCGACAGCGTGGCAGACGCCAAGCTTCGACTGGGACGACCTCTTTCGCATGCGTTATCCGCGCCACATGCCGCCAACGTACGGTGGACCAGGAACGCTTCTGGCAGCCCTCGCCGCCGCCACGTCGTCCGAGCTCGGTAGTACAAAAAGCCGCTCGTTCATGGTCCGTGGGCGTCTCCGGGCCTTCTCACCCGTCGTCAAGTCGTACTTTTTTGCTGAAATCGACTGTGTGCACGCTGGCGCCCGGCAGGTTGCGTCGGTACTCGTGGCTGGCGACGCCGTCCGCGTCCACCCGTGCTTGGTGCCCGGTATGGACCTTGTCGTCACCGACACCATCAAGATTTTTGCCAAAGAGCACGGCATCTACATGCTGCAGACGACGCCGACGTCCGTTGTGTGGCGCGTGCCACCAAACCCGTCGTCGTTGCCGCCCTTGGACATCGTTGCCGTCGACGATCTCGACACCGACGTCGGCGGTAGCATGGTCCATGTCCGCGGCGTCGTCACGCGGTACCTCGGGCCCGACACGTTGGAGCTCAGCCACCGATGGACACTCCAGTGCATGCACTTTCCACCCAGTTGCGTTCTTCGCGTCGGGGCCGCCGTCGTCGCCTACCACGTGCACGTGACGGCGCCACGAACGCTCGGTCTATGCGCGAGGAGCACGCTTCTCGTCGATGCCATCTCGACTGCGCATACGCGGCTCTTGCGACCGCACGTCCATCTCAAACAGTCGTCACTCGCGCTACACCAACTGCCGCTGCCGACCGTCGCAGCACTCACAGCGCTCCTCCCACAACTTCTCGACAAATTTGGTGGTCGGCGGCCCGCGTCCGAGACAGCATCGCCACCGGCGTGGCATCTCGTGGCCTTGGCCAAAGGCGACCGCGCCGTCTGGCGCAAGCGCGAGCTCTTGCGAGCCATCGCTGCGCGCCAAGGCATCGAATGGACGGCAACACTCCCGACGCTCGCCGCATCGTTTCTGCAGCACGAAATGGACTGCTTTAGCAGCCGCGCACCGAATCGACCGCTCCGAACTGCCATTACCATCGCGAACCTCATCGAGGTGGCGCTGGCGGCCAAGAGCGACACGCTGTCGTCGGACGTCGACGACGTCTTGGCACCGTTTCTTGTGCTTGGATGCATCATTGGGTGCGCGGCCACGGCGTCCTGTGCCCTCGCCGACCGCACGGGGTCGATTCCTCTCGTGCTCTTGCCGTCGTCACCACCGACGCACGTGCCAACGGCGACGCTCTACGAAGTTCGCACGTTCCAACTGCACATGCACCGCGTCGGCGGAGGCGGCGCCGGGACTCCAGGACTGTTTGTCCGCGGCGATGCGACGTACGCGGTCCATCTCACGTGCGCGGTCGAGGCGCTGGTACCGCTGAGACCGCAAGACAACCAAGAAGACAGTACTAGTGACGAGAGCGCATCGATGGCGTCGCCGCTGCTGCTGCTGGTCGAGCACGTTCAAGTCCACAACACGGGGCTCCTCGTGCATGGTATCGACGTCACGACGCCGTCGCAGCCGCACATGGTACACGTCCTTGTCCCGAATGCACCGTGGCACGTCGGCGCCCGGGGCGCTGTGTGGCAACTGGACCGCTCAACGCTCACGAAAAGTCGCGAATTGACGTTCACACCACCGGCGGCCCGGGGCGCATTCGAGCTGCATCGAATCATCGCTCAGTTGCCGAGCTACTGGGGAAGCCTCTCGGACGACGCGCTGGCCGTCGACGCCGTGCTTGCCGCCCTCGCCAAGCGTCCCCATGAAAGGCTCTCTCTCGTGACGTACCAAGCGTCACCGTTCACGCGCATCCAAGGCGTGCACATCAAACCCGATGCCCCTTTAGCTTATTCCGACACGAGTCCTCCATGTACGCTCACGGTGGCCACAAAGGTGGTGCCAGCGCGGCAATGGCGCGAGATCCAGCTCCTCCAATCGATCCTGACGTCGTTAGAGCCGCTGCGGCATCCCAAAGAGGTCTGCGTCGTGCCGCTTGTCCATCAACCGTCCACGGCGCCTGTCACCGAGTTTCTCGCGCTCCCAAGCGTTCACAAAGACGTGCTCGTCTCGCTTGTCGGACGCGTCGTCTCGGTGCACATGACGTACCACAAGGATGTGCTTCGAGGGCAGGACGATGCGCTCATTCGCGTCCATTTGCAAGACCTCAAGTCGCGCGACCTTGTCGACATTACGTGGAACGTGGGAAAATACGCGTATCCGTCCGGCCTCGGTCCCGGCGCCGTCGTGACCTTTCATCGCATCAAGATGCACATTCGCCGGCTCTCGTTCAAACCGTACTTTGCCATGCTGCACACGACGCGGGTGGTGGTGGTGCACGTGACCGAGGTGCCGTCGCCGCCGCCCGTGCCGCGCAAGCTGCTCTTGGAACTCTACCAAGTCGACGTCGCCGATCGACGCTACTATGAGCACGTCGTGACGGTCTGCCATCTCTCGTACGCAACGTTGAAGCTCCAATGCGCGCGGTGTCAGCGCGTCGTTGTTCGGGACGGCCACGGGTCGTTGCGCCACGCCCAAGAAGACTTGGCGCCGTGCCCTCGCTTGGTTCGCGACGTGGTCGTGCTATGCAGCGTCCGATGTCTCGTCGACGACGGCACCGCCCAAGTCGAAGTCTACGCGTCGGGCGATGCCGCGTGGCATCTCCTCCATGTAATCGTCGTTGCATGCTGTAACCATCTGATGACGAGGGGTAGGTGTCGGGAGCGGCGCGGGCGCAGCACGAAGCCACGGCCGTCGCGCTTGGCGCCGAGCTCGCCTACTTTAGCAACACGGCGCCGGGCCTCTTTGACGCGCCGTCGCCGCAGATGCAGTTTCATGTCGACGCGTGGCGTGCGTGCATCCAGAACGAAGCCCGTCGTCACACACAGATCGTCTTGCATGCCAAGCGGTTTTACGCCAAACTCAAGCCGGCGCCAGATCTCTCGATCCTGCGCTGCGGCGAATTCCAGCTGCGGACGCCCGTGCAGCCCATGGTGCAGCTGGAAGCGATCGCGGTTCACGACCTACATGTGCGCTACGAGTGGTGGAGCATCCAGCAGGACTTGCAGGCGCTCCAGATTGCTTTCTAGTCGAGGGGTCCGCATGTTGGCCACACACCGCGTACATCACCAGTCCACCAATAGAATACATTGTGTCGTGCGTCTGCCTTCCGTTCTTCGATTGGTGCCACTTGCCATTTTGGCGGGGGGTTCAGTCTGCACGGGCCCGTTAAAGGGCGATGTCATGACGTCACAGTGCTCGCAATGAGTCGCGTTGCGACAAGATGAGTGGGTGCCCCCCCGGGCCACCAGAGGTCGAGTTTGAAGGGTTAACGCTACGATGGGCTCCGTCCCCAAATTTGTCGACTCGGCCTTGAAGGGCTCGTCAAGGGTCTCTGAGGCGAGTTCCTCAACGACGACAAACAGTGATTGAAGGCGGGTGCGCACCAAAGAACTGGGAGATTGGATTGCCCGCGGCGTGAGACAGCCATGCTTCTCTAGTCACGAGTAACATGAAACCCAAGCCCAAGCATTTGCGTTTGCGCATTTTATTTGAACTACCCCCAACGTGGTTCAAGGCGGTCTTGATGCTCCCCAACGTCATCATAGCGTTCGTCCATTCGTCCTTGGCGATGGCCTGAGCTTTAAACATCTCTCAGGAGTCGATCTCGGCGCCTCGTCGGTGACAGCCGAGGTTGCTTCCGTGTCGTGTTGGGATGCCATGGCACGCTGACACATCTACATGCCTCAGTGTGCGGTGCTTTTTCGACCGCCTTGCTCTTGGCATCCATTCCAGCGGCCTCGGCCGCAGTGGAATCGTCCATCTTGGCCTTGGTGTCGGTGAGGATTTGATCACGTTCTTCGCACGCGTCGATTGGACTTGCAAACGTGGTCTGTCTGGATGGCGCCATTCTTGATGTAAAACACGCAGCGCTTTCCGCGCGGCCATCGTTGAACCGTGAGGCGACGGTCGTAGAGAGTGTGGAGCATCGCGATGTCGAGCTTGCAGGCGAACGTGCGAGCATGAGCGCCAAAACCAATGGACACCTCCTCGACCGTAATACCTTCATTGCGTGTCAAGAGAAGATCGCCATGCCCATCGATATCCGGATCGTATAACCGGATGCCACACGGCAACAGGATGGCTCCGCGACGCATGCTCGGGCGCTTGGCCGGACGGGCCATGGCAGGCGCATCGGCTGCCCATGTACAATGGGCGGCGACGAGTTCGATGGACGTACCCCATCGTACCAGCAGCGTCGTCGTCGCCGGCCTTCTCATTGGCGCTGGCCTCACCGCCGTGGGCGCCGCCAGACTCTACACGACCCCGCCCGCACGGCGCCTTGAGGAGCCCAACAGCTGCACAAAGCGTGCGCTGCCAAGCGGCGAGGCTACGAAAGACGAGCCGATGGACATCGACCGACTCGTCGCGGTGCTGGACGCCCTCGGAGCGGCCGTTGATGCGATCGAGGTACAAGACCATTTGCAAGCGTTGCCAACGCCTTTGGCGATAGGTGTGCATAAGCACATGGGAGCGCGAGCTGCGCGACGAGAACACACTGACGGAAGCGCAGCTGCTCGAGGCGATCACGGCTCGGTATGCACGCGCCCGCGACGAGGCCAAGGCCAACGTCTATGCTTCGTTCGGGTGCTCGGCGAGCGAGGTGGATGGCGCAATCGCTGCTTTTGGCGCCAACAGCAAAGTCATGGCTCGTCTCAACCGTCTGCGCGCCACGACCCACCCGTCTGTTCCTTCTTCTTGCATCCAGACGTTCAAGACTGTGATTAGCGAGGACGAGATGCCCCCGGCACTGACCAAGGCGCAAGTTCTGGCCATCGTCGCCGAGACCCTCGACACGTTCGCCGCGGCGATGGAAGAAGCAACGAGCGATGCCAAGAAGCTCGGCAAAGCCGACTCCGCAGAGGACGAGCGCGCGTGGACAAAGGCGTACGATCCGCTGCTGCTGCTGCTTGGTGGATGGTGCTCATGCTTCTCTTAGCATCCACGCGCGTGCCAACCACAAGCTGGCCAAGAGCGTTGCCGACGGCGCTCTCTTATTGGCTGCAATTCGCGCGTACAGCGTCGACGCGGCCTTTGTGGAGCAGCTGCAGGCGCTGCAGGCCGCGCACCATGCAAGGTCGGACCGTTGGCTCCGTGCTTTTTGCCACGTCATTGGTTGTGTAGGCTGGCCGCCCTATAAAGTCTGGGCGAATATCAAATGTAAGAGGTTTGCCAACGAAGTTGGTTGGCTGGAACGTTCCGGCGCCGCGTATGCGTTCTGAAAGGGTCCGGATAGCGTTGTGGACCATCAGTCGTATCGATTGTCGCAGGTTTCGACATCCATACAGTGTTCCAGTCGAACGAAAGTGATATCTGCGATCTTAGCCAGGTCCAGCGACGTTCATCCGTCGGGACAAGCGACGAACGACGAGCGAGCTATCGTGGCCGTTGAGCGGCGTTGCCGGCCATCCAGAGACCCAACGCTAGGTTGCGCCACCGCTCCACATGCAGCTGGACCTTCCTTCCAGCTGCCTTCCTTCGACCATCCACTCAGCTACATGCACGGCTGACGTGACATGCCTCCGTTTGCAAACGACATCAAGGGGCGATGGCGTACCGCCAACGAACGAACGAATTGGAGACGGAAAAAAGCCTCGCGCGCAGGAACAGTCGAGCAGCCACAGCATGGATGGCCATGAGAGCTCCAGATTCCTGCCAGACGGCGGCCATGGATTCGACCGACCGAGCGTTTCCCGCCAACACCGACGACGCCAACGCGCGCCGTGACAAGGGCATCGATACAGAGCATCTTGTTGATCGTCGACCAAGACGAGCGACGTAGAAGCCATCGTGGCACGTCAGTCCTCGGCGCGTGCTGCGTTAGCCATTTGAAAATATAAGTTCTGAGAGGTCCATCGGCGGGTTGAACCACGTGAGAGAGGGTGACTAGACGATTTGGAGCGCAATCCGCGGCGCCGCCTCCTTGCAGCATGTCCGACGCCGTCCCCTCGAGCGCGGCCACGATGAAGACCGAAGGGCCGCCCAAGAAGCAGGCCAAGACGGGCACGCCCCGCACGGCGACGCCCAAGGCACCGAGGGCCGCGCGTGCCACCTCGGGCGGGGCCAAGAAAAGGCAGCACCGGCGCCCGTGGCCATTCCGCCCAATGGCCTCGCCAAGCCGAGCCCGCAGCCGACTCCTGGCCCACCCGCCTTTTCTGCGCCGCCGGCCGCGACCGCACCCATGGCCGCCAATGCCAACATGCCTCGCCCAGCGTACCCGGGCATGCCGCCAGCGCAAGCCCAGGGCCCAAACGCCATGGGGCCGAACGCGCCAGACACGAACGTACGCCGCAGCATCATGCACGCGCTGTTCATGCGCTACAAGCAGCTCCACGGCAGCAACGCGGACGACGCGACGTTGCAGCGGATGGCGGCGAACCTCGAGCGCGAGATCTTCCAGCGCGCGCCGATGCGCGACGAGTATGCGCAGGTCGCGGCCGCCGAGATCAAGCGCCTCGAAGTGAGCCAGCAGATGTACGGGACGCCGCCGCAAGGCCGCGAGATGGCGTCGGGCGGCGCGACGCCGGTCGGCCCGCCGCAACGCCCGCCTGCCCCGTACGGCGCCCCGTCGCCCGGCGGCATGATGGACTACCGGTCGTCGTCATCCGGGTCGTACGTACCGCCCAACACGCTTTCGTACCAAGAGTTTTGTGCGCGCATGCAGTACCAGCCGATCCAGAAGCTCATCGACATCATGTGGAGCCAGCGCACGATGATCTACGACTTGCAGCAGGAGCTGTGCCACTACAAGAAGCAGCTGCAGCCGCCACCGTCCGCTCAAATGTACCCGCCGTCGTACCCGCCGCAGCAGCGACCGTACCACCCGAGCCCCAACGCCACCACCACCACCAACAATGGCGAGAGCACGCCGACGACGAGCTACGACCGGCGCCCGCCGCCGACGCCGCCACAAAACGCGACTGCGTACTGGGCCAAGGTCGCCGAGCTCAAGGACGCGCACAGCAACCACCTCAAGAAGGCGTACCAGATCCTCTGCATGGCGTCCCAGTCGACCGCCAGCATGCAGTCCAACAAGGCCGAGAGCATGAAGCAGAACATCCACTACGCCATGGTCGTTCTCAACGAAACCCAGGAGACCGCAGCGCAACCGCGCGACTTTTCGGTGATTACGTCGGTCGAGGCGTTCATCCGCGAGAGCATTCTGCCGCTCATCCGCAAGGTCCAAGAAGTCTCACAGCAAAAGGCTGGGACGCCGACGCACGCCGGTCCGGCACAAGGCCCGCCGCAGCAGCAAGTGCCACCGCACCAACAGCACCAACACCACCACCATCCGTCGCAGCAACTGCCACCGCAACAGCAGCAGCAACAACACCAGCAGCAGCAACAACAACACCCGCAGCAGCCACAACAACACCCGCAGCAGCAGCAACACCAGCAGCAGCAACACCACCACCACCACCAACAACAACAGTCGCAGCAGCAGCAGCAGCCACAGCAGCAACCGCTGCGGGGGCCGACGCCGCCGGTGCAAGTCAAGGACCGGGGCCAATTTACAAAGCAGCTCCTGGACGAGAAGAAACCGAGTGCGAAGGAGAACCAGAGCAGCAACATGGACGACTTTGATGACTTTACGGGCCTCGACGACCTCGACGACCTCGACGAGAAGGACGACGACACCCGGTCGTCGTCGTCGTCGTCGTTCAATGCGAAGAAGCGTCCGCTGAGCGAACTTTAACCCTGGAATCCGATGGACAATGTGTAGTATATTTCGTTAGCTACGACTCAAAACAGATGGATTAGTGCCCGGCCATGTGCAAATTATGGGCGCGGCTGAGCATGTACTTGGCGCGGTCGCCCGCCGCCCAGTCCTTGCCGTGCGGAAAGATCCCGTCAGGCAGCTCCGACCACGGCACGTACGCGATGTCAACCGCGCCGTCAAACGGCATCTTGTGCATCTCGGTGGCTAAGAAGTACTTGATGACGGGCGCGACGAGGCTCGACGCGGCGCCGCTGTTGGCGTCGTGCTGCATTTCAAAGCCCACAAAGTAGCTGCCTTCACACGACGACGGCTGCAGTAGCGTCGGGAACGGGTGCACTGTCAAGATCGTCGCCGTGTGCTGCAAAATGTCGACCAGTCGCCGAAGCCGCGATGCGACAAAGCTGCTGTACGCGACGAAGCCGGACGCGCCCCGCAGCCGCAGCTGCACATAGTGATCGTAGCGCACGGCAAAGTCCGACGGCGCAAAGAGCTGCGTCCACGCCAACGGACTCGTGAGCACCTTGAGCTGCATGTCGTCTAGAATCAACTTGGCGCGTGTGAACTCTTCTTTGAGAACTCGCAGCGTCGAGAAGGTCACGTTGGCCGCCGAGTTCATCGCGGGGTAGCCCGGTGTGATGATCGGCATCGCATGGGCCCGCTCATGGACGTTGGCGTTCGGACTCCACTGCGGAAACCCGAGCCCGGCGTCGTACGGCTTGGCGAGCATGATCGGCGTTGGCCACTTCCACGACGCGAGCACGGAGAAGAAGTGGTGGTAGACCGACGCAGCGACCGCGTTTGGAAACATTTGGCACACGAACGCGACCAAGACGGTCCACGAGATGCCGCCGAGGAAGCCGACCTTGTTCGAGTAGAGCCCTCGGCGTTTGGCCCAGAGACGCACGGCGCGAAGGCATGTGCGAAAGGTGCCCGGGTGCGGCACGAGCTCGAGGATGAGCGACGCTGTCCGCGGCACGGACAGCGACCGCACCGAATTGACGTCCATGTTGGCGAGGATGTGGTCGCTGTGGATCGGCAAGTGCTTTGGCACGCTCGGTTGCGTGAACCGTGCAAAGAGGAGGTCGACTTTGACCTTGTGAAACTTGAACGTGATCGTTGGCACATACGCGTCTTCCATGCAGACAACGTCGAGAATGCCACTCGTCTCAGAGAGCACGAGCGGTAGCTCGGTGCAAAAGGCCGATAGCGTCACGGCGTTGGGTACGACGACAACGATGTCCAAGTCCGAGTCTTTCGTGTCGACTTTGAGGTACCAGCTACCGCCGACGTACAGGGCGGCGTGTCGCCCGGCCATCCACTTGTCAATGATGCGGTCCATCTCGAGAAGGACGACGTGCTTGCTCGTCAAGCTCTCGCTGTCCTGGACCGGCCCGAGCGTGTTGAGGCACTTGAGGAGCCCGTTCGAGTTGCGGAGCTCGTACTCGGTCGGCGGCGGCGACGGCGACGGCGTCACCATCGGCTGCAGATGGCACTCGCGCCGGAGGTTTTCCAAAATCGAGTTGGTCTCGCCGCGCAAGATCGACTGCCGCATCTCGCGCTTCGTGCTCTTGGACAAGACGCCTTGCGATGCGGCGTGGGCGATTGCGCCGCGGATGATGCTCGTGTGAATCCGCGGGCCCGCGACCTTGAGCCTCCGCGTCGTCGTCGTCGTCGTTGTGGTCGGTGTCGTCGTCGTCGTTGCCGGTGTCGTCGTTTGCGGTGGTGTTGTCGGTGTCGCGGTTGATTTGTCCTTGAGCTTGCGATGCGCCGAGACGCTCGCCGGGTTCTTGCCGTGCTCGTGCTCAACCGGCGTGTCCGAGTCGCTGCCGCAGCCGTTGCTCATCGTCGTGCTCGTGTCGCAGCTGCTGCTGCGAGACAGTGTCGACGCCTTCTCGTCCGCGCTGTCGGTGCTCGCATCGTCGGCCGGTAGCGGCGGCCACTTGGCCTGCAAGAGCGCGTCCTTGTAGCTAAAGACGCCCGTGCGCGCGTCGTCGCTAGTCGGCGCGTCCTTCCAATGGGCGAGTGCGTCGTGGTCCAATGCACTCGCCTCGCTGCGCGTGCTGCTGGTGCATGCGGTCGGGTGCGTCTCCGCGTCGTCGAGCTTGTTGTTGCTGCAGTGGCGGTAGTACACGTGGGTCATGCTCAAGTGCGCACCGACTTGGTGGCTCTTCCGACGACAATTGGAAACTTGGACCGAGACGAGCCCAAAAGATCCGCCGCCGATTTGATTGGCCGCCTCATGGAACAACTAGGCGCCTCTGTAAGATACCAAGATATAGAAATGCCGCCATCCGGATCCGGATGGACCAACCGCCTGGCGGGTGCGTTGTTCGACGGCTTGAATCACCCAACTTGCGTCGATTTGGCGCCAACCGCCGACGGGTTGCCGGCAGAAAGACGGTCTATAATAACAACGCTCGCAACGGGCCTGCAATCGCTCGCCTCTGCAGCTCGGTAGTGGTTGCACGGATGCAACGCCTTGTCAACGCCCGGTAGATTAGACCGGATCGCCAAAGCAGACTTTTTGGACGGGACCACGAACGCTGCAGTTATTAGCCAGCAAGCAAGCACATGCGCAGACGAGATGCTGCATCGCTGTCGCATGCAGTCGTATGTAGTAGTAGTACGGGCACCAAGGCGAGATGCGCCCGTGTTCGATATATATCTTTTATTTTTTCGTAACCTACGGTAGCCACGACCACTAGCGACGACACTCGCTACGGTGCATGCGCTGGAGCTTGAACGCGATGGCCGCTGCGCGCGTCATGGTCGGGTGCGCATGCATATCAAGGGCGTCGACAACGTCCGGATGGCCGTTACGAAGGGCCAGGAGCCGCGCCGTCTCGCCCGCCTAGCCCCATAGTACACCTGCAGATGCTGCACCGAAGATGGAATACCGGTACCGCATCCTTTGTCGTGGGTTTGGCGCCGGCGTGGAGGAGCGCGAGGACTGTCTCAAAGTGCCCTCGGCTCGCTGCTATCATGAGCGCGGTGCGCGCTTTCTACTCGAGTTTTGTAGTGAGAGCGACGACGAGGGACCGGGCATGTACAAAGTTGCGTGTCTCGACCCGCGCGCCGTACGAGAGCAGGCACCGGACGAGCGGCGTGAAGCCGTGCTTGGCAGCGTAGTAGAGGGGTGTGCAGCCCTTCTACACCCACCGATAGGCTACGGACAAGAAAAAAGCAGCGTCGACGTACATAACGGCAGTCGAGGTCGGCGCGGTGTTGCACGGCCGTGAGCAGCTGCGTGAGGTTGCCAGTCGTCGCGGCCTCGGTGAGTTCCCACGCGAGTCGCTCTTGCTGCGATCGCGTCGGCCGCGCCTCGTTGTTGTGCACATCAAACGGTGGCAGCGAGGCGTAAAACGACGCCGCCGCCTTGGGTGGCATCCTAAACAAAGCCGATTCGGAAATGACGCCGACGTAGCGTGCGCCAATCGGTGCGCGGCGACACGCATGACACACCGTGCATCGACGATCGGCAGGCCGTTCTTTGAATCACTAGACAGCGTCGTCGTGCGAGATGGGTGCCTCAAGCAGGTGTCCTGCGGCAGCTTGCGCGCGCTGCTTTGGCCGTCGGAGCTTACAACGGCGTGGTCGGCGCTCGAGGTGCCTCATTGTGGTGCTCTGCTGCAATAGATATGGGGCTCGGCGCAGGTTGTGACAGCCCTCGGCGCATGGACGGGACGGCAACGGTTGTTTGATGAGACTTGTTGCTGGTTGTTGTTGGTACATTGTGGTCTTGATGCTTCGCGAAGCGACCGAACGCATGAAGTAGTTTAATCGCTGCACTTGTTACCTTGCCATTGCATGGGCCCACGCGGGTTTTCGCCTCGTTTGCACCAGAGACCCATGGACAGCTCTCATAAAGGTAGCCACAACCTCTCTATTACTACAGGCTACTTGTTGGACTTGTCCTCTTGCGCCTTGGTCGCGAGTTGCTTCCAAATGGGCACAGGCAGTGGCTTGGCGGGCTGCAGCGGCGTCGGCTCGCCTGTCAAGGCGTCGTCAAGCGAGCTAATGAGGCCATCGAGGAAGCCAAAGCGGTGGGCGTAGATGCTCGTGAGCGTCAAGCCCTGCGTCAGGAAGAGAATGTGCCACTTCTTCTTGGCCAAGTACTCGCCGAGCTTCATGCTGGAATATGCGTTGACCTTTCTGGTTCTTCTAACGCGCACGCGTTAGAAGCACTTTGCACACCACGTGGACGCGTAGACGGGACGGCGACATTGCACATCGCGTGGATCGGTGCCAATGCCGTCAAGTGCGCACGGGTCACCTTCCTACGGCCGAGCGGGTCGCTCGACGTACTCCTTGTCCTCTATACGAGTCGTAGCGAGGGCCATGTTACTCGTTCGTCGTCGCTCGTCTGGCAACGCGACAACGGTAAAGGAGGGTAGTCGACGATGGAATTTTAGCCAATCAGACGCGTGCGTGGCGATAAGAAAGAAGTTGGTCGTCACAAATTTCAGCAGTCGGTAGCAGCAGCATGAGCAGCGAGGCCAAGCCGGTCGCGATCGCGCCCCTCGCCAAGTACAAGCTCGTCTTCCTTGGCGACCAGGGTGTCGGCAAGACGTCGATGATCACGCGCTTCATGTACGACACGTTTGACAACGCGTACCAGGCCACGATCGGGATTGATTTTTGAGCAAAACCATGTACCTCGAGGATCGCACCGTGCGCCTCCAGCTCTGGGACACGGCCGGCCAAGAGCGCTTCCGCAGCCTCATCCCGAGCTACATCCGCGACTCGTCCGTCGCCGTCGTTGTCTACGACATTACGAGTACGCTGCGCGCAACAGATTGGTCCCTTCACGTTGGTGTCGTTGTTGCATGTAGACCGCGCGTCCTTTCTCAACACGAGCAAGTGGATCGAAGACGTCCGCGCCGAGCGCGGCCAAGATGTCGTCATCATGCTTGTCGGCAACAAGACAGACATTGCGGACCGCCGGCAGGTGTCAATAGAAGAGGGCGCCGACAAGGCCAAGGAAGAGAACGTCATGTTCATCGAGACGAGCGCCAAGGCCGGCCACAACATCAAGGCGCTCTTCCGGAAGCTCGCGACGGTCTTGCCTGGCATGGAGACGACGCCGGCCGCGGCGACCGATGCCAACCGTACGATGATTGCCATGGCATCCCTCCTCCGTATCCTCACGCTTGACCCTGGCTAGTGATTGATATCAAGCTCTCGGCGGCGCCGGCGCCCAAAGAGTCGACGGCCGAGACCTGCGGCTGCTAAGAATATGCAAACGCGCTTTTTAAGATACGACTTCTACATGGACCCCTACGAAACAAAGTGTGCTGGCTACTTGCGCCGACTGCCGCCGCTCTGCACTTCGCGCTCGCGCTCGAGGACCTTCTTCTCCGAGATCTTGTCCCATTCGATTGGGAACTGCTGCATGTACTGGAGAAACTTCTTGTCCGTCTCGTCCATCTTGTTGGCCTAGCCATCCCAGCGGGATTCATACGCGATCCAACAAACACGAGTCGAGATGGTACCGCAAGGAAGCGCTGGCGGTAGGCGAGCACCGTGTCGACATGCGTGCCGGCCGCGGTCGTGTGCTTGATGGCCAAGTCGAGCGCCCGGTCCCAGCGGAAGAGCCGGATGTTCATCTTGATCGCGCGGTACACGAGCGGCGCTGGATTCGCTTGGAGCAAAATGCTCTCGGCCTCGTCGATGGCCCCGCCATACAAGGCGAGCTCGGCCATGCGCCGTTCTTCGCTCACTAGGTTCTTGACGTACAAGACGAAATGCAGCTTGTCGACCGAGTCGATCGCGGCGAGAGCGACCTCGGCCGTCTCCAGATGGCGCTTGTGGAGTGCCATGCCGGCCACTGTCGTCCAGAGGGCGCGCGACTTGACAAAGCGGCAGAGTCGCACCGCCTTGTCCCACTCGCCCGCCGCAGTGAACTCGTAGAGGACCGTCGGGTACGGCGAGACGGCGCCGGCAAGGATCGCGCCGTCCGCGCGCCGCACCGTGAAGCGCGGGCCAACAAAGGACGTGATTTGCGCGAGCTTCATAAAGTCATTCCCGTCCTTGACTTCGATCGCATCCGGGAGCAGCGTACGGTCGACGTACACCATGTTTGGATACAGCCAGCAAAACACCTAGGACAGGAGTTGATATCTTGAAACTATTTCAAAAACATCAAAACAGCACAAGTCGACCATACCTTGGCATCGGAGATCGCGACCAGCATCTCGGACGCGTCGTTCCAGGCGGCCGTGTCGACCTGCGCCTGGAGCTTGTACGTGCCCTTGTGCGTCACGCGCGCGAGGTGCAAGTCGCGGTTCGTGTCGATGAAGAAGAGCTTCCGATCGCTCGACTGCCCGTAGTGACTCAGCGCGAGCTCGGCAATCTCGAGCGAGTGGTGAAAGACCACCGGGAGCGCCTTGCCCGAGTTGATATCAAAGGATCGAATCGTCTTGCGGTCCGCGTGGTCGAGGATGCTGATCGTGTCCGTGCTCAGCGAGACCGTCATGCGGTTGAGGAACTCGACGTGCATGCCGGAAAACTTGGGGTTGCTCACGGTGCGGCCTTCGTACGAGTATACCTAACATCGTCGTATCGTTTTCCAGTCTACATGTGTGCAGACACTATGGAGCAGTACCTGGATCCCGTTGAAATTGTCGACGGTCACAAAATGGCACTCGCTTTGAATGATGAAATTGACGGCCGCGCGCAAGTCGAAGATATGCGGCGTGTTCCAGTTGGTCGAATTGTAGATAAAGCACTGCGTCGCGGTGCACACGAGCAGAAAGCCGTAGCCAAGCGACATTTCAATCACGCGGTCGCGGACGAAATCGAGCTCCTCGACCGTCTCGTTCATGACGTCATGGACCACAATCTTGCGCGGGTCCTTGAGCGTTACCTAGTCGTGCCACGTCATGGACGAACAAAATAAGATTTCAATAAGAGAACCTCGATCTTGTTCCATTGCAGGTGCCGGTCGACGACTTGGGCGAAGAGCGTGGCGCCGTTGCCACCGGCCGCCACGAGCTGCGTGCCATCGGACGCCCACGCAATGTCCATGAGCGACCCGGTCTTTGGTCGCTCGCGGCAGTACGACCAACCCGTCTTGTCGCAGAGCCGGAGCATGTTGTAGGCGCCCACGGCAAACATGTCGCCTTTCGGGCTCCACGCAATGGACGTGATGACGTGTTCGCAGACGGGACTCTGGTACAGTTGGCGGCCAAAGCCGTCCCAGACGCGAAAGATACGGTCTTCGCCCCCGGAAATCACGCGGTTGTTGATCGGGTTCCAATCAATGCACATGATCATGCCGTCATGTGCCTTCCACTGAATGTCCTTGCGCCCGACCTAGCATGTGTTCAGATTCGTCGTCGTCGTCGTCGTCTGGGTGGACGAATTGACCTGGATCGTCTTGATGACGAGGTTCTTTCCATTTGTAAAGAGAATTTGGTCGTTGTCGGGGCCCCAGCACACGGCGTAGACGGCGGTGCCTAGCGTGCCATGTCGACATCAGATATCGAAAAGAGGCACCGCAAAAGAACCCGTGTTGGCGAGCGTCGACCGAAGATTGCCGCTGCGCGAGTACACCTTGACCGAGCCGTCTTCGCCGACGGTCACGAGCGCAGTGCCGTCGTAGTTCCACTGCAGCGCAACGACCGCGCCGGCCTCGCACGCCATGACCTTTTTCTCTTCGCGGCCGTTCTTGGACATGAGCCGAAACGAGCCTACGACGTACATGAGGTGGGCGTCTTAGTGGCGTCGATGGACCGTCGGTGCAGCCAATGACAAAGAGGTCGCCGCCTTGTTTGCCCACGGACGGGATCCAATCGACACTCGTGACAAAGTGGTCGGTCGACGCAATCTTGCCGACGACTTCGCCGTCCATGCGCCAGCGCACAATCGTGTTGTCATCGCTGCACGTGACGACATCGTTCTCGGGCGTCCAGCAGCACGCCGTCACAATCTCCGTGTGCTGGTTCACCGGCGCCTGCGCGTGTTGGAAGCGCATTGCAAATCGACCTGTGCGACCTTTCCCGATGCGTCGCGATCTTTGTTTCCAACACGTCGAACACAACATGGTGTTTTAAACACCATGGCTACCATCGATCCGGTGCTGCTCGAACGACGGCAGAGGGAAAGAGATATCCAAGCAGCGCGTATGATTAGCACACTATGCTAGTGGACGAGGTGTAGTTGCTTGTGGTGCTGTCGATAGCAGGCGAATGGACGGCACGCCGGGCGAAAGGGCGTGTGAAGGGTCCGTTTGCATCGAAAATAAGATACCGGTCGCGGAAATACCGCTGCCAAGCATTGCCCATCGCTTTGAAAGCACTGTAATTGTACTGTGGAGACGTAAGACAGTCGTGGCCCGTCCGTGTCGTGCAGACGACGACATCACGTGGGCGACGACCGGCTTGCTCGTCGCCACAACCCCGACTGTGTTGGCGATGTGGGATTGGCGCAAAAGTCCTAGCTTCAAGGTGCACCATTGGCTGAAAAAGAGGCAAGGAGATCTGTGATTGGTGGAATGGGGTCGAAATTCGATGCCAGATTCGATACCGACGCATCGTGATGACCGAGTACCCGTCGTCGCCCGTGAGCCCATCGGCGACGGACCGCCACCTGCAGGCGCTGCCACTGCGCTGGGAAGGCTACCTGCGCAAGCGCGGCGACTGGCTGCCGCGCTGGGACACATACTACGTCGTCCTTAGCGGCGTTGACTTGACCTACTTTGACAAGAGCGACATGGAGAAGAAGGTCGAGTACGTCCAGAGCAACTCGATCTCGCTTCCGACGTCCTGCGGCGACATGGACATTAGTGCCGCCTTGCCCAAGTCGGCGAAAGCCAAGCCGCTCAAGCCGCGTGGCGCCCATGTCATTGTCGGCGTCGAGACCGAGAGCAATGGCAAGACCAATCACCGCATCACGATCACGACGTCCAGCAAACGCACGCTCCATTTCACGACGGACGCGAACCTCGACTTTGTCATTTGGAAGCAGATGCTCCTCGGCGCCCTCGAACAGGCCACGCTGCTTGCGAAGCGCCAGCCCCTCGGCGGCCCGCTGCCGTACCCGTCGCCGCCGTACCTCGTCCAACTGCCCGTCATGTATGCATCGTTTGGCGACATTTGCCGGCGCGTGGGCAAGTTTTCGCTCCTGCTGCCGTGCCTCGACCCAGGGATCGTCGTGACGTCCAACTACCCGCCGAGCGTCCCGATGGCGGGCACATACCACGGCCTCGGCGCGACCGCCGGCTTCCTCGCGTACATTTCCATCTTGCACACGCTCGTCGACGTGAGCCAGTTCCGCGTGACCCACATGGCGCGCGAGGGCGACCTCGCCGTCGTCACGGGCAAGGAAACCATCGCCAACACCAAGAACCAGCGGCGGTACCGTCAGATCTGGACGCACGAGCTCCGGTTTGGCGCCGACGGCCGCGTGACGCACCTCAACATTGTCGGCGATGCGATCGCGTCCTCGGTCGCGTTCTCGGCGCACGCCGACGGCCCGATGTTGTCGCTGCCACATGACCGCGACGAAGGCAGCAGCACGTGCCCACCGGGCACGCTGCGCGTTGTGTGTGCAGCCGCCGACGTCCCCAAGGCAAAGAAGGCTCCGCACATCAAGCTCGGCCTCTACGGCTTTCCGCACACGATCCTCAAGGCGGGCGCATCGAGCCGGAATCTGCAGCAAGTCACGTATGCGACCAAGCCCGCCAAGTCGGTGGCACCGATTTACTGGGCCGAGACGCTGGATTTGTCCTTCGCGGGGGCGGTGCCCGGCACGACGGCCTTTCTATACGTGGAGGTGTGGGCGCCAGGGCTCATGGGCGATGAGATGCTCGGTGTCGCCAAGGTCAACCTCGCGCCGTACCTCGGTCGTCCGTCGAGCTCGTCGGACGAAGACATTGCGCTGGGATCGATTCCAACGTGGTTTGATCTCGTCTCGCCCGAGCACTATGCCAGTAGCAGCCACAGCGCCAAGGCCAAAAAGGCCACGCTGGGCAAAGTGCAGCTGAGCCTCGTGTTTCTGCCCAAGGCACCGACGACGAGTGCCGCGTCGCCAGCGTCGTCGGTCGCCTCGTTGCCAGCTACATCGTCGCCGCCACCCATTCTTAAACGCATGAGTTTTGACCGGCTCGCGGCGCTCCACGAGCAATCGTCGACAACCGACGCGTCGTCCGGCTGCGGGTTGCAGCGGCAGAGTCTCTATGAGCTGCCGGACCTCGAGGCCATGCACACGTTTACCGTCTCGGGCACGAAATTCCGCGTCTACAGCCGGTACCAGCTCATCCGCGCCGTGGGCCATGGCGCGTATGGGGTCGTCATTGCGGCCTCGGACCAAGTGACGGGCAACGCCGTCGCGATCAAGAACATTCCCAAAACGTTCGACGACCTCATTGACGCCAAGCGCATCGTACGCGAGATCCGCCTCATGCGGCACCTCGTCCATCCCCACATCGTGCGCGTCCTCGATGTGATGCGGCCGCCGTCTCTATCTCGGTTTGAAGACACGTACATTGTGACGGACCTCATGGAAACCGACCTCCACCGCGTGATCCAGTCGCACGAGCGGCTCGACGCGGAGCACATTGCATATGTGACCTACCAGATGCTCGTCGCGCTTCGGTACATGCACTCGGCGTCGGTCTTGCACCGCGACGTCAAGCCGTCCAACGTCTTGATCAACCGAGATTGCCTCGTGAAGCTCTGCGACTTTGGCCTTGCCCGCGGCCTGCCACAAGACGACGCGCAGAATGCGGCGACCGACACGGGCGCCTTGACCGAGTATGTGGTCACGCGCTGGTACCGCGCGCCCGAGCTCCTCTTGAGTTCCAAGTACTCGTACCCGATCGATGTGTGGAGCGTCGGCTGCATCCTCGTCGAGATGTTTACGCGCAAGGCGCTCTTTCCTGGCCACGACCACGTGCACCAGCTGCAGTTGATTGCGTCGACGCTTGGGTCGCCTTCCCCCGGCGAGCTCGGGTTCGTCACCAACGAAAAGGCCAAGCGCTGGATGACCAAGCAGACCGTGCAGGCGCCAAAGGACTGGAAGCGAGATGTGGCGCCCTCCGCGCCGGACGATGCGATCGACCTCATGAAGCGCCTCTTGGCGTTCGACCCGACGCAGCGGATAACGATCGAGGCTGCGCTGTCGCACCCGTTTCTGGCTCCGTACCGCGAGGCGGCTTCGGAAGGGCTCGCCGACTCGCCTTTTGATTTTGCATTTGAGCAGAACAGCGACCTCCTCGACAAGCCGGCGCTGCAGCGGCTCATCTTTGAAGACGTGTGTCATTTCCACCCCGAAGCCCGCGCCGAGCTCGACGCGGCAACGGCATCGTAAGCGACCATCAAAGACAGGTTCTCGGTCGAGCGTTTAAGCGTGTGAACGGCGACGGCTTGGACTGTGGCCATGTCGTGCAAGGTCGAGTGTTTTGTCGTATTCATCAACTCTGCTTAGTCGTATGCAGAAGGATGTCATACCACGACGCAGTTCTCCATCAGAGCTTGGCCATGGCGTAGCACATGAGAACGGCGCTCATTGCGTGGAGAAGCACAAGAAGCGGGTAGCGCTGGCTGTGCTTGTAGACCAGCAAGAGAGACGACGCGGGGCGGTGGCGGGCCCCGGGAACGTCCTTGAAAAGGTCCAGCACCATGCCGTACGTGAGGCCCCAGAGCACATACTCGTCGGCACCGCGGTGGCTTGCCTCGTCGTCGCTGCACGTTTGGTGCGGCAGCGGGAGGTAAATACAAGGAAACTTGATCGTCGTCCATCCGAGGAGGCACAAGAGGCGCTACTCGAAATAGAGATGGTCACCTCTCCACCTTGATATGGTCGTACGTGAAGAAGCGACGCCTCGCTCGTGCGGCGCATCATGGCGTCGAGACGAATGCGCAGCTCGCGCGGGCGTGCCGTGAGCAGGTGGTCGACGTCGACCCAAAAGGCGGCGCTGACCTCGGACGTCTGCAGAGAAAAGGACGGCGCCGCCGTCTCCGCCCAGAGGAAGACTAGCCGATATAGGATCGATAGGTGGTGTAGAAGGCAAGGGTCGCGCACCGTGTGTACTCACAACCATCTTGTTGCCGCTCGTCGCCACGCGGTCTGGCAGCTGCCCAAGCCACGTGGCCGATGCGAGGTCGAGACCGACCTCCTCCTTGGCTTCGCGCATCGCAGTCTCGAGGGACGTCTCGTTGGCCTCGCACTTGCCGCCGGGAAAGGCGATCTGGCCGCTCCACCGGTCGCGCGGATTCACAGCGCGGCGAATGAAGAGCAGCCGGACGCGGTCGCCGTCGACGCGGAGCACGGCGGCGACGCTGGCCATCTACACAGAGAGATTGGTTAGACGACGCGAGACGATGCATCTGGCGGTCGTACGCGGGCGCCGTCGAGGACGCGTACGGGCCGGCGCGCCAGCGACGCTTGCAGGTCGTCGACGAAGCGCTGCGGTGCCACCTCCATGCTCTTGCCGTTTTGGCACCATGTGGCATCTCAAAACAGTGTTTGATTTCTGTATACAGAATTTGTGCAACGGTCGCCACCTCCCGTCCATGTGCACCCGACACGACGTCCAACATAGAACCATTACAAGACAACTTGTCCATTCTTAAGGTTTTTGGAGCATAACATGAGTAGTATCATAACCGTTTACAGTGCAAGCAATCAGAAACACCGGTGACTTGAAGAGGCACGACGAGCCGGCTAGCTGCCAGCACAGCCACGGCCCGCTACTCAATAGCTGCCGGCACACCCTCGACCCAGCGAGCGATCGAAGACGAAGTACGGCTCGAGCCTCTACGAAGAGAACGTCTTTGCAACCATAAGCGAACGCAAAATATGTCGATGTATCGACAATAATCCAACAGCAGATTGCACAACGTACTAGACCCGCGACGCAGAAACAAATGATAGGGCATCACTTGGGGGTACCATTTGACATGCAAGACAACATGTGTCGACGACGCAGACGACTAGGTACCAGAGCAGTGACTAACCGCGGTCGACAAACTTGGTGATGCGGATCACGTCGCCGCAGCTGCTTTCTTGCGCGACGACGGCCGGAGGGCACTTGATGGGCTGCGCGGGCGCAAACGACTGGTCGTTCTCGTCGACTTGATACGGATACGGCACATTCTTGGTCCAGCAGCTAAACACTTCATAGAGCGCGTTGTCCCGGCAGCGCAAGACAACCTATCCACATGCTTGTAGACCACACGGACATCGAGTCCACGAGGCAGCGTACGTCGAGTCCCTTTGTCTTCTTGAACGCGGCGACGAGCGCTGGCTTGGTTACGGTGCCGTTGATGTTGTCGGTGATGAGTCTCGGTGTGCCAATGTACTGTGCCATCTGGACAGCCGTGCGCAGGTAGTCGGTCTCAAGCATCCCGCTGCACGGGACGTCGTACATGGGGATCACGTTCATCGGTGCCGGTGCGTCCGGGTTCCACATGTTGGCCGGGTCCTTGCTAAAGTCGAACGGGAAATACTGAACGAGCCTTTCGCGCTTCACGGCGCGGATGGCGTCGCCCGAGAAGAGCGCCGGCTTGCGCGTGCACTGCGCGAGGATCGGTGCCGACTTGTCTTCGAGGCGAGAGAGTTGCGGCACATTGTCCTTGTAAATCGGGTACAAGCGACCGGTGACGAGGTTGGTTTTGAGAAACGGCGGCGGGTGGTAGCAAATGGAGGCGCACATGCAGCTGCACTGCTCCGGGTACCACGCACTGGTGTAGATCCAAAGGTCTTGGGAGCCCCAGAACTTGTCGTGGGAGGGCGCGGGCGTCGGTGTCTTTGGTGGCTTGGTCGCCGTCGCTGCCGCGACAAGGAGAAGGCCAGAAGCGCTTGCGAGTAGTACGCGACGCATAGGAATTGGAAAAGTGAGTGGCCGTGGCCATCCCGCATGTCTGAGGCGCATCTGATAACGGAACGTCTTCTGAGTCTGACGACATGCCCGATTGCACTTGCTTACAAAACCGGATGCTTAGGAAACCCGACAGTACGCAACCCCTCTCTCCATCAATGTGACGAGCGAGCTGCTGGACGATGCAGGATCATTGACAGGAGGATAGGAAGATGGTCGCCGACTCAGACGCACCTGACTCGGATTGGCCCGTCGCGACTCAGAGCTCTTCTTCTTCGGCCCCAGATGCATTCTTGCTCAACCAAAAGGGTCTAGAACCCAATACCACGTCTTTTTGATGCTTTGCGCAGTAGCAGTTCAAATTCCTAGTCGAGTATCTAAGACACCTCCCACGGGGTAGTAGCCTCGAGCGACCGTTTCGCGTGCGTCGGTGATCTTCAAGGGACGCCGCCGTATGAGCTCGCTGCCACCGTCGTCGTCCAGTCTGTCCTCCCCACCCAAACTGGTATACGTCCAGAACACACGTGTTGTTCATCGCCACACTTGTAGCCGACGCTTTGCGATTACGTGGCGCTCGCACAGCCCGAGGTGGCCAAGCCGTCGCCGTACGCAGCACGCTTCAAGCGCAAGCGCAAGAAAGCACCGGCGGTCTTGGCCCCACTGCTCAAGAATGGCTCCTCGCACGCATATATCGGCGTCGCGGAGAGTCGCGTTGTCAAGGCCATTTTAACCCGCGCCGACCTCGTGCAGGAACTGCGCCTTCTCTGTCAAGAGATGGCCTCCACGCGTGAGCTCGAGCTCGAGAGCGCCAAACGCGAGCTGGCGACACGCCTCGGTGACGCAACCAACGCGGTCGTCCTCGCGCTCAATGAATGGCGCGCGGCCAAGCTCGAAACGGCGGCGCACGCCAGTGTCCAAGTGACCCCGAGCTTTCGGTGGCAGGGCGCACCGTACCTTCAAACCCTTGCCCGCGAAACCAAAGACATCCACGTGCTCCTCAACGTATCGACACCGCCCAACCCGTTCTTCACACCGTGCGGGCTCGAAGCGGCGACCGATCGCTACCAAGTCGCCGCCGAGAGTCTCTTGCGCGATGCTGACTTTCTGACGGGCTGGCGGCCGCCTCGTTCGCAGCATGCGGAAGAGCATGTCATGCCAACGACGAGTCTTCTCGACCACGCGCTTGGCGCACTGTCTCCAGCAGCGATCGCCCAGATCCAAACGACCGTGCACCCGCCCCGCGGCTTGCGATGCGTGACGGACGCCATCACGTCACTTGTAAGCATGAGCTTCTACGAGACCCCACCGCGCGAACTTCTGCACCGACTGCGCGCAATGCATCAAACTACATCGAGTGCGCTGACAGAGGTCGCGGCCGCCTTGCTTGGCGAGACGGCATGGCTCCCCAGTGCCCTACTGCGAGAGAGCCTTAACATGGCACAACTGAGCTTTTGGCTGCTCCAGCTGCTATTGCAGCATCGACGTTGTGCTAGCACCAAGCCGCTCGAGCGGCCGACGGCTCGCTGTTGTGAACCTTCAATCCGACGAGCCGTGCGACTCGACGGACGTTTGTACATGGCGCGCCTACACAAGTCGAGCGACTCGGCCATCACGCTCTGCTCCCCCAACGGGCAGGTGTTCACGCACACGCTGCACGCAGCCGACGGGCGATCGATGGTGACGCAGCCTGCGCGACTCGACGCGTACTTGGCGCGACTGCAGCCGCTCGTGTTCACAGCGCCGCTCTGCGACGCGGCGCCATCGCTGCATCTTGTCGGTGTACACGGCACCGACACCATCGTGGCGTCGATCGATCTCACGGTGACCAGCTCGTTTGCCGACGTCCGTCGGTACCTCTTCGACCTACCGGTACACTATTGTGGACAACTTGTCCTTATTTCGTGGCCTTAGAAAGTGCCACCGACCTACGCCTTTCTGTACCGCGGCAGTATCCTTGGCCGCGCGCTCGAGTCGCGTCGGCGCCCGTGGTGTAGTACCGCGCCGCCGCGCCGCATTGACATTCAGTTGCAGACGCGCCAAGCGACGCGACGCCATGTGTTCGTACCATATGCGATAGAAAAGCATTCCAATCGGCTTTTCCCCCACGAGATCTCGGATATGGACCGCGATGCAGCGAAGCGCGATGAAGCGCGGCGGCGACGGGCGCCCGTGGTATCGCCCCCGCGCACCCACTGCACTTTTACACTCCACGTACGTGTTTCCAATGGCAGCAACCACTCGGATCACGATGGTTTGTAGCTGGACATCCCGTCAGCCGTGGTTACCGTCCAGATGCGCACCACCTTCTCAACGACACTAGAAGAGATACTGAACGCGCTGCAGTCCGAGGTACCGCTGCCCCTCGTTCAGGAATAACATACGATGTCCCTGGATTAGCATGGTATCGACGCCGCGTCGAGCCATGACGTGTTCGTCCTGTCGGCCCCGGAAACGATACTGCCGCTCACCGCGCGACTGAGTGCGTGCAACCTTGGGCACGGCAGTGTCCTCGGCTTGCGCCACAAGCGCGTCGACGTCGTGCTTGCGTGCGCCGGGACGCTCACATTGCTCTTATCGCAAGACACGCTCGTTTGCAGCCATCGTGCAATGGTAACCGATGCAGCTTGCATGGGACGACACGCTGACGGTGGACGTAGACGCAGGCTCGCTTTGGCCACTGGCAGCTCTCGCCTGGCGACACGCTGGCGCTGCGCGGTGACACGTACACCGTCACAAAAGTCAACACGGCGGCCAGCACCCTCACGGTCCATCCCGCCGTGTCGATTGACGACCGCTTCGATCTTGTTGCGACCAAGCATTTACGTCAAGTGCTGGTGGACCCTCGGTTCCCATGGGAAGTCGACGGCCGCATCGATGCGTACCTCGCCTCGCACGTACCGACCACCGCGACCACGACACAATTCCGTGTCGAGCTGTGCACGAGCACCTTGCTTGACGCGCTGGCGTCGCAGCGCCACCTCGTGCACGTAGTGTCTTATGCTCCATCATGTAATACGATTATGACCATTATGTATGATAGGCGGCGGTGCAGACGCTACCGCTCGACGTCTGCGTCGGTGTCCTCTACGACGACCTCTGCAACGCCTTTCCCATCACCCATGGCGTCACCAACGTCAAATTCTCGTCGTTCCTCAAGAGCTACCGGCTTCACGCCGTGCTCCTCCTCACGTCGGCGGCCAGTGTCCACGCTTACTTTTCGCTCCATGTGCGACCGCGTCAAGCATCGCTGCTGCTGCCCGATTGGAAGGCGTGCTTGGTGGCGATTGCACACAGTACGTACAAGCACCTCCCAAACGCGCATCCACCGCCCAAGACGCCCAACGAAGCGATCGCCTTCTCCTTTACGCATGGATCCTCGTGCACGGCCCACTGACCATTCAACGGCACTTGTTTGGTCACGCGACCGAGACGGCACTGCGACAACTAGGCCGTTGTCTCTGCGCCGTCGTGCGACTGCAGGCGACGCAGCGCGGGTACCGCGCCTTTACTCAGTAGTACATCGCACCGATGTGGGATCGAAAGGTTGATGGCGCATTAGGTTTCGCCTCCTGCGATGGCGAACGATACGCCTTCAAGTCCTCTGGCGCGGCTACATCCAGCGACGTCGGTACCGCCTGTTGCTCGCCGCCCTCTACGCGAGACGCCACGCTGAGCTCGAGATGCGATGCGCGCTTGTCCTTGTCTGTTTTGTGCGACGAAGCCTTCGACGTAGAGCCGTTGAAGCCCAAGTGCAGCGGGACCGACAAATGCGCGCTGAGAAAGCCGCGTTCTGGCACGACCGTCGTCTTCGCCGGCGTCGCCACGAACGTCGGTGTACCCACGGTATCGCCGTCTCAACGCTCGGACACCCACCCACCAAAATGCTCGTGTCTTTGCACCGCGACGCGCGCCAGCTTAATGTAGCAACCCTCTCGGCCTACGACCCTGCCACGTCGGCCGTATATATCCTCGACCTCCCGCCGTCGTTGTTGCACGAGCACCTCTCTCTGCCAGCGTCGGCGTCGATGGCCATGACGCTGAGCGTCCTTGCTCCGCGGCTGCAGTTGGTGCCGCCCAGTACACTGCGACTCTCGGTCAAGCCAGTGACATACCGGTGCGGTGAGCGGGTCTACTTTGGCGTCCGGTGCTTTACCCCCGCTTTGGTCGGCGCGCCGCCTGCGTCGCCCGCCGTATACCGCATGATTGTCGAGGCGCACCGCACGAAGGGGCTCGTCACGCTACGGATTTACAACCCCTGGTCTGTCCTTGGCGTCGTGCGGACATCGGGGCGTTCATGGGACTATGTAGGGACTCGTTTGTGTGGCAGAGAGTGCAACATTGGCCGTCGATCACCGACGTGATGGCGGTGCGTCATTTCTCTATCTCTCTATCTCTGCCGTTGCCATCGGTACCATTGTTGTCTTTGGTAGTACCTGGAGCGACTCTATGTGGTTGCGACGAATATGCAGGCTGGCTACACACTCGCGACGACCGACGACGTCACGGCAGCGGCCAAGTGCCTCGTGGCGCACGCCTGCCAACGCCACTACCGGCGCCGTCTCGGCCTGCGTCGCGCGGTGCAGCACGCTCGCGACCAGTGGGTGCGCGTGCAGGTGCGCAACACATATGAGTATGTCCACCGCATCTTGGGGTGGTGGCGACCGTCGTCGCCCAAGTTACTGACAATCTTTCCATCATCGTCCTCGACGCCAACACACAGCATGGTCGAGTACCAGCACATTCGCAACACGATCCAGAGTGTCTGTGACGGGCCGTACTACGTGTACCCTCGGCGTGCGCGACTTGTGAGGCTGTCGCTCCCCGACGCCGCCGTCGTGGTGCAAGTAAGAAAGACAGTATATTCTGGTCGTGCTGTCGTTTCTGGTCACGTAGGTCTGGTTTCGCCACCAGATGTATAACCACGACCTTCGCCAGTGCGTGCGGGCGCTCGTACACATGCAGCGCTTTGACAACCAAAAACCGCACCTGCCGATCGCGGTCCACGATCTCTCGACGCTACACGTGGCACTCGCTACGCAGCTGGGCCCGGTACGACCACCGCATGGCGTGCTTGTCTCATGCAAAACCTACTAGCTCGCGGCGCGGGCAGACGCGGCCTTGCTGTACGAGTATGCAATGCGGCTCTGTCTCTCGCAAGAGCGCAGCCTCGCGGACACCGCCCTTGTGCACTGCTGCGCCAGCGTCTTTTGGCTCGCGACCGAGACGGCACTGCACTGGCGGCGATGCGCACACCTCCAACTGCAGCGCTACAGTCGACATCTTGACCGGCCCGCCGTCGACGCGATCGAGCACCTCTTTTACCAGACGACCTACCTGCAGCGACCGACGGACGAGCTCGTGCTCGCGAGCTTTGCCCTCTTTTTGGAGTTTGTCAGCCATCGACCGGGTCGTGCGCTTGATGTGTACAAGCAGGCGCTGGCTCGCTCGCCATCGCCAATGCTCTTGTTGGTGGTACGCTGTCTGTCTACGAGCGTCTTTGCCTAAGGGCTTTGTCGGTAGAACTATGCTGCATTTGAAAAGCGATACCCCGCGCTGACGCCCGTGCCGACTCGGTGGACCGCCAAGCCGCTCGGTGCCGACGGCCTCGCAGTGCCAGCATACTCAACACTGACGGTGACGCGGCGTCTCGAGGCGGCGGCGGCCGTGCTACAGGTAACGACGCGACGGGATGGGGGTAGAATGTCATCTTGCATCATCATCCAGCGTTGGCTTCGCAAGAGGCATCACTGGTACCTCTTCTTCCCGACGTTGACTGAGGCGGTCTCGGCGCTTCAAGCCAACACCTTTGCCGAGATTCGGTTCATTGACGACCGGCACTCGCATCGACGCATGTTGGCCGCTGCTTTGCACATTCAATTCGTGCTGGTAGGCAATGCTGCCGTCTACAACTACGGTATCGATAGGTCACCTGCCCTAGCACGATGTCGACCGCGCCAAAGCGCTCTACCACACTCTCTTGACAAGGACCCCAAACGAACCTCTGATTCACGCAGCCTTGCTCCTCGATGCCTTTGCACAAATGAAATCGTCGCATGCGTGGACGCTCAAGTTGCAGCAGCTGCGACGTCAGCACAGTGATTGGTCCATGCTCGAGATGACGTCGCTGCGTTTTGCTGTCGTGACGCGACCGCACTCGTGTCTTGCGTGGCTCTACTATGGACTTTACCGCCAGCTCTTTTGTGACGACGTCGACGTGGCCGAGCAACTCTTGTGCCGCGCTACGCGCCTTGCGTCAACGCCGAGCGAGACGGCGCAGAGCCAAGCGGTACCGCGGTCAACCAGGGTAGGTCTCACGCCAAGTAGGTCTATGTCCGTTTCCAGAGCCACCGCATGCCCGGGGCACTCTCCGCAGGCCAAGGTCCGTCGCGAGGCTTGTATTGGAGCCAGCACACACGCGCGATTGCCCGCATCGACGTCTGGTACCGCATGGAGCACCACGTGGAGCGCCTCCCAGGCCAGAATCGGCTGCGTCGGCATTTTTTCTGGTATTTTCGGGAATTGAAGTGGTTTTACGCACGTGTTGATATGCACTAGGGTCCACGCACCGACGGGCCACCGAGTGTGGGAGCGACAGTTTGCGGTGACGGTGATGCGTCACGTGCCGCCCGACGTTGCTGCGGCCATCAACGATATCATCACGCGGGAAAAGCTTCGCCTTGCCGTCGATACGCTGCAGGTCCACAGTAGTATCAACATATCAAGTTTGCAACGGATGGTCGGACTAGAATTGGTGCCGGGCGTGGAGGCAGAGCCGGCACTACGTGCGGTACCGTAGTCTCCGAGCCCACTTGCCACAGCCCGCGTCGGCTTCCTTGCGACACGCCGTAGCGCTGCACTTTGAGCAGGTACCAGCGCATCGTTGATCGACGAGCTCGTCGATGACGAATCATGGGTCAACATGAACGCTAGGCTCGTTGGCGCGACGCCCAAACACTCTACGTGACAGCGGTCTATGCGGATCCGTCCGACACACTTGCTGTCGGCGGCCTTGTGCTCGTTCTCGGTGCCCAACGTCAATACGAGAAGGCTTTACAATGGCGGCGGCACTGGCACACGTTGTCGTCGCGCGCCGACGCCGCCGAGCTGCTGCTACTGCACAGCCAGGCAGCTCTCACGGCACAACCGCTCGCGTGGTGGTGCTGGCTCAACTATGCTCTCTGCTTGCACTACCTTACGCCGCGGCTGGACGTGGCCGAGCGCACCTACAGTACTTGCGATGCCACCTTTCGTAGCGCCGCTTACCCTCTTTCCGAGGTATCGCCGTCCCTGCCTGCAATCGATTGCTGAGACGACATGCTGCTACAGATGCGCCAGTACTTTCTGCACGCACGGCGGTGGCGAGGGCCACTGCAAGGCACGTCACCGTCCTATGCGTTCTGCGCCGCCAAGACGCTTGTCTCGCTGAGCCCGACACGGTATTCGGTCGTCCCGTGGATGCGCTGCCACGTTGACGGCGTCGCGTTCTGGTATTTTCCAATGTACCGATAGATATTGGCGGGATGCTCATCGACCATGTAGGTACAACGCTAGGACACTACGCTACCGGTGGCATCTGCCCGAGTCGGTTCGTCGGCGTCATTGGCAGTCCGCAGCGCGGCGGCTACAAGCGTGGTACCGGCGGTCGTGGGCGAGCCCTTTGTTGGTGTGGACATCTTCGCCCACGCGTCTCGCCCGTGCCAAAGGCATTTGGAACACTTTTACGTCGATGGAGCAGCTTCTGCAGTCGTACGGAACCGAGACGACGGCATGCGACCCTCTGCAGTTGCGCTGTGCAGGACTCGCGTTGGCACTCGAGTTGCATCGCTGCGACGCCGCCCGCGCCTTGCTAACGACGGCGGCGACGCTCGATCCGACGTGGGCGACGTGGCAGCCCATCGGCGACGTCGTAGCGTTCGCAACCGTCGACAACCCGACCCACGGCATGGCCCTTTTCGTATCGGGTCTTGTGCATCAGTACATTTACAGTGCGCCGTTGATGGCGCTACGCTACTACTGGCGCGCGCTTGCGGAAGCACCCGCGCTCGCACCTCTGGTGGTGGCGGTACTTGCTTGCTTCTTGGAACGGTTCTCACATGTGGTCTGCTCGGTAGCACGAGGCGCACGTGGCGTTGGCGTCTGCATACCAGATCGTCTCGCCGCGTGCGAATGACCACATAAGTGCGACGATCTTCGACCTCAGGTCACGACATGTAGAGCGACGGCGCGTGCTTGGAGCCGAGGCTTCTTTCTATTGGTAGCCAAAACTGCCGAGAACCGTTGTCATGAGCGTGATCGCGTAGGTGGGATTGTATTGCGCGCCGTGTTCTCGTGGCACCAAGGCGTCTACTCTACCGCGCTCCAATCGCCGCTTGCACGCTTCACGAGCTTGCTACGCGCCTCCAAGTAACCCTGTCCTTTTCCCCAGGTCGTCATGTTTTTGCGTAGCGCTGGGCCAAGCAGCATGTCATTGGCACCCACACGATGGCGACGCACTTGTACCGAGACATGGTTTCTCTTCGACGACCCGCCACGGACCTCAAGGACAATCACGACGATGTGCTACAGCTTGTCAGCCGCTGCTGGTCCCACCCACTCGTTTGTGTTGGCTCGTATCAACGAGCCCACTGACAATTGCCGTGTAGTTGGAATGGCAGTCGCACCTCGAGACTGCTCAACTGCGGTCGCCCGGTGGTGCGGAGCTGCAGCTACTCTCAGCAATGGGATCGATCCTCGCGACGCGCACGCTTTTTCTACCACGGGCAGTACGCATTTTCCAGTCGCTTCAAGCAGCCGGAATAGCACCACTACACCAGTCCACGCTCTGGCGCGCGCTCGCGTGGCACTTGGTGTGCGACCCATGCCATGTCGACGCACTCGTTGCCGCTGGTGTTTTAAGCTACCACGTTACCAAGGACGTACGGGGAGCGTATAAGCTCTTTAGTAGAGCGCTCGATATCGAGCTCACGACGACCCCAACCTCGTCGCCTCGGTATGAGGTACGTGGTCGACAAGCGAGCGGCGTCGAATCTATCGGTGTGCGTAGTGGCTGCACCAACTGTTGGCGCGCGATGGCCACAAGCTGCGCTACGCCGGACCGTCTGCAGCTGTGCAGTCGCAGGCGCACCTCGTCCTCTCGACGACCCGTGTGAAGCGGCTCGAAATTCATTCTCCAGACGCGCACAGACTGAGCTTCTTCGTGCACAATGCAACGGGACAAGCCATTTGGCGACTCCCCACCGCGCTCCAAGCTTCGTTTGACGCCGAGCGCTGGGATGTGTCGACACCTCGGCGCATGGCGGCAGCGGCGCGCGTAGCGGTAAGATATCCTTGCGAGCGAGCAGCGACAAGCCTTTCTTAGCGCTGGTGGCGACGTCGAACGTGTATCTATGACCTTGTCGCCCGCCGCTTTGCACCGTGCCTACGCACCACCGTGGCACTGGCCAGAGACCTGGCGCGACGGGCCGACGCCTTGGCGCCGCTGGAGCGCGCGCTCTACGTTCAAAGCTTTCTCGGCAACGCTCCGGAGGCGCAGAAGAGCTTGGAAGCGATCTTGCTCGAGAGACCAGAGGAACCACTAGTGCTCTACGGCCTCGCTCTCTGCCTCCTGCAGTGCGATACGCAGAGCGTCGAGGTGTGGCCCGAACGATGGTGCGGAAGACAGATGTGGATGAACTAGGTCCCACAGCGGGCACGAGACCTTCTCGTGCGCGCCGCCGAGCTCGACGCTACTCAAGAGGTGCTACAGGCGGCGTGGCGCGCGTATTACGCGCCCGCCCTCCGGGTGCACCCCGAGACAGCGCTACCTTGTGCGCTGCTCTTGTGCGAGTACGGAAGGGGCCCGCACCATGTCGTGGCTGCCACCTATCGCTGGCTCTTGCATCAGCGCGGCGTTCCGTGGTCGTTGCACGTACGCTCCGCGCCCCGCCTTCCGGTACTGAGCGAGCGCTTGCGTAGCATTATGTTCGACACCTCGTCGAATCGCGCGACGGCGGCTGGCATCCCCGCGGCGGGCCCCCACGGCATGCACTCCAGCACTCGCTGCGGCTATCGACCGTTTTGCACTGCCCGTCGTGGTCGCTGTACTTGGACCCGACGGCGCTGCACGAGTGCTTGCAGCTCTATTGGTATGTATGAACTTGTGGACAGCGCGGTCGACGCACGTCGCTAGGTATGATGCGACGTCGAACTTGACATACTGGACCATGCCAGCGTCGGCGCACCGGTCGCACATACCCACGTCGCTGGCACTGCAGCATGCGATGGCGCGGCGGTTACAGGTCGAATTGTATCGACTTGATATGATTTGCATGACGTGGCACGTTCTAGCGCTTCTGCCGCCGCTACGTGCGACCCGTCGTCACGACGTCCTTCTACTATCTCGTGCAGGCGCTCAAGTACCATGCAACGGTCGAGGCCAAGTACAAGGCCGAGCCCACGCGTGCGGCTGCGGTCATCAACTACACGCTGCACGTGCATACGTTCCAGGTACGTTCTAACGCATGGGACGCCGTCGTCTTGACGCGATTGGCAGCGCAATGGCCGCGTCACCAAGGCGCTGTACCGGGACGCACTACGTGTGAGCGCCCACCCGGTGCTATCGTGCGCCTACGCGATCTTTCTGCTCGCAACGTGCCAAGCGCCTTGGCGCCACACGCTCGCAGACGCCAAGAAGCGCATTGCGAATGCCAAAGCCGCAACCAACGACTCTCGCTTCTTCTCGCTGGCGCTGCACGCCTTCTTTCACTACGCAGTCTTGCACGACCCGAACGATGCGACCGCATGGCTGCACTTGGCGCTCGTGTTGGACCACATTTACGACGACGGCGGCCGCGCCGAGACGTGCTATGCACAAGCCCAGACGTTGGCGCCCAAGGATCCTTGCATTACCGAGGTACTTTGCTATCGTACGTGCATCTTCCGCGCCCTGCTGCACTAGAACTACGCGGCGTTTCGCGCTGCGATGCCGCGTCGTGACGGACCAACGCGCCGGCTACAGCAGCGCGCCGACTGCGTCCTCGAGCTCGGTGACGAGTGGCGATGCATGCGGCTTTCGTCCGATGACGTGGTTTTCGTGGATGGCCCGCGCCTCTATTGGTAGGGTTCATGCCCCAACGACAGCACATTGTGACGCGTGTAGGTACAACCGTCTGCGGGCGCGGGCGTACTGGGTGCTCCCCACTGCGCTCGGGCCGCTACTGCGCGCCACGGCGAGTCGACAGCAGCGAGTTGAGGCGTGGACAATCGCGATCGAGCCGTTTGCTCGACGGTTGCAGGTGCGACCACGCAAGGTGGTTCGGTAGATAGCAAAGGACTGTGCATAGCGTGCGATGCGGCGCTGGCTCTTGATTCGATGCGGTTGCTTGTGGCACTGGAAGGACTCGGTGGCGCGCGCGGCACTCGCGGCACTGGATGCCTCGCCGTTGCACCGCGCTCTACGGGTCCATTTCATCGAGGTAGATCCGAGCAGCACGTCTCCATAAAGAGTGATCCTAGCTCGACTTTATGGCGGCGCAAGTGCTCTACGAGCCGCTGGTGCGCGCGCGCCAGCCGCCTGGTGTCGCGCTCTATGCGTACAGCCTCCTCCTGCTCAGTATGCGCGACTCGAGCGACCAAGGACGCGAGTACATGGCGCGGGCCATCGCATCCTCATCGACATCGTCGACGACGATGACGTGGCTCGGGCATCTCGTGCGCTGGAGCTGCGTCGTATGGCCAACGCACAGCTTTGCGCTGGTGCAAAGCAGCCTCTACCACGAGCTCGTCCTCGGCAACCTCGGAGTTGCGCGCTTTCTCTTGGCCACGGCCGCCCGCTTCAACACTGACGACGCCTACGTGGTAGTCCGCTGCGTGCGTGCGATGCGGCCTCATGGTGGCATGTCGTAGCTGGACCGACTTGCTGGTGTGGACGCGGCACGACTGCGCGCCGGCAGTCTCCCGCTGCAGACGGCGCTTGCCCACTCGACGTTGGTTGGCCTCTACGGACGGTGGCAAGAGCGCGTGTGGGTGCTGTCACCGCTCCAGATCGTGCGCTACTGGTATACTGCTGCTGCTGCGTGGGATATGCGGCATGGGTCCATTGTTGTGGTTAGGGTTTGCGCCACAACGGGTCGGACGACGACAACGATGCCTTAGACGACGCCTTGGCGGAACATGGCCTGCGCGACTTTGAGGAAGCCAGTGATGTTGGTCGCCGTGTGCCAGTTGCCCACGCAGTTGAACTCGACCGCGGTCGCCGAAACGGACGTGAAGACCTTTTGCATGCACTCTACGCGCAGGTCCATGCATATCGTATCAAGATATCAAGATATCAAGAAAGATGGACCTTGCGCGATCGCGTCGACGTCGTGCAGCGACAAGTCGCTTCGTCCCGCGACGCCCTTGAGATGCAGCGCCAGCTAGTGCACACCGTTCATAGGAGGAGGCTCTTGGCGAACATGATGATGACGCACCGCGGCGCCGTTGGTGGCCTTGCACGGCGCAAAGAGCACGTTGTGCTGCTGAAACGTCTTGATGGCCTGCGCAGACAACGTGTCCTTTTTCAGAGCCGACAACGCCAATGGCGTCGAGTAGTACTACCTCGGGCGTGCACGGCAAGTGCGCTCCTTCAAAGACGCCCTTGCAGCCGTTCTTGACGAGCTTCTTGGCCGACACATCTACAGGTCGCCTGATGGTATCCGGCCATCGTCGATTTGGAGCCCACCGTTGATGTCGTGCTGCATCGCGCATGGAAATGCAAAGTCGCACGGGTGGTCCCAGAACGACGTCTCTTCCGACGGGTAGTACCTACACCCATAGTATCAGCAGACCATGCTTGGTTGTTATGGCAGGTCGAACTTGGCGCTGGTCGACGTCATGATGTAGCCGCCGAGGCGCGCCGTGTGCTCCGACTTGATGTCCTTGAGCGTCTGCAGCTGCGCCTTGGAGAATCCTACATGGGTTCGTCAGACAATAATGTATTGTGCACACATGACGCCCATACCATCGGGCTCGATCACGTGGCCCCAGACGTCGCTAAAGCCGATGGGAATCGCGCCCAGATCGAGGAGCTTCTCGGCCGTGTGCAGCGCGACCGTGCCCGAGCCCGAAATGAGGCAGCGTTTCCCGACCAGCGACTGCTTGGCGTCTTCGACGAGGATCTTGGCAAAGTGCGCAATGCCATAGCCGGTGACCTGCGGGAACGAGTGGCCACCGAGGACACCGTCGACGCCCTATATTGCGATGCAGCATACGTACGACAAAAGGTGGTGGGTACCGCGGGGTGCATTTGTCGCAGGCGCTTGTACTGGCCAAACATGTAGCCCATCTCCTTGGGCCCGACGTTGACGCCGCCCGTCGGAATGTCCGAGGCGGGACCAATGTAGTTGGCGAGCTCCGTCATGTAGCTTTGGCAGAAGCGCATGATCTCGGCCTCGCTCTTGTCGAGTGGGCTAAAGTCCGCACCGCCGGCCGCGGCGCCGAACGGGCCGTACACGGCGTTGCGAAAGACGTTTTCAAACGCGAGAAACTTGACCGTCCCGTGGCGGCAGTCGCCGTGGAAGCGCAGCCCACCAATGTACGGTCCTACAGACGTATAGGCGTCTATCGAGCCGGCGAGTGCAGCGGTGCACGCTACCGCAGCAGCTGGAAAACTGGACGCGGAACCCGCGGTTGACGCGGCGACTGCCCTGGTCGTCGATCCAGGGCACGCGAAACTAGGCAGGAGGTTCAATGCCACAACAGGATGCCTCGATGGCTTCTCTACCTGGATGACGCGCTCGGGCTCCATGAGCTGCTTCATGACCCACGCGTACTTGGGGTACCGGTCCAAGACGGGCGTCACCGAGTGCACAAAGCTCTGGACGGCGTCCAAGAACCTACGCGTAGCGCCGATGGCTCGGTGTTCGCATGGACGACGAGGATCGCCACGTACTCGGTCTGGTACGGATCGCGCCGCGTGGCCTCTTCGTACCTACGCGCACCACCATCTGTGTTGTCCTGAGCACCCATGTAGCACGACGTACAGCATGACGGCGGCTTCGGCGCCGGACCGAAACTTCTTGTCGCCTTCGCGGCGAAAGAGCGGCTGGTTGCGCCACGCCTTCTTGCCATGCACCGTGCCATGGACGTCCGACATGAGCGTCGGCGGCTTGGCGTCGGCGAACCCGCGCAGGCGCCCCACACTCGCTCGCAGCATCGAATGCAAGACGATCGCAAGTTGATGAATGACACACGTTCCTCATCGCCCTTTTTCTTATCGCTCCTCAAATAAGATACCAGATCTGGTCGGGCGAGCGTATGATTGGTCCATGCATTCGACTTTTGGCCAATCCGCGCAGCTTGAAGTTGCACGGGAACGGCAAAGTCGCCACAAGAATTTCGTTGTCGTGTCAACAACACAAACCAAAACCATGGCCGACACCCTCTTAGCGCTCAGCAACGACCTCGAGGGCCGCGACAAGCTCACCAAGCTCACGCAGTACTCGACGCGGGCGCTCGCCTACTACATCCTCGCCGCCGACCCCAAGAGCGTGCTCGGGCAGCAGCTCACGGCGCTCTTCAAGGCCACGCAGTCGGCGCGCAAGGCCTTCCGCGTCGGCAAGTCGTTCAACTACGGCAACAAGATCTCGGCGACCCTCCACAACAAGGTACTGGGACTGGTGCGCGGCTCACGAGGATGATGACGATGATGCGGTCTCGAGTAGGCCGTCGCACCGTACCAGCGCAACCTGCAGCTCGTCCAGGACGTGGGCATGGTACGTACTCGGTGTCATGACGGTCGCTCGCTCATGACTCTTCTTCTAGTGCACCTTCTTTCTCTTTGACAATGCAGCGTTCTTTGGCGCCAACAAGGTGCTCAACGTCGACGCCGCCGAGGCTATGAAGCGCGGCGGCTACTTTTGGTACGACCGACGGCGGCCCACCCGCGGGCGACAACGCGATGCGTAGGTTCTGCGCCAACGTCGCCGGCTTTGTCCTCGCGTACGAAGCGCTCCAAAAGGTGCATCCCTATGTCGTCGCCTCTGGCTGCTGACGATTCCGTATGCTGGCAGGAAACGGACAAAGAGACGGACCTGCACAACACGCTCGCCGCCAAAAAGGCCGACAACGTACGACGCCTCGCGTTCCTTGCGAGATAAAAGAGGATGCTCAACGTAGTCGCTGACGCCCGACGACGCGCAAGCTCTGCTCGCCGAGATCGACGCGGTCCAGAGCGCGCGCTGGAAGAAGATGCTGACGCTGCTCAAGTCGACGTGCGACCTCATCGTGTCGAGCAACACGGCCGGCGTCCGGCTGCCCGAGCGCATCCTCGGCAAGAAGCTGCACGACGGCATCATCGGTGCTGTTGGCTGCGTCTCGGCGTCGGTCGTGCTGTACAACATTGTCCACAAGAAGAAATAAGCCTGTAACGAGTAGACGAGTTGTGGTCGAGGTGTGTGGTATTAAATAATGTTTCTCTAAACTACTCGGTCAAAAGAAAGAGGCCGTCCCAAACTGCGCCACGTCTTCGCGGAACTGCGTGTCCGGTGCGAGATCGACCACAATGTCCCGCTGCAGCTTCTCCCTCTCCTGTGCCCGCTGGCTCGCCAGCGCCTTCTCTTGCTCCCGCAGCCGCGCTTCCCGCGCTGCAATCTCGGCCGCCGCTTCCTCGGCCTTCTTCCGCTCTGCTTCTTCCCGTTCCCGTTCCATCTCCCTCATGCGTGTTTCCATCTCCTTTTGTTTCTAGAGACAGCAGCATGAGCATCCTCATACCTAGAGAGCACCAACCTGTTGCGCAATGTCGTCAGCAAACGACTGCGAGTCCTTGCGTTGTTCCTTCTGGAGCTTCTGTTGTTCTTCGGCTTGGGCCTTGAGCCAGAGCGAGCTCGACGCGTGCTCGTTCGACTGGATCGGCAACAGCCCCGTGCGTCCATCGACGCCAGCTTGGTCCACGCGCAGTGATTCTCGACCTTCAATGGCTCGGTATCGCCCTCCACTGCACACACAGATTAACCTACCACACATATGAGTGCCATGCTTACCCACGGTGCTGCTAATCTCCGCAGAGGAGGTCAGAGCAGAGGCACTTACAAGTGGAGGCGACTAACCACACAACAGGTAAATCATCCAGGAGGGCCACGCGGATCTAGAAGTGGTAGCTAGAGACCTTTTGCAAAGGCCGCTCCGTGTCCGAGTCGCTGCTGTCCGAATCGTCGTCTACACGCACGCACATGAGCCAGAGCACTATATCGCGTGATCGACATACCCGACGAGCTCGAGCTGTCCGACGAGCTGCCCGACGAGCTGTGTTCAATCGTCGGGACCGGCACCGGCGCCGCAACAACTTCTTGCGGCGGCACATACGTCTCGCCCTCAATGGCAGCGAGTTGGCTCTTGAGCTGTTCGTGGCGCGACTTGACCGACTCGGCGACTTCCTTGGCGTACTGCAAGCGACTCTCCGAGGCACCCTTGACGCTGGGTCGCTTGGCTGGGCGCTTGCGCTTCTTGGCAATGTTTTGTTCCTACAAACTGTCATGAGCGCACTGTGCATGGCGGCCATAGATGGTGTGCGTACCCGGACGTAGCCTTCAATCATGCGGAGGCAGCGCGTATCAAACATGTTGATGTCGAGCTCGACCTCGTCGTCGCCCTGCGTGATTGTGTGCAAGGGCACCGTCTCCGAGATGATCTGCAGCACGCGCGAGAGCTTGTCTTCGGGAAGCTCCTTGAGGTCGGCCGTTAGCTTGTGCTTCTCGGTCGCCGTCATGGGTCGCGAGAGGTACTCTTCCGTCATGTCTTGCATCTTGAACGGTCTATCGACGATTGCCATGAGCCACCGAAGCCTGTATCAACCTGCAACGCACCGTGGCTTGCTCGTCTTGATCGGGTTGCCGCCAATCGGCGTGCCGAGCGGCGGCGTGCCCTTGCCCGAGGCCATCTCTTGCACAATCACCTTCATCTTCTCAATTTCTTGCTTGAGCGACTGGATCTCTTGGTTCTTGGTGAGCGACGCCCGCTTCGACTTCTTGGCGCGGTTGCTGTCGACCGAGCCTTCGCCGTCCGACGTGTTGCCGTGCTTGCGCGACTTGGCGGCCGCCGACTCGTTCTTGAGCATGCTCTTGTACTTTTTCTCAAAGTCTTCGAGCAGCTTCTGCGCAAAGACGTACACCTGCGTGTGCGGCGCGTTGTACAGCATCGCGTTCTTGAAGACGAGCCGGACGTGGCTCGCAAAGTACTCGGGCTCGGCGTACACGCCGTACTCAAAGTTGGACCGGATCGTGCCAAGGTCCATCGGGTCCTTGATCACGTTGAAGTAGTCGGGGATGCCGAGCGCGACGGGGTCGACAGGCACGAGAAAGGGCAGCGCCTTCGGGTTGCCCATGAGCGTCTTCAACGTGCTGAGGCACTTGCGCATGACGGGCGCGCGGTCGCGGTCGACGCCAGCATCGTCTCGCAGATGGGCAGGGATCACGCGCTTTCGCTCCGACCGATTCCGCGACGAGATGAGCGGAGACGAGTTGCCCGACGAGATCGAAATCACCGACGAGAGCTTGGTGTGGGGCACGATCACGTGCGTGAGTTCAACGTCCGGCGTGCCGGGCGCCGACGAGTTGTATTCGGACATGGGCGTCGAGCCTGGCAGCGCCTTCTTCTGCTTCTTCAACGCTGGCGCTTTCGTGACAGACGCAGGCGCGGGCTTGGGGCGCGTGCGCTTGGCGACAGGCGTCTTATCTTTCGGCTTGTAGGCCTTGTAGAGGCGCATGACCTTGGTCGCGTCGTCGAGCACGCCTTGCAGCGTAAAGGCGCCGAACCGGTTCTCGCCGTTGCCGCGCACGAGGTACGCATGGTCGACGCTGCACTTGTAGAACGAGAGCACCACGTCCTTCTCGGGCACCGTGTTGGGTTTGCCCTTCAACGTCTGGATCTGGAAGAAACCATCGAACGACCGCTCCATGACGACCGTATCTTTCGGCGGCTCGTCCAATGCCGGCGACGGCGACGCGCGGTTCTCGTCTTCGTCCGTCACGTTGTCGCCGTGGCCGTCCAAGGTCACATGGCCCTTCTTCGACTTCATCTCAAAGAGCGACGTGATGCCATTCGCATACTCGGCCTCGAGCATCGCCCAGCGACCCGTCCAGAGCGCGGCGCCGTTCTCGTCGACCGTGTAGGTGCCAATGAGGACGGGACAGAGCGTGCACACCTCGGTCGGCAGCAGCTGCCGGGACAGCGCCATCGTGCTCGACGTCAGCGGGATGCTCCCAGGCCGGTCGTCCTCCATCGTTGTCGTCGTCATGTTCATGGTCATGTTCGTTGTGTTCATCTCGCCGGCGCCCGCGTCGGCCGTCGGCAAGGTCATGCGTCGGTCGTCGTCCATGGCGGCCTAATACATGGAACAAACAAATACGAAAATGAACGTTCTGACAAAACGACCCCGAAAACCCAAAACGTCGCGGGCGGACCTCCCATTTTGAATACAAGACGGACCTCCCCCCGGACCCATAGAAAAAACACTACAAATGCCCTGCGTTGCCACCCCGAACCCTACGGGGTGGACCCCCGCCCCTACACAAAAGCGCAACGATTGGCGCCCACCCGGTCATGACTCGGCCACAGTATGGGCAGTCGCCGCACGTCGCGCCGCCTGCGCGCACGCGCTTCGGACGCAACGAGCACGACGCGACCTCCATACAGGTGGGTACCCGCTTGTAGCGCAGAGCAGGGGCTACGTTCGCATGTCTTGGCGCCCTGGCCTTGACCCTGGGAGCGCGTAGGGGGGGTCGTCGAAGGCGTCGGCCGCGGACGCGCGCCGGTCCCCGCGCCTGCAACGCGGCCGAGTTGGCGATTGCTGTCGCCTGTGATTCGGCGGCCGGTCCGTTGCCGGCGCCATACAAACTTCAAGAGAGGCGACCCCGAGCCCTACCTGCATTCTTGGCGGTAGCCAATCCGCGCGCGCGGCAAGGGGTGCTCGGCGTTTCCATTGGCTGAAATTGGCTGGTTCTCGAATCGGACCGACTTCGCGCCGGTTCGACGGTTGCCTCTTTTTTTTCGCCGCGCGTGTTTTTTTGTGGTCGTATACAATCCCCAAGACGATCTTTTGCTTTAAAAAAATCGAATCCTTCTGACGTGGCGCCGCGGGGTAGGGCTTGGTGGCGGCTTCTAGATTGTATACTGGACGATTGTATGTCGGCTATATTAGGTGGTTTTTTCTTTTTCTTGGCGGCTTTCTCCGCCTTCTTTTTTCCAGAATCCGGCTTTGCTTTCTTCTTGGCGACCGGCGCCACCTTGGCGGTTGCGTCCGAGGGCTTCTTTTTCTTCTTTTTCTCCTTGCCGACAGCCTCTTTGGTGTTTTCCTTGCCGACATCCTTCTTGGGCTTTTCCTTGCCGGTGTCCGATTTCTTGCTCTTCTTGGCGGCACTGGCTTTTTTCTCCTTGTCGGGTTTGGCGCCTTTTTTGTCCGGCTTGGATTTTTCCTTCTTTTTTTTCTTCTTTTTTTGCCCGTCTTTGGCCTCGTCGTACGTGGCACGCCAGTTGACGTCCTTGTTGCCGCCCTTCTTGTCGCCGCGCATCTTGCGGCGCATGCGCTTCATCGCGTAGCGCTCCATGGCCGCCTGCTTGCGCCGGCGACGCCACTCGAGGAAGAGGCCCGCGAGCAGCACGACGCAGAGCGCAATCATGCCAATGATGAGGTTCCACGGCAGCGCGGGCACGTACGTCCAGTCGTACAGATTCCGACCCGCCTCGAAGCGCGACTCGACGTTGCCAGCCGCGTCGATCGCGCGGAGCCGAATGCGGTGGTAGCCGCCGTCGAGCCACGAGGCCACGTCGATTTCGCCGAGGCAGTCGGTCCAATTCCGCACCTGTACACGCCGCCTCTAAGACGACTGCGAATCCAGGTAATAGACGTACCACGAGCATCTCGACGAGGTCGATCACATGGTACTGGAAGATCGTGCCGGCCTTGGCGCTTCGAAACTGAAAGATCGTCTGCGACGTCGACGACTCGGGCGTGAGCGTAAAGAACGACGTCGGTAGCGTTGGATCTAACGACAAGTCCGACATTTAACCAAACGCAGCGCGGGAGCGAAGCCTGTACCTCGGTACCACGCGTCGTTTTCAAAGAGCTGGTTGTCGACCTTGCCGCCAAAGACGTACACAGTGCCATTGTGCACGGTCGACGCGTGCGACGAGCGTGGCGTCGGGGTCCACCGGCACACCGACGCTTGGACGTTCGGAAACGGGTCCTTAGTGTCCACCTACACCCATATCCCATTCGTCGTCATATCGCGTCAACGGCCATGGGCACGGTATTACCTGCGGCACGCTGCCCACGTCGGGCCACTTGTAGAGTCCCGTGATCCAGTCAAAGATAGGCGTGCCTTGGTGCGAGCAGCCGTCCCAGACGCTGTCCGCGGCGGCGGCCGCCGCTGCCGCCGAGGCGTCGGCGTTGGCGACCGCGTTCGCGCCTTGGAGCACACTCACGTCGGTCCACTCGGCGCCGTCGTAGCCCACGGGCGCGATCCTACCGACAAGTTGCGAGCGATTTTGACGAGGACACCGTACGTGCATTGCTTGACGACGAGTCTGGCGACTGCAATGTAGTCGCAAATGGGCACGTTGTGTACCGTGCGCAGTTGGATCACCGTGCTCGGAGCGAGGTCCGTGAGGTCGGCGATGACACGAATCGCAGCCGCTTCGAGCGTGCGGACATCGGTTGGCGCCATGCCTTGGAGCAAGGCCACCGAGCTTTGCGGCGTCACGTACAGTGCGTGCTCCGTGCTCGGTCCAAAGTCGAGCGACCAGCGCGACGCGTTCGCTGCGCGCGTCCAGACGTCGCCAAGGAACTCATTGTCGTTTTCTCCAAACATGGCGATGAGGTAGCTCTCGTTCGGCGCATGGACGGGGACAACACTCAGTTTCGCGCGTGGCGACCACTCGGCGTGGAGCGTATCGAGGACCCAGTTGATGCCATCGACGCTGCGCCACACGTCGTTGCGCAAGCCTTGGAGGGTTGGACTGCTCGCGTCGCGGTCGCGGCCGCCAAAGATCCAGAGACTGCCTTGCCACCCGGCCATGGCGTGTTCGCCGCGGCCGCTCCACGCCGCGCTCGGCGTCAGCTGCACCCAGCGCTGGCCGTCCGGCGACATCCATACGTCGTTCATGAATTGTCGATAGTCGCCGCCACACGCAAACTCGTGGCCGAGCGGCCGCTTGGCGATCTCGGGCCCGCAGAGGTTCCTTTGCACCGACGTGTAGCCGCCCGCAAGGAACAACGTGCCAAAGTGCGCGACCACCGTATGGTACTCGCGCGGCGACCACATGTTGCAGACGCACGTGCCTGTGAGCGTGACCGGATCGAAATTGCACTTGCTGTCGCCAAAACAGTCTTTCTGGGTCGTGCACTGGAACGATTGCGCGCCCGCCTTGTACGTCTCGAGCGCCGTTGGCATCGCGCACCCGATCGTCGCCAGCGACCACGAGACGCCTACAAGACATCCATGATCGTCGTCGTCGCATTCGAGGTTGGAAGCAAGGGGAATTTAGAAAGTGCAACCTGCATCGTGGCTCTTCCAGACGTCGTTTTTGAGGATCGCATACTCCATCCAGCGCTCGGCGCGCGGCGCCATGCCAATCGTGTCGGCGATCGGCACCGGCAGGAGCTCCCGCGCACGGCCGCCAAACACATACAAATGGTTGTTGAAGGCGAGGGCGGCAAAGTTGCGCCGCGGTGAAAACATCGCGTCGGCAATGTACTCGCCGGGCGCGGTCGTCGGATCGTCGCAGCCACTCGGCGGGTACGGGTTCCACGGCGCACTCAAGCACGCAATCCAGTCACTGTAGAGAACGCCTGGCGGCGGGAGCTTGCCCGCGTTCGTTTGGCTCCAAGTGAGCTCGGCCACGATCTGCGGCGCGGGCTCGCCCCACTGGTTGAACGTCAAGATGTTGATCGACGAGTTCCAGACTAGGGTACGAATCAACATCTCTCGATCGAGGTATTGAGGTACCAATGCCGGTTGTGGCCCACACATCGTTCCGGAACGAACCGCCGCCCGGGTACGCGCGGAAGTCCTTGTCCATCGTCGCCAACTGCATGCGGTCGTCGCCACCGAGGATGTAGATGCGGCTGAGCTTTCCTGCCGCGGTCTCGGCCGCCGAAAAGAGCTGCGAAATTGCCGCATGGCCCCAGCGCCGCGTCCATGGAGTGCCCGGCTCGATCGCCGCGTTGGTCTGCTTGGTGCCGCTGATTTCGGCCCAGTTGGCTACGTCACGAGGATGCGCACATGCGAGACAGCGCAGGGCACTTACAGGCGTCAACCATGGGCAAGACGACGAGGCAGAGCACGCCCTTGGTAAGCCGCGGTCGCTTCATGACGACGACCGTTTCCGTGTCTGGCCTGATTTTTAGGCCCTCGAGGAGGATATTGAGTGGCATGCTCCGCCGACGACCATAAGCATAGATTGTGGCCAAAGGAGCGCAAGCAAAGGCGATGCACTCTGGAGCCAATTCGGCAGTGGCAACTGCCACCCGTGCGACGCCGGAGCTGCTACAAGTTCGCAAGCAACTGCCATCCAAAGACGGTGCAGAGAGCCACACGCAGCCGTGCCATCGCAAAGCGCATCCGCCTACGCCGAGTGGTGCATCTCGCACGGCGGCGGGTCCAGAGCCCTCGTGCATGATGGCACTCGACCCGTGAAGGCACGCGACCGGTGCAACTTCAAGGTTGGTCAGATGCTGGCCAATGATTGGTGGTGTACTTTGCAATGGAACCGGATACAACCACCAGCGGCGGCCCGCCAGGTGCCCCGCCCCGCACGACAACGAGGAATCGGTCCCGATCGCGCTCGCGCCGTGACGGCCAAGCAACTGAGCGTCCTCGCAGTGCCGAGCGCGGCGGCGGCCGACGTGGTCGTGGCGGTCGCACTTCTGGCGGCGGCGGCGAGCGTGGTGGTCGTGGCGGGCGGGGCGGCCGTGGCAATGCGCCTCGCCATCCGATTAGCGTCGACGTGCTGTCGGCGATCCCCATGTACCCGCGCCCATACAGCGCGTACAGCGACCCGCCCGCGACCGGTGGCTTTCGCGTCGTTTGCTTCAACGTTCTCGCTGGTCCGACTTGCCTGTGTGCTCTTGCCTCAGCACGCTATGCGTAGACTACCTTGCGGCCGAGAGTCAGCAGCACGCCCGCCCGTACGACGCCTACAAGTTTAGGTGCGTTGGCGACATGGTGCCTGCGCGATTCATCCTCTTCGTAGCTGGGCCTTTCGCCGGACGCGGCTCTTGCGCGAGATGTTGACGTGGCAGGCCGACATTATCTGTCTCCAAGAAGTGGATCATTTCACCGACTACTTTGAGCCCGAGCTCGCACAGGTAGCGGTCCCTTCTCGACGACCTCGGCGGCCAGCGTATCTCTCTAGCACGGCTACATTGGCCGCGCCAAGCAGCGGTACCGTAGCGCCCACGTCGACCTGTGCATAGGACGCGCACGCGTACTAGGACGGGCGAAACGACGCTGGACGGCTGCGCCATCTTTGTCAAAGCCTCGACGTTTGAGATTCTCGAGACGGTTGGCATCGAGTACAAGGTACCGGGCCACGACGTGCTCGACCGCGACAACGTGGCGCTGGCGCTCGTGTTGCGGTCCATCGGTGACGGCGCCGTCCTGATTGCCGCGACGACGCACATCCTTTTCAACCCGCGCGTACGAACCTTATGGCGTCTTTGGCTCTGACCATGGCACGACTAGCGCGGCGACGTCAAGCTGGCGCAGTGCCAACTGCTCTTTGAGACGCTCGCGGCGCTGCAAGCGTCGCATGCTTCGGATCGTCTTTTGCTCTGCGGCGACTTTAACTTTACGCCATGCAGTCCGCTCTACGCGCTGTTTTCGACCGGTGCGCTCAACTGCGACCGCCTTCAGCCGCCCGACCTTTCGTGCCAAGTCTCTCCGAGCGTACGAGATGGCACGACGATCGCTGGTCGTTGACGTAGCAAGTAGGGCTCGTTCTTTCATGAGCGGCGTCACGTGGAGACTGAGGACGAGGCGCGGCACCACGGTGCTGGCACGGCCGCAGGGCGCTTTGACCCGACGCGCCGTGGTCCCACGAAGCGGTCGCCGCCGTCCAAGTTCAACAAGGCCATTGGTGGCACCGTGTCCCACCCGGTTTGTCGGATGCACGGAGCGCCTGCGTGTGACCCTGACGTAGTTTGCCCTTGCGAGTGCGTATGCGCAACGGCCGACGGAGCTCACGACGGGCGAGCCGCTCGTGACGACGTTCCACGAGCGCTTCTTTGTACGACATGGATCGTCGCATCCACTGGATTGGTCGTCGATCGATGTGTGTAGGGCTCGGTCGACTACATTTGGTTTTCGGCGCCGACGCTCCAATGCACGGGCGTCGTGGAGATGCCGGACCACGCCGCCTTTTTCAAGCGCATCCGCGGCCTCCCGACCCAGTGCGTGCTCTTCGATGCCACCTCGTGGGCTCAATCACAAGGGTGTAGGCACGTGTCGAGCGACCATCTGTCGCTCGTGGCCGACTTTGCCTAGTTTCGTATCTACGTATCAAGTTGATAGTACAACGGGGCGACGTTTTTTACGTTTTTGTTGGTGTTTCGGCGTTTTTATGGAACGACACCGGGATGGACGACGACGGGTACGGCAACAACCATGCAGAGACGACGCTCGACGAGCTCGTACTGGACGACCCGGCCACGACGCCGCCACCCCACTACTCGACTGCGCCGGACAGCAAGCACAGCATCTATGATTTCCTCGACGAAGTTGAAGTCAAGTCGGTGCAGCAACTGCAGCGCACACCCTTGAGCAGTAGTAGTCCACTGCTGAGCAACCACCGCGGCCCACCGTTCTCGTCGTCGTCGTCGGGCCGGTCGTCCAATGACTCGAACGTCTACTACAACGACATCAAAGAGAAGCTCGTGACGCTCAATATGGAGCTCCAGGTACACGACATCATGCGAATCCGTCGTCTTCCACGTACTGTAACCTGCGATGCAGGACAAGACGCAGACGATCGCTTTGCTCCAAGCCGCGCGTCGAACGGACAAGGCCAAGTATACTGCCAAGCTCGACGCAGCCGACGCCAAGTTCAAGGTCCGTTGCTATCGTCACGAATAAGAAGCTGGCATCGTAGCACGTGTAGACACTTCTGAAGGAGCAGCAAGTGTTAGCCGAGAAGGACATTGAGAAGCACTTGGACTTTGAACAAACGCTCGTCGCCGACAAGGTAGTCGTATGCTGGCGACATGGGAATGCCACGTTGCGGCGTAGAGCGAGCTGGCGGCCAAGTGCGAGGCGCTCGCGACGGAGCTTCGCAAGCTCGAGACACGACTCGCTTCCGAGACTGCTGGCTTTGAGCGCCACATGAAGGACGCCAAAGACCGCTGGGCCGCGACGGAGAAGACGCGGCGCGACCAGTGGGTGCGTTCCATCCGCCGCATCATGAAGATCGTCCATGCATGACATCCTTTAGATGGCGAAGAAGACGGACGAGATCAAGAAATCGACCATCAAGGCCTTGGAGCCTGACGTGCAAGCCATCATGACCAAGTGCAGAGAGACCATCCAGAAAGCCCAGGACGCGGCCGCCGTTCGTTCCTTATCTCACTCCACCCCCTCTTACTATGCATCATCGGATATGTAGGAAGAGAAGCGCAAGCTCCAGCTTCAATTTGAGAAAGAGAAGGACGAGTACATGCGACGGGAGCGCGACGCGACGGATAAGAAGCTCATCGAGGCGCGCGAGAAGGAGCGAAGCAAGCTCATGTTTCGCCTCGACGCGGCCGACGCGGAGCTCCAGCAGCAGCTGAGCGCCCAGCGCCGACGACTGCAAGAGGAGGCGGAGAAGGCCCGCGACGAGATGGTCGCCGAGGTGCGGCAGCTCAAGCTCGTGCACGCCAAGGAGCTCGACGAGACGCGCGCGATGGAGCGTCAGCGCATCGAGTACGACGTCCTGCAGCTTCAGAGAGAGAAGGACGAGGTCGGTGCGTCGCGTTTTCCGAGATGCTGTAAAGGGCGGTAGATGGCCAAGCGCTACGACGCCGACGCTGCCCATCTACGGGACAAGTATCAAGCGGACTTGGATGCGATGCAGAAAAGCATGCACGCCACGCTCCGCAGCGAGTTTGAACTGGAGAAGCGGCGGCTGGAGCAAGAGATGGTCGCGGCCCGGGACGCCAAGATCGAACTCATTCTCGACAAGCTCCAGGCCGAAACGCAGCGCAAGGTCGAGGCGGCCGAGAAGCGTTTAATGCTGCAATTTGAGACCGAGACCAAAGTAGATCCACCTTGGATGGGAGGATATCTTCGGTGACACCATGTAGGAGTATGAAAAAAAACTGCGCGCGGCCACCGACATGGAAGTCGCTTGGATGGACAAGAATCGCGATCTGTTTGACAAGTGCGCCAAGCTCGAGAGCGACCGCGACACCCTCAAGACCAAGTTCCACGAGCAAGCGACGGGACTACAGACCGCACACGAGCGCATCGCACGCCTCCAGCACCTCCTCGACGAGGTAATACCCTGTCGCCGCCCGAGTGCACAAAAATGCATTGGATGTACGGCAGGAACGCGGGCGATTCAGCCAAGACGAGGCCCACCGCGCGCACCAGCTCGGCCAAGCCCGCGACGCAGCCGAGGCCGAGCGCCAGCGCCTCTCCGCTGTCGTGGACGATCTCCATGCCAAGCTCGACGCGGTGCGCGCGTTAGCTCGAAAGGATTGCGTCACGAATGCGTATATAGGTCGAGTCCAAGTACGGTCGTCAGCTGCAGGATCTCAAGACCAACCACGTACGTCGACGTCGTCGTTGGCGGTGCAGGAGGCCGGCGCGATATTGGCTTGTAGGACGACCTTTTGGAGAAGCTGCACACGCGCGTCCGCGCGACGGTCGCCAAGAAAGACGAGATGATCGACGCGCTGCGTGACGAGCTCCACTTGGCACAGGTCCGCTTGACGAAATGCGAAGCCATCATCAACGACCAGCGGGCGCAGCTCATTCGCTAAGACGCAACAAAGATGGACGATGCGATACCTCGGGCTCCCACTCCTCGCGGCTTGGACGCGACGCATCATGCGTGGGCCAAAAGCGCGGTCATCGTCATCGTGTTGATGCATAATGCAAGGCGTCTAGCTAAACCCGCCTTGGTCCTTGGTCGAGAGGCGGCGAAAGCGCTGCGCGAGCTCTTCAAACTCGGTCGAGAGGTCGTCGAGGCAGTTGCCGAGGGCCTCGATGGGCGAGCTCTGGTTGTTGGTCTGGATGCGCACCTTGATGTCGTTGATAAGCGGGTGCGGGTGCATGTAGCCGGCGAACATCACGTTCGGGTCGCGCAGCAGCTGCATGCGCACGAGGTTCGCGATCGTGTGGTCTTCGCGCAAGATGGTAAACTGCCCGGCGTTGTTGATGCGCGTGTCCTTCTCGTACGTGACCTTTTGCGCGCCGTCCGGGAGGAGGTACGCGTCGCTGCGGCTCGGTGCGTTCATGGTGGCAGAGCGTCGGATACTGACCCGTACGCTATCCGGATGGTCGCCCAGCCATCGCCTTATCCGGAGGCTGTGCAGTGTTTGCTGGAAACACTGGATGAAAACAGTGCTTTTTACAGGCCGGTCGCGCGACAATGGCCGCAATCAATAGCAATGGCGAGTCGATCGATTCCATGCATGGACCGTGCGCCCTTGGTCGCGGGCAACGTCGCATCTGTCAAGACACATCCATGTAGGAACCTGCGTGGCAGAAGCGCTGACGCGCCACGAAAGATCTCGCCGGGCAACGGCGATTGGCCGATGATGGGCGCCAGTTCGAACCGTGGCTGGTAGCATTTTCAATTCTGACGACGCCGATGCTGCCGAGTGCCATGTTGGCACGCTGCGTCATGCGAATGGACGAGTCGTCGGTCCTGGTCGGTGTGAGTATTACAATCGCGACGATGCTCGTGGGATGGCTACTACTCTACCGAGCGCGTCGGCACCCGCTGCAGGCGCTGCGTGGCCCATCGAGCACCCACGCCATCGCTGGCAACGGGTGCGCCAACCGTTGCTTGTGCTGTGGCCCTCATGCCTCACGCTCGATGCAGGCGCGAGTTCGCCAACTTTGCGTGGTCGGCGACGCGTCCGTTCCCAGAGCCGTTCGCTTCATGGTACGATACGGTGGGGGAATGACGCTGTTGACAGGCATGGCCGTAGGACCAAGCAGTACGGCGCTGCCTTTTACTACCGCGTTCTCTTTCAACACCGCGTGAACCTGGCCGACCCCGTATCGCTGCAGCACGTGCTCGTGACCAAGGCGGCCAACTACCCTCGCGACACGATCCCGCGCAGCATCCTTCGTGTCTCTTCTACATATGCAAGGCGATCGCGGGACTCATGACCATACTGTAAACGCTGCTCGGCGGCGACGGGCTCTTGAGCTCAGAAGACCAAGTGCACGCTAGCCAGCGCAAGCACGTGCACCCGCCGTTCGCGCAGACCAACCTCAAGGCGTTTGTGTCCGTCTTTGCTGCGGAGACGCGCACGCTTCTAAGTGTCTTGGACGCACTGCCAGACGGTCACGTCGTCGACGTCCCTGACCGTACGCCCACCCAATGGAATGATGAACGTTCTACTAATTGCATGCGTATGCTTAGTCTTGACGCGGCTGACGCTCAACATCATTGGCAAAACAGCGTTTGGCTACGACTTCAAGACACTGGATCGGACAAACGACCAAGCAGCGATCGTTTTAAGCGCGTTTGAGAAGCTCAACACGCCGCCGCGACCGCTGTACATCCTCGGGCTCGCGTTCCTCCCGCACTTTGAGCACTGGCCGCTGCCCTACTTGCGACAGATCCAAGCCGCCAAGTCGACGCTCTTTCGCATCGTCGACGACGTTATCGCACACAAGGTGACATCGCCATCGCGCGACCTCCTCGACCTCTTGCTTGCCGACGCGGCGATGACCGCCGCCGAAGCCCGGGTACACGTCATGACGTTTATGTTTGCGGGCCACGAGACGACGAGCAACACGCTCTCGTGGGTGCTGGCGATGCTCGCGACGCACCCTACTGTCGAAACCGCGGTCGTCGACGAGTGCCGCCGCGCCTTGGCCGACGCCGGCGGCACTGTATCGTGGCAGACGCTGGGCGATCTCCCACTGCTCACAGCGACGATCTACGAGACCTTGCGCCTGTACCCAACGGTCCCGTTCATTACGATGCGGACGTGCACGCAAGATGACTGGATCCCGCGCACGGACGACGACCCGCCGTTCTTCATGCCCTAGGTACAGCGAGTCCTCTCGGAGGCCATCAACTTTGGTGGTCGCAGGGCGCTAAGGCGACGTTTAGCGTTGGGGCGATCCACCAGCACGCACGGTATTGGAGCCGCCCCACTGAGTTTCTCCCAGGTAGTACAATGTTGCCCATGGTACTTCGAGACGTCATTTGTGGCGACTAGCGCGCTTCCTGGATGGATCGCCCGAGCACGAGGCGGATGCATTGCTGCGCCGTGGCAATAGCAACCGGTTTACGTTTGTGCCGTTCAGCCTCGGTAGACATCCTGTTCGCGCATAAAACAATATGTCCATTATCGACTAGGGCCCAAAAACTGCATCGGAAAACGCTTTGCAATCGCCGAGATGCAAACGGTGCTGCTCCACTTGCTCCCAAGCTATGCACTGACGCGTACACCGGCATCGAACCTCGTGCCCAAGCTCACAGGCGTCACGATCAAGCCGACGGCCTTGCCGTTGCGACTGGTCCGCCGCGCCAATGCATAAATTCGCCATATGGGTTCATTTTCATGGGTTTATAGACCAAAAGGTAGCGCCTCTAGTCTCTGTAGCGCTGCGCAATGCGACCGATCACCTTGAAGTTGACGCTTGAAATGTGCATCATCGTGTCTTCAATGCAAGCCGAGTACTCGCGCGTACATTCCTCTAGCGTCGACGGGCTGCCGTACTTGGGATCATATAGCATCTTGGCCAGTACCGGCCCCACCGCTTGCCTGCCATGCGCAGGTAGTGCGAGTAGAGGAAAAAGGCGGGCGACCCGATGTACTCGCGGACCTTGCCGTTGATGGAGACATACAGCGGGCGTCCGTCGACGCCTGTGCCAGCGCGCAGCTCCTCCTGCGTAAACGTCGGCACGCCGTCGGGCACGGGCACAGAGACAAACTCGCTCGGCGTTTTACGAGGCACGAACGGCACCGACTTGAGCAAGGCAATGTGCGATGCTGCGACACCGTAGTGCTCACAGCCGCGCACCATGATTTCGATGTAGCGCTCGCTCGGCGGCTTGTCGGTCTGCCCCATGGCCGCGACCTTGCCCGCGTCCCGGCCATAGATCGTAGCGTCAATAAGGCGGCCGTCGTAGAGACGTGTCTTGGCTGGTACGCGAACGTACGTCACCTCGATTTGATCCAACGACTGCATCTCGGTAGATGTCATCTTGTGCAGCACGCCGTGGAAGGAGGCGCCGACTTCCGGGACGGCCTCGGCCATGCCAAGGTGCCCAAAAAACCGCAGACAAAAATCGAGGACCTCGGCCGGGTGGCTCTCTACTGGAGCCAACCCGCGGTTCGAGAGACTGATTGGGTTCATCATCGACCCGATCGCAAAGTACCAGACACAGCGGTCGTCGCTAGCAGCGCTCATGGTACGAAGAGCAAAAGTGAAGCGACGATCTCGGTGCACGATCTTATCACGTTTTGGAGGTTTCCGGTGGATGCTGGGTGTCGATGAATGGACGCACAAGTCGAGTCCTAGCATGCGGCTCTCGATCGCTCAACCGAGAGCCGAGCAGAATGTACTATTAATACAGTCGAGTGTCATCTACCACGCCCGACTGATGCTGGTGTTGCCCCTCTCTGTCCTTACATGATGTCGCGGTATCACCGCCCGCAACAAGTGGTGTCGTTGGGTTCACGCGCTCTTTTTGTGACCGTCATCAGATGACTACAAGGTAAACTTGTCGGTCATGATGTACGGGTACGAGTGTGACTAGCATGACAACAAAGGCCAACACGATGCTATCATTTGTTCTTTTTGATCAAAATGAATGAATCGCAAGCACCGACATCGCGATAGTTAAAGGCGATACCCGGTATGCAGTTGCGCCAGAAGCACGCTCGTCGGCGAGACGCGAGACAGTCGTTCATTTGTGACCATCGACAGTACGTACTCGGTCCGACTTGGTCTCCAGTACAATGTACAACGTGTATGTGTGTGCGTCCATGCCGCTAAGAAAGAGGTCCCACTGGGCGTCGCACCCGGCTCGTCCTGGTGGCACTGTTTCTTTTGACTGGAACCACATTTTTTCAACCACCGAAGACACAACGCACAAGAGAAAAATGACCTTTGCGCACATCCAATGCGACCTTTATTCCTCCTTATACGTCTGCGCAATGAGACCGACGGTCTGGAAGAGACTGCTAAAATTCTGCATCGTCATGTCTTCGATGCACGCGCAGTGCTCGCGCGTGAATTCTTGCAGCGTCGACGGACAACCGTACTTGGGATCGTACAGCATCTTGGCAATCAACGGCTCCATGGGCTGCCCAGCCATGCGCAACATGTTGTTGTACATGGCAAAATCCGGCGACCCGATGTACTCGCGGACCTTGCCGTTGATGGAGACATACAACGGGCGTCCGTCGACGCCTGTGCCAGCGCGCAGCTCCTCCTGCGTAAACGTCGGCACGCCGTCGGGCACGGGCACAGAGACAAACTCGCTCGGCGTTTTACGAGGCACGAACGGCACCGACTTGAGCAAGGCAATGTGCGATGCTGCGACGCCGTAGTGCTCACAGCCGCGCACCATGATTTCGATGTAGCGCTCGCTCGGCGGCTTGTCGTTCTGCCCCATGGCCGCGACCTTGGCCGCGTCCCGGCCATAGATCGTAGCGTCAATGAGGCGGCCGTCGTAGAGTCGTGTCTTGGCCGGTACGCGAACGTACGTCGACTCCAATTGGTCGAGGACTTGCATCTCGGTAGATGTCATCTTGTGCAGCACGCCGTGGAAAGAGGCGCCGACTTCCGGGACGGCCTCGGCCATGCCCGCGGCGCCAAAAAACTGGAGCGTGTAATCGAGCACCTCGGCCGGGTGGCTCTCTACTGGAGCCAACCCGCGGTTCGAGAGACTGATTGGGTTCATCATCGACCCGATCGCAAAGTACCAGACATGACTCTCGTCGCTCCGAGTCGTCGATGACATTGGTATATTTGTTGATGTGGAATCGGGCCTGCAAATTGGCAAGTGCAAACCATCAACAAAGTGATTTTTTGTGATATCATGTTTGAGAGGTTTCCAAGTTGAAGTTGGCTCAATGGACGCCGTCGACGAGGTGGCGCTGCACAGATGGCCACCTTGCGATCGCCGGGATCTGACTCACGAGCATTCGTATCGAGAAGGTCGAGAAGACGGTGTTTAGTACGATGCTGCGCACAGAATGCTCGGCGCTTCCAGCGTCGGTTTGCCGTCGCGTTTGCCGTTGGGTAACGTTACATCGGCTGTATGCAACGGGACTCGGACACCAACGCATGGGCTGCGACAAACCGTCGAACGTGCGGTAGCGGTGACGCACGCGTTCCTGGACCGTGATCGGCTTGCAGGCCACCACTGACGACCCATACTACATGTCCTCGCATTCACACAGTCAAGAGGGTGTGGTTCTTGTCGACTTTCTTCTCGCTAGCGGTCTTGGTCCTACCACCACGTCGATCCGGGTTCGAATCCCCGAGAGCCCACTTTTAGTACCGGTACCTCACGCTCACCACATGGCACCGGACACGGGGCGCGCCACGTGCGGAGTGCGCGGGGTGGACAGAAAGCACCGACATTCTCAGCTTGGAAGCGGTAACAACCATCAACGTTGTACAGTTGTATGTTACTATCGGGCGACACTACTAGAATGGTTGGGGGTGACGGAGAACGACACACTACTTCGAGCAATGACGGGGATGCTGCTGGAAGACGCAGCGAAGCGAGGCTGGGCGGCATGCGAACAGAGCACGCAGTTGGTCAGACGATGCGGCGCACACGTCGCCGCCGTCACCGACGTCGTAGGCATGGCACTCGTCGGGGGCAAGGCAAGCTTGGGCCGCGCGCTCTGGCACAATATGCATCGACTGAGTTGGTGCGCCGCGCACACACCGGATGACGCCGACGACGCTACCAGCACCGACGATGACGACGCCTCGGGAGGTTTCCGTGGCAGAGACGCAGCGGTTGCTGCAAAGGGCCGACCTTTTGTTGTCTCTGTCATTGCGCTCAGTTGATTTGAAGCGGGCGCTTTGCTTCGCAGTGAACAGAGAACGCAGCCTTGAAGCTGGTGGTCGGTGCACACTGTCGGTAGTATACTCTTTGACACTGGTATTGTTGCGTCGATAGTGCTCAGCACCGATGGCATCACGGGTTGGAGTTTGACGGGCACCTTCTCGCCAGGTTTCGAGTAGAGTGATTTGAAGAGGGTGCTGCTCTTTTCAGGAGCAAGGGCAGGTGGATCTGGGATCGGTGCCAAGCTTGAGAGACTGCGCCCACGCTCGAGTCGATCCCAGTCGTACTCGCACGGCTTGGCCGCGACCTTCTCGGGCGTCGTTAGCGCTTGTATCTTGTGTTGGAGCTGCTGAATTTGACGCTCCGATTCGCGCACCTTGGCTTCATACGCTTCGTTTTGCGCCAAGAGCGTCCCGATCGCGCGTTCTTTCGCCTGGATGTTCGCTTCAAAGTGCGCGAGCTTCGACTGCACTTCTTCGTTCTGCTTGTCTTTGACGTTCGAGAGTTCGAGGACTTTGAGCCGGAGCTTGGCAATGTGCGCCCGCGCTGCCACCAGCCCTAGTACGTCCATGCAACACGTGACATCATTTTGAGCATTTTCACCTACCGAGTTGGAGCTGGCGCGGTGACACCGTGGGTGTTGGATTAAGGACAACGCACTGCATGACAGCCCGCGTCCGGTCTGCAAACTGGATCGTCCGAACCGTCTCGTCCGACGCCCGGCCGTTGATCGTTGCAATCAGCACCTACGGATTGGTTTCTGGCTTCTTATCCAACAGACACACGAGATACCGTTCGCGTGTTGCCGCCCAGCGAGTCCTTGAGGAGCCGCGTCAAGGTCGAGTCGCGGTACGGAATGTGCTTGCGACCGGCCTGCGTCAGCGCAGCGATGCAATTGCCGAGCGCTGAGAGACTGCTGTTGATGCTCTTCATTTCCTCAATCTCGACGCCGGGCTTGACGACGAGCTTGTTCCATTTTTCCGACCCCGCAAGGTCCACGAGGTTGAGTTTTCCTTGGCGCAGGCCGCTCCGAGACCGCAAGTGCACTTGGAGAATCGCATGGCTGCGACTGCTGGCGGCGTTCATCTCGGTTTCGCGGACCACGCGATGCAGCTTCCTACCGTCATGGAGAAGACAAGATTAGAGAGCCAACGATACATGAGACAAAACCCTTTGCGCAAGAAGGCGTAAACGTCGTCCATGGTGGCGATCGGGACAAGCGATAGGCCTTGGATCGACACGTCATCGGCTTCGCGAAGCACGAGCGGGCGCTGCCGCTTTCGGTCCGCAAGCAAGTCGTAGATCTTGTCGTTGTAGATCTGAAGGTACGCACAGGTCATGACGCCGTTGTTGCCAAACTGCTGGACGAGCTCAAAGAGCGCCCGCGGAATGATGCCCCACGCTGCATCAAGCTCGAGGCGCGTCGTGTCGACGGGCGTCCCGCTGCGCCCCGAGAGCGACGACGAGGATGCCTCGTCCATGCCCAAGATCGTGTGCGTCTTGCCCGTGCCGGTTTGCCCGTAGGCAAAGATGGTAGCGTTGAAGCCGTGCACGACATCCGCGACGAGATGTTGCACGGCACCGTAAATGTCCGACTGCGTAGCGTCGGCTGGAAAATGCGATCGAACGAGCATTCCATGGGACCGTGGCTCGTGATTGGGATCCGCAGCGTCGTGTCGCTCAGCGTTTGAATCTACGTACACATCGTACGTGCTCGCAATGCAGTGCGTACGTACACCGATAAACGTTGGAGACGGCGCCGACGATGCCGGCCGGACTCGAACAAACACCTTGATGGCCTCGTTGGGCTTGCGATCCACGTCGGCCGTGAGGCCGCGCATGTCTGTCGCTTTGAGCGGAGTGATCTGCAAGTGCCATACCAATGCCCTTGCACTCATGGTCAAGAAAAAGGTCCTTACGTGAGACGACGTTGTCGCGAGCTCGTGCGCCGTGAGCGGTCGGATGCGGGCCAAGGACACGCGGCATGCGCTGGACGGCGTGGGTGAACGGTCGAGACTATCGTTGTGACGGCTCGAGGCCAAGGCCTGGGCCTTTTGGTCGTCAGCGACGTCGTCGGCGAGGTCGTCGGCGTCGGCCGGCTCGGCGGCCTCCATGCTCACCGCAGTCGGTTTCGGTGCGACACGCGTGACGCTGATTGGTTGAAAACACGTGCTTCAAGTGCGAAAGTGCACTTTCGACCAATCGGAAAGATGGGCATGCCCGACCCGTGGCAGTCACCAATCTCGGACTGGCATGTTGCACCGTGCAGTGACCAAGGCGTTGACGCCGGCGTGGGCGCGCCACGCGAGCTCGGCCGCCGCGTATGGCCTTAGCGCCGAGCAAAAAGCGTTCTATGATGCCAACGGGTACCTCCACATTGAGAACGCGCTCTCGCACGAGACGTGCGACACGCTCCGGGCGCGGGCGGACCACCACCTCTCGCAGTTTGACCCGAGTTCCAAGAGCATTTTAGCTCCAAGCACCAGACGCGGTACAGCGATGCGTACTTTCTCTCGTCGGGCCCGCGCATCCACTGCTTCTTTGAAGAAGACGCGGTCGACGACGACGGCAACGTCACCGTGCCGCTGCCGCTCGCGATCAACAAGATTGGCCACAACCTGCACTCGCTCGACCCGGCGTTTCGCGACGTGAGCTTCTCGCCCAGCGTCAAGGGTGCGCCGTCCTGCCACTTCGTATCGATAGCATTCTTCATTCTTCTGTCGTAGGCATCCTCCAGTCGCTTGGATACGTGGCCCCCGTCGTGCCCCAGTCCATGTATATCTTCAAGCAGCCGTCGATTGGCGGCGAGGTCGGCGCGCACCAAGATGGCACGTACCTCTACACGGAGCCGCAGAGCGTCATCGGTCTCTGGTGGGCACTGGAAGACTGCACGACATCGAACGGTTTCTCGTCCTGACCTGTTGGCCGTATCCATTTGATGCGTTGCGTAGGCTGCTTGTACGGCGTGCCAGGCTCGCACTTGACGACGCCTGTGCTCCAGCACTTCAAGCGCACGACGCCGTTTGATGGCGAAGAGGACTTTTCGAAATCCGACGGCCCTTTGCTGGAGACCGTGCCTGCGACCAAGCCCGAGTTTGACCTCACGTGCGGAACGCCAATCTTGACCAAGAAAGGCGATCTCGTGCTCCTCCACTCGTCGTTTGTGCACTACAGCCACGCCAACACGTCCGACAAGTCGCGCCACGCGTACTCGATCCACGTCGTCGAGAGCCACGAAACCGAGTACCCCAAGGTCAACTGGCTTCAATTCCCTAAAGACATGCCGTTCCCCCGCGTGTATTAGTTAACTAAGCATGCGAACTGTCATCCATTCTCGTTAATGTACCATGCGGATGGATCGGTCTTGCCCGGGCCTTACACAATACGGAGATTACCGTCACACAACGAGGTTCAACGCATTGTCTGCAGGTAAAATAGCAAGTGGGACGATAGGACGTTGGATTCTTCGCCTTTGCAACGCCACAGATTGGGCTACCACTGGTTTTAGCCTGGACTCTAATTGTAAGCAAGGGCTATCGTGGATAGCGGTTGTGCAATCCCTGGTTATGGACAGACTGGAGAGCAAAACAAAGAGAGTGTAATATGATGCATCATGGTTTCTTACGAGTGCTACACTGTGGTAAAAGAGACACGGGGCTTGCAACGTCATGTTTACGCCGTCGGTGCGCACTGGGGACGCGCGCGGAATCGTGGCGCACTGGGTGCCGACGTAATATAGCTGACGATGCTGTCATAGATGCCACCAAGCGCACCGTTGTTCGCAGAGGCCGATGTGTCCGCGACATTAGCCGTGTTGAACAGATACGCAGACGGCGAGTTGGCGTCCGTAGCAGATTCCGGCTCGAGCGACCCAACCAGGTGCACTGGCTTCGATTCTTGTGGCGCCGAATACCCGGTATCGTCGGACAGCAGTGTCGCATCGGTCGACGAGCCCGCCGTCGACTGCGTGAAGGACGACACGGCCGAGGCGACCGCCGACGCAACCGAGAGCGGAGCACCGGCCTCGATGGCCGCGATCTGCACCTCGGCAGGCGAGCCACCCGAGTTGACAGCAACCGCGATGGCAGCGGCCTGGCCGAGGCTCGCACCCGAGTCGAGCGCAGCCTGGATGATCTCGATGATGGGCGCAGGCGTCTCAACCGCAATCTCGACAGCCGCGGCGACGTTCACGGCATCCAACGCGTTGACACCGACCTCCAAGGCGACGGAAACGAGGTCGCTGCCCGAGACACCCGACGACGCGGCATCGGCCAGGGCAGCAGCCTGGGCCGGCGACGCACCAGCCTCCTTGGCAGCCTCGATGACTTCAGCGATAGGAGCATTGGTGACGGCATCAGCCCCCGAGCCCGCCGCCGAGTCGGCAGCCGACGCAACGGCAGCAGCGACCGATGGGCTAACACCGACGGCGATGGCCGTTTCGATGATAGCGTTGAGGCTAGCACCCGTGTCGGCCGCGACAGCGATGACAGCGGCTTGCTGGGGCGTGGCACCGGCTTCAATCGCCGCCTGGATGACTTCAAGCACCGGGGCCGGCGTGGCATCGGTCGACGAGCCCGCCGTCGACTGCGTGAAGGACGACACGGCCGAGGCGACCGCCGACGCAACCGAGAGCGGAGCACCGGCCTCGATGGCCGCGATCTGCACCTCGGCAGGCGAGCCACCCGAGTTGACAGCAACCGCGATGGCAGCGGCCTGGCCGAGGCTCGCACCCGAGTCGAGCGCAGCCTGGATGATCTCGATGATGGGCGCAGGCGTCTCAACCGCAATCTCGACAGCCGCGGCGACGTTCACGGCATCCAACGCGTTGACACCGACCTCCAAGGCGACGGAAACGAGGTCGCTGCCCCGAGGACACCCGACGACGCGGCATCGGCCAGGGCAGCAGCCTGGGCCGGCGACGCACCAGCCTCCTTGGCAGCCTCGATGACTTCAGCGATAGGAGCATTGGTGACGGCATCAGCCCCCGAGCCCGCCGCCGAGTCGGCAGCCGACGCAACGGCAGCAGCGACCGATGGGCTAACACCGACGGCGATGGCCGTTTCGATGATAGCGTTGAGGCTAGCACCCGTGTCGGCCGCGACAGCGATGACAGCGGCTTGCTGGGGCGTGGCACCGGCTTCAATCGCCGCCTGGATGACTTCAAGCACCGGGGCCGGCGTGGCATCGGTCGACGAGGTGCTGGTCTCGACCAAAGTCGTGTCGCTTGGCAAAGTGTCGAGGGTGGTACTGGTCTGGAACAAGGCCATCTGTTTGGCTTGGGCAGTACGGGCGGCGACGAAGAGGAGGCCAACAACAGCAACACGTGAGAGTCTCATAATAGTTGGGGACGGAGATAGGGTGACGGCAGAAGACGGACAGTGATGTACTCTCGGTGTTGCAAATTGCAAGATGAAGATGCTGGAGGGCGAGGATCCGGTGCATCACGGGTTTTGTATGAACTACGAATACCTAGTCTTTCCTATCTTTCCGACTCCGAGTAGTATTCTTTTCGAAGAACGGGTGGCAAAGATATGGTTGTAGGCGCCAAAACCGTCGTTTCGATACAAATGCCAAGAGAACTCGATCTGGCGACGCTTTGGGCTTGCACATGGCCAATCAACGATGCGAGCTGCCCCGCGTCGATTTGGTATTGAAATGCCATAGGTGCTTGGGTTTTATTCTAGTATTCGTTTCATGCAATCGGTGGGCGTTGACAACAAAAGAGAAAGCGAGGTGTCGTCTCGTACCTGGGACTGCATTTTTTGTGTCGATGCAGCCACCGACACCGCGCGTTCCGGTCGAAGAAGTGAGTTGTGTGTCACCGACCGGAAGCTCCGGTTCAAGCCGGTAGAGTGTTAATGGTTATGCCATTGCGTTGCCCAACACGGTACGACATGCTGCGCTCTAGAGTACTAGTACGTATCTAGAAACGTATGAATACGTCATTTCCCAAACAAGTCGTTTGCAACTCGCTTCCATTAACGTCCCCGTCCTCGCCTTCCCAAACATCGTAGCAACTCATCCTGAGCCGCCTTGCGACGATATGTCACGATGACATTTCACGATCAAGAATTAAAAACGTCTTTGTACAGACCCAAGACTCCAGATGGCGGGAAAAAACACTTGCAACTTTTATCGCGGGGTCCACAGAAGAAGCCAAAAGCGCTACTTGGTCGTGTTGCCTTTCGCGCATGACGCTGCGCGGTGCGATACGTGCATGACCAAGTTGCTCGGCTTGATCGTGACGCCAGTCAGTTTCGGGTGGAGGTTGGCGTCCGGCGCCAAAGTGAATGCATACGTGGGTAGCAACTGGAGGAGCACGGTCTGCATTTCAGCAACAGCAAAGCGCTTCCCAATACAATTCTTGGCGCCTACGAACCGGTTATACACGTGTGGTATAATAGCTCGGGCGGCATCTTGTACCGGCGCTGAACGGCATGTACGTAAACGTATTGCCCTTGCCGTTCCGGAGCGCCTTGTCGGCGAGGGCTTGAGTCGAGTCGTCTAGAAAGCGCTCTAGCATACACACGCATGTCCATTTGCAAGTCGTAGTACGAAGAACGTACGGGGCACAAAGGCGTCGGGGTCGGTCCAGTACAGTGGGTTGCGGTGGATGGCGCCGACGCTAAACGACACGTGCGCTCCCTACACACGTCACGTCTGTGTCTGTCTTTTGCACTTGACTACCGCTGGCATGAAGAACGGAGCGTCGTCCGTGCGCGGGATCGAATCGTCGGCGACACAGTGACGGGTCGTAATGAACGGGGCTGTCGGGTATAGACGCAGCGTCTCGTAGATCGTCGCTGTGAGCAGTGGGAGATCGCCCAGCGTCTGCCACGATACAGTGCCGCCGGCGTCGGCCAAGGCGCGGCGGCACTCGTCGACGACCGCGGCTTCGACAGTAGGGTGCGTCGCGAGCATCGCCAGCACCCACGAGAGCGTGTTGCTCGTCGTCTCGTGGCCCGCAAACATAAACGTCATGACGTGCACCCGGGCTTCGGCGGCGGTCATCGCCGCGTCGGCAAGCAAGAGGTCGAGGAGGTCGCGCGATGGCGATGTCACCTTGTGTGCGATAACGTCGTCGACGATGCGAAAGAGCGTCGCCTTGGCGGCTTGGATCTGTCGCAAGTAGGGCAGCGGCCAGTGCTGGAACCCTGGCAATAGCGTCAGGCCGAGCGTGTAGAGGAAGCGCGGTGGCGTGTTGAGCTTCTCGAACGCGCTTAGAACGATCGCCGCCTGGTCGTTTGTCGGATCCAGTGTCTTGAAGTCGTAGCCAAACGCTGTTTTGCCAATGATGTTGAGCGTCAGGCGCGTCATCACTACATACCGTTCACATCTCGTGCCACCTCCTAGAGTCCGAACGTCGTACGGTTCGGAACGGACACGGGTCCGGTTAGCGAGTCCAGTGTCTTGCCGAGCGTCTCCGTCTCGGCGGCAAATACCGGAATGTACGCTTTAAAGACCGACTGCGCAAAGTGCGGGTTGAGGCGCTTGCGCTGCGCCGCGTGCGCCGGGTCCTCGGAGCTCAGGAGACCGTCGCCACCCAGCAAGTTCTACCCGTCGCTCTTGGCGACCGCCACTACACAAGGGTCATAGGCGTACTTGAAAGAGTGCCCGTGGGATGCTTGCACGGGGGTAGTTGGCCGCGTTGACCACAAACACGTGCTGGAGCGACGTCGGATCGCTCAGGTTGACGCGGTGGTGCCAAAACACCCGGTAGTAAAACGCGCCGCCAAAGTCGGTTTGCCTAAAACATATGTGTGTGTTGAAACGTCGACAGTTATGAGCCGCGTACTATACCACGTGACAAACGGCTCGGGAAAGCGCTGGCCGTCGTGCCAGCGCGTCTTGCCAAACTCGCGCCTGCATCGTCGACTGAGTCGAGTGGCACTCGCAGCGGTACCGTACGCGTTGCCATAGACGATGCTTGTGCGGCGGGGCCCCGGCAGTGCCTGTGTTAGCACCTGGGAACGCCGGAGAGTGCGGAACCCGACCAGTGCGAGACCTCCGGTAAGCGCAGCGACCGCGACGCGGCTATCCACGTCGGCCATACGTCGTAAATTGTTGACACTGCATCCAATCAGCGTCCCGATGACGTCATCACTTGGTGCGGGCACCCCGTCTTGCCACATCGCTCGCGTGGATGTTCCCTCGGGTGGGGAATCGACGCTCGCGCGGCAAAGTACTACACTCGAAAATAGTAGGTTTTGCTGGTGCCGCCAATGGCATGGACTAGCCATACAGACAATATTGTATGGCGTCGGTCCTACTGTCGTCTGGCTCAACGTAGCGGCCGAAATCGTCCATGCAGCGATATGACATGTGCGTGCGGACGAGAGAAACACTCCTGCATGACCGATGCGTGTGTGTACCGCTCCGCAATCCTCTCTCTGGTGGTCCTCTGCTCCGAGGCTACGGCTCCACCCAACTCTAGCACCATTCGACGGCAAATGATGTATTCTTCAAAGCAAAAACCACGCAAGACGAAGCCTAGACGTCGTCGACCAGCGTGGCCATGACGTCGTCCAGATCCTCTTGCGGTGGCAGAGCCTCGAGCGCGCGGTGCCACCACGTTGCGACCGTGTCGTGCTCTTTTGTGTGGCTTGGTGTACCCTCGTTGACAGCATCGTCGTCTTGCTGGCGCATCGTCGTCTCGTCGTTCGCGTCGTCGTCGTCGACACTGCGGCGGCGCGGCCGCTTCGCGACAATCGACTCGTCGGTGGCGCCGAGCTTCTTGAGCCAGAGCTCTTGGCGTGTCTCAGAGCCGCGCTTTTTGCCCCGTTGCGGCGGCTTGCTCGGTGTTGCCGCCGCAACCACCTCCTTTGGCTTGCGCCGGGTCACGTCCCGGAGGTCATCGTCACCCGTGACAGAGGCGTAAAACGTCTTCATCGTGCGGGTAGGCTTGACAACCGCGACCACGTCCTTGGCTACAACGACAGATGAGTATGTGGACACGAGGCTACCGACAAACAAAAGCACCTTTTTCAAAGGCGGCGGCCTCCACATGGAGGAAGAGGCGCTTCTTCGTCTTCTCGCGCTGCTTGGTCAAGTCGATAAACATCCGCGTCCGCTCGTACGTGCACCGGATCTGCTGTAGCGCCATGATCTCTTGCTTGGTGATCCAAAGCCCTTTGGCCTCGTCAAAGATCGCAAAGCTCGGCGGGTGCGCCGTGCAACAGTACGCACGCTCTGTCTTGTTGCCGGGCGTGTAGTTGTACAAGCGCGCTTCGCGGTGGCAGTACGGGTGGAACGTGGCAAGACACTGCTTCTTGCAGCAGCTCACGAGACGGCCCTACACCAGTATATATATGCGTACGCTTTCCTGTCAGCGATATAGCTCGGTACCGAACGCTGCTGGCACAGCGAACAACACTTGGTCGTTGGCGGCTCGAGCAACGGCAGTGGCAGCGCATGTCGCGTCCCCGTCGCCGGATCCGTCACGATGCGACTGCCAAACACGCTGGCGCAATACAAATGCACAAAACCAAAGTGCAGAGCGGCACCCGTCGACGCCAGTGGGCGCACCGGAAGCATGTAGTCGCCGACGCGGTCGCAGAGAACACAGGGCGCCGACGCGGCGGTGGGATCGACGGCGCACTTTTCGCATGCCCAGTCGTTGGCAATCGTGTCGATCGAGAGCTCTGGGGCGACGCAGCTCGGGTGCACAACGACGCTACAGAGGCGGCAGCGCAACAGCACAGACAACGGCGACGACAACTCGTGGGTCTTTTTCTTGTTGCAGACCGCGCACGTCGCATCTTCGTCGCTTGCGAGGAGCCGCAACTGCTGCCGCTTGGTGGCTTCGACGAGCCGAAGTGCAGCGCGCGCGTCGCGCTGTAGCGACCGGTCACTGCATGCAAGCGACGATGGCTGGTGGGCATCGCAGAAGACGTTGAAGACAAGGCCTTGGCCGCCGCCAACGTGGACAAAGCCGCAGGCTGCGACAGACGCGTGCATGTGCAAGCCGGCGTACCAAGCGCAGAGCGCGTGCATCGACGTATCGCAGTCGGGGTGGCGACAGCGGACCGTACGTCCGGTCGCGACGCGGCAGATCGTGCAGAGACCACCGGATAGAAGCGGCGGCGGAAGGTCGGCGACGTCCGCCAGTGGCGACGTCATGGCCGTCGCCGTGTCAAACGTGGCGAACCGCACCAGAGGCTGCATCGTGAGCTGGATCAGCATGCGCGGGATGTGGACGAGCTGCGTGTTGGGGCTCCAGAGCGCACAGGCCACATGGACCCAGAGCCCTTCTTTGGTCATCTTGAGAGCGCCGTCACGCATCGGGCAGAGCTGGCAAAACACGAGCGCCGACGGGACTTTGCGCAAGGCAATGCACTTGTCGCAGTAAAAGTCGGTTTTGGGGATTTCGGCCACGCCGTAGCAGCGCTGGTGCACGGCAATGTCGCAGGCTTCGCAAAAGATGATCGGGTTGGCGTCTTCCGAGATGCCGTCAAAGCAGATGACGCACGTGCCGTCTTCAAACGGCTGGAGGCGGTCGGTCTCGGGCACGATTGGCAAATCGTTCGTGCCCTTGATGAGGCAGAGACACACCGCTTTCCACCACGCATATTCGAGGTAGAGCCGCTCCACGTGCGACTGGGTCGTCAACTGGGCCTCTTGGGCCTGCATGTACTGCGTGCCTTTGGCCCAGAGCGACCGCCACCGGACGCGATTGGTCTTCATCTGTTCGTTGAGCAAGTCGACGCACAACTGCATCTCGAGCGTCATGTCGTCCTGCACTTGAGTGCCTGTAAACGCCGCACTCGCGCCGTACTGCTGCTTGATGAGCACGTTCGTGAGCGGTTCGAGCCCGAGGAGCGCCACCCACAGTTTGGTGCCCCGAGGATACGCCGGCGTCGCGTTCGTCAAGAGATCGTGGAACGCGTCGGGCTTGAAGCGCGTCCACGCCACGTCCGCATCGGCCGGCGGCTCGGTGTTGGAGAGCGCAAAGGTGCACCGGACCGCCGTCGAGTGAACGACGAGGTTGACGGCGATGCGCGACGTGCCGTCGCTCGCAGGCGACGGCGTCACCGAGTGAACATGCAGAAACGGATGCACCTCTTGGTCGAAAGCACACTGCGCGCCGCTCGCGAGCAGCATGTAGTCGCACGTGTGCTTCATGCCGGTCTGCACCATCCAGTCCTCCGAGGACGTGACGACGACCGTGTCGGCGCACCGCGGCTTGTCGTACGCGCCCCGCGGTTTTTCAATGCCGTCGGGCTTGGCGCCTGTGAGCCAGTGCGCGAGCGGCTCAAGGCGCTTCTTCTGCATGGGATACTTGGAGAAGAAAGCGACCGACACTTGGTCCCAAAAGAACGCCGACTGCATCAAGTGACCAAACTGCTGGCCGGGCCACGTCATGAAGAGGTTGTCCGACGGCATCGTCGCATGCAGCGACGCAATCGCAAGGTCGCCCACCGGATCGATCGGTGCTTGGCCTGGTGGCAGCGGAAACAACGACGTCGTTGCATGCTTCTTGATGACCATGGGCACATGCGTCGTCGTCGACGACGGCAACGGCGTCGGTGGCGTCGACATCGGCGTCGACATTGACAATCGACTCGGCTCGAGCGGCATGGCGATCGACAGCTCGGGCTTCTTCTTGGGTGGACGGCCACGGGCCTTCTTGGGACCATCGGCGGCTTTGGCCGCTTTGCTCATCGGCGTCGCCTTGCCCGCCGTCGGTGTCGCCTTGCCCGCCGTCGGTGTCGTCGACGTTGGCGTCGGTGTCGTCGATGGCATGGCCTTTCCGGCCTTGCCTTTTGTTGGTGGTGGTTTCGGCGCCGACGACACGACTTGTTTCTTGCAGGTCGTCGTCATGTGCTGCGCGAAATTCGTCCGCAACACGACTTCCTTGCAGAGTGGGCACGGGATGACATCCGTCATGATCTGTGGACGCGGCGGGAGCATGCCTAGCCCCGGTGGGGGTGGCGCAGGTCGCGACGTCGGCAGCATCCCAAGCCCTGGCGGCGCCGGCGGCAGTCGAGGCATGCCCTGTGGCATCGACATGGTCATTTGCACGGGACTCGGCTTGGGCTTGGGCGAGTAGTCGTCTTTGCGGGGCCGCCCGACCTTCTTGGCCGGCGGTGCGCTCATGGGCATGTTGAAAAAGGGCATGAGCGCCGCGGCAGACACGAGCGTCGCGGGCGTGTCGGTGGCCGCCGTCGTTGCCTCAAGCACGTCGAGCGGCGCATCTGGCTCGTACATCTTGTCGCCAACATATGGGTTGGCATAGTGCAAGTCTTTGACGAGCGTGAACGTCGGCTGGACATCGCCGAGGTGTGTTTCGCAGTGGCACACGGGCTGCTGCTCGTCGTTGAGACCGGTAAAGACCTTACTTGCCGGCGCGCGCACGGCGCAGAGCGCATGGAACGACTTTGGGCAGCGCTTGCTCGAGCACTGCATGCAGCCGCCACGCTTGTTGCAGAGAAAGCACTTGAGATTGTGGCGCGTCGCGTAGAGAAGCTTGGTATCGACGACGATCGTACTCGGGTGAGTCTCGGACGCCACCTGCTTGAGCTCGGGCAGCCAGCGCGCGCAGACCAAGTGGCACACGCCGTTCGCTTGCGTCGTCGGCTTGAGCGCGCCGCCAGGATGCTTGCAGATGACGCAGACGCGGGCGGCGTTGGGCGTGAGCTCGTTGCGCGCCTTCTCGAGCGTGCAGACGTCGCAGGACCACTGCGCCCGGACCGCGCTTGGTGCGAGCGTCTTGGCATCCGCGGCGTAGCAGGCCTCGTGCACGCGCATGTGGCAGCTCGGGACGTTGCAGCACAAGAGCGCGTTGCCTGCGCTCGAGCGCGCGTCGAAGCAGACCATGCAGACGCGGTTCGGGATGATCAGCACGGCGTCCATCGCCGCGTCCCCGGCGCCGAGGCCGCCGGCCGTGGCGGGACTCGCGAGGGCCGACATATATTCCTTACACTAGGCGTTTGTATGGCGGCCACAAACGACGTAGGAATGTTCGAAATCCTCGCCATATCATTGGCTGAAATAGTTGCATTTCGTCCAATCATAGTACATTGAATAGCTTCATCCGCGATGAACCGTTGCCCAAGTGTAGCGATCTTCGACGTGACCGCAGCGCAGACACGGTCGATGCAAGGCCGACGCCCCATCTCGAAGCCTAGTTCCCGAGGTGGACCTGCTTAGCGTCTCGAATCCATATACGAGCGCAGCACCGACCGTGGTGACCGAACACCGACGTCGCTGGCTACTCTCAAGCACGCTTACGTCAGGACGCAGCGCCAAAACTATTCTAGCGTGTATAAATAAATGCTTCCTCAGTGACAACACTTCACTTTTCAATCTAGTACATATACCGTTGGCCACATTGGTCAATATTGTCTTGTGGTGTACACCAAGTGGAACGGCCACCGCAGCCTCGACATTAGTACATAGTACAAATGTCGAGTATTACCTACTAGTAGTGGGAAATACCGGTGCTTCTTGTCAATGCACTCGGTGAGAGGGGACTTTCACGGGATGGATCTCTCCGCTCGCATCCAACGACCAAGTATTGGCACCAGCTCCCACAACCGGTACGTGCCAAGTCTTGGGATTGGCTTGTCGCCAACTTGCAAACACGATGTTCTAGTAGTACGATAGTAGAACGACGAGAACACTAGTTAGTCGATTGCACGAGTCGTCGATATTGCAATTGACGTCTTCTTACCACGTCAAGTGTGCAAAATCGCAGAGGATATCGCTATCGACGCGCGCTCCGTCAGAGGTTTGAACACGCCAACGGATCGACGTTGTGATTGGACAAAAATGCCACGATTCGTTTTGGCGCCATGTCCCGGCACTGGCGCCAAGCGATGTCGACGTCGCCCTTGTCGCTACTGCAGACCGCAGTGACTTGTCTGCTTGGAGCGCGCTGTCGTTGCCGTCCGTGTCGTCGCCAAGCTCTTCTGTGTGGGGACAGGCCACGCACCGAGTGCAACGGTGTCGGCGTTGCGGATTGGCTAAAATATGGCATAAAAGCACCGAGATGAGCCAATGGCGTGGCACCAATCCCAACGCAGCGCCGTGGTTGCATTTTACCGTCCAATTCGAGTCGAAGATGAGCGCCCAGTTGATGCGATTGAAGGCCAAGGAGCTGGTCGACGAGTGTCGCCGCCTGGGTACCATGCTTCCTCCGTGCCCAAAGGTCATGGCGCCATGTAGGCCTGCGGGCGACCGGCAAGAAGGCCGAGATGGTCGAGCGCATCCTGGCGGCGCGGGCGACGACGGCCTCACCGACCAAGCGACCGCTCGACGAGACGCCGACCAATGGCCACAACAACCATAGCAACAAGCGAGCAAAGGCGTCGACGGGCGACGGCTGGACGGCCGAGCTCACGACGCTCTTCCACGCGTACGAGGACCAGGAGAACGCGGGCTACATCTCGGAGGACGGGATCCTCGCCCTCTGCGAACACATTGGCGTCGACGCGCAGGAGCCCGTCATGCTCGCGCTCTCGTTCCACATGCAAGCGCGGTCGATGGGTGAGTTTTCCAAAGACGAGTTTGTTTCGGGCTTGAAGGCGCTCGGCTGCCACGCGATCGACGACCTCAAGGCCAAGATGCCCGAGTTGGCCACGAAGCTCTCGACAGACACTGCGTTCTTTGCCCAGGTCTATGCGGTACGCGTCGTCCTTCCTCCATGTACCTAGCACCACATGATCGACTAGTTTACATACGGCTTTGCCAAGGAGAAAGACCAAAAGAGTCTCGGCGTCGAGACGGCGCTCGCGCTCTGGGAGCTGCTCTTGCCCAAGCGGTTTGCGCTGCTGCCACAGTGGCTGGCCTACGTGACGGTAGCCGCCCGTCCCTTCACGTCCATCTACAAACGTGGGATGCTAGGCACACCACAAGAACGCCGTGTCCAAGGACGTTTGGACGCAAACGCTCGAGTTTTCGCTCCACGTCAAGCCCGACCTCTCCAACTACGATGAAAATAGCGCGTGGCCCGTCCTCATTGACGACTTTGTTGCGCACGTGCAAGAGACGACCAAGAAGTAGGCGCGCTATAAGCGATTTTATTCCACTTGCAGCCAACATAGCGTGAGCAGCAGGAGCATCGAGACCGTCGCGCGTCCACCTACGCAGCATGGGTGGTCCAAGTGCGGAGACGCGTCGTTGCCATACCATAACTGCAGACGTAGGTGTTGGAGACGTTGGTCGCGTAGAGGTTGAGATGACACGGACACGCGTTTGTGACGACGTCGCCGCACTTTTTCGAAATGTAGTTCATCTCGGCCACCGACGTGTTGGTGCCAAAGAGCATGTAGCGTCGGTAGCTCTCGTAGCAGCACTCGAGCGGCTTGACAATGTCCTTGCAGAGGTCGTAGCTGCCACCGGCGGACGCGACCGTGTCGCCAAGCAGTGACACTAGATGCGTCGTGTGAGATACAACGTGGTCGCATCGGCGTACCGCAGTACTTGGACGCGGCGTAGGCCTGGCACGCAAATTGGAAGCTTGCTGCATACAGTCGCTGGTTGGCGACTTCGTACTCGTCATCGCCGTGGAAGCAGTCGTTGTTGAGCATCGCAGCATAGGTGGCCGCCGTCGCGTTGAAGCACGAGTTGCCGCAGAGGAGGTGCTGGCCGTCGTCGTCGCGGTGGTCGAGCACGTTGAGCGTGCGCAATTTCGTGCAGTCCGACTCGACGACGTGGCCGCCTACGATGCCGTTGGCAAGCTGGTCGCCGTTGATCGCCATCACATCCAAGCTTTGCTACGCCCAAGCCATGCATCATACACATGGTACAGAAGACATAGTGGTAGTACCTTGAGCGCCTCGCACTCGTCCGAGACATAGCGCAGCGGACTCCCAAGGTGCTGGGCTCTCGACCATTGCAGTTGCAGGAGGACGAGGACGACGACGAGGCCCGGCATGCGTCGTTGATGCATCATGTCGAATCTATTTTTGATCTCAATGACGTGGAGGGCGCATGGGCCAGCACGTGGATCGGATCATGTCAAACCTCCAACCTAGTAGAAGCGAAAAGACGCGATGGTAAGAGTCCGTGATTGCGCGCTAGACGACCGGTAGGTTGCGCCTCCCACAGTCAACGCCTTGCCACGCTGCTCGTTTTGCTCGCGCAGAAAGGTCCCGTCAAGTCGACGACCCGTGATGTGTCAACGCGTGTTCGTACGTGTATGCCCACGCAGGTGTGGACCCCTCGGTGGTATCCTCTCCGACCACCACGAACACTCTATGCAGTTGAAACAACAAACCATCCTTGGGGTACGAGCCAAGAAGAGGACGCGGTCTGCAAACGAAAGCGGTCAAGTGCAATGTCAAAGCTCCATCCCGAAGCCACATTGCCCATCTTGCTCGGAGTACTTTTATGACGAGGTACACTATGGGGAGTACGACCTATAGCAACCCCTCGTCCATGATGCGACCGAGCAAAACGATTCCATTCCTTCCTGAGCTATCGGCGCTGATTAGCCAGCCAGCGTCTGGTTTGTAAACGTTTATACAAATCTGTGGCGAATTTGTAATATGCTGGTGCCAGCTTCAAGTTGCCTTCTGGGCTAAATCGAAGTTTTTACTCGTACACTTGCATCTTGTAAGCATCCTTCGAAGATTTGCTTCGGCTTGCCCTTCGATTCGAAGGACTCCATGGCACACTCGGATCTTGGCCGCATTTTCAAAGTACCATGACGACGCCCAAGCCGACGCCTTCGACCGCCGCGGACCCGTGGACGACGCTGTCGTACCAGCCGGGCTTTGGCAACCACTTTGCCTCCGAGGTGCTCGAGGGTGCGCTGCCGGCGCACCAAAACAACCCGCAGATGTGCAACTACGGCCTCTACTGCGAGCAGCTCTCGGGCACAGCGTTCACGCTGCCGCGCCACAGCAACCAGCGCACGTGGCTCTACCGCGTCTTGCCGCCCGTCATCCACGGCAAGTACGCCGACTTGCCCTCGGGTGACATTGTCAACGACTTTGCCAACGAGACGCTCACGCCGCAGCAGCTGCGCTGGCAGCCCATGGCCATGCCCACCGCGTCCGAGAAGGTCGACTTTATCCAGGGCTGGCACACGATGGCTGGCGCGGGCGAGCCCACGATGAAGGCCGGCATGGCCATCCACATGTACGCGGCCAACGCGTCCATGGGCGACAAGTGCTTTTACAACTCGGACGGCGACCTCCTCATCGTGCCGCAGGAAGGCGCGCTCAAGATCACGACCGAGATGGGCAAGCTCCTCGTCTCGCCGCACGAGATTTGCGTCATCCAGCGTGGCATTCGCTTCAACGTCGAGCTCGACGGCCCGGCGCGCGGCTACATCCTCGAGGTGTACAACCGTCATTTCGTCCTCCCGGACCTTGGCCCGATCGGCGCCAACGGCCTTGCCAACCCGCGCGATTTCGAGCACCCGGTCGCGTGGTACGAAGACCGTGACGTCCACTACACGGTGGTCGGCAAGTTTGGCGGCAAGCTCTTCACGGCGGCGATGGAGCACTCGCCGTTCGATGTGGTCGCGTGGCACGGCAACTACGTCCCGTACAAGTACAACTTGGACCACTACTGCACGATGAACTCGGTCAACTATGACCACCCGGACCCGTCGATTTACACGGTGCTGACGTGCCAAACCGACGAGCCGGGCTGCGCGGTCGCCGACTTTGTCATCTTCCCGCCGCGCTGGATGGTGCAAGAGAAGACGTTCCGCCCGCCGTACTACCACCGCAACGTCATGTCGGAGTTTATGGGCATGATCTACGGCCACTACGACGCAAAGGCCGATGGCTTTGTGCCCGGCGGCGCGTCGCTCCACAGCATCGACTCGGCTCACGGCCCGGACGCGACGACGTTTGAGAATGCGTCCAAGGCTGACCTGCAACCGCACTACTTTGGCGGCGGCCTCGCCTTTATGTTTGAATCCTCGTACATGATGAAGCTCACCAAGTACGCGCTGACGTGCGACCAGAACGAACAAGACTACTACAAGTGCTGGCAGCCGCTCAAGAAGCACTTCAACCCGCTCAAGAAGAACCCTTAGAACGGAACTTGTCGTCTACAGCCCTACTAATGCTACATGTTGTTTTGTTTGTAAACGTGGCATCGTGAGAAAGGTGAGAACATGGTTGTTGCTATCGTACTACGCTCTCGTTGGACGGCTGTCGCATCGGTAATGGTGTCGGCTCGTTGCCTCCAAATGGGACAGGCATGTCGAGATCGGGACTTGGACCCGCGTCGTCGCCGCGTAGCGCCGCGGCGGCCGCAGCGGTCAATGGCACCGTACTCGATCGGTGCACGAGGTTGGCGGGTTGCCGGCGCTCGGCCACCGACATTTCCGTAAAGACGGCGCTGCCGAGGTTGCCCAAGCTTTGAATGGTTTCGAGTCGAATTTTGCGGTTGGGCATACTAAATTTGGTGACTTGGGTCGCGGGCTCGGCTTGCTTTTGCAGCACCAAGTCGAGCGCGAGGCGCGTCTCGTACTGCAGCACAAACGGCCTCCAGATCTGCGCACCCACTTCGTGCGCTTGGAAGCGTGGCAGTGTCGTGTGCACCATGTACGACAGCAGGGCGTCGTGAAGCGGGTTGAAGAAATTGGGGTCTTGCGCGCTGTCGGGGTGGACGCCGTACTTGGCGTTGCCCGCAAAGGCCGTCTCGTACCGGTGCAACAAAAGCGGTGGGACGAACCGATGCACGGGCAACGGGGCGTTTGGGCCGAGATGCGTGTCAAAAATATCGGTCGCCGACAAGTCCTCTCTGGCTTCGCCGCGGTAGTCGGCGAGCGCTCGCCACGCGACAAGAACTTCGACTTCGTACTCGCCTTTGGCAAATGCCGTAAACGCCTTGTACCCCTCGTCGGTGTGCAAGAAGGCTTCAAGGATGCCCAATGTGCCCTTGAACGCCGACGACGACGACGGGCGGTCGCGAAAGGCTTGTCGGATCGGCCCCAACACGTGAAAGACCACGATGACGTGGGCGCCGACGACCACGATGAAGAGCTCGAGGTGCGTCGACTGCACGAACGACGTGTCGTACAAGAGCGACACTGGCAGATAGCACACGACAACTAATACTCGTCACGGCAAAGTGCAAACTCTCTCAAGTGCAAAGTGAGACGTACACACACACATGGCGCGGGAGCTGTTTTGAAATGCCTTGCGGACGCCAAAGTTGTCGACCACGCGGCTCATCGCGCGGGAAAGCACCAAGGTGCCAATCGCGATGCAGCAGTATTGGGCCATATTGAATGGAATCACGCGCAGTCGGAGCTCGTCCGGACAGTTGGTGCCGTTGAAGCGAGAGTAGTCGGGCCCCGAGAGCACAAGCGCGCAATTCGGAAGGTTCCAAAGAACCTGGATGCCCAGCCACATATACGTGACATGCTTGCGTCGAAGCAGCCATTGAAGCCGGCTAATGGCGGCCCGCTGGGAATCGCGCTGGGCGGAGTACTTGGTCATGCGCTCCGTGAGGTTGAACGTGAGCACCACCTGCAGCATATTGTTGATGATTATCGAGTCAATACATGCAAAGGCGGTGAGTACCATGATTTCGGCGAGCAAGTACGACATGAGGGTCGTTTGGAGCGAAATGCCAAAGAGCAACGCGAGGTTCGTGCAGCTAATCATGTCAGGATTCAGCGACACGGCGCAGCGCGCGATGCTGTAGATGGACGCCCAGACCGCTGCGATCGAGATAAAGTTGGGGTTCCGATACCGAATCGAGGGCGATTGGCGGTTGCAGTAGTAGATGAGGAGGGGGACGACCATCGCCGACGAAAAGAGCAGCGCAAGCACAATGAAGACGCGCATCGTGCCCCGCGGCACCTCGAGCACGTCCGAGCCCGCCATATCAGAGCGTAGTGCTAAGTATATACACTCGTTCTCCAGCTAAAAAGGCGTCATCGCGTAACGGTGTCGGTGGCCTGACGCACGACGGTGTCGACGCAAAAGCCTCGTTCCTCATCGCGCTTCTTGTCTGCCATGACCGTGTCCTCCTTGTCGTCTGCTGCTGCAACTACCAAGCCCCATTCGTTTGACATAGTATGTCATTCGACATGTAATCCTTGGCTCTCGACGATTGCGGGGCGTCCATCCACGGCCTCCAGCAGTGTGGCTGCGTTTGAAATTTTGTCGTCGTATCGCCGTGGGTACGACTCGAAGACAGAATGTGGTTGTAGATTAGCAAAATGCGGCGGTGATTGCAGCAGCACGACGACGAACCTGTCGTCCGAGTTAGCCCCCCCGGCTGGCCTGGACGAGCGCCTAGCACCGTCTTATGAGACATGTCGAATACATATAGAATCAATAGCTATAGTACCTTGTACGCCTTGGTGATGACGGCCACATCGTGGGACTGGACAGCGTCGCCGTAGCCTTGCACAATCGCGGGGGGCACGCCCGCGGACGCGAGGTACGCCATGAGGGTCGCCAGAAACTGTTCCTGGAGCGGCGACTCGAGCAAAAGCACTTGGCACTTGGCAATGTCCTTGATCGCCGAGTGCGCCGCCATGTCGTTGACGTTCATATCTTGGTGCTGGATGACGCCAAACATGGCCGGCACGACGTCCCGCAGAAGAAAGGTGCCGACGACGTCGCGCTGCGGCATATTATCGCCATCCGAGTCGAACCAGAGCAGAATGAAGTGCTCGACAATCGTCGCGGCGGCGCGAACCACGTGCAATTCCAAGTTGAAACCATCGAGGACGAGCTGCAACACTTGGCCAAACGACGCGATGTTGCGCGCCGAGACAAACACCGTCGCGATGCGGTGCTGCGCGAGGTGCATCAAGTACGAGTACATGTGCTTCTGCACCGTCGACCGGTCTTCGGGCGCGAGGTCCGACGCCAAGAGCGCCCCGAGGTGCGTCAAGAACGGAATGACCGTCGCCTCGACAAGCGCCACGAACGCCGGCACGGTCTTGTACGTAATCACGAGCTGGTTGAGCAGCTGGACGACCTCGATCACGTCGCTCGGGTCGCAGTGCTCCATGAGCACAAGCAGCAGGTCGCTCCGGTCACAGAACGCATCGGGCTCGAGCAAGGTCACCATACGATGCAGCGTAAAGATGACCTTGGAACGAACAGGGAGCGACCGGGGGTAGGCCAGTAGCACGCGCGCGGCGGCGGCGAGGACCGTCGGAAACACCTCGGCTTGCTGCGGCAGCGACGTCTTCCCCTTGAAACCCTTGAGCAGATGCCCGATCGCGTTGAGCACGTGCGACATGTGCAGCTCGAGTTCGTCGCTCGACGGTGCATTTAAGCACTGGTCGAGGAGCTGCAGTTGCGGCCCAAGGACAATCTGTGCGTACTGGCGCTTCGTATCGTTGAACGGAAGCGACCCGACGAGGAACCCCGTGAGCTCAAAGAGGTACAGCTGGTCGGCCCACGCCAGCGCCGACGACGCCTCGGGCACAACGACCAAGTGCGGCTCGATGGCTTGAAGCAGCTGCGCCATGTGCGGGTGGACGCTGGCGCCGAGCGACTTGAGCAGTCGCAGCACGAGGTAGCAGGCGCGCGACCGCAGCGTACCGTGGCGGTGACCCACGCCGCCGGCGCCAAAGATGTGCGAGAGCAAGAGACGCAGGAGCTCGGGGTGCGTGCGCATGAGCGGCGAATAGCGCACGCAGAGCTCATAGTACATGATGAGCGGGCGGTGCTCCATTGCGCCAAACGAATGCAAGTGCAGCATCGTGTGGTGCAGGGCGAGGACCATCTGCAGCAGCGGGCCTTGCTCGTCGTCATAGTTGTGCGGGCCCTTGATCGTGGTCAAGCCTTCCTTGAAGCGGTGCACGAGGGAGAGGCACGCCTCGAGGTCGCGGTCTGAGAGCGAGCCCGTCGACAGCTGCGAGAGCGACTCGGTCACGAGCGTGCCAAGGTACTGGAGCACGACGTCAGGGCGAAGGCGGGCAAGGTTGACGAAGATCGCCAAGAGCTGGCGGCGGTACGTCTCAAACTCCGACTCATCGACTTCATCGTCTTCGTCGGGAAATCGGATTTGGCGCGAAATGCCATGCAGCCACTGCGGCAGATACAGCGACGGTGTGAAGAGATCGGCGCTTGACTCGGACCGGAGCAGACTGCCCATGGCGTTGACGAGTTCAAAGACCTCTTGCGACACGTCGGTGACTTCATGGGCAAAGAGGAACCACGTGAGCGGCATGAGGGTCGCCATGAAGGCGGATGCTTGCTGGTACAAGGCCGTCTCGTTGGTTTGGCGAAACGTGTCGATGCACGTGATGAGCTCGAGGCCCATGCCGTTGATGACTTCGCCGACTTCTTCGCAAAAGTCCGCATCCTACAAGAGAGGATCGTACGTTCATTTGGATCGAGTGCGCGACCGACCTCGTCCAGAATCGGCTGCAGGGTCGTAAGCAGCGGGATGAGCTCGAGGCTCGTAAAGAGCGCGAGCTTCTTGTCGGGGAGCATGCCCTTGGCGATGATCTCGTAGACGCAGTTGGCGGCCTTGCAGCGAAGGTCCTCGAGGTGGGCGAGCGCGTGGAAGAGCGTTGGCACGAAACGCAGCACGAGGCCAATGTCGACCCACGAGATGTACTTTTCCAGCGTCTCGAGCGCACCGATCGCGAGTGTGAGCAGCTGATTGTCGCCGGGCACATAGGCGCTGAGGACGTTGTGGATCACATCGAAGGACGGTGCAATGCACGCCGTCGGCCCCTCCCGCATCGCATCCTTGATGCGCATGTTGTGGTCGGCGTCGATCGTCGACCGCTGCGCGTCAAACTCGACGATTTCTTCGTAGATTGCAATCAAGATGCGAAAGTACATTTCGACCATGAACGGTCCAAGCGGCAAGAGCGAGAGGAGGTCGTGGAACGCGCTGGGCCAGCGCTCCGGGTAGTCCCGCCGCACCTGTGAGTATCGCATTAGGATCCGGAAGACATCGTAGGCATCTACCAAGAGCGTAATGACCACCGCGAGCTTTGTCTTGAGGTACGCGGGCAGCTCGCGCTGGGTCTGGAGCCATTGGAGCAAGTCAGACCGGATTGCGAGCACCATCGCGTCCGAGAGTGCGGGATAGGCGGCGCCGCGTGGGCTCAAGTACTCCTACAAGCCGTCTATAGTCGGCGAGCGTGGCGCGCAGCGCAAGTGCAGTGAACATACTTGGAGCGCCTGGAGGGCGTAGAATTTGACTTGCTCGTGGCTCGAGGTTTGGAACAGCGACAAGAACGGCGCGTAGCTCGTCTGCTTGGCGTGCTGGCAGTACATCTCTGCATCGGCCTTGATCTTCTGCGCGGTACCGTCGGCCAGCGGCGCGTCCGCGTACTGGAAGGCGAAGACGATCGCACGCTCGAGGTCGGGGAGCGAGATGGTCGACATGCAACTGGCGTCGGCCCTTCCGCGATGGTTGGCCAATCGGAATTTGAACCGCCGCTTTTGATTGGCCAAAAAACCTGTCTCTTTTGATGATCACATGCATTGACAGAGGTTGTCGCCGCGACGGCCGACTCGCTCCCCCATCGCGTGCCCCATCGCACCATGCGCCTCTTCACGCCATTGCACACCCACTGCGATCCGCATCGCGCAACGATACCACGAACACGGGTCGCGCAGGAAGGCGGGGGCGGGTTGGGTGATTTTAGCCCCGTGTCCAAGATCGCGACGCCACCATCACTCAGACAGAGTTGGCGCCCGTGGCATGCCATTCCTGCGGCCGCCACGAGTCCTTCGAACGTGCTTGTGGCGTCAACGAGCTTGCTTCTTTCTTGGAGACGTGATTCATCGCGAGAGGCTCCGAGAACGAGGTACATTGTCGTTGCAACGGTGCCCACCCCGTTTTTTGCCAAGCCAAGTATCACGTTGACACCACTCAAAGCGTTGTGGTCCACCACAACGACGAGCCAAGTATCGTTCTCTGTTCCACGCGCTCGCTGGGCCATGCGGCATGGCCTGATAAATTTCGTCATTTCACGATTTTTAAATTGTGAATATGCCTAAATTAAGCAATGGACTGGGGAGTATCATCGATTAAGGGACAATGCACGATGTATTTCACAGGTTTAAAGGTTTAAAGACTCGAATGTGTTCCGCTGCTTGGCCTGGAAGATTCTTTCGAGCGAAAGGTGCATTATATCGGTCCGGTTCTCGTCCATTTCCCACTTGAGGATCGAGAAGTCGAACTCGACGGACGTGGTATTGGCAAACACAGTCGCAAGCCCACAACAGAAGGAGCAAAGACGACTCCAGCGACCTGACGCCACTCCTTAGGCCTCGTCAAACGTTGTGGTAGCATCGTGCTTGTCGATGAGCTCCTTGAGAGATGGGTCACCGCCGTTGTAGGCGGCGTTCAACGCGCGGTGATCAGCTTCAACCTCGTCGATCGTCTCGACAGACCACATGCGCGAAATGCCCTCGCGGCACGGATCGAGCACGTCGCTGATGAAGATCCTGGGTGGAAGGACGACCAGTTGACCTGGCAATACTGGAGGGGCATCCTTCTCCAGAGGCTTGTTGCTATCGTCGCGCTCGGCTCGAACTCGTCCTAGGCTTACCACGAGTTGCTCGACGTACTATACTCGACACGACTGTGTCCGTCGTGGAATCGAAGAATTTGTGCAACGTGTTCACGTTGCTGACCTTGCCCTTGAAGTAGTCCATCTTGTCCTCCATCGACAGGCTCTGGTACACTTCCCAAGACGCCTGGTGCTGCTTGTGAAGACTGACGTAGTTCTGGGATCTGAACGGCATCTTGAAATGATGAGCACTGTTACGCTCCTTGCGTTTGCGGGTCGATCCGGCGGTGATCTCAACCTTGTCCCGTCCTTCGTAGACGCACTGGACGCTCTGATCCCCATCGGCCGTGGACGAGACGAGCTTCAATCCATACTTCAGGGCGTGCTTCTGCTTGAAGGCGGGTAGATCTGCCATCGTGCCCTTCTTCGTGATCTTTTTGGACGGCGCCATGGCTTGAACGAGTGTGCCAGTGATGTTTCAGTCTGAAAAAATGAGCTTAATTTAGGCTCACCGGAAATCTTAATTTAGGTCTTTTCCACATCAAATCATGAAAATGACGAAATTTATCAGGCATGGCCCATGCCTGCCCACGATGGCTGGCTTGCTTTTCTACCCATTTGTTTGTTTGCGATGCGGGAGAGAAGACCTTTTACGCGTGTCAGCACAGTATCTCCAGCGGTATCTCTAGGGTTGGGTGTCGACTCGATGATTGACATGGATGTCGGCTGCTGCGATCTCGTTCGTTTGCGTTTCTTAACCATCTTTTTGCAGCAGGAGCGCAACGCCTGCGAGGATCCACTTGGCCTTGGGCGTCCGCGTATTCAGTGTCGCGAGAAACACGTACGTGGGCCCGCGCATCGACGTGACGTACACCGGGCACTCGTATGTGCTTGGGTCGCGTCGGAAATGGCCCACGGCTGTCGGGTCCCAATCGTCTCGGATCGGCACGGCACGCACATACATGGTCGGGACGATGCATAGCGCTTCCTTGGGCTTGGCGTCGGTCAAGAACCCGGCGCACGACACATCGTCGACGCCATACGCGTCACCGTCGTCGCCGTCCTCGGGCATGCACCAGCGCGCACCTTCCAGAAAGAGGCCGTGCACGAACGCACCTTTGCTGCTGGTGGAGGCCACCGACACGAAGTGCGTCTCGATCGTCATGCTATCGAGCGGCTGCTGCGTCGCGCGGGCCGTGACCTGCTTGACAGCTGTCAAGAAGGATGCGGGATTGAAGAGGCCTGAGAGCCACATCGAGGCAGGAAGGGCCCAGTCGGACGCGAGGACCCAGCACGAGAGAAAGGCCGCGCGGTCGAGGAGGTCACTGTACCACGCAGCGAGCGACTTGCGGGAGGGATAGGCATACCTAATGGAAACATACTAGCAATAGACAATATTTTCCATAAAAAAAGTATACCGTTCCCACGAGCACGAGTGGAGGGGGTTGCGCCCTGGCACTTGCTGCAGCGAGAGTGCTTCAAGGAGCTCCTCCATGGCCTCCGACATGTTGAGGAGGCCGTTGAGGCCTTTGGCGAGCTCACTCAGCGACCGATGCAGAACGCTCAGTAGTGCGTTCATGCGCGTGCATTCTTGCAGCGCAACGACGACATAGGGCGCCATCGGGTGGCTCTGCTCTAGCAACGGAGCCGCTTCGTCGTTGAGCTCACTCAAGTTGAATGGCTCGGGAAGTCGCTGCAGTAGACTCATCACAAGTGCTGCGGCTGACGTGGCTGGCGATGCACTCGCGGTTGACGCTGAGATGCCCAGCAGCGCACCCCCCGTGAGCGTGAGCTGGAAAAGAAGGTCGTCGCACGCAGTGGTCATGGTCTGAATCTCCGTGTTGGGGTGCAGCCCAAAAAGCAGTGGTGTCTCTTGCGGCAGCTCGTGGGCAATGTAGTGGGCGTACTTGGAGTACGTAAACAGATACGGGTCCGGAGGCGATAGCCCGGGCATGATGTCCTTTCCTCGCAACGCATCTTCCGTGAAGAGCGTCCCGAGATACGTGCGGTTGGTGAGCCGGTCCCAAAAGTCGGTAATGTGGCCGCCGTACATGATGTCGCCAAAGATGAAACGGAGGTCGTCCCACGGCAAGGGCCCGTCAAGCGTCTTCTCGACGTAGCGCTTGAGGACATCGGCGCAGAGCGTGAGATCGCCATTGTTGAACGAGTACGGTCGGCTCCAGCCTTGCGGTCCGAACCGCCGCCGCCCGAGGATGAGGGCGTGGTAGACACAGAGCGCAAAGAGGCAGCCTTGAAACTCGTTGGGCTTGACGCTCGTCTCGATGGTTTTGACCGAGAAATTCGCCCACGCGCGCGAGAGGTTGCTGCGCAAGTCCATTGGCGCCTCGTTGGCCACCTTGATGCAGCACTGGAGGAGCGATTCGGGCATGTTGGTCATCGAAGGGAGCGGCGGTGCCTCGGCCGATAAGAAGACGCGGAAGTTGGGGTCCGCCGTCTTGGCGCACTGGTCCAAAAGGCGCGTGAGCACGGGCAGCCACCGCGGCATGAGATGGATATTTTGCAACACGAGCCACGACCCAGCGCTGGCAAACGCGCTCAAGGTCGCCTCGGCAGGCCCCTCTTGGCCCTGCCCCATCGAAATGTGCTTAAAATTCCCCTTCTCCGATGTCATTTGGAGCTTCTGGCCAAGCTGCTCGATCGCGACGGTCGGGTCAACGCCGGGAAAGAGGAGGAAGAAGATCGGCGTTGACGCCGAGCCTTCTTGGTAGATGGTCTCGAGGTCAAACGGCGGCTGGTGCACATACGTCGGTCCCAAATGGCTCGCAATAAAGGTCGAGAGCGCCGGGAGGAACCGATCCGGACGCAAAATGCGAAGCAATAAGAGCTGACTCATCGGACTCCGCTTGCGCCCGGGCATCTCGTGCGTCTCGGGGGCGTCCGTGTAGAACCATTCCTTCCACTCTTCTGCGTCGGCCTTCATTTCGTTTGGAAGCAGCTGAAACCCAGGGACATCTTCGAGCTTGCGAATTTTCTGCCACTGATGTTCGGTGAGCCATTCGTTGAGTAGTCCCATGGCCATGGCCGTGTCGTCCATCGTCGGCGTCGTGGCCAGCTATACACATGCCCATGAGACTTCGTATTCACGGGTCACGGGTCGGCGTACGTAGGTGAGCTCGGTCGCCGAAATCGTGCCACGCTGCTTGAGGATGCCAAAACAGAGCTGCGCCGCGAGCAGGAGCTTGTCCTTCTCGAGCAAGCCTCTTCGAACATAGTCAAAGACCCCTTGGGTGATTGACGCTTCGAGGTGGCCACAGCGCACGTGGATCGCAGCGTCATCAATCGGGATATCCTCTTTGGCGGACGCGATGATGAAATCCAAGTCGGTGGTTTCCTCGAGGACGCGGTCTTCGAGAAGCACGTCCGTGTCCCAGTGAAAGCGCTGAGACCCGATCACGCGCTTGGCCGCGAGCTTGAAGCGGTTGAGCGCCGACGGCTTCTTGGCGTCGTCCAGGTCCACGGGTGCGGTCGACGATTTCGCCGACTCCATGCCCCGTTGGAACATGACCACGAACGCGTTGAGTGAAAAGACGTAGTACGTGTGCAGCTTGTAGAGGTTGTTGATGACAAAAAAGAGCATGGCCCCGCGCGCCGCGACCGACGCATATTTCGTAGAGAGCGCTGCGATCTCGGCTTCGTTGGCTTGGGCGGCGCGCGACTGCGCGGCGACGACATCGGCGGTCGCCTTGGTCGTCTCGAGGTCCACAATGAGCTCGACGTTTTCCGTGACTTCCCCTTCGGCGTCGGCGAGGCTCGAGAGAATCTTGTCTTCCAACGCGAGCATTTTCACTTTGAACTGCGTCTGCTGCAACATGAGCGCGGTCCGCGCCCGAGCCTTCTTGGGCCATTCCTACGAGAACGATGCGTGGCTCGTCAAAACAAAGAGCCAAGTACCTTGCGCACAACCAGCGCCAGCAACTGGTCTTCGAGGCCCTGGGGGGTCACTGCAAAATTAACCAACGTCGTCTCGGCTTGGACTTCAGGTGGGTAGTGCGGGTTGGAGAGCGTCGTATGGAGGTACAAGCGAAACGAGTCGACCCACTCGATGAGCTTGTCGCCGAGCTTGAGACACGTTTTTCTTCCTACAAGCATATTGCCGATCGGTGTAAATTGACACATAAATGAGTGGAAAGGAAAGCACCTTTCGTGACGGTGCAGCGACTTATGACCGGCCACAAGACAGGGTCGATGCTTTCGTCCATGTGCTCAATCAGCAGCGACGCGCCCGTCTCGATCGCGTGCTCCACGACCTGAACGAGGTTGCTCGCATAGCGTCGGACAACAACAAGTTTGGCTTGGCCTTTGGAGCGCAGCCAGTGGATTGCTTGCAGTTGCGGGTCCACCAAGAGAGGCCAGCGCTTGCACGCACTCACGATCGTCCCGTTCTCGATCGAAACGGAGTCGCTCGGCAGCCCCGCACTACGATATATGAACCGTGATGCGCACCCTTTCAAATATTGTCAACGCTTCAGAAAGTACCCGATCCAGGTCGCAATGTCGGTGGGCGGGGTCAAAAGCGACACGGGCGACGCATCGTCGCGCAATGCCAGAGCTTTTTTCCCATGCAGAATGAACGGTCGCCAGTGCGTACTTACAAGCACGTCGCGGTACGGCTTTGTAAAGGGACCTGCGTACGTGACAAAGGCCGCGGCCACGAGCACGTCGCCGACAATCGTTTCGGCTTCGGCCTGTAAGATCTGGACATTGGCCGCCCACCTGGTGTTTTCGCTGCCCAGCGCCATCGTCAAGCGCCGTGCAAGGTCCATTTTCATCTTGCCCTTCTCGACCGTCGCAATCGCAAGGTTGACGTCGGCGTTCGTGCGCTCGTATTCGTCGGTGAGCTTGGCAAGACGCTCCGAGAGTTGTCGCACCTAGATAGGACAATTGTTTCCAACTGCATCGAGTGAAAAAAGAGTCTACTTTAGAAAGGACAGCTTCGAGCTTGGCGTTGGCGGCTTGCCACACCTCGGTGCAGAGCCGTAGGGCTTGTCGCTTGGGCTCGACCGAGACAATGACGTCGTAGTACGCGACAATGTTGATGACCCACGCGCAGAGCCCCGCGGCGGCCGAGTTCTTTTTTCGATCACGTCGACGTTGAAATGCGGAAGCTCCAAAAGCGGTCGAATTTCCTTCCAGTTGACGTCGGGGACTGCGTACGAATCGACGAGCGACTTGAAGTCTACAGGCCACTAGACAGATTGTTCATGCAAGGCAATATTGTCGTACTGTGCAGATCGTCCATGAGCGCGTTGACGTTCGAGAGAAGAATTTTCTTGGCACTTTCCCACGACCGATCTTTTTCTTTAAGTTTGCCGTTCTTTTGCACCGGGATGTCCGGGTTGAGACCGGCAAAGAGCACCATGACGCTCGCAAAGATATCGCCGACGCCCGCCGGCGGCTTGGACATGGTCTTGCAGTTACCGAGGTCCTTGCGGTTGAGCGTATCGAGGGCGGCCATGGCGGCTTCAATCTACGCCGGTCTCGGTCGTTTTAAATGTTTTTGAATGTCAAGTACCATGGGCAGCGCGGCCTCGAGGTCTTTTCCGTGTCGGCCTTCTTGACCGACATCTCATCGTGCATCGCTTGGCACTTGGCAGCTTCCACGTTGGCCCTTTGCGTCTCAGTCTCGACCACAATTTTGTCGGCGGCGACCGCGGTAGCCATTTCTTCTGCAACCACCTTCTTCTCCATGGCCTCGGTGAGCATGATCTTGAGCTCGTCTTCAATGTTGGCGACGACATGGGACGTGGCTTCCATCTTGTCGAGACCCGACTGCAGTCGAAAGATATCCTAAATCCAAAAAATCAAAAAATATAACTAAAAAGTCCGAAAAATAGGATCGAAAAGTACCGTCGATTTTTCGCGCTGCTTGCAACTCAGGAGCGCATTGAAGAAGGCGAGACACTCGAGGTACGTCTTGGGTGTCGTGTACACATTGCGGTGCTCGTCGTTCTTGAACGCGATCGCGACCGTATTCACCGAGGCAAAGGCATGGGGCATGAACGCCTCGACGGCCGCCAGCTTTTCACCGTGGAGTGTCGTGGCGCCGAGAGACTTTTCTGCGACGCTGTGGAGGGCATCGGCCGGCCATGGCTGGAACCAGTCGATACCTGTGCAGTTGACGAGCGCGGGGAACCGCCGCGCCCACTGCCGTAGACGCCCGTCGACCGGCGAGAAGCAGAGCACGCAGTGCACGTTGCGCTTGATTTGATCGAGAAAGTACGCCCAACTTGCATCCTTGTCCTATAAGACAATGTGCAAGCTAGTATAGACCAATCGGCAAAATCATTTCGTACGCCTTTGAACTTGGCGGCGACTTGGCTCACGACCGCGTCTTGTTCCTCGGCCGAGTAGAGATCCGGGATGGTTCCGGACGAGAGCAGATCGTTGATGGCCACAAGCATACGGTCGTGCTTGATGTCGGCGTCGCTCAAAAGAAATACGACCTTGTCCCCTTTAAGCCCCGCGCGGGCGAAAAGCGCTTGCAGATCGGTTTTGAAGTCGAGAAGACTACGCATCCCATCATCGCAATATGCGTCGAGTGAGCAGGGTGGTGGTACCTGTAGCTCTGGGTGAGCGTGATGTCGATTGTTATGTAGGACGCCAAATGCGCGCCAAGGCGGGCGAGCGACTTGCGGCCGCTGCCGCCAACGCCGACAAGCAGCGCATGACCCGTCGTCAGCATGCGAACGATGCGGGCCACGTGCTCGAGGGCGTCTTTGAAGAGGACGAGGTCCATCTTGGGCAAGAGCGCGTTGTACTCGGTCAGTGCGTCTTCGGCCTTTTGCTTGAGCTCCGTGTACGTCGTGATCTGGTCGTAGTCGCTCTCAGGGCCGTTGAGCGAGCCGAAGAGGATCGGGTCTGCGTGCTCGGGAGCAAAGAAGCGCTGGAACGAGACCGACGGAAAAGACTTTTTCGCGTGGGTTTGAACCATCGCATTGTACTTGGTGAGATCGGCGACCGACACGAGCCGATCGGCGTAGACCCGGGCCGACTCGTGCATCCATAAGAGCACCATTTTTGCGAATCCTACGGCATACGGACGTTATTGACCACACAAAAACAAAATGCAATCTGGTACCTCAAAGGCGGCAGGTTTCGAGAGCAGCAGCCCCGCAAAGACGTTCGAAATATGGCGTAAATTAAACTCGTAATGAAAGTTGGCGGCCGTCTTGCGAAAGGTTGCGGCCACTTGGCTGTGCAATGCCAGCGCCGCTGTAGTCAGCCACTTAGTTATACCGTTGTGCACGTTGAATGGGGCAAAATACCTTTGAGAAGGGTGCCCGCGAGTCGTTTGATGTCGTCGGTAAAATCCGCCAGATGGCCGTCCAAGAACGTCTGGTAGATCGTCACGAGGTTGGTTGGGCTCGGGAGCGCGATCGCAAACGTCACAAAATGACGCTGGAGCCGCGGGTTGATCAGGAACGAGCCAGCACTCGGGTTCATGCACGCGACAAACTGGCAGTCGACGAGGTGCTTGAGACTAAACTTGCTGCGGTCGTACCAGTGCTCATAGTCGAGCAGCTGCCGAAGCAAGGCGAGCGCGCTCTGCGTGTTGTATGCGTCCACTAATGGCAGGTTGACATCGTCGAGGAAGAAGATCCACTGCGCGCCCGCCGTGATCGGGCCATACGTCGAGCCCATGCGCTTGACGAGCTTGGCTTCCAGCATGCTCTGGAGCGTCGGTGCGCTCGTGTAATAGTTGAACGTCACTCGGCTCGAGTGGTACCCTTTCCCGTCGCGGTTGGTCAAGCCCGCGCTTGCTTCGAGGTACCCAAGGAGCAGCCGGGTCTTGCCCGTGCCGGCGCCGCCCGCGAGCATGACGCCATGCGACTCGCTCACCATCTTGTCGCTCCAAAAGAGGACGCTGGCCGTCTCGGGGGTGGGCACCGTGAGCTCCGACATGGGCACGCTGGCGTCGTACTTGACCGACGGCGTGTACCACGCACAGGTCTTCCAGCTCTCAAACACAAGGGTTTGAGGATTCAAAAAATAGTCAAAGACCGTGTCCCGAATCGGCACCTTGATGCTCTTGAATTCGGCGCGCCACCAGTCGCTAAAGAGCTTACGACTGTCGGTGCCGTCGTCGGCGGTTGTCGTGAGCGGTCCTCCGAACGCCCAAATCGACGCAAACGCACAGACAATCTCAATGCGCTTGGTCTCGGCGACCACACTCGCATCAAGGGTCGCATCGAGAAAGTAGAGGAGTGCTTGCACTGCGACGAGGTCGGGTCGCGGCACGATGGACGGCAACCGCTTGCAGTAGGCGACGCATGGCTCGACGTACTTGAGCACGACTTCGCCGAGGCGACTGCGGACGTCGACCTCGGGCGACGCGTCGTTGAGCCAGCTCGCGATAAACGACCGGTACTGCATGCCTAGGTACACAATGATAGAGGCAAAGAGTCATGAGGGGCGGGTACCGTCGTCGGCAGCGAGGTACAGAATGCCGGCGCGGGACACGGTCGCCGGCGTCGCGTACGTCAGGTCCTTGATCTCAAAAAGAAGTCGCATGTACTTTTTCAGCGGAATGCGTTCGTTGGACGCGAGCGTGAGCATCTTGTTGTCGTCCATAACACTGTTCATGGACTCGATCCAGTTCGCGTCGAGATCGCTAGACCGATTGTCAAGCATTTTTCAAAAGGAGATGGATTTATGTACCCGTCGAGGACGAGCCACTTCCAGTAGTCGCCGTCATCGTTGGCCAAGTCGCGCATGAGCTTGGAGAGAAGACCGTCTCGCCACTCGCGCGTCGAGACGTGCATGAAACCATAGAGCTCGTCGGTTGAGACCACCTTTGGGTTCAAGTCGACCATCTTGACTTTGGTGCCCCGGAGTCCGCCGGCATGCTGCAAGGTCGTGATGCACTCGGACTTGCCGGAGCCAGCAGGGCCAATCACAAACACGCAGTGACGCAGGGCCAGTAGCTCATCGAGCTGCACGACTTTAAGGCGAAAGCTGGCTTCGGGCCAGAGGCCAAGCGCTTCACACGACGCTTCAATGTGTTTTCGAGGTTGGCGTCCGTGGACCTACATTGGCTTTCTTAGCATTGATGCAACTTGAATAGCACTGTACCGTGGGGGGTGCTCTTCGGGAAAGAGATCGTTGAGGAGACCATGGAAGATGGGCTCGTCGGCCAGGACCAGCTTGGGCACGTTAAAGTCCCGCAACGCGCGCAAGAGAAGCTGCGACTCGCCGAGCGTCGGCTCGCTGCGCTTGAGTGCGCCCGTGACCATCAAAATCGACTTGATCGCGCGGAGCCCCCAGTCGTAATGCTCTTGTTGCGAGAGGAGCTCTTTGCAGAGCTGGTAGAGGTTGTAAAATTTGGACGCGAGCGTCTTGGCTTGCGTAAACCCTTGGGCCATGAGCATGTTTTCGCAAATCAGGAGCAGGTCCGGCATCATGACCGTGATGGGGCGGAAGAGGGCTTTGAGACCTTCCGGGAGCTCAGATCGCCCAAGATACCCCGGGTTCATCGTGATAAAGGTGCCGCACGTCGGGTCCAAGCCAACACTGTCGCCTACAGGACATCCGATTAGCATACCATCCAATCGATCCAACTATCCAAAAATTGAAAATATCAAAAATGTCAAGAAAAGTGGACCTTCGAGCACAATCGAGGCCGCGCCGCTTCGGATCCCGTCGCACACGGCCTTGAATTGCACACAACAGACACTGAGCACTTCGGGTATGAGGCGGTTGAACTCGTCAAAGCAGCCCCACGCGCCGCTGGACGCCAGTCCTACTCGAGGATGCGTCTTTTCGATAATGAATCCTTCTCGCTTACCTTTGAAAATGTTGCCGAGGCTCTTATAGTCCATTTCTGGCGAGCAGTTGAAGACATAGCACGCTTTCCCAAGCGCACTGGCAAGATCTTTCGTTGTCTCGGTCTTGCCCGTGCCTGCGGGGCCCGCCGGCGCACAGCCCATGTGCAAATGCAGAGCTTGGGTCGCCGTCACATACATGCGGTCTGTCAACGGCGTAATGACGAGGCGAGGACCATTGCCGAGGTACTCGAGGCCATATTCGAAGCTGGCATCGCAAATATCGAGTGCCGGTGTCGCCTCCAGGACAAGCCTAGACACCGCAGGCGTTGCACGAGTCAGATATGATGGGTGGTGACGTACCGGGGCTTGAGCTGGGCTTGCCAGACAAACGACGCGGCCGAGCTGATGTGCTGGGACACCATGGATAGCAGAATGTCCCGGCCATGCGCATCGAGCGTGATGAGGCACATGATGCGCATCCGCGCCTCGTCGCTCAGCAGTGTTCGCGTCAATTTGATGAGCTCTTGAAGCTGGATCGAAACGACTTCAAAGAGCTCGCCCAGAGCGTTTTCATGGCCTTTGGCGATGGCGCTAAAGGCCCCTTCGACGTGCTTGACGTACTCGATGCCGGCCACCAAGAGGACCACCTAGTTGCGTTCTTGGAGCTATAGCGTCAGCGAGAGTTCTACCTGCGCTGGGTCAAGGAACGCAGCTTCGGGCGTCCGCGCCGAGAGCCACTCGACGCGGTTGAGCGTCGGGTACCGCTTCACCGAGCTCTTGATGCTCGTGAGGAGCGTCTGCTGCATGGCCACATGCGCATCCGTCAAGTACGCCTCGACTTTGCCCGCGAGCGACAGCGGCGGAAGAAGGCGCACGACCTCCTTGCCGACGCTCGCGACAAACTGGACGACGACTTTCGAGTGCTCCAATACAAAGCTCTCGGTCGCGAGGAAGACCTTGTTGAGGTGCTTCATGATGAGCTCGGGGCGGCTGCCGTTCGAGAGGATGTCGAGCAAGTCGGCTTCCGACGTAAAGTAAAAGCGCGGGAACAGCCGGCGCTTCCCTTCCAAAAACTCGATCAGTGACGTCTGGCATGTCTGGAGCGTCGAAAAGAGCGCTTGGAGCTCCTGGATCTGGTTCGGGTGGTCCGTGCACGCTATTCCCGCCATGGTATACAGGCCGTTCGCAATAAAAAGGTCTGTCTGTACCTCGCAACACGAGACGCACATCGGCCATCGCATGGAGGACCGTCTTGACGGCCCCGTCGACAGTGGCAAACTGCTCGGCATCTCGTGGCAGCTCGCGCTTGACTTCTTCCGACCGAATGAAGAGCGGCTCCAGATACGCCCATGTGCGCTGGATTTCGCTCAGCGCGGCCGTGACATCGGCAATCGTGCTACGTTCGCATCGTGTCGTGCATCAACGAGACAATGTATGGCACCTGAGTTTGTCGGCCCACACTTGGCTCGCGGCTTGGAAGAACGCCACGCGACCACTGAGCATGGCTTGCACGGCGACTTGATCGGCCTCCAAGATTTCAATGTCTTCGTCGCGGACGCGGAGAAGGGGCACGCTCGTTTCGTCGTACGTGGATACATCAAACGCGATCGTATCCCAGCGGCCTTCGATTTCCGCCAGAGCGACCTCGATCCGCCGCTCTTTTTGCGCGCGGTCGGTGAGGTCTTCAATGTCCTTGCTGTGCTCGGCGAGCGAGAGACGCATGAGGTCGCCAAATTTCAGGTCGAGCGACTCGATCGGATTTGGAAACGTCGTTTGGAGCAAGCCCATGAGTTCTTGCCAGTGCCGCGCTTGCATGGACGGGTGTCGAAGCGCTTGATAGAGCGGACAGCTCAGCAAGAAGCCACGCGTCATGGCTTCGAGCCCCAAATAGACGCTGCTTTCCTTGATATCGCGGTCCTTTCCGACACCTTTAACGCTGGCCATGAGACTCCGCGCTTCGTCCTCAAGCATGCCGCCGTCCAAGTCGGCCCAGAGAAGGTCCCGCACAAACGACAGTTTGCGGCCGACGTCGTCGACGCAGTGCCACACCGCGCGCAGTCGATCCAAGCAGCGCGTGATCGAATGCATGACGCGCTCGGACGGCTCCATGAGCAGGAGGCACTCGAAAATCTCGGCGATGTGCCGCATCTGCAAAAAATTCGCGTCTTCGTCACGATGACAGATCGCCGCCTCGTCCAGTTGCCGTAACGCGCTTTTGACGCCAGTCTCAAAGAGCCAGATGGGCAGTGCCTTGAACCGCTCGTGGTACGCGAGCACGGTCGTATGGTACGCTTGAATGTCGCTTTTCGTGCGCGACGCCTGGGCTTGCAGGCGCGGCGCAATCTTGCCCGCGACCATGGGCACTTTAAGAAGCAAGTCCGACCACGTTTGCTCCAGCTCCCGGAGCGACGCCTTGTCGCGCTCGACATCGATGGTGGTCCCCAGATACGCGAGCATGCTCCGAACCTTGGCAAGGCGATGAAGCGTCTCGGTGCCTCGCTTCTCGATCATGAAGAGCTGCTCCTTGAGCTGAATTAGCGCAGGCGTGTCTTCGGCCGACGAGAGCGACCCCGTGAGCTCGATCTGGAGCCCCCGGCCGCACTCGGCCATCATCGCAGTAAGCGACGCCATCTCCATGGCCACGTTGTCCAGAAGGAGCTTTCCGTTCATGCGGTTGCCATCGCGGGCGACATTGTCTTCAAAGGTGACGACCAGAGGGAAACCGTAGAGAACCCCTGCAGTACCGCCAAACGTACCGAGGAACTCGACGACAATCTCATACTCGCCCCGCGTCGGCGCAATGTACGTGACCATGTACATGCCGTTCTCGAGGTCGGCCACTTCGACGGGAATGTCGCGGTCGTCGGCGAGGCAGCGCACAGTGATCCCAAAGGCATCGCCCCGCGCGTTCGGGCGTTGCCAGCAGCGTCGCATGCTTGCAGGACGAACGCGACAGGCTCCGAGATGGCGGCGCCCGAGAGAACGCCAGGGCCAAAGGCTAACGAGGTCGCGGCCGACGTGACGGCGAAGAAGTTGAAGGTTTGGCTCGTCGTTGTGAACGAGTCGCCTTGGAGCGCGACGCGGATTTGGACGTCGCCGGGGGGAAACCCCGAGTAGTCGGGTGTGATGACGGTGAGCATTTCTTCGCTCACGAACGTTCCCGCAACGTCCAACGTCCCTTTTCGGCACGCGAAGCGCACGATGACGGGCCGCGACACAAAGTCAATGCCTTCGATCGTCAAGAGCGTGCCGCCCGTAATGGCGCCAAAGGTCGGGAAGAGCCCCGTGATCGCGTACGGTGGTCCGACGACGCAGCTCACGTCGAGGGCAAACACGTCGTTGAGCCACGCGTTGGCCCACCCGCCGCAAATCAAGAGGCGGCTGCCCTTGTCATCGTAGGCAAGTGTCGTATCGGAGCGGGGCGCGGGCGGGGCGCCCGAGATGGCCGGCACGTGCCACTGCAACGTGCCTGAGTCGAGGACGCAAATGTCGTTGGCAAATGCGCCCGGCGCACCGTACTCGTTGGCCATGCCGAGAACGCCGCCAAAACAAAAGATCTTGGCGTTTGGGATCGCCAGCACCGCGCACGATGCGTGGTTCCAGCGCGGCGACGTGTGTGCCATGTGGCTGCCGTCGACGCTGCTCCACGATGACGTTTCCGTGTCGAAAATGAACAAATCGTTGAACTGCTGCGAGCAATTCCAGCCGCCAAACACAAACATCTTGGTGTCCACCGCGCACGCTTGGTGCCCCGACCGCTTCTCAGGAATCTTGCCTTTGACCGTAATCTTGACCCAGCTCATTTCGTCGACGTTGAGCGCATAGAGGTCATCAAAGTCGCGCCGACTGTAACCCTGGCCGCCGTACCCGCCAAAGATGTAAATGTCGCGGTCCATCAGACAGGCCGAGTGCCCGCCGCGGGGTGGCGGGCAGTTGGGCCACCCGAACGAGACCGGCGTTGGCTTGGCATTGCGCGGTGACGCTTGCGGCACGGGCTGACTCCACTCCATAGTGATCGGGTTGAAGACCCAAAGGTCCTGGAAGCGCGACGTCGCCGAGTGGAAGCCGCCAAACACAAAGATCTTATTGTCGACGTTCGTCGCGCTGTGCTTCCAGCGCGCGGCCGGACCTTTCCGGAAGAGGACGCGGCTCCAGTCGCACGTACCGTTGGTGTTGATGCGCATTTGGTAGAGGTCGTTGGTCGGTCCTGGCGGATCGGCGTAGTCGCAGCCGCCAAAGAGAAATCCGTTCGAGCCGACGATCGTGAGCGAGTGGCCACTGCGCTTGGACGGGCCATCGCCCGTGCAAAGCACCTTGGCCCACTCGAGCTGCGGCGCTGCGTTGAGCTCCGCCTCGTCTTCCATCGATGGTCGATTGGGCGCGCCGGCTCGAGACGACCTTTCGAAGGATCGCGACTGGACCAATCCGCGGCGCGAACGCTCTCGATTTTGTCCAATCCAATTGCATCTCATGTACACATGCCTTCGAGGCCATTTTGCGTGCTGCACAGGGGTCGACGACAATGCTGTAGAAGAGAGCAGCACAAGATGCCGCATCGAGTTCTTTAGTACGCAGTAATAGATTTACGCAGGCACCATCGAGAGAGAGCTATGCCTCGGCGAGTGGCTTCAGTGCTGGTGCCAACTCCCACGCATGCAGGCGTAGCACTAATACGTATGCAAAGTCTTTGAGCTGGTTGTTGCCAATTTAATTTCAACGCGAACACGTTGATCGATTGATTGATTGCAGGCACCATCGAAGCATCCTCATTTTCCACACTATAAATGGATAAATAATGCGAGGGGAAATAATGTGAGAACGAGTCTCTGGAGTCGGATTGGTGGGATAGCATTTGTATTTTAGCCAATCAAACACAGCCGCATGTCGTCAACTATCAATCATACCGGTTCCGTCTCGCCACAGCTTCTCGCCGGTACCTGTACTGTCGTACCTCGCTACGTACCACAGGTACAGCAGCCGACCGCGACATGGTGGTGTACGCCCCGTCGCGGACGCAGCTTGTAGAGCTATTCGAATCGAAAAAAATCGATCTTTTCAGCCAATCATATGGTGCTTGATTTTTGAATCGCGTATCCAGCAGCCTTCCATTCGCACCTAAGGCGGTTTGTATACCTAGGTACGCTATAGCAAAGATCGGGGTGCCAGAGACACGCGCCGTGGGGCGTTTATGTCCCCAGAAAAATCCCCCGATTGCACTTTCTGGAGAGCGGCCAGTTTACCTTTTCCCTCCAACACCATCCTACCACCATGAAGGTCGCCTTCTTCTCTGCGCACGTGTACGACACCGAGTCGATGCAAGCCATGGCCAAGGCCGAGAACATCGAGCACGACCTCCACTTTTTTTCCCACCGCCTCACGCTCGGCACAGCCCAGCTCGCGGCCGGCTGTGATATCGTCGTCATCTTTGTCAACGATACCGCCAACGCGGCCGTGCTCCGCAAGCTCCACTCGGTCGGCGTCAAGGCGCTCTTGCTGCGCTGCGCCGGCTTTGATATGGTCGACCTCGACGTCGCGGCCGAGCTCGAAATGCCCGTGCTGCGCGTGCCGGCCTACTCGCCGTACGCGGTCGCCGAGCATGCCGCCGGCCTCATGATGACGCTTAACCGCAAGTACCACCGCGCGTACAACCGGACCCGCGAGTTCAACTTTAACCTCCAGGGCCTCCTCGGCTTTGACTTGCACGGCAAGACGGTCGGTATCATTGGCACGGGCAAGATTGGCGCGCTCTTTGGCAAGATCTGCGCTGGCTTTGGCTGCAACGTGATCGCGTACGACGTCTTCCAGAACGCCGAGGCCTTGAGCTACGGCATCACGTACAAGAGCGTCGAGGAGGTGATTGCCGAGTCGGACATCATCTCGCTCCACTGCCCGCTCTTCCCGTCCACGCACCACATCATCAACAACGACTCGATCGGTCGCATGAAGAAGGGTGTCATGCTCATCAACACGAGCCGCGGCGGCTTGATCAACACCAAGGCACTCATCCGCGGCCTCAAGAACGGTCAAGTGGGCAGCGTCGCCTTGGATGTCTTTGAGGGCGAGAACGGCATCTTTTACGAAGACCACTCGGGCGAAATCATGGCCGACGAGAACTTCACCAAGCTCTTTACGTTCCCGAACGTGATTGTGACGGGCCACCAAGCGTACTTTACCCAAGAAGCGCTCGCCAACATTGCGAAGACGACGATGGACAACATCAAGGCGATCGAGTCGAACGGGCCGTTTGTCAACGAGGTCAAGAAGCAGTAAACGGGTCGATTTTCAATATTTTTCAATATAAAAAATGCATATTTGTAATCCATCGGGTCGAAGCAGGCCACCCGCAACGAACGACTTGGTCGGGAGTACTAGTAATATGTGTTGGCAGTGCAGACGCGACGAGCTAGCTGGGCGAGCTGCCTTGACGAGACACGGTGGATCCTCGCCGGGTCGTTTGTTGGGTGCTTCTTGCCAGGCTGTCGACCCGGCGCGGTGGGATTGCTAAGACTTTGCAAAGCAACGGCAAATCGCAGCCAAGGCGTGCTGGTTCCTTGTCAAGGCCGGTATGCGACATGGTCTCGACCAGGCTGACTACACGTGGAAGAATCCCTCGATCCCACACCCAAGCTACTCGTTGCCCCACATGGTGCCACGTCATAGTAGTACCAACGGGCCTAATTGTGTTGACGGGCCTTCCTCGGGTCGCCGTCAAGCCACAGCGCGAGCGCGGGCCAAGCGTCCGTTGCGCCTTCCACTGCGTGTCTACGGCGCACTGACGCGCTCGACAGAAAAAGAGGTTGGTGCGACGCCACGTGGCGTGTTTTTTTACTGCATGGATACCTTCTTGAAGGGACCCTTTCGAGATGAAGCTACGTTGCAGCGCACGCAGCATATCCAGCGAGCCCAGAGAAAACCTCCTCGCCGATCCCCGTCCTCACAACTCATTTTACCAACTCCACCACCACCACCACCAACAACCATGAAGATTGCCTTCTTCTCGGCGGCTGCCTACGATACCGAATCCATGAAGGCCATGGCCACGGCCGAAGGCGTCGAGCACGACCTCCACTTCTTTGCCCACCGCCTCCACTACGGCACGGCGCCTCTCGCGACCGGCTGCGACGCCGTCGTCATCTTTGTCAACGATACCGCCAACGCCGCTGTGCTCCACAAGCTCCACGAGGTCGGCGTCAAGGCCGTGCTTCTCCGCTGCGCCGGCTTTGACATGATCAACCTCGACGTCGCGGCCGAGCTCGGCATGACGGTCCTCCGCGTGCCTGCCTACTCGCCGTACGCTGTTGCCGAGCACGCCGCCGGCCTCATGATGACGCTCAACCGCAAGTACCACCGCGCGTACAACCGGACCCGCGAATTCAACTTCAAGCTCCAAGGCCTCCTCGGCTTTGACTTGCACGGCAAGACCGTCGGTGTCGTCGGTACCGGCAAGATTGGCGCCCTCTTTGGCAAGATCGCCACCGGCTTTGGCTGCAAGGTCATCGCGTACGATGTCTATGAAAACGCCGAGGCGCTCGGCTATGGCATCGAGTACGTCTCGCTCGACGAGCTCTTTGCGCGCTCGGACATCATCTCGCTCCACTGCCCGCTCTTCCCGTCCACGCACCACATTGTGAACGAAGAGAGCATCGCCAAGATGAAGACGGGCGTTATGCTCATCAACACGAGCCGCGGCGGCTTGATCGACACCAAGGCGCTCATCCGCGGCCTCAAGAACGACAAGATCGGCAGCGTCGCCTTGGATGTATTTGAGGGCGAGAACGGCATCTTCTACGAAGACCACTCGGGCGAAATCATGGCCGACGAGAACTTCACCAAGCTCTTACGTTCCACAACGTGCTCGTGACGGGCCACCAGGCCTTCTTCACGAAGGAGGCGCTGAGCAACATTGCGAAGACGACGATGGACAACATCAAGGCGCTCGAGTCGAACGGGCCGTTCGTCAACGAAGTCAAGAAGCAGTAAAATTTCAATTTAGATAGTGTGTTTTGATATATACGTTTGCGATATCGCGTTGCATGCGTTTCGCGTTATCTTCATTGTTACAAAGAGTTCGCATACGTAGAGACTAGCAATCTCCTTCTTCTTCCTTCGCTCGTCAGGCCGTGTATGCGCAGGCGGCGGCGCGGGGGTACATCGCGAACTTCTGTAGTCCTCTATTGAAGACTGTTTTGAAACGCCTCACTTAACGGCTAACACGAATCTGTTACGCTGCGTGTCTCGTCGCCACTGCATCCGGACGGTATCCGCATGGTCGGTTGAGAGGCCGATGGTGCGATTTCGGCTGCCGCCGTCGATCATTGCTCGCAGTTGACAATCGAGAGACCTTCGTACGCCCTATTTCGTCTGGCGTGTGACCTGAGAATGTCCCAACTTGACCACATAGAGGCCGCAGCATCGCAAATAGTGTGCTCCGTGTGCTGTGTGCTTGGTCCTGCACCTTTTACGTGCGTGCGACGCCAGCACCTTGGACCAATCTACCGTGTTGCAGCGCTGCAAAGCACCAAAGTACCACAACGTCGGACCTTCTACCACAATGTGCGCCTCGAGAGTCGGAACGACGGAGCCAATGACCTTGGTATCGGGAATGATATGCTGCTTGATCGTACCCAAGTCGACGACACGTGACACTATTCTCGACACCGAGTATCTTCCATAGCGACGAGTCAGAAACACGGGATATCCCTGTCGTGAGATCCCACGGCGGCAAAGACGTCGCGGCGCACACGGGCGCCGCGAAGGATGTGCCATTCTCACTTTTGCCACCAACCCCAATCGCGTCATGTTGAAGAGCTTCGTTGCTGCCAAGCCCGTGATGGCGCGTACGCTCCGCACCGCTTTGCTTTCGACAAAAGCGCCCGCCGCCATGCGCATTGCGTTCTTCTCGGACGCCAACTACGACACCAAGACGATGCAAGCGATGGCTGCCAAGGAGGACATCCAGCACGAACTCCAGTACTGCATGACGACGCTGTATATCGCAAGCTCATGGGCAACATGAATAGCTTCTTTCCGCACCGACTGAGCTTGGGCACGGCGCCGATGGCCAAAGATTTTGACATTGCCGTCGACTTTGTGAGCGGCTCCGTGGACGCCCCCGTGCTGAAAAAGGTGCGTGTGTTACCGATGATGACAACGTGTATCCTGAGGATCGTTATGAATGTAGCTCAAGGAAGTGGGCGTGCGGTCCGTCATGCTCCGCTCCGTGGGCTTTGACACAGTCGACCTCGACAGCGTTGCATAAGTAGAGCAGCCCAATCATTTGAATAACTACGAGTGCACGTTTTACATGTCAGTATTGCGTTTTGGTGCCCTTCCCCGAGCCTTTTTTCAGGTAGGAGACAGCGGTGTTCCGCGCGACAGGTCGAGTAGCACAAACAACGGAAGAATAGAGCCGCAGATGAACAAGGCGGCAAAACAAGCTCAAGAGCCCTCTCAAGCCATTCCACATTCGGCAGCCATTAGCGTCACAGCCAACCCACCTTGCCCACCATTGGGTAGGGCACCAATACATTCGGTGCCCCAACCCGGTGGTTCACGAGAAACCGCATGCACCAGCCCTACTACGTATCCTGCAAAGCCGACGTCGTGGTATAAGCAAGCTGCCTCCCAGCAAGCTGCGAAACGAGCACCGTTCAGAGAGACATTGATAGCCATGCGCTACGCCTGAATGCGTGGGAGTCGGCACCAGCACTTGGTCGTTGGGGGTAAGCCGCGTACACAGAAGTCCATCCCGTGGTGGACCCCACTCGCTGAGGGTATAGTTCGCGCGAGGTCGTACGCAGGCTCCTGTACTTCGACCACCCGACAGATACATATAGTGCCCGATGCAACATTGCGCGTAGCACTAGTGTCCACAGAATGATCGCTAGAAACGCTGCGCCGTCTTTAAAGGTGGGGTCGACTTGGGCAAGGTCCACATTTCCTATGCTGGACGATAAGCAAGCTTGTCAAAATCGACATCTCGTGTACCTTGAGAGCAACTGGCCACGATCCGTCGAGTCCGCCGTGCGTTGAGGAAGTTGCCCATTCCTTTGTCGACTTTAGCGAACGAGCTGTCGGTCGATTCAGAAGGTATATTGATAACTCGGCAGCCATGATAGCGATAGACTGGTTGCTAGAGCAATGTCCTCGCGTGCATATGAGCGTACCACCAAAAACCAGTGCTGAGGAATGCGAATGAAGGGCATTTCTGTTTCTCTTATAGATGACAAAGAGCGAAATAGATATGTTGTAGCGGGAGTTCTATTTTCGTCTTCTTGTTGCCTGTCGCAGGCGCTCAGAGCCTATCTGGACAGGTTTAGCGGCCCGCTCGATATTGCAAGAGGCGTCGTGGTCATCTCAACGGTTTGGAACCCCCTTTGCGGCAAGCGACTGCCACCTCGATCGTGAGTAGTGTAGGACGTCAACGCCAGCTGGCATCGACGGTGTTGCGTGCTTGTAGCTGCTACGTTGAAGCGCGGAGCGGTGTGTCGTCGCCTATATACAAAGACCAAGTCGACGCTTCCATCCAAAAACACGCTCGTTTTGAATTTGCGGTTGAGTCTGCTTTTGAGTCTGCACTTCACTTTGCACTTGCATGGGCGCTTCCGATCGAGTCGCCTCGCAGTCAGAAGAGATGGACAGAAAACGTGGCACGCCGAGGGCGTCGGGTTGGAAATAGTGTGTGTCTCTCTGCTCGACTCATGCCTTGATCAAAACGACGATGACTCAATGATACACTATTTTACGGTTGTGAGTATCTATTGTCGCGCGCCAGACACGCAGAGTTGACGCGCCCAGTCCCACGCGGGCAAAGAAAGCGCCATCGAAAGCGATCCAGGGTCGCTTTCCGATTCATTTTTCAAGACGGTGAAATGCTGCGAGGTCTTGTCAAGCCGCTGCTGCGCACGCCGACGGTGCGTCGGCTCTCGACGACGACCGCGGACCCGTTGAAGATCGCCTTCTTTTCTGCCCACAGCTACGACACCGAGTCGATGCAAGCCATGGCCAAGAACGAAGGTGTCCACGGCGACCTCCGGTACCCCCAACTGAGCTCTTGTCGGCCATTCATACTCACGCAACACGAATAGTTTTTTCCCCCATCGGCTCAACATTTCGACGGCGCCGTTGGCAAGCGAGTGCGACATTGCAGTGGCCTTTGTCAACGACACGGTGGACGCCCCCGTCTTGCGCAAGGTACTCGAAATCATTGCTATATGAAAGTCCTATTTTCATTATATTTCGTATTTTGTAGTTTAAAGACATAGGCGTCAAGGCCGTCTTGCTGCGCTCCGCGGGGTTTGATATGGTCGACTTGGCAGCTGCCAAGAGCCTCAACTTGCCCATTTTGAATGTACCGTCGTACTCGCCGTACGCGGTCGCCGAGCACGCCGCTGGCCTCATGATGACGCTCAACCGCAAGTACCACCGCGCGTACAACCGGACCCGCGACTTCAACTTCAACCTCCAAGGGCTGCTTGGCTTTGACTTGCACGGGAAGACGGTCGGTGTCATTGGCACCGGCAAGATTGGCGCGCTCTTTGCCAAGATCTGCACCGGCTTTGGCTGCAACGTGCTGGCGTACGACGTTGCTCAAAACCCGGAAGCCTTGAGCTACGGCGTCACGTACGCAAGTTTGGACGAGGTGCTCGCCGCCTCGGACATTATCTCGCTGCACTGTCCGCTCTTTCCGTCGACGCACCACGTGATCAACGACACGGCGATCGCCAAAATGAAGAAGGGTGTCATGCTCATCAACACGAGCCGCGGCGGCTTGATGGACACGGAGGCGCTCATCCGCGGCCTCACGAGCGACATCATTGGCAGCGTCGCCTTGGATGTCATTGAAGGCGAGAACGGCATCTTTTACGAAGACCACTCGGGCGAAATCCTCGCCGATGAGAATTTTGCCAAGCTCTTTACGTTCCCAAACGTGCTCATTACGGGCCACCAGGCGTACTTTACCCGCGAAGCACTCGACAACATTGCAAAAACGACGATGGACAACATCAAGGCGGTCGCCGCGGGCGGACCGTACCCCAACGAAGTCAAGAAGCGAACGTAATTTCATGTCTTTTTAAATGCATCAATATTAAACATCCTACATGTACTACACATCGATGTAACTCCACTCGAATGGGTTCGTCTAGGGGCTTGAAACCATCGAATTGCCGTTCCAGGACGAATGAAGCGCAACCACGAAGCGGCACGGTCCACGTCAGCCCTGCCGACAGCCGTCTTTCCAGCTGGCACGCCGCTGCAGACGACGTTGGCCAAGCTCGAGCAACCTGCGCGATCCAGAGCATTCTTGCCCGAGCACCCGCCGAGCCCGACGCCCGAGTCGACCGAGCTCTTTCACTACACCAACACACTTCTGCATCGGGTGACGGGTCGGTACCTGCCCGCAGCGGTGCTAGGCGGCGGCCCCACCGCCCACGCGGACGAAGTCAAGCACCTCGCGTCCGACCCCGACTTGATGCTCGTGGTACTACATCTGCCTTCTCCATCGACATGTACGTATAGCTGGACGAGGTAGATGCAAAGCGTCCAAGACCTCACGCACCAGTTCCACGAGGTCGCCACGTCCGTCTTGTCGCACCGCCGCGAACTCGGAAAGATTCTACTCAAGCTCAAAGGCTCGTACGTGGGTCTTTTTGAGCGCGTGCTTGAAGCTGCGATGCGCTTCTACTATACGTACCGGTCCGAGCACGCCAAAGAGCGGCACGACCAGAAACAAGAGCTTTTGAACCAAAGTCGGGTCATCCAAGAACACGAAGAGTCGATTCGGGTGCTCACGCACCACTTGGAAGCCAAAGAAGTGCTGGTGCAGTCGCAGCGCGTCACGATTCAGGACCTCGAGTTCCACAACCATGCGCTCCACGCGCTCGAAGCGACGTGGCTCGAGCTCGTACTGCACACGTGCACGATCCTCTTTACCCTTAGTTTTTTTCGATTTTAGCAAGACGAGTACCGCGAGCTCAAGCGGTTCAAACTGTCTTGTGACAAGCGCGAGGAGCTATTGCAACAGCGCGAAGAGACGCTCCAAGTACGTACTGTACATCGGTGTGCATGAGGACAAGGTGTACATTGTCGTTGACAGACCAAAGAAGAGACACTGACGCGCCATGCCCACTTTCTCGAAGTGCAGGCCAAGACCGAGCACGGACGCATTATCGAAGAAGCGCGGTAGAATATCGTATTGGATGGTAGATTTCATGTACATGGGGTACTAGAAAGTACAAAGAGGCGTACACCAAAGCCGTCGAAGAGATCCACGACGCGCACGAGCCCTCGCCCGACTCGCCGTACGATCATCGTTTTGGTCCCCGCGCAGATGCATCGACGCAGACCACCGCCGACGACGACGGACTCTGGGACGTCCAGGTCGCCACGTCCATTATATGAGCGACATCATCCCTCATGCCTCATGATATTTATCGACTAGGACGGAGTCCCAAAGGCCGTCTCGACGAGTGTGCAAGCGCGCACCATGTGGCGGCGCTTCCACGCCTTTGTTCGCTGTAAAAACTGCCATGGTCGACCGCTCGTGACGCGCGCGCCGACCGAGGTCGATGAAGCCGTACGTGTTACGCGTGGACAACATGTCTGCTGTATTTCGTACGCTAGTACCAAACCGTGTGGACGGTCAAGCAAAAGCGAAAGCGGTGGAACCGCGCGACCGCCAACGAGTGGCGGCTTCCCGATTCGATCAAGTTCTTTTGGCCAATTTGCCAAAAACCGTGGTCGCGATCGAGCGCTACTCGCTGCAAGAGCTTTTGCAACACATTGAAATGCTGTATGATGCCAAGTACGAGGCCGACCGCCTCGATGCGGCCGACGGCGTCGCGTACCAGCCACTCGACCAGTTTGTCGCCGAGTACTATCTCAAGAGCTGCAACGGGCGGCAAGACGCCGAGGTGCAATTCTACAAGCTTTTGATTTCGATCAAAGCGCTCTATTTAACGTCGCCCGCCCTGCATCTGTTTGCTCGCTTTTTACAGCTGCTCGATCGCGAGAACGCCGAGCAGCGCCGGTACCGCTTCGACCCAGACATTGACGAGAAAGCCCAGGCCTCCAAAATGGAGCTCAACGCGCTCGGTGTGCCACCGCAACAGTGTCTTAACCAGAGCTACCTGCGCGTTTTCTTGGATGCGCGGTCTGAACCAACGCCAAGATTCCGGTGACGACGACGACGACTCATCGCGCGTAGGCACAACGCGCTGCACCATCCCGAGCTCGGCACGGACCATCTCGTGTCCGTCAACGGCGTTGCGACCAAGTGGATTGCATTGGAGTATGGTATTCGCCTCCTCAAGTGGTACCTCAGCTACTTGCCGGCCGAGAGGCGCCAAGTCTACTACCGACAGGTACAACACGGCGTGGAAAACCGAGAAGTAAGACGCGATATTATCACATGTGTAGCTCGAACACTGCACCGGCATCTTGCTCCATGGGACCATCACCGACACGAGAGGCAACCAGCTCGCTGTCCGCGCGCAAATGCGTCTCGTGATGCTTGGCACCGACACGAGCCGCACTGATGGCGACGCGCCGCCGCGCCGGCGCGACGTTGTCGTCGTGAGCGTGCACGTCGTCTTGGAGCTCATCGTTGACGTTTTGCTCATGCGTACGAAAGGCATTGAGATCGAACTCACCGAGCTCTTTGAATCGGTACGAAAAAAGTGTCGCGGGGACAAAGCTCGGAGGCTCGGAGGATCGCACAGTATAAAGTTAGGATGGTAGTGACACTCTTGACACTAGGGCGACGTCAACCACGACCACGTCTTGTCCTTTCCCGAGTTTTGCGCGATTCTCAAGCCGCGCGCGCCCGAGTTCAACGAGCGCCGGCTCCTGCGCATGTTTCGCGAGGCGTTGCTGCTCGGCCAAGACCCATCGTATGCGATCACGGTCGACGCTTTCATTCAAGTGTGCACCGACCACGGTCTCGTCGCGTTAGTGTCCAATGCAACGTTCGAGGTACATGTACACGTTGTCATGTTCGGGCCGCGGAGTCACCATACGACAAGTTTAGCAAGCGGAGTCTCCGCCACAGCCCGCCCAAGCGCCAGTCACGCTCGTTCAACGCGACGACGAGCCCGCTTCGGCGCGGGACAGTGGGGGCGCCGCCGCCCCGCTACCCGCCAAAGCCCACACTGCTCTCCGCCTCCGCAACCTCCACGAATGGAAACGAAGCAGTATCTACGAGCGGTGACGACGAGATCGTCGAAGACCTACCGCCACACGACGACGGCGACGACGACGACGACGATGGCGATGCAACCACGCCCCATCTCGAACTGTCGCACGCGACGGACGCCCCAATCGCGGAAGAGATCGAGTCGGCCGCATAGCCATTCGGTCAGAGTACATTATTCATTGTTGGTAGCCTACCAGTCGACTGAAAGGTATAATACGACGATGTTAAGTGTCCATCACCACCACCAATCAAATGTGTCTACTTGGGCTCGGAGGGAGCATCGACAATGTGCGCGCCCGGAGGCAGTGCGTGGCGCGGCGGCTCGAGTGGCGCCAACGCCGGGGCTTCAATGGTCACAGCCTACAATGTACATCATGTCATGCTCCATAACGACAAGACAATCGAGCGAAAAGACCTTCCACACGCACACGGCCGTGATCGCTTTGAGCACGATGTTGGCGAAGAACATGACGGCGGCGAACCGGTTGGTGCCGCACCCGGGGTAGCTGCCGAGCCCGTCGCAGTGCAGAATACCAATGCTATTGGGCTGGCATATCAAATTGGCAAAGGCTTGGCCCGAGATCCAAAGCACGCTCCAGACAATGTCGGTCACGCAAGAGAGGCCGAGCACCGAGACATACAAGACGGTGCCGCGTGCGTTGTGTTTATGGTGCGAAAACGGGTGGACAGTCGCCCAGATCGCGAGCGCAAAGTTGTAGGCTGGAAACGCCACGTACGAGAGCTGCATCAAGAGCGAGAGCGCCAGTGACGCCGTGCCAATGCGATGCTGCCACTCGTCCCAAGCGCTTTGTCGGGGGGGTGGGCTCCATTCGGGGGGGGCATCATGGCCTTCCTCATTCGGGCTGCGCTTCGGGCTGTGCGCCAACCGCTTCGGGCTGTGAGACGATCGAACAGGGCTTGGCTGCGGACTCGGCGGCGCTGGTGCAACGTGGTCGGCCATTGCGCCAACCGTCACGACTTGTGCAACCGCCGGGGATGTCAAAAACATTCGTATCCGGTATTTTGTCTTTAACGTCGAGTCGAGTCCAACGACCTCGATTGCGTGGGGAGAGCCCTAGAGATGCAGCTAGAGATGTACTTGTACAATACTGTCTGTAGTAGGCATAATGCGTCCTTCGTGCAGTGGACGGCTTCATGCACTGATGCGAATATCCCGAGAACCATCCAATGAAAACGCTGCATGCGCGATATATTGCCCGCATTTTCACCAATCCTGAGCATTTTAGACGGACAGCCAATCCCAGGCGGCGAGCCATGGTGGCAGGATCGGCAGTCGCGCAGGCTATCGGGGCATATGGCTCATGGAAGGACGCGACGCGCCTTCTGCAAGAACTCGAAGACGCCTATGCTCGGACGAGGTCGGCGGCAGATGCGAGTCGCTGGGTCGAGGCGACAACAGAGGCCATCCGCTGGGCGTTGGCGACCGCCGCCCGGTCGTCCCAGCAGGCCCAAGCCCATCTCCACGCCTGCCTCGTCCAGCTCGCCAAGGGTCTGTCCGCGCCAAAGCTTCCAGCTCAGGCTGCGCCGTTTGTCTACGCCACGTTGCTCGTCCAGCTGCTATCAACGTACCCTGTGCTGGATGGCGCCGGCGTTGTCCTCGCGTTCTGTTATCTCCAACATGGCCAGTTGGACGAGGCCAAGGTCCTTTTGGACGGCCTCCAACAAGCCTCCTTACACGCCTATGCGGACGAGTCGGTAGCGGTGTGCGCTTGACGATGGCTCATGCAGCCTGTAGGGTATGCATACTGCACGCCGCACTCGCTCTCATATGCGACGGCCACGACCCGCAGCCAGCGCTCGCCTCTCTCCTCACGCGCATTGGTAGGTCATCATCCTGATGTTTTGACGACTCTGTGGTTAAAGCGATCTGCAGAGGCAGCCCCGACGCCGGCGCTCTCGTTCTGGTACGTCTTGCTGTCCATCCATGCCCGGACGCCGACGACAGACCTGCGCCATCTGCTCCCGCACCTCGAGGTCGCCATCGCCGGCGACTATCAACCCGTTGCAAGCTGCAACTTGCATGCATTTGTCTTGGCTCAAGGCAGCGGCAGCTTCAAGGCTGGGGATTTCCGCGAAGCGGGCGAGCTCCTTGCGCGGGCCATGCAGATGGATTTTGACCAGCCGGATGCGGCGTTCAACTACGCGATGCTCTTGGGCAAGATGGGCAAGGCGCATGAGATGCAGCATATGCTGGAGCTCGTGCTCGAGGCCATGGTGCCGCCGCCGCCGGCCGCGCTGACCATCACGCCTCGGCAGACCACCGTGACCCGCGTTCGTCAGCACTTGGTCGCCACTAGTCTCGAGAACCGTACGTTGTGTTGTGTCAAATGCGATTCCTCCACCATAGGCGTAGACGAGTACGCGACCGCCAAGCGGGTTGTTGAAGCCTTGACACAGGCCCGCGACCTGGTGGAGGTCGCCAGCCCGTTTCAAGTAGTCCATGACGCCTTCTTTCCGTATCGTGACGTCCTCGTGTAGTTGTCCCAGCTCATTCGCGACCGCATCTTTGTGCTCCTCGAGGTAGTAGACTTGGTGCCGTCCATGCGTCGAGTCCACATACGATGACGCGTAGCTCGACTTGCACGAAGATGCATTGGAAATTGCCGACGCCGCGCTGCAACGCCACTTTGTCGAGTTGGATCCCGTGGTCGTGCTCTACAAGGCCGACGCGCTTCTCTGCCTCGGCCGCATCGACGAGTGCACGTGGACCATGGACCGACTGGACGGCCTCGGCGCGGTTGAGAGCGCGCCAACGCTGCACGCTCAAGTGCTCAACAACCACGCACTCACGCTGGCGTGCCGAGGCGACGTCGAGGGCGCGGTCCGAAAGCTCCACGAGTGCCGACGTTTGTTCCCACGTTGCCGACACGCTGCGTTCAACTTGACGCTGCTGTTGTGGCGCAAAGGAGACAAGGCCGCCGCGTGCGTCGTCTGGCTCGACCACACGGCGGCCGTTGTGGACGCCACCGTGACGCGCGGAGTAAGCGTCGTGGCCAAGCCGACGACCCACGTCAAGTCGCGCAGTCAGGGGCAGGTCGATCCGATCCAAGTCGCGGCGCTCGACCGCCTCGTCCGGTCGTTCTCAAACTCCGAGGCCAACGTGCGCGTCGTCCAGCGGGCGCTCGAGCTCGGCCGGCACTTTGCCGACGTTATGGCCGCACCCAAGCAAGGTAGTTGATCCTCTAGTGTGCTGCGGTGCGACGTGACAACATGTGCTCGAGCTTTGAACTTTGCGAGCCGGTGAACGACCGGGGGACGTGTTGATAATCGGACTCCACCGAGCTCGAGCACACATATCATAACCATACGCTGCGCTTGAATGCTATCGCACGTCGAGACGGCTCGCACTTGGTCTTGCAAAGCTTCGAAGATTTATGCGACGGCAAAAGGTGGATCTTGGGCGCGGGCGCGGATTGGCGCATCGATTTCGGAACAACACACGTGTGTTGGCACTCGCATGGTGTGCACGGTGCCGGGGGCCATCGGTACCGTCGATTTCCTCCTCCTCCTCCTCTACACCGGCATCGACGAGCATGCACACTAGGCGCGACGACCGCTGTCGTCTCTCTGGCGACCCTCTTTTTCGCGCTCTTTCTGCCGCAGTGGTCGTCGACGACGTCGATCGTCATGCTTCCGTCACCCATCGACCCGTCGCTGCCGTTCGCGGCGGCAAACGCAACGCTGCACGTCGGCATCTGGGGCGCGTGCTTGGCTGTCACGTCGAACCGGCCGGACGCGACCCCGTTTGACCCCAGCGCGATCTACACGTGTGCGAGTCTCTTTGGCCACACGCTCGTCCAGGTCAACTGCACTTCGGGGCGGGGCGTGCGCAAGTGCTCGCCCACGGCAACGGAATCGCTGCCAGCGTCGCTCTGCAGCAAGACCCGACACGGGGCGCCACTCAATTGGCACCAATCGCTGCATGCGACGGACCCGCCGGTGCGCGACATCCGCACTTACCTTGATGCGACCTGCGGTAGCATCGGCCGCGTCGTCGTCGGTACCGCCGGCATCACTCTTGCGTCGGCGTCGGCGTGCACGTTTTGTCTTTTGCTCGACGGCCTCCTCTGCGTCTGCGCCTGCACAAAACGCATCTTGCGAGCCGCGGTCGCGTCCGGCTACTGTACCGTTTTGTGGGGAGCTCTGCTGCTTGGCGCGTGGCGCACTCAAGTCGCCAACCTCCCGAACGCGCGGTTCGCCTTTACAGTCTACGCAGCGCTCAGTGCGCTGTGTGGATTTGCCATTACCACGTACTTTATACAGTGCCACGCAACACTCGTGGTGCCGCGGCCCGTCAAGACCATGCACACCAAGCTCTCGCGTGGCAGCGTCTACGTGGACACGCGCACTGGCATGCACGTTCTCGTCGAAGAGACGATCTCCGAACCGCCGTCAGCCTACGTCTAGACGACCTTTCTCTCTCGTCTTGGGGATTTGCGTCGTCGTCCAAAGCAGTTGTATACTCATAGAGCATTTTCTACTCGCACTATCTACGCGCCACAAGTCCATGCGCTGAATGTACTGGAGTCGTTAAACAAGTAGGCCAAGGTGCTGGTATGTTCCGCGCGGTAAAAGTCGCAGCACCAAAGACATGACCGCGTTTGGATTTCCGATTTCATTTCAAGCCTGCGATGCTCCAACTCCTCGCGAGCTCGGTGCCGTCAGATGATCAACATTTAGCGCAGCAGCTGACCGGTTCGCGACCTTAAAAGCTCCGACACACGACCGGCACGGGCGACGCTTGAGACTTGTAAAAACCATGAGCATCACTCGTCGTTAGAGTGCACGCTCGACTCATCGAAGTAGGGCGACGAGGTATCTGTGCGTCCAACCTTCTGCGGCACCCTAGTACTGCGGCGTAGCTCACGCACGCACGCGGCCGCTGGCTAAACCATCGCGATGGCTTCCGCAAAGCGCTCATTTTGCCGCATTTTTATGTTGCTGAGGTTGCCTTTTGCATCGCTAAAAATAGCAACCCGACCCGTGCCGCCACTTTTGTTGGCCAATCAAACAACGGCGTATCTTTCTTTCGCGCGGTAAATTTAAATTTAGAGGCTTTGACACGCATCGCCAACATCACTTTCTAAAACGATGAGTTCGACGCCGATGCCGGTCGCGGCGACGCCAGAGACGCAGGTTGTCGCTTTTGTCGCCCCCGAGGTCGACGCCGCGGGCCTCTACCGCGTCAAGGCGACGCCCCAGCGCACGTCCATCTGGGACGGAATGGTGCAGCTCTCAACCCCCGTGACCGACGACGAAAAGTCCGAGACAAATCGGTTGCGCCACGCTCGCCGACGCCTGTGGATGCTTCTCTGCGCTGCGGCTGTGATTGTTGCCGCGATCATCGGGCTCTCGGTCGGGCTCTCGTCGGCGACCTACCACGATGCATCGACGTCGGATAGCGCCCGCGCCAACCGCGACGGTGCGACAGAAGCCCCTGCGTATGTGACGCCGACGCCGACCACGTCGCTGCCAACGATCGTGGAAGCGAACGCGACGTCGGGCAACAGCACGACAGATATGCCGGCACGCGGTGCATACGACGGCATGATTACGACGTCAGAGCCCGGCGAGTCCAGTTCGTCGTCCTCAGCGACAAGCGCCTCCAGCCAGTCGTCGTTGAACGGCCCGACACCGACGACCAAGGCGGTGACACCGGCACCGACACCGACACCGGCACCGACACCGGCCCCAACGCCGGCCCCGACACCGGCCCCGACATTGGCTCCGACATTGGCTCCGACACCGGCACCCGCACCGACGCCGGCACCGACGCTGACGTTTCTCAACAAGTGCTCGTACACGATCAACCTCTTCAAGGTCGACACGCCCATCTGCACGCTCAGCTCGGGCCGTCAATGCACTTATCCGTTGAACGTCGGCGACCACACAATGTTTCGGCACACGGGGTCGGCCTCGGCGACGCTCGTTGAAATGACGCGGCTCGGGGGCAAGATCTGGTACGACATTAGCATCATTCCGCCGGGATGTGGCAACGGCGTGAGCTGGGCCGAGTGCATGAGCCTCTCTGGCGGTATCTCAGGCTACAACGTGCCCGTTTCGATGCTGCCCACCAAGTACAACAAGAACCCGGCGGCTGGCAACTGCCACTACGTCGAGTGCCTCGCCGACCAGTGCCCCGACGCGTACCTCTACCCGACCGACGACCTCAAGATGAAGGACTGTCGCGAAGACGAGGCCTTCCTCATCACCTACTGTCCGTGAGCCCCATGTATCGCATTGCATATCGATAGCTTGTCGCCATCTATCAACTTGATACAACGCCGTTTCACTGCGTCTCCATGGTTAGGAGGTGTGTCTACAATGCAGGTGTAGTGGACACCAAGCCTCTATGACTCGAGCTTGTCTGATGCAGCCACAAACCGTGCAAATGTGTCCGTAGACCAATACTTTACGCGGGGATTGCGCGCCAACGCCAACCCTAACCTCCACATCGGATGGCTGAAACGGTATAAAACTTGTGGACAGAAAAAAGGATGTATACTAGTTTGTGCGATAAACACTAGCTAGCGCTGGGCACGCGTCTGGTAAGTCGCTGTGCGCATCTCGTGGAGGCGCGAGACGGCGCGGTTGCACGCATACAAGAGGTCGGTCATCGAGCTCATGTTCTTGACCGGGTTTTCATTCGACGGGTCGTTTTCAAACGCGCCAGATGGACCATCCCACGAGCTAAACGCCGGTACACCCGCGGCTTGGTTGGCCTTGCGCAGCGCATCGACCTCTTCCGGTGAGAGACGCTGCGGCTTGGGCGCGCCATTGAACGCAAAGAGGTCGTCGGGCATAACGTGGGCGGAGCAGAGAAGGCGCACGCGGTGCTCGTAGAGCTCGTCGAGCAGCGTGATGAAGCGCCGGGCCTATCGTTGACATGAAACTCTGTTGGGGACCACGAAAATTTTGAGATTTTGAAAAATTTGAAAATCATGAAAATCATGAAAATCAATACAAAAACCAATCCAGAACTCCATAGAAAAGCAACGCACCTGGTTGTGCATTTGAATCGTCAACTGCGGCACGTTGAGCAAGACCACCGTGCCGTACGCCTCGGCCAGCGCCTTGTAGTCGGCCGCGCCTTTCTCCGTGTTGCAGAGCTCTTGGAAGCTGGCGACGCACACCACGTCGCGGTACCCAAGCACCGTAAGCGACCGGCCCATCATGACGGGCGTCGTCTGGAGCGACAACGACGCGCCTTTCGGAAGCATGGCCTCTGCAGCCGCCTTCAAGGACGCATCCGCCGATGCGCTCCACGGGTGCACATAGGTCTCACCGACTGGCTACACAGCGTCGGTTGCGTGAGCTACTGCCACCAGACACATAAAATCGTCGACAAACAACCTTTTCAATGCGCCGGTGGTCCGTGCTCGAGTCGATCGACACCACGCGCGTGTGTTGCTGGAGCAAGTCGAGGAACGGGAGAAAATACTCTCGGTTGACGCCATCCGGGTACAAGTCCTAGGGCTCCGTTGGTCGCATGCGAGACTACGATCCACAAGGAGAGTCTACCTTGGGGTGGGTATTGGACGTGGCAATCATGACCGTGCCTTGGTTGAAGAGCGTGCCAAAAAACTTGCGCATGATCATGGCGTCGGCAATGTCAATGACCTACCCGCAATATCGACGGTAGTAGCATGGTACGATAGGCTGATGCAACCCACCTGGAACTCGTCAAAGCACAAGACCGGGCTCTCTTGCGCGACTTCTTTCGCGATCAGCGTAATGATATCGCGCTCGGGCTCGAGTTCAATGTGCGCGGACCGGCCAAACGTCGCCAAGTGCTCTTGCTTGCGCGCATGAATCCGCCGATGGACTTCGAGCAGGAACGCGTTAAAGTGCACGCGGCGCTTCTTCGTCTCGAGGCTCTCGTAGAAGAGGTCCATGAGCATCGACTTGCCCGTGCCCACTTTGCCCACGAGGTAGAGGCCACGCGGCACCTGCATCGCACCATGCTCCTAGCGCAGAGCGCATGAGTCTCGCCGTCCACGCGATGATGTGGGCGTACAGACGACGGCAGCTCGTACGACGTCAGGCGCTTCTGGAGCTTCTGGAGGTGACCGACGACGGCCTCTTGCGCGGCGTCGGGGCGGAGCTTCTTGGCGCCGACCAAGCGCTTGTACAGCGGCACGAGCGCGCCTTGTCGCGACATGGGCCAGACAAAAATGTGTCAACTACGAACTTCGGGCACGGACCAATGGCATCGACGGTCGCGACGTTGATCTTCGGAGGACGAAACGGCCGTGGAGCGTGCCACGTCATACCCGAAGGTCGACGTCGTCCACTCCGTTCCGAGCAAAAACAGGCGGCAAACAAATATCAAGTCGATGGCGCTCAAGTGTACTACATTTATTATTTACGCGGGCCCGGTCCCTGGTGTGCCTGCGCCGCCTTTCTTGGCGCGCTTCCCGCGGTTGATGACAAGACCCACGAGCTTCTTGCGCATCGCTCGGTCAATGAGCGGCTCGTCGGTCGTCTCGGCCGCGGGCTGCGGCACATCGTCGTCGTCCTTGGACCGCGTCGGCTCCTTGGGCGACCCGCCGGTATGGTCGTGGCTATGGCGCAGGATCTTGGCCACCTTGGAGGTCTTGGGTTGCGTCTTCGGCCGGACCTACGGGAGCTTCCTGTCACGACCACTCGCATTGCAAAGCTCGATCGTACGCGGATGTTGCCTTGCGAGTTGTCGGCGGTCGAAACACGCAAGATAAAATGCTCCTCCGTCTCATTGGGCGACGGCTGCGCCAAGACGTGGCCCTTGCCGTCGCCCGCGTTGTTGCTGCCATGACTGCTCGTGACGGTCTCGGACCGATGCAGCTCGTGCTCGGCCTTTTCTCGGTTGATGACATCAAGGATGCGGCTGAGCTTTTGCTCGACCTACGTTTTAAGACTTGGAACGCCAGCGCCTCCATATTGGAAGTGATGGAGGTACGAGGTGCACGAGGTCGGTGGTCGAGATGTCGCCGGCCTTGTTCAAGTCGACCTCGTTCTCGAGCTCCATGGAGCCTCGGACCGAGCTCATTTTCGCCAAGCACTTGACCATGCACGAACGAAATGCGTCGAGCTACACACCGCGGCTCGCTGCTTGCGCACACATGGATAGGATAACGTACAAGGACATTGGAGCGGTTGCAGCGCTCTTGGAGCGCCGACACGTTCTTTTCAATCTCCTTGAGCTTCTCGGCCGTGTCGTCCATCTCCTGGTACGCGCCGCGCGTGTTCATGGTTGCACCTCGCAGCGTCGTGAGCTGGTCCGAGAGCTGCTTGTACTGTTCGCGGAGCTTGCGCATTTTGGCGTCCGTGATCGCATGCTCTTCCTTGAGGTTCCGGAAGGTCTCTTCGCGGGAGAGGTACTTGGCAATGATCTTGTCGATGTCGTTGGTGCCCGCGGCTTCGCTCAGCCGGCGCAAGTCGGCCTACGCAGACAATTTTTTGAATCGTCGCGGGCGTCGACGTGGCGAAAACCTCGAGCGTAAGGAGCTTGGCATCCGTTTGCATGAGCTCGGTCTGGATCTGGGCAAACTGTGCGCTCTGGACCTGGCTTTCCTGACGCAGTCGCTTCGTCTCGCGCGCGGTCTGCTCGCCAGTGACATTTTGAGCCACTTTGCGCCGGCTCAATTCGCGCTGCTCGATCATTTCTGCTTCTTGCGCGTCATCTCGATCGCGCTCTCCATGTCCTCGATCGCGCGGCTGTTTTCGTCGCGGAGGTCTTGGAGCTGCTTGACGAGCTTCTTCTGCGTCGTCTCGGCCGTGCATTTCTCTTGCTATGGTTCACAAATGGACATGATGCAATACAAGAGCTGGTGTCTCGGGCTCGCACCCGCGCCGTCTGCAGCGCCATCGCGCCCGCGCTAAAGTCGTTTTGAAGCGCTTGCAGCTCTTTTCTTTGCTCGTCGTTAGCTTCTTGGACTCTTGCACCTACACGAGCATATATATAAGAGATCGATCGGTCGAGGATGGTTGCAGAGGGCGACCTCGAGTGCGAGCCGCTGAATCATGTGGCTGTACACGCCTCGATCCGCGAGCTCGTCTTCGAGCTTGTTCTCGATCGACTAGACAAAGAACACTACGCATGCGAAACATCGGGTCGTCGACGCACCGACGCCCGGTTCTCCAAGTTGATGGCCTTGGTTTGGAACGCCATGCCGTCCATCTTGCGGCTCGAGAGGAGCGACGAGGCTTCCTGCAGCGCTTCTTCAATTTTCTGCCCACCCATATATCGCAGCATGAGAGAAACCAGACACGGAGGATGCACCTTGATCTCGGCCTCCTTGCGGGTGTTGGCATTGCGGATCAAGTCGAATTCCTACGCGCCGCATGCGACCGACGCTCGTAGCCGCGGCGTGTTTTACCCGACGATACGCAGCGACTTCGTTGGCTTCGCGGTCGACCATTTGGAGGTCGTCGCCGATGCCAATCCCCAGCGTGCCGAGGAAGGACTGCACGGACGGCGCGGTGACTTTGCTATCCGTGGGAAGAATACATCCGTGCTCCGTTTCCTGCTTTGTTCGTACCTCTTGGACGTGCTCTTCTTGGGCGACGCAATGCTCTGGTTGCCGTCGAGCGTACCGGGCATGAGCCAGCGCTGGCGACCGCCATACGTGCCCCGCGTGCGCTCGGTCATCGAGCCATCGGTCGGCGTCTCGAGCGACCGCACCTCGGGCGACTCGCCGTCCATTATCGTCGCGTTATATTAATACCGACGGTTCACGACGAGCATCAGTTACGAGCCGTTGATCGAGCCGCTTGAGAAGTTGAGCGAGAAAGGCTGCATCGCATTGCGATGGCAGGCTATCGCCAACGTGCACCCGCTCTGTCCCGCGCATGTCCGTCAGCTGCACCGTGCCGGCGCCATAGGAGGGTCGGAGGTCGGAGGAGGTCGGAGGGTTAGGGGTATTGGGTGTTGGGATGTTGCTTTTTGCGTGATGCATGTCGTTGGGAACGCCTTGTCGTCGTCGTCGTCGTCGTGGGCTGACAGGATGCGACGAGTGACGCTGCATGATCTTGGTGCGCCGCAGCAAGCAGTGGGCCAGGACGAGGAGCGTCCATGTAGTTGAACACATCCTATTGCGTAAGGGCGAATATCTCCCTCCTGACTAGAATAAGTTATATTAACGATCGTATATATGCGCATGAAGCGTCGCTTTCTCTACTGTGTGTATATCTACTACCTAGACGTACGTCTCGTTGAGCGACGCAAAGCCAAGGTTCGAGTTGTTCTCGTCGTTGAACCACGACCGGAGGTCCGACGTCGACATCTCCGAGAGGCTGCCGTACCACGACTTTTCATCAAAGAGCTCCGTGTCCCGGATCGTCGAGCAGCCCGCCTCTTCGAGCGAGTACTGGCTCCAGACGTAGAGCAGCTGCGTGCCATTCGGGCCCAAGTCGGCGCGGCTCTCGCGCTTCTTGCAGCGCTTGGCCGTGATCGGCGAGTGCACGACGTGCTCGAGGCCTTTCGGAATCGCTTCAATCAAGAGCGTGCCGGCGGCAATGCCTTTAAAGAGAAACTTGCCGTGCGACTTGAAGTAGCACGGCGTTGACGCCGCGCCGCGTGGCGCCGTCTCAAAGTACGAGGTCGTGTCTTGGAGGAACGCTGTCCATGCGTCGCCGCCAATGAGGATCTGGCCGCCGCGCGAGGCCTTGGCGATGCGAGCGGTTTGGTTGACAATGTTGCCAAAGTAGTCGGCGCGGCCACTCGACTTGTGCGGACTCACGCTGACGGGGACGCCGGTTTCGACGCCGATCGAGATGCGAAATTGGATGCCAGTGGGGTCCGACTCGAAGAGCGCGTAGACTTGTTTTTGGACTTGGGCGCACCACGCGACCGCGTCGGCGGGACGGTGAAAGGCGAGCATAAAGTCCTATTAATGCGGGCTATGAGACATGTGCATTGAGGTAGAGAGAATGGGGACGTACGCCTTGGAGCTCTTGGCACTCGTAGCCGTGAAACTGGCGGAGGAGCTTGCGCGACAGCGTGCAGATCGACTTGACCCGCGAGACGAGGCTGTGCGCATCGCTGAGCATGAGCGACCGCGCGCCTTCGATAAAAGTAAACACCATGGTGACTTCGCCGCCGGCCGCGGGCGCGTCCCGCATGCCGGGCGCCAACTGCCGCGGCGACATGAGCGTGAGGAACCGCCGGTCTTCCAAGTGCTTGGGGAGCAGCTGGAAGAGCTGGAGCGGGTACCCGCCCACGAGGTGCTTCCCGAGATCTTCGACCACCGGGTTGCCCATCTGCACGAGCTGCTCCTTGAGCTTCTCCCACGCGCCGTCCGAGAGCACAATCTGGCCGCCGTGCGCGCACTCGCCAATGAGCCGGACGAGGTCTTTCGGATTCGTTTCCCTCTCGTCGCAAAGGTCTTGAAACTCGTCTTCATGGTCTGTCTCGGAGCCGACGAGGTGGATCGCCATGCGCACGCGGAGGCCGCGAAACACAAGCGTCGGCTTCTCGGGCGAGAGCTCTTCCTGCGCCTCCGGGGCTTTTAGAAACTTGGGGTTCCAGGCGGCGTACATGAGGCCGAGCTGCATCGCGAGGCACCACCGCGCCGCGTTGTACTCGGAGTGGAACCCGAGGATAAAGAACTCGTTGTTGAAACGGAGCTCAATCCCGCCGTACTCGACGAGGCGCGACCGGATCATGTGCACGTAGAGCGCGGTCGCCTCCTCCATGAGCTCTTGGAACTGCCGCGAGAGTCGCTGGAAGGCCGCGATCGAGACGTACACGAGCACGTTCATTTCGTCCGACATCGCGTCGTCCGAGTTGGTCACCGACGTCTGCGCCTGCAGAATCGGGAGTTGGACGTCCGTCGACATAAAGTCGTGCGTGTACGGGTCGTGCACTTGGGCGGTCGCGTGGCCCGACGAGAGGCGCATGGCGCCGGCGTAGCCCAGCGCGCGGATGTCGGCGGTCTCGCTAAATTCGAGGTAGACGTCGGTCATGGAGCGGTGCTCGGGCCGCTGCGCGTAGTCGTAGCCGTTGGTGCCGACCGTGTCGCTGCGCGGCAGCGACCGGTTGCTGCTGCTCTTGACGGCTTGGAGCGACTGCGGGTTGAGGATCGAGCCTTTGCCACGGCCCGCCGAGACGGCCGCGGAGGCAGGATTGTCGATGATGTCGCCGTCGCGCCGGCGCGTGCGCTGCGAGTGCGGCCCGCTCGAGCCGCCGGCGAGGTCGCGCTCCGAGTTGGTGCGGTGGGTCATGCCCGTGTTGGTGATCGCGCGGCCGTTGGTCCCGTTCTGGCCCGTGTAGCCTCCGTTGGTCGTGTTAAGGTACGGCGCGAGCTCCTGCACAATGTCGTTGCGCGGAAGGCAGCGCTTGAGCACGCGTATGCAGCAGTCCCAGCAGCTCATCCTCGCTGCGGTAGACTTGGCCGATGCAAGAATCCGAGGTCGCTCTCGACTTTAGTGGATGGTCGCGGTGTGCAAATAATGCGTGGCATTTTAATGCACCGCCATCGGCTTCGTGGCCCAATGCATACAAATGCCGAGGTAATAGAATAACGTGTGCTTGCAGACGCACGAAACGCGACGTAATAATATGCACATTAGTCACACAATTGGTCTGGATTTCTTTGGATTGGTGCAAACTGGCGAGTTTGCACTTGACGTTTGTATGCAAGACGGCCCTCTACGACGGCGTCGATTACTCTAGCTGCGTGGAGCGCTCCTGTGTCTAATGCTGCTGGCTCCAACGAGAGCTCTTCTGCCACGCAGTACTACTTCTAGTACGTAAGAGTGGACGTGTTGTACAACCAACGCGTTGGCGCAGCACAGAGACGCAGGGATGGTTACTTGACATGGTGGCGAGTCAAGCTACAGACAGGCGGCAAGCCGGTCGTTCGGCACGTCGAAGCAGCGTCGAGCTGGCTCTGGTACGCGCATCGAACGCTTCAAAGCGCGTGGCCACCCATTATTAATCTCGCACCATAAACAGGCGAGATACCACGAAACGTCGAGCAGGTTCATGCTGTGGCAGCGCCTCGGATTACTCGCAGGCGCGACTACTTTGTGTCACCGCCTTGTCGTGGATCGTTGAAGCAACTCGGCGCGGCTGGAAGAGGCTTGACCGACTATTTCTCTTCGCGACGCGAGGGCAGCATGGACCAACGCCAAAGACTTCGACACCGTCGTCGTCGTCCCAGCGGTGCACGTTACTAGGGTCTGTTTACAGACGACCGTTGATGCTATGGGGCGACGAGAGGCGGAGCGAGGAGGTTGTCATGTCGTTGGCTTGTTCCAGACACAAGAACGCCGCGGTTGTGGACTCGTTGAAGTGACGCCATTTGTGACGCGCGTGCGGTACAGTGCTTTCGCGCCTTGTCTTTGTCGTTGTCATTCGAGCCACTTGGTCGTTGAAGCTCAAGCGCCCTATGTGACGAGCAAGCGCTTCTAAAGACAGTCCCAAGCCCGTCTTGCTGTTGCGCTCATCGAGTCACGCCAGGACGACACACGCGACCAAGATAAAAAGGACGCACATCCTCCTATATAACTTGACAACGCGACAACGCAAGGGATCGCTTGGAGGATCAGCAGCACCCATCTGCACGGCTCGAACGCGAGTCTAGCTCGTGCATGCGTAAGTAGTTTAGACAGCATCGGGGCTCGAGGTCGGTGCGAGCAGATGCAGAAACGAAGAAACGACGACGTGGTGCCAAGGTCATTCCTCTATCAAACGCCGAGCGCGTTGGCGCATCGAATGAAGAGTGGCGCGTTGACCTTCTCGCAGAACGCCTCTTCTTACTTGAAAATGGTCCTTGCCGACTGGACGAAGCAGCGTCGCCAACAAGCCAGAGGCCGCGGTGCAGCCTCTCAAGCATCGTCCAGTGCTGATAGAGCGAGCCCAGAGTGCTCCTTCTGAGTGGGCAAACACTGCGTACGAGCCCAGCACCACGGAAATATGGAGCTCGAGGTCGACTGAACGCTCGTTCTTGGTCCACGAGATCGAAAACAAACCAGCTGAGGAAACCTACCGGTACACAGATACGATGATTGGAATCGACAACCAGAACGCTTTCTTCAGACACGCAGCAATACCGGGTAGACGGTATAGGTATCTACTATCTATCTATCTATCTATCTATCTATCTATCTATCTATCTATCTATCTATCTATCTATCTATCTAGCTAACGATATCCATCTACCGGTATCTATCTAACGGTTTCCATCTATCCGATGGATGCTCGTCAGCAATGCAGACGCCTGCGGGTGTTGACGGCTCGGATAGAAGCCAACTTTGGCGATGCGGTCCGGGACGTCCTATCCCGTGATTTAGACGAAATCTACGCAGGCTCTTGATGTCGTCGAGGGATGCAATCAAATTGCGCGGTGCCGGTATCAGCGACACGAAATCGCAGTGCACGACGGAGTAGATAGCAACAGCATCGAACCCATCGAGAGTGCTCGGCGGTCGCCTCGGATACGTCGAGGCAACGCAGAAGGACGCTGTTGAAATGTCGGTGTGGACAGCCCCTCTCGAGACCCCGATAGGATCCAATCTCACGCGGGTTCGCGGCGTCGGGCGTCTCGTTGAAGGAGGAGCGTAGCATCGTTGAAGCGCAGAGTCGTGGCCTGCACTTCGTCCATGTAAACATCACCCTGCATAGGCCCGCCGAGAGAGATCGCCTCGAGTAGTATCAGCTTCGTACGCTTCCCTCGGCCGACGATATATGACACATATTCGCTCCTGCTCGCGCCGTAAGCTGCTGCTAAGCCCAATGCCTCGCACACGACGACGGCAAGATCGTAAAAGCGACGCGCACCGTGCTGACGCTCGCTCGCTGCGCCGACGCGTGTACTTGTCGACAAATGTCCTAGTACATGCTTGGCGCCCAAGGCTCGTCAACCAACTCACGCGATCGACGAGGTCGTCATGATCTGCCGGTGCTGCGCGCCTTCGTGCTAAAGCCTTGGGTGCTAGTATTATAACGCAACGACGGTGGTGTCATCTGCAGCGAATAGGGTGTCGCGAGCAAGCAGTGTTGCTCTTCTCTACTACAGACGCTCCTTGCGTTCTTGTCGCAATCGCTCCGCGCCGTCCAGGGGTCCAGAGGCGTGCTGGTGCTTTCGTCCGAGTATCAGTGCACGCGCTGGCTTGTCATGTGGTAGGTACCAATCGGACGAGCAGAAAATAGCGGCAGCAATGAGCATGGGAACGCTAATACATTTGCTGCTACAACGGCACAGTCAATTGGTACCGACAGACCGGTGCGTGGACACTTGGACAGCCGCGCCGCTGGCACCCGCCGTCCACAGTGATGTGACCAAGGACGTCTCTAACTGGCGCATTGTGATTGCGACAAAGGGCTGACGGAAGGGGCCACGAAGCGCGACGATCGAGGCCGTCGCCGCATTGGACGCGTCGTGCCTTGCCTCCTTCTCACGTCGCTCCAAGCCTCGACGTGCGGGTCGCTTCCGCGTGTCAACACCCATGCTAATTGATTCCTTTTGTATTAATCTCCCAGAGACACAGGTTCGTCGTGCGGTTGGCAGCTATTGTCACCACGCACCACGGAACACAAACAGAAGACACTGCCATAAACAGCAGCGTCTGCGTGTTTGAGTCGCCGTGCATTTACGAGCGGGGCTTCTCCTTCTTGTCCTTGTACAGGGCAAGGAGCGAGACGCCGGCGACCTTGACGACCTTGAAGCGCACACCGGGGATATCACCGACGGCGTGGCCGCGGCGACCGAAGCCGGCAATGAGCACCTCGTCGTTTTCGTCGACGTAGTTCAAGCAACCATCGCGGGGCACGAAGGCAGCGATCTTCTTGCCGTTCTTGATGAGCTGGACACGCGCGCACTTGCGAATGGCAGAGTTAGGCTGCTTGGCCTCAATACCAATCTTCTCGAGGACGATGCCCTTGGCCATCGACGAGCCACCGAGCGGGTTGGCCTTCATCGCCGTGATCGAGTGCGACTTGTTGTAGGACTTCTGGTTCCAGCGCTGCGTGCGGCGGTGGACGCGCAGCTTGCGGGCGCAACGGATACCGGCGGGCTTGTCTACAGACACGCGACCATAAGCAACTCGGCATCTTATTGCGCCATCGGCGACGTACGCTTGGCCATCTTTTTCAGTCGTAGGAGAAAGGAATGAAAAGAACTGAGATTGCCCTTACATTTGGCCTTGGTATAAATTGGTAGCTCCTCACCAGTAAACAAGACTGGCCAATCACGCGCCGCTGTTTGCTCGCCACCAACCAAAAGCATCCAATTCAAAACCTCTCACAATGCATCTTTTAGGATCGTGGCCATGGTGCGCATGTAGTTTGAGAGGTACCTCGTCCCGGGGGCAACGCGATGCGCCGTCGCGCGAAGCAATGGCTCGTACGCAAACGCATGGGCATCTCGACGCAAGTGGTGGCCGTCACGGGGCCGCGGACGGTTTTCGTGGAGCGACACGATCGATGACGTGGGTGAAATTGCGTGTCGTTATCGATTCCAGCGCATGCATGCAAGGTCAAGGCTCCAGTAGTGCTGGTAGAGGCGTAGGCTTTGCATGGATATGGAAAGGAATGTGATGGAGACCTCATATCGAGAGAGCATGCCCGGCGAAACACTGGCCATGCCTTGCGCCGTCGACGAACGCGATCCCGCGTGGTCTAAAATGAAGTTGGGTGCATTTAGCCTCAACGATTATAGGGTCTGCATTTCAAAGGGCATTTTGTTGGGTGCACTTTTTGGCGACCATGGCGACGACGACACCCGTGCTGGCTGCTCATGCGACAGAGGAGACGCTTTCGTAGGCTCATTGCGCGAGGCATGGCTCATGGACGTCGTCGTCTTGTAGTCGCCACGCTTTGGGCGTCTCTCGCCGAGAGTCTGTGGACTTTGCGCGGTCGATCGAGACCAATCTCATCTCGGACCCCGTGACCCGACGCCTGAGCAAACTCAGTGTCTCGACCGATGCGACGACGACGACGACTGCTCCGGCGCACAGCCCGTCGGACTTCGAGCTGCTTTGCGTCATTGGTCAAGGCGCGTTCGGCAAGGTGTCTCTATCCAAGCCTCTTTGATCCCTGAAACCCTCGTCGTACTAGGTCATTCAAGTGCGGTACACACCAACGGGCGAGATCTACGCCATGAAGGTCCTCTACATTGCACGACTGTGTCGTTCTGAAACAACTCAATGTATACGTGTAGATCGTCAGCAAAGAGTATCTGGTCAAGAAGAACTCGATCGCCAACATGCAAACCGAGCGCGACATTATGACCAAAGTCAGCCACCCGTTCCTGATTTCGCTCCAATTTGCGTTCCAAACCACCGACAATGTGTTCCTTGTCATGCAGTACGTGCCCGGCGGCGAGCTCTTTCACACGCTGAGCAAGCAAGGTCTCCTCCTCGAAGTCCGCTCCCGTCCTCCCTCCTTGAGGTGTCTCATCGATCGACTTGTAGCGGACAGCCTGCTTTTACGCAGCCGAGATGGTCCTCGCGTTGGAGTACCTCCATGGCATGGGCATCATCCATCGGCACGTCGATCCATATACTACCATAGTACAGAGTTCTCACGACGTGCATATTTGTAGAGATTTAAAGCCCGAAAACATCCTCCTCGACGCCGACGGCCACGTGTGCCTCACCGACTTTGGCTTGTCCAAGGAACTCCCTGAAGTACACAATCTGTTCCAACTCGAAGAAGCCATCAACTCAAAGAGGATGTGTATGTAGGCCAACGAAGCCAACACCGTCTGCGGCACCAACGGTCCGTCGACATGTTGTTGACCCTACCCCTCCCACTCACGAATGCCGGTAGAGTACATGGCTCCCGAGATGATCCGCGGCAACGCGTACAACCACGCGGTCGACTGGTGGGCCCTCGGCGCGCTCATTTACGAGATGGTGACGGGGTACCCGCCTTTCCGGCACAACAACCGCAAGAAGCTGCTCGAGAAAATTCTCCAGGAAAAGGTGCCCACCGCCTCTTCATCTTCTTTTTGCTGTTTCAACGTCTTAACGTCTCATAGCTCAAGCTGCCCAAGTGGCTGAGCCCGGACACGCATTCGATCTTGAAGCAGCTCTTGGAACGCAACGTAGAGAAGCGTCTCGGCTCGGGCAAGTCGACCATGTTTCAAGTGCGCGGTGTCGCGGCCATCAAGAAGCACCCGTTCTTCAAGGTCGCTTCCCACTCCAATGGATGATGGCCTTTTCACGCTGGAGCAGGACATCGACTGGGGGCTCCTCGAGCGCAAGCGGATGACGCCGCCCGTGGTGCCATCCGTGACGAACTCCCTCGACACGAGCTGCTTTGCCGACAGCTTTACCAAAATGAAGGCGACGATCGAATCGGGTGGCGCCGTTGCGCCCGAGTCGCCTCTCTTTCGTCGGTTCTCCTTCACGGCCGCCGACCGGCTCCCGACAACTAACGACGTCGACGCGTGAACCGACCCACTTCGATTCCCGCGACGGCACACGTTTTTATCCAAGAAGGATATCTATACTTTGTGTGTGTGTTGGATACGCATGCAAGAGCAGATGTAGGACCAAGCGACGTGTCGTATCATCAATGCAGCCTGTCTACGACAAGCTCGCGGCGAGGAGCGACACGTGCGCCTTGACGACCTTGGACGTCTGTTCGATCGTGAGGCGCGACTTGGCCGCACCAACCCAGTCGGCCACGACCTCGCGGGGGAGACCCGACAGCGTGTCGAGCTCCCGCACCGTCGTTTCAATGTCGCCGGCGCGGAGCGCATAGTCGGCGCGCGAGAAAATCGCCTCGGCGTCGTCGCCCTTGATCGGGCCACCCGGCGGGATCATGAGCAAGAGCAGCGCGCCCGCAAAGAGGTGGCCCAGCATGCCGTGGCACTCGTCCGGCACAAGCGCCGCGCGGCGACCGGCGTTGCGCACGTAGGCAAAGCGGTCCTGGAGCTGCGCGACCGACGGCGCACCTTCGGCGAACGGGGCCATGGACGCGACCGCGGCCTCGAGGAGGTGGTCGCCCTTGCCGGCGGCCGCGAGTGCACGAATCTACCCCACACACATAATAGGTGGAGGACTCATGCAATGGAAGCAACGGTCTACCTCGCTGTGGAGCGGCGCGGCGGCTTCGATGCGGTCCGTGAGGGCGAGCGCTGCGACCGACACCTTGTGCACCTGGTGGCTGAACGCTTCGTACGTCGACGTCTGGCCCAAGAGCTCGTTCACGGCACGGAGCTGGATGCGGAACGATTCGAGCTCCTACGTCCTCCACCGTGTCAGCGGCGTGGTGGTACGCGTGTTTGGAGTACCTGGAGGCGACTGTCTTGCTCGGCCTGGAACTTGGCCTCGAGCTCGTCCGTCTTGGCTGTCACGAGCGCGAGAACGGTGCGGTCGGCTTCTTCCTGGACGGCCGCGAGCTTCTTGGCGTACTCGGCCTGGATAAGCGCCTGCTGCTGGTTGACGAGCACGCTGAGCTGCGATTCGTGGTTGGTGCGGAACGCGTCGAGCTCGTCACGGGCCGAGCGCGTGAGAATCTATCGACATCGATGTGAGCTTATTGCAACACGACAATGGGACAATTGTGTACCTCTTCCTGGAGGCGAAGTTCGCGCGAGAGGAGCTCCTTGTGGAGCTTGTCCTGCTGCTGCAAAAGCTCCAAGTGCTACGACAAGAGTGGTGGGCATGAGGCCATGTAAGGTCCATAATACATACCTTGGCCTGGACGTCTTCTTCCATGCGCTTGAGCGACTCCATGAGACGCATGGCCTCCCACTTGGTGCGGTGCTTCATCTCGGTCACGAGCTGCGCCACGCGCATGCGGAGCATATCCGCGTCGAGGTCCTTGATGCCGGCGAGCATCGACTGGTCGAGCTCCTCGTTCATCGCGTCGGCTTCGGCGCGCGCCTTCTTCAGCACCGTGTTCTACGAGATATCCTGGATGGTACAAAGGGCGAGGTTGCAGTCGTCGCACCTTGGTCGCAGCGAGCGTCTCCTTGGCCTTCTCTTCAAACGTAAGGAGGTCGTTGTTGAGCGCATCAATGACAGCCTTCTCCTTCGCAGACGCTTCGTCGAGCTTCTTCTTGAGCGCCGTCGGGAGCGCGGGCACGGCCTCGGCCACGACGGCCTTGGCCGCGACAACGGCGGCTTCGGCCTGAACGATCGCCTTCTCGACCTTGGCCTCGGCAACTTCGACCTTGGCCTCGACCTTGGCGTCAACCTTGGCTTCGGTCGTGGCGACAGCCGCCTTCTCCTTCTTCACCTCGACCTTGGCGACGACTGCGTCCTTGACAGTCGCCTTCTTGGCAATCGTGACCGGCTCCTTCTTCTCTACCGGCGCCGACTCCTTCTTCTCGACAGTCTTCTTGTCCGCAACCTTGGGCTTCTCGGCTTCCTTCTTGACCGGCTTCTCGGCCGGCTTGGGCTTGGCGACGACGATCGTCTCGGGCAGCGCCTGCGTCGGCGGGACCGTCGTGAGCACAAACTCGCGGAACTTGGCCCAAGCGACGTTGTCCTTGACCGCATCCGGGTTGAAGGTCGGGTTCTGCTTGATGTACGCGCCCCACCCAATCGTCGTCGTCACGGTCGCAAAGAGGACGCCGTAGACCGCGTTGCCGCTGCCGGGCGCGGGCTGCGGGACGGCCTTGGGCATCGGCGTGGCCGGCGCCGGCGGCGTCGGCCA